AAAGATTCTTAAAAACTTACAGAATATATATTAAAAATTATAGAAATATTATTATTATATTTATTAAATAAAAAATTATATCTATATAATTATAATAATTCTTAACCTAATATCTAAGCTCAAGAAATTTAAAAAAAACATATAATTTAATAATAATATTAATTAATATAATAAATACTAGACTATTTTTAAAAAAATATTTTATTTTTATTATAATCAGAATCTAGTTATTAATATATTATTTATTATCTCTAGATTATTTTTAGATCTAGATAAAGCTTTTTATAATATCTCTAAATACCAGAGGTTTTTACCTATAATAAAGATATTTAAGAAACTTAAGATATACTTAGATATTAAAGATATATAACTTATTAACTTATTTTTAATTTAACTAATATTATTCTAGATATTATAGAATATACTAATATTTTTATTTACTAGAAATCCTATTATAATTAGTTTTCTATTCTTTACTAGATAACTAGAGATTTTTTATTTATTATAACTAATAGTATTAGTATTAAATATTTATTTAATAATTCTTAAGATATTTATTATTATTACTAGAATTACTTTTAACTTAATATAATTAAAATAGTTATACTTTAGATATATATTAAGTATTTTATTATAAATAAAGAGTACTAGAATATTCTTAAGAATCTTAATCTAGACTTAATTATCTTTATATTTAAGAATTAAAAAAAGAATAAGATAATTATTATTTTTTATATTAGTAAAAATAAGAATATAGATAATCTAAAAAATAATCTAGAAAATAGATTATTATTAAAAATAAAAAAAATAACCTTATCTAAATTTATAAATATTATATATTCTTAGATAGAGACTTATTTCTTATAATTTTTATATTATTATAATTACTATTCTGGATAATATAAAAAATAATTAATATATATATCTTATATTAGATACTATTTTTTTTATACTAAGTTCTGTAAAGATCTTTTTTAAAGTATAGTATATTTCTTAGAAGAAATAAGTAAAATAAATAAAAAAAAATAAAATAAATAAAATAGAAAAAATAAATAAACTAAATATAAAAAATATAACTATACTATAATTAAAAATATATTATACTTTATATATTATCTATATAAAAGAGATATATATATTATTAATTAATCTATAGTTAATAATCTATCTACTATACCTAATCTTTCTAATTAATAAATATAAATAATTAAAATAATAGTTATACCTTAATCTAATCTTAATTATATAGTTAAATTACTTTTTATACCTTAACCTAACCACTAGATTATGGTCAGGTTAAGGTTAAGGTATAACAGTCAGGTTAAGCTACTCTAATACTAAGAGTCTATATAAATTTACTATAAGTATAATATTTATACTTATTTAAGTTTTTCTTAAACTAATAATATTTATCAATAATATATTTTTTATTTTATCTTATATTATAATTTCTAGAATTATTTATATAATTATTAATTATTATTATTTTAGTTCTGTAGATTATATTATATTAGGAATTTATAGAAATTCTAGATTAGAAATAATAAATTTTTTATAAATTTTTTTATAATTCTTTTATTAAAATTTAGTATTATTAAATTATTTCTATTATTTTTTTAGTTTTATAATATTATTCTTTATAACTTTAATAAGATTTATCTTTTAACTATATTTAATAAATATTTTAAAATCTATAAGATCTTAGTATTAATTATTAATAAAGATTTTATTAAAGATATTCTATCTAAAATCTAGAGTTAATTAAATTTTTAAATTTTATAGATTTTCTGAATCTTACAGATTTTCTAAATTATATAAAAAATTAATTTTTTAGATTATTTTTAATTTTATAAAATATAAGATTTAATTAATATAAATTATCTACTAATATAGATTTTTATTATTAAAAATAATTAAGTTTTAGCTTAATTTTAATAATTAAATCCTGTTTAGAAGTATTTATAATTTCTTAGATTTATATTTTTAGATATAATTATTATTATCTAGTATTATTTTTAATAAAATAATAATAAAATTTTTTATTCCTGGAGAAGATTTTTTTTTTAAAAATTAATTAATATTTATTTTTTAAGCTTTATTTTTTTACTTTTTAAGAATATTTAAAAAGTAGATATATATTAATTAAATATAGATTATTTTTAGAATATAATTATAAATCTTACTTCTAGATTAATATTTTTTTTTAAATATTTATAGATCTACAGGAATCTTTTTATATATATTAGTATAGATTCTAGAATTATTCTATTTTTAAATATATTATTTATAAGTTTTTTAGTTTTAAATATAATTACTATCTCTGATTTTTTTTAGAAGATATTTAGTATATATATTTATTAGATAATATTTTTAATTTTCTAAAGGATTTTATCTATATCTTTATAAAAATAGTTTTTTTAAAAAAAATTTCTTTATTTAATTTAAGATTTTTTTTTATTTAGTATAGTTATTTAGTAAGATAATTTATTATTATCTAATCTAATATATTAATATTTAATAATTTATTATATTTATATTATTTACTAGTTTTTTTAATAGTAAAATATTTTTATACTATTTCTAAATCTATTTTATATTTTTAATTTTTAATATAATATTTTAAATAATTATTCTAGAATTTATATTAGTATAGAATAATAAAATTAGATTATAATTATAATTTAAAATTTTTTTATTTTCTAAATCTTAATATATATTATAAGTTTTTTTTTTTTTATTCTTAATTTTAATAATATATAATTATTAATAAAAAGTATTTTTTCTATATTTTTCTTATTATTACCTATCCTAGTATTAATTATAAAAGATTATTTATAAATAATTAACAGAATTTAAGATTTTACTTTAGAAATTATTTTTAATATTTATATACTCAGATATATTAGTTTTTAGTTAAACTAGATTTAAAAGTATTAAATCTTAGTTTATTTTTATTTCTGAAGTTAGGAGAACTTACTAGTTAGATTTAATAAAATTTAAAATAATTTTAACTTAGTATAATATAAAAGAAGATAAAGAATAATAATAAAAATAATAAAAATAATAAAAATAAGAATAAAAAAATAAGTAATAAATAGTAAATAGTAAATAGTAGAAAATTAAAAAAAAGAAAAAAAAAAAAAAAAAAAAAAAAAAAAAAAAAAAAAAAAAAAAAAAAAAAAGAAAGAAGAAAAAAAAGAAAAAAAATAAAAAAAAAAAAATAAGAGATAAGAAAAAATATAAGATATTATTAAAAAAATAAAAAGAAAAATAAATAATTAAAAAGTTAATACTACTATTTTATTATTTTATAAAACTAAAGAGGTAGTAATAAGTATAAAATAGTTATAGAAATTTCTTAATTTTAGAACTATTTAGAAATAAATTTAAATCTATACTAAACTTATAGTATACAAGCTCTAATCAAGATATAAAGAAGTTAAAATAGTTTTAAACTATTATACTATATCTTTATTAGTATAAAGGATAATTATTAAGTTATAATTAGTATATAATTAACTGTAACTGTGCGCAACCCGCTTGCAACCTCAGGCTACTAACACCCTCGGCCTGCTATGAACCATCTATAACGAAGAATATCATTTCCACACTCCTGAACAGTCCCATAGCACAGGAGATTTTTGCTGCATGGCCTAGCTATAAAATGCGGCAAACCGAAAGCCTACTCCAACGCGTCATATATAAGTGACTTGATTCCCCCAAACTCGGTAACTGTGATGAGCGTGAGGATCAGTCTTGACGACATGTCTTGAAGGTGAGGAGGTCTTCTGGGTCCAGGTGCCTGTGATAGCCAGGAAAGCCAAAAAGGAGATTGTCATGAGAGTCTAACCTGTATCAACGTATAGACATGTCTCAATGCAGTCTCTTAGCGCTACCAGCTGGCTGTAACACGGCTTGGACACGGTGTACCATGCCATAGCTGATCCTCCCCACATTCTTGGCTTCACAAAGCTCATCCTTGGTGGGAGTTCAACTTCTCGCCTTAGCTCGCAGTGCGCAATAGAAGATAAGATTTAAAGAGATACAATTCTTTAGATTATAGACAAAATACGAGAGGTAGTGCTTCCTGCACATTATACCCGGTGGGATGCATAACCGTAGACCCCCAGTCCCCAACAAGGTAATGTTTATATGTACAGTACAGCCCTTCTTTAGTCCTACAGTCAGATATTCTACGTCTAGATGCTTGTGATTCGAATTCCTACTTGTTTGCTGTTCATCTGCTCTATAGCTCAGCTGATTGGCATCTTCTTTTCCGAGTAGCTCGAATCAATTGACAAAATTTCCCCTATCTTTGCTTCCCAATTCAACCATGCTCTTAGTGAGAGCTTAAGATGCTGGAACAAGTATGATATACTGTGATTGGCTCGTTGGTGACCCGCAGCGCGCGGCGGCGGGACAAGCACTAGACTGCTTTAGGAACTATTCGAGCGCGTTTCGTTCTAATTGGTTTCCTGTGCATAGCCCGGCTCTTGAACGGCCCCACCCTAGGAAAGTTGTATGTACGGTAGATCCGATTTAGATCCGATTCCACTAAGCAGGTTCCAGGCAATTCTATGCATCCATGAACCTGAGATTCAATGCTAGCTCTTACAGCTACAAGAGAGGACTTTTGCGCGGGTCTAGGTCTTATTTGCTACTGGAAAGCTTCCCACCCACCCAAAGAGGCGGCGTCTCCATCGAACCGGCCGGGAACACAACCAGTTTAGGCAATAATTGAACGCACTGATAGCCCTACACTCGGTTAGGCTAGAATCGAGAATCAATGACTCTGACCACATGTTAGTTCTTATTGAAAACCTGTTGCCTAAGTCCTGCTTTCCCAAAACAGTACCTATTGGGCGCTCTCGGAGCAGATGCGAGCTCGGTTTCTGGAGGTAGACAGTCCTCGCATACATGCCCATCTGTGCTTTGTAGAACTATAAAGAGGTCGATAGTCCCAGGAAATAGACTTCACAGATACACCATCTTCTTTCCCAAGCATAATTTACCTTCAGCAGTCATTATTTCACTATCGAATCATGCGCTTCTTTCAAACATTCTTCGTCTTGCTTGCCGCTGGCACCCTGCCAGTGAGGGCTTCAAGTTGCCGCCCATTCCCTTCCTCGATGAATGAATTCTCTGCTGGATTTCAACAGCCAGATCCACCTATCATCAAGGCCGAGTACCAGGCCAGTTTCATCCAGCACAAGTGGTAGGCGACAATTCCTGATGCCTGCCCTATGTTAGTTGTCGAATTAACCAAGCAACAGGAATCAAAACCTGTCACACATCACGAATGGCTACATCTACAACTCGCCATCCCAGAATTATGTTCGGGCTGATGAAGCCTTCGAAGGTAGCCTGGCCTCGTCTTTCTTCAACTACACCAATTCTACCAACGATGGCCTGGTGGACAATACTTTGACCACCTATAACCACAACTCCACCAAGCCAACTATATGGCAAGGATTCGTCAACTCGAATTTTCCCTTGTTCCCGGAAGACATACTAGTCACCAATAACGCTGTTTTTGGCGGACTGGTCCGGCGACAATTCAATGAGGGCCTTGTGGCAACCGTAAGTAGCCTGTTTCGGATTCAACTTCAATACAGATATAGTACTGAAGCTAACACCACATCTCGTCAGTGGGATATCTTGTACCAGGGGGTTTATCCGGTCACAGTCTACGTGAGCAACTGCAATATCATGGTGGGATACGACTACTTTTACCCTGAGTTGCGTACCAGGGTTATCACGGAATATTTCAACATCAAAGCCTAAACTGTTCTACGTTATGGATTCCAGTTGAGACATTCGCGCCGAAACGTCTAGGGTGAAGGGGATTTAACAGTTGCCCCAGCCGGGCCAGGCTCAGCCTTTTTCCCTGCTTACCATCAATGTGCTGCTTCTTCACAGCATACATATCTACTTTTTGTATGCGAGGTGAACTATCTTTCTGTTGGTCTCACATGATTTTTTTTTTTTTTGTTATTTTTTCCTTTTTGGTTTTTGACCCTTGATGTATAGTTTAAATCAAAGCAAGAAGAGGAAGAATGGGAGTTTGTGAAAACCGAATGCTTATGGTAATTCGCTTATGGTAATTCAGGAGATCTACGAAATTTATAATATATCGAAAATCGGATTTATGTAGATTGGAGGCTTGAAGGAAATGCTAGAGATGAGCCGAGAATTACTTTAAGTTACCCCACTACGCTCCACTGCAGGCGGCCGAGCAGGCGTAGAGGGTCACATGACGGCCCGGGGGCCCCGTCACCCAGCCCAGATCTGACAACTGCAGCTCTTCTTCAACAGTTGGATAATCTGTCATCATTTACATCATGAGGAAAGAAACATGTATGCGACCAGGCGAAGGTATCAGACGACCAGTTGGGCCTCTAGACAAGCGCAAAAGCACAACACGCTGTCAGCCTTGTGCAAATCGGCGGGTGAAGGTTCGAGCAACCGTCCCAAGAGATGAGTCAAACTTACACAATATCCAGTGTGACGGAGGGCACCCCTGCGAAAGATGTGTCAGAACAAAAAAGACCTGTACGCCGCAGCAGCTCGAACAAAAACACCTGAAATTTGTCTATGTTTCGAAGCAAGTGTGGCCGTGTACAATTCCCATGCAAGTGCGGAAGCACGATGATGCCCTATACATAGACCACTTCGCATCCTTTCTTCGACGATGCCACTTTAGTAAGGGATTCGCTACCGCAAATGCAGATATAGTGACAATCATTGGTCAATACCCTCTGCTTTCAGACATTGCTATCGCAATCGGAGCCTTGGATGCCGGTAGGAGAGGCTCTGTCAGGTCGTTTGGCGAGCTGGGGTCTCCTAGGCAGATTGCTTTCCGGGCTTGCGGTAGGTCATTACAAAATCTGCACTCGGCGATTTCGACGGAAAGTCCAGTCTTTAGAGAGGACATATTCTGGTGCACATTTCTCCATGGTCTTTTTGAGGTATGTTGCATCCATACCAGCCGAAGATAATTGACTAACCGTTCGCACAGCTTATGGCTGAGAATTCAGGTATCTCGTTCGCAAACCACATGGTTTTCGGTACAGCCAGAATACTACTCCTATTGTACTACTCCTATTGGAGCCTAAAAGACTGCTTTCATTATCCACGCGGAGTTTGGTTGATGCGTATTGGATTCTCGAAACCAATAGAGCCATTCTGTTTGGTGACAGCATCACCCCTGATCCAGACAAATATATGTTGAGTTCGACGCGAGAGAACTGGCCAAATTCCACGAAGAAAATCCTCATGCTTATGATACAGACTTCCAACTTTGCGAACAGGCAAGTCAATTTTACTACCTGGATTAATACATGCAGCTAATAATCATAGGCTATTCGACGAGATTGAAAGCATCCCTCAAGAATTGAGAGCCCTTGATCCCAGATTAGACGCTCTTGCGCATGAAGGACTCGAGATCAAAGAAAGGTTTCTCGATTGGCAAGCAGAAAGTCAGTCAGAAGAATTACCGATGGGGCCATTTACCAAATTGGCTATCATCATTTATCATGCCCTGCTTCTATATCATTGCGGAAACTTTGCCTATTATCCATGCTGGATGGCAAGGATGATCCCTCAACTTACTCAGAGTGAAGTCGACAAACATGTCGCCGCAATTTTGGATTTGTCTCAAACCCTTCTCTCGGATACTGATATCCCGGCGGTTCTTTTATTGTTTCCTCTGCGGATGGCCGGAACCCACGTCCTTGAGAGCCATGGACAGAATAGAGTCTTGGGCGCTATTCGCCAGATACGACAAAAAGGCTTCGTCGTTTCAGATAGAATTGAGCTCGATTTGCAGGAGTTTTGGCATTACAAGTTGAGTATTCTGGCGGAAGCAAATGAAATGCGTGTTTAGGTTGTCCAGCAGTTTGAGAGGGGAAGGAAGGGTTGGTAGGACTGCGCCGGAAAAGGAGCAGCGGTGAAAGCTATCAGCAACAGAAAGGCAAGCAGCACGCACGGGAAAGAGGGGGCATAAATAAGGTTCCTATATTTTCAATGAGGGTATCTGCCAGGTATTCGACCATCTATTTCTCATGAATCTCCAGGCCATCCAAGTCATCCAGGAGCTCATCCATGTTAATCCTGGGCACCTCGCCATCCGTCATCTCCGTTCCAGCGATGCTCATCTCATCATCTTTCCGCTGGTTCTTGTACAGTGCGAGAGTAGCCCGCAACTCCTCATCCTCCTCCACATCCCGTAGAAACAACTCGAGGTCCTTCTCAACGCGGCTCTGCTCGTGATCGGTGGGCAGAAGATCACTCTCGCCCACGGCCATCCGCTTGAGCCTCCAGTTGCGCTTGTTCTTTTTGTGCTGTCGGGGATAGTGCTTCTTCACGAGAACCACATCCGGAATTCGGGATGCGTAGGTCTTCGATTGCTCCAGCTCCTCGAACTCGGGATTGTTGAAATTGGATCCGGTGATCATGTAGCCCAGCACCGAGTCTCCGGGGTGGAGAATGCTTCCTAGGTGCGATCTTGTGAAGTATTGCCGGTCCCCACCAAAGTCTGACGCCCTGGCAACCGTGACCTCGGCGAGCTGCCATTTCCCTCCGCTTTGACCGGTAAGGTCGATGTCAAGCACGATAAATTCCACAAGGTTGGGAACTTCTGCCAGAGGCGTGAACGGAGCGCGCCAGTAGATCTTGGGCTGCAGGTCGGCGGTCTGAAGAGTGTTAGGGTCGAGAAATGTGATGGACGTGCCCACTCGCTGACACAGGACCAAGGGTGAGATGTTGCCGATCTGCCGGGCGAGCTTGATCGGTAACGCCACAAGGTCATCCTTGCATACAGGTACCAGTTTTACCGAGTAGCTAAACTTGTACGACTTCTTGGATGTGTGAATGTTCTCCGAAATCAGGGTTTGGGACTTGGTAACTTCGATAGGTACGACAGAATGGAGGAAGTCGACGAACGCTTTGGCGTGGTTGCGCTGCGCGAAGAAAAAATCGACGCCATTGCGGGCTTCCTTGATGTTAATGGTATCGTTATGTGCTTTGTTTTTGAGGATCAGTTGCTCGAGGTAGAGAAACGTGCGCTTGTGCATGACCGCCTGCCGAACCTGCACGCTAGCCCTCCAGTGGTTGTGAGTGTAGGACTTTTTGCAGTCGGGGCACTGGAGATACATGACGATGTAGGTGACCTCGAAGCTCTGCTGGACGAGGGCATCGTTGCTATCGATAGAGTCTTGAACGGTGAGCTTTATCTTGATACGACGCGAGTGCGGCTCGGTCCAGATAAAGGATGCATCCATCACCCGAACTTTATTCAGACGTTTCAGCTTCCGGAGGCAGAGGGCGAGTAACTCGCGCGACTCGGGGGCGGCGACCGTCCATGTAGCGGGAGGAGAGAGCCATCGTTCACAGTCCCGACAGTAGTGAACAGTTGCTTCGCGTTGAATTCCGGCGGAGATGTCGACAGAGGTTTTGATGCAGTCGTTGCAGAGCGTGGCCCCTGCTAGCGGAGCACCACATTCATAGCACAATGTCCTGATGATTAAGATATTAGCGGACATCGATGGCACAAAGTCATGCTTGAGGTTCCTTACTTACGTTGGAACAGATTCTGCGGTGCTTTCGAGCGGTATGGATACAGGAGTGTCATAATCCATCTTGATGAAGCTTGGGTGGCGATGAGATGTTGATGCTGAAATGCAGCGGGGTAGCTCTGATAAGATTAGAAATATCTTCTATCGCCTTATCGTTATCTAAGGTCACGTGGTAGCTCTCTTCCGCAGCTTACAATCAAGGCGGTCAGTGCAGACCGAATAGAAATAGCCTAATCTGCGCAGTACCAGATCTCCAACGAGACCATCATCGCCTTCATCTACAGTTCCTTATTGAATGATGTGCATCAATAGTATGTTACGCTTATCTTGAATAGATCTACTGCCAGAATGTCTAGATTCTGTCTCCACACTGCACAGGACATGGAGGTGTTGGAGATGTTAAGTAATTCCTCCATCTCCGCCTCCAGACTGTCCCCTACTCTACTGTCTCGCATCCTGTAGAGGGTCACCATGCTGTTAAGCGGCGCATGGCTCGCTGAAATATGTTAGAGACTACGATAATAGAGTGGACCTTGGTAAAAAGCAAATGACAGGACTTTAGCTACAATTGGTGACTCTTTGAACAAAGGTGAAGCTTTGCTTGGGTCCCCTTAGGTATCTATACGCCACTCAGAAGCAATGTTCTTGGTACCTTGGCATTTTGAGAACGTATTGACGATACGGGCGGCTCTCAGACTTCAAGGCTGGGAGGTGTGCCTGCCAGTTTGGATAGTTCCAGACCAGCAACACAACCGTTCAGCTCGCCAAAGAGGGACGCGAAGGAGGAATGGGCGCATTGATGAATATTATGATAGTAGGGGGCGGGGCGGGTGCACCACTCTGGGGATTTGAAGGCCTTCACATTCTTCACAAGCTGATGAAGACCCAACCTCCGGTAAGGAGCCACGGGCCTCAGTGAAAGCAGATGGTGTGACTCCATCGCTTTACTGAGTGTCCCATACATGATTGAGCTGCATTCAAAGTGGCATCCCGCAGAACCGCTGAGGAACTGGGCTCGGTAGTCGAAAAGTCGGTCGATTATATTGCCTATGGCCTGTTCTCTTCCCTGGTTTATGAGATCTGAAATGCAATTAGATAAATTCACTGTTCTAAACCAGATCTCTCATCAAGAATTTTGCCAGAGATCGGTAGCCCGCGGCTGCAAATCTGATGGTCGCATGTCGACATTGCCGTAGAGATGAGTTGGAGGAACTGTTCGCTTAAACCAAAGAACCACGAGACCCATAGCCATAATATCAAGTCCCGACCATAGGTGGTCGGTAGCTGTTGGTCTAGTTCCGCAATCCATGTCTGCGAGAAGAACCCCAAAGCCTCCTTACACTGGTAGTAGTCTGCCAAGACTGTGACTTGGCGATCATCTCCAGACTTATCTTTCGGGGTATCTCTGAATTTTGACAATGTACAATCCTGAGAAGAATCAATAGTGCGTCGATGCCCCAACCGTTCGCAGCGATTTCAATGAACCCGGATGGGAAGGGAGTTGTGGTTTCCTTCCAGCTACCACCTAGCAGAGTCTTGAAGTAAGATGAGGCGAGCGCTAGATGCTTTGCGGATACCTGGATGCGATAGGCCTTTCCAGCCAGATCTGCAATTGGATTCACATTAGTTGTCGGGCTGCTCCAGTTCTCCAACTTCTCGATCAATGAATCCAGAGCGACCATATTTACGCCAAGATATTTCGTCTCCTCTGCAAAAGGTTTATCGAAATTGCGCAGTACAATCACGAGTTCACCATCCGGGTCGATAACTTGTGTTGGAGAATTCATAGCGGCTATCAGATTGGGCTGCCAATACTGCCTTGGTTCGCAGGTGATGAGAACAAGAAGAATGTAAGAAGACAGTGGCTAGTGAACTGGAGATCTGTTCACTGTCGAGAGCTTTGAGCTGTGTTATCGAGGGAAAAACAAGGCCGACTCCCAAAAAGGGAAGGCTTCTTTCACCTTCCTTCATCATTCACTGCATCGCTCTCTAGGATTACTTGTGAGCACGTGAGCTGGGCCTGGAGGGGAGTGGAGTCGAGTGGAGTGAGCTGAAGCTGTGGTTACTTGAACTTGACAGAACTCCAACGCCAACTATCAGATGAAGATGTCTCAAAACTGCAAGCCCTATCTGGTTAGTTCTTCTGGCATCAAATTAGCTTCATAGTTGGCCTCAGTCAGCGCGGACATTCAGATGCCTATGATCTGGCTCCGACTAGCCGACTCGCATTATCGCATCTCCTCGTTGCACCAGCAGCTTGACCGCCTCAAGCCCGATGCCGGAAGCTCCTCCAGTAATAGCGTAAACCTTTGCCCTCGTGTGAAGTCATCAAAGGTCAGAAGGGTGAGGATTAAGAGCATTAGGGAAAATAATTGAAGTACGTTGCAGTCGATCATCAAGGCTTTCGGTTGCCCACCCTATTTATAGCTTGACTTTCCGTCACAAGAGAGGTATGAATCTATCCACTTGGATGCTTTAGATAACTGGAAAATATTCGATATTTGCTATCAGTAATTTGAAGGGCATGAGATTTTCCAAGCACTTGTGGGGAATTTCCCGAAACGCAATGTCCCGATGAGAGCGTCCCCGTGCCTAAGATCAGAAGCATGCCTGGAAGCCAGAGTGTTCATGGGAAACTGTACCCCGGAGAAGTCCGGGCCTAGAAAAGTCGTGTTTTCTTCGCCAGGAGCGTTGAGAGAGGTAAGTGGAGACGAGACGGCTCTCGCATTGAGTCCGCATAGTGTCTCGGGGTCTGCTTAATCGGTGCTCCAATGGGCACGCTGTTGGGTGTTGGGATGAAGCTGGTGTATGATCGCAACATCTGCATCTGACTGCGGGCTTCCTGATTCCCTCTGTCCCTGTCCGATGCAGATTTGCGGATCGCAAGAATTGCAATGATCTGAGGTTATTCCTCATGGCCTAGGTTGAGGATACTGTCTATCGGGTAAGTAGCAATGCTTGGGGTCATTTCTCCCAAACTGTCCATCATTCTATGCATGGTTGCGCTTCTGTTGGGGAAGATGCACTCGTCCTTCGTCCTCGTGCTACTGAACCATCTTCCAACCAGTAGCCCACACATCCTTATCTCCTATATCCTGAAAAAACCGACCCCTGCCATCATTCCAGACCATCTCCCTCCGAGCCCCGGTACAAAACAACAACGGCAAGGTATTGCTTTTCCAAGCCTGACATATGCGCTCGCTGGGTTTTCTGAATCGTCTCCAGTGCCAAAATGGCCGCCAGGACTCCACGTCATGATTGACAGGACACTCACTGCTAATTGGCCTTGATAAAAAGTGCACTAACGCGGACCGGCCCTACCTCCCTATGCGCAGTCGCATTCAAGTGCAGTTTAGCGCAGAGCTATTTCCGTTTAGAGCTATATCTTAAGCGAGGCATAGAGCTCAGTCTCGACTCGAAGCAGTATTCAACATGACTCGTAACCCAAACGAGATGAAGCGTAAGAACCGATTCGTGAAGGGACGAGTGCTGCAGATTGGAAGGTACCTTTGCTTGTTACTCGGTGAGGAGGGGGAAGGGAGGGAGGGGGAGCCAGGAAGGGGGTGGGGAAGAGTAGATGTCGGGGCAAGTCATGGCATCCTTATAACTGACCTGTATGCATACCCGACGTAGAAGTGCATGAACCACTAACCACTCATAGGGCGCCTTAGGGTTCCCAATCTCCGATGCCTGTTTGCCGCCTGAGCGATGTGGGCTAGCAAGTCAGCGCTAGCACTACTGTACCGTATCTTTGCTTATTCCGCCTGCAATAAATTGCGATGCATACCCAATGATATGTGATTCAAATATCATTTTGTCATCCATGCATTTCCCCGAGTGCAGCTTAGGGCTACGGGGAACTCCAACCGAATGCCACCATCAGGTCTGTGCAAATTGTAACTGGGGGCGGCAATTGCGCATAATTGGGTCCTGTGGGGTTCCTGCGAGTGGCTACTGCAACCACTCAGCTTAAAACAATGAGCCATGCTGGCCTCTCTTTAAGTTGTTTTTCTTTTTCTTTTGGGGGGGGGGGAAACGTCCGTGCTCATTCGGTTCAACATCGATCGATCTTAATCTCCAAGAATAGCGACTTTGTTCCGGAGCGGGCCGACAAATTGACTGTCTAGGTAGAAATGGAACCGGTCAAGGATTCATTCCTGTGATGAATCGGATTGATGTGATCTCGATAAGGAAAAGCTTGCATTTCGGGGTCCATGTTGCTCTGCTCGACGAGATCCCGAGCATGTTCCCCGTGCTGGGAAACAGGGAGTCGTGGGTACTCGCATCGACGAATACTCTCCCGGGCCACATCGATGGCAATTCCGTCGATCGATCGCATGAGTCAGAGTGCAAAAGGCACCGTAGTATGTATTGCCGGCCCCCCGACACTCGAGTCCAGACCCTAAGAACTGCGCAAAGTACTGCACCTCGGTGTTTGTTTGCGGTGGGGCTTGCAGCTGACGTCTTCTTGTCTCCCTGTTACTTGTCCGCCCGCATATTGCTTCTTCTTTTAACAGGAAAGGAAAACCCATGCATCCACTCCGCTGCTCGCTGATCCTGCCTCAGGAAATCTTGGCGTGCATTTACTGAATTGAACAGCCTTGTTCAGCTCGGGCCTGCCACGCCAGCTAGCGTACCTCGATCATTTCGTGTGAAAGACTCCATGTTTGGCTTGAGATCTAGAGAATAGGTACTTTGTAACGGCAGCCTGAAGCTCAAGGAGCCTGTTGCAACTTGCATGAACCACTGCTACTTAAGGCAAACAACTACTCCCAAATTCCTAATGGGAACAGTAAATCAACTCAGCTCAATCACGACTGTCCTGCTTGAGTCTTACTGTCATCCACGTTGAAGCCTGTTTCAACGTTTCTGATTATTTCCCTGATCACAACGTTTGCGAGTGCAATCAAGACCTTCCATACAAACTCACGCTTCCACCGACTGATGTTGAAGTCAATTACGTCTCCTCCCCAAAAATCCGAGGCACGCTTACTATCGTTTGGTCTTGCCTATTCACGATTATTGCCTGTACCTGGACCGTCCAGCACCTTAGCCTCCCCTGGCAAAAAAAGCATTACCCCCGCGATAATGACCTGAAGGGCAGGAAGGTGAATGGATGGAATTGGAAGATCCCGCCATGGAAGGTATCGAAATGGAAGCACTCGACCGCGTGGTTTTTAGCCACGATTCTGGCCCCGGAAATCCCGCTGGGCAAGCACCTTGGCGATTTGTGGCACGCGCTAAAGTTGCGACAGCAATTTGAGGAGAAATTCAAACCAAACATCGATGTGCGCGGCAAGATTGAATGGAAGGACAAGCATTGGCTGTTCGCGATCATGGGTGGATTTACCATGAGGACGAAAGTCTCACCGGACAAAATCACGCATGTTGGGGACAGCTTCCCCCCGTCCGAAATCAAGTCGTCCGCAAGGCCGGAGCCGTTACGAGCTGAGGGCATCGAATCGGTGTTGGAAACTGCGATCTCAGGTGAGGTTATTGACCCCGAGAAATCCATCCAAATCAGTGTGTCAGAGGCAACCAACAGCAATTTTGCAACTGACAGCTAGGAGGAAGATTACCCCCGTATTCTTTCACCAAAAGACATTTTTGCACTTCTAGAACACCGAAAACTGCCCCATCTGCCGAGTATCGATTAAGCAGAAATCGACGATAAGTCCAAGTCTGACAAATTTATGCGAGTGATTGCAGTGTTCCAGCTCTTGTGACTCTGTATCCAGGTGATTGCTCGGGCAGTACAGGATCTGGCAGTCTCTCAGCTAGAGATCGCGACCGTGGCATTTACACTCTGCGCGGTCATCATCTACGCACTTGCCTGGAACAAGCCGCAGGGGGTCAATGTCCCAATCACTATCTACCAGGTCTCCGACCGAGGCAATGGGTTGGGCGCTATACTGGAGAAAGAGAGAACGCCCACCAGTGCATCCCGTGCTAAGCAGTCCTGGGGAGAGTTGAGAAAGAAGAGAGCAAAAGCATTTGGGACGGGATTTGAGGATTACTTCAAAACTGAAGACGGAGAGAACTACGATGGACCGTGGATTCTCGCAGCAGCAAGTCTTACTGGAACGCTCTTCGGCGGAGTTCATCTCGCAGCCTGGAACTGCCATTTTCCCACTAGCACTGAGAAACTGTTGTGGAGAATCGCCGCGCTCCACACCACCGCTTTCCCACTCGGTCTTCTATTATTGATCTTTATAATCGCCGAAATGACGGACGAGACAACGAAAAAACCGGAGCCGGGCTCAACAACCAATGCGGCGGGCAACCTTCCTCAAAAAAGGCACCACATACGCGAAGGCATTGCAACCATTATTGTCGTACTTAGCATTATACTCCTTCTCTTGGGCTTTATTGTCTATTTCCCTGCCAGGTTATATCTCCTGGTAGAGATGTTTAGAACCTTGGCATTCCAGCCGACAGGTACATTTGTCGGGACCTGGGCTGTGAATATACCAAATATCAGTTGATATGATTCCAGCGTGATCGCATCCAGCCCAAGAGAAGAGAGAACTGGCCGTGACTTGATTGCCGTCACTCACTCGACATACTCGGTGGATGGGGAAGTGGCGGGTGTTGGATGATTCTAGCCCTCTGATTCAATTATTCTGGAGCCAGATGCTGGAAAGTGGCCAGAAAGACCATCTCAGCTCGGCTACTCCACTCATACCTGGGACCGGATATTGATGGTTGGCGAATGGGTGTCTCTTTGCAGTGCCATACTTAAGCGGTTGTCTATGGTTTCGAATTTGTCTAGCGGAACTAATCATCGAAATGCCAATGACTTTTCTGCCGACAGTTGGTGTAGATCTTGAAACATCAAATCAATTCTGCAAGTGATAGGTCCGGTATAACAATTCCCGCCCCTCCTTTCTTGTGTTCATAGCTTCCCTTCCATTTCTTTACCTGCGAACTCCGGTCCCCCTCCATCACTATCACGGCGTATAGCCAGTTGCACCATCCGAATCCTGGATCCGAATCCTCCCCCGGTGCGCCTCTCACGAGACTGACGGCACGCCGTGACACGAGACAGAATGGCAGGGACTGTTGGAAGCTATCGCCCGCCGCTATTACGCGCGCTCCCACGGGGACCCTCCTGCACTGGGTAGCAGAGGCCTTCGACCGGTCCGGTGGCGCAGAGGAGCTCGCGCTCTTTGGCCGCGTGCTCGAGTTGATCGAAAGGGAGCAATGGCCCGTGGGATTACCGCTCGACTTATTCTATTTTTAAGGTTTGGAGAATAGAATAGCAGCGCATTTAGGATCGCTTGCATCTTCTTCACTCAGAGTCGACAATATGTTTCAAGATGTCGCCCTAAGCATTAGGAGATGAGGTAGGGGGGCGCCAATTTACATAAATGAGTCAGTCAAGTAATTTAATGTGTCGGTTGTCGTAACGAACAATGGGACGAAGCTTGCGTTAAGCATTTTTCTGTTCCATCTTTGATTACAGGGGACGTAAATAGTCAGTCCAGTCCCTTTTTATGTAGGACGAGAAACACCAACTCTTTCAAGTTGCTATTTATTCCCTTCAATAGACTTGTTGAGATTCCGGAGTTCAGGCTATGGTTGTGGGTCAGAGCCCCTCACGCTAGAGCTGACTCCAGTGTCCATAGTCCATTCAAAAAAGCCACAAATGTCGACGGAAGTGACGTGTGCATTTTCATAAGAGAAGAACAAGATCCACCATTCGACATCCACAAATTCCTTTATTTTTATTCCACTGGCGGATGTAGTGGAATACTGCTTGCTTCTCTCGGTCTCTTCAACATGGAACATACGCCTAGCCTGCCATCTAAATACAATGAAGGAACCCTGAGGGCGAGCCTGCTTGTAGCCCTGGCCGATATTGAGCATCAGTGCCCGGGATACTATGTATTTATCTGGCAGTACGATGGGCAAACCACTCCGGAATGCTCTCACAAGGCCGCTGCAGGCCGGTTTGAAGTGTCTGCATCTGAAAGACTCTTTAGCAGATCGTATCGGTTTGATTATGTTCTAGTGACACAAGGGCGAATTTTCTATCGAGGAAATAAAAAGTAGGTCAAGGTTATCACAGGAAACAAGAAACTCCACTCACTCAGATAGCCGTGGAATGCTTGTCTTTTCTCAGGGAGCGCACGTCAACGGAGACGAAATAATTTTCCCACCCAATATTGCGTGAGTTGAGTCATCGACTTGAGAAACACCTACCTTCCTATCCATCTGACGACTCACATCATGGGTCAGGGTTCTCACCAAGCCCAGTGCGGGAGATTTGGATCCAGCTAACTGGATGCGACAACTTCGCCAGCAGCATCCGGGGTACCTTCATCTGTCCGCATTCACCATCCCGGGGACACACAATAGTGCGGCTGTCGTTGGACAGGTCCAGCCCCTCCCGGGGTATGTCTTCGTCCCTGCCGTGAAGCTCTTTGCCTTGGAAATGGCCGAATGTCAAACCGCTTCGGTAGCCGAGCAACTGCGGATGGGTGTGCGCTTTCTGGATTTACGCACCTCCGGAGCGGATCTGCGATTGCGGCATGGGCGAGTCGGCTTGCGGCATGATTTACCTCATGTCCTCGGCGTGATCTCCACTTTCCTCGACGAGCATCCCGACGAGACCGTGCTGGTGAGGATCAAACGCGACATGCAGTCTTTGACCGGGGATCGGCAGGAAGAGACTGAGAAGACGCGTCGCGCGGTTGAGGATTGCCTCGGCCGCTTTGCTCGGGCTTACACCGACACGACAGATCCCACGCTTGCCGCGTGTCGGGGCAAGATGATATTGCTGGGCCATGCCAAAGGCCAGAAGGGCATCCCGCTGTGCTACGATCGAGACGGTGCCCCAGGAATACGCTGGGATTATTCAGACCGCGAGGTCCGCTGGCAGGCCGTGCAGCGTACACTCCAATGGATCGTTGGGCGTTCCGACAACCGGGATCATCGTTGGTATAGCATAGGATGCAATAGCTATCACGTTCCGGGGGGGAGTTATTGGGGTATTTACAAAGCCCTCATAAATCATAGCTTCCTCTCCCCGAAGCAACATGCTGACTACACCAATTGGCATCTCAGCAATTACCTCACCCACCATCTCTGGGAGCGGCGACATCGCTTGGGGGTGGTTAAAGTGGACTTTGTCTATCCTTATTTGACGAAGCAACTGATCTTAACCAACTTTGAGTAGGTTGATTCGGTCTGCGTTATCATGTTTCAATGTTTATATCTCATGCCAAACGTCGTAGTGCGAATTTAAGGTTTCAAGGTGTGGAGACAGTAAAGAAGTTGTTACTAGTCACCTTCAGTACAGTACTGTACAGGGCCGAGATGAAGAGTCCAGGCTATAAATAACACTACTTGTTCTCGGGAAGCTTATACGGCACTTACTGGAGGTATGTTATATTGTTTCAAGTGTCGTTTAGCCACGCTCAAAATTTGTAAGTCTATCACCTATACTCTGACACACTTTTCCCAATCGATGTGAAAGGCAACAACCACTTCGGCTCAAAACAACCTGAATTTATAGATGGCCAGAGTCTCCTCATAAGTTGTTCAAACTGTCAGAGAATAATCAACATGCTTATAATCAAGTAGCCTAACAGTGACCGATGAAACATTCACTAAACTTTCTTACGCCTGTTACAACTGATGCCTATGGTGGTAACAGGGTCTTTAATCATTCCACCAATGCTAGGCACAATATATTAGGTCTTGTCATCGAAGTTATATCAGAATGACATGTTCAATATAAATTGATTTTCCTGAGAGGATCGATCTAGTAGTAAACTCAGGATCAATGGTGATCAAGCCAAAGATTATGACAAGTTCAAAAGCGATCGAGAGTCATGGGGCGTTCAAACTTGCCGAATAGAACTATATAGAATAAATGATGCTTTGTGGGCAGGGGCTCAAATAAACAGTAATATGAGTTGCAAGCAGAAAATTTAGAAAAAATATGCATGACCTGTCTCGCTGCGGAACTCCCACCAAGCCTTCGCCTTTACCGTCGGGTAGCCAGAAATCACCCGTCGCGTATTTCTATTTGTGGAATCTCCATTTCAGCTTACCCCGCTTGCCTGGAGAGTATAACTCTCGTTGTCGGGAAGATCGAGATGCAAGACGGGCCAAGTGCAGGAGATTATGGTAAAGAGACAGGACCAAACGATGGTGAGAGTGCCCTGGGTATTGGGCGAGGCGACATAGCCGACCGGTTCAGGGCCGGAGGGGAGTGTGCAGATGGTGTCGAAGGTGGTGAAGGCATTTGCCGACTTGGCAAGACAGAGAAGAGTGATCAGAAGGGAGGATGCCGTAGCTGCTCACTGAGACTCCATTTAAAAGGTAACTCTTGAGGATGATCCGGGATTCAAGATAAGTTCATTCGATCCGATCGTGAGTTTTGAACCAACGCCGATCGGAGAGAACAGTTCATGCAATCCAATAAGGCTACGGCTTCCTGAGCCCGCGGCCAAAAGTACAGACTGAAAACAAACATTTTGAGTCCGATCGGCTAATCATGGTGCTCTTGCAGACGACGATCGCCGGAGCTCTCTGACGTGTGGTCCACCCTGGCCACTCACATTATAGCTCGCTTAGCCCTATCTGCAGCCACCGATGTGTCTATGTACATGCATATACCTAGAGTAGGAGGGGTAAGGCAGCTCTGCATCTCAGCTTGACTAAGTTATGAACGCTTTGACAGGCCCGGAACTCGGAAATGGCATTCCTGGCTGATCCTGTGCTATTTGTATTATTTGCTTTCCTTTCGGGACAGCAGGCCTCATTGGTCTTTGCCAAGCCTGCTACCTGCACTGCGTGCAGGAGTTTGAACAGATGTCCCCGTAATTGTTCTCGACCAATCGGCAAACTTTACTACAGCACTTGGTAGCCTTCCGAGTTCCGATTGATTTCAAAATCTTGAATTTTGTAAAAGGATGGCACCTGCAGATCACCAGTGGCGGGGGAGAATACCCAGGCGGCGATGCCGTTCGCCCGAATAACATTTCAGAAACAGCTTTTGTGGCCAGGTCTCGGGGACTCTGATTACAATTACAGGCAGTGCTTTGGCTTTTGATACATGGAACAATACAATACGACCATGCAAAGAGAACCACGCACATCAATACAGATTTTATTGAGGAAGCACACCCCACGGATCTGGCCATCGTCTACTTTGCGCTGGGCTTGCCTACAAGGAGAGCTTTTGAAGAATAATGGGATTGATTTCGGGAAAGTAGAGATAAATGTGGGAAATAGTCCGGTCAACCGATGCTAGCAACATGCATAAAAGGGGTGTACGCTGAATAGTCTGTGCATTTCCTTCGGCATACATGTGTCCCAAGCCGTCTAAACATTTTGATGTGCGCCACCAAGGTTCTTGTTGATGAGGTCTCGGGCTGCCCTGTCTGCAATGCTCAAGCATAGCTTGGAACTTGCCACCAGTGGTCGGATCCGAGAACAACTCGTCCATCTCCTGCAGTGACCGGCAATTGGTTTCAGGGAACAAGAAGTACACCAACCCAGCGACACTCACCCTAATGACGGCGTACACAACATAATACTTCCACCGAATCGTTACAAACGCGATCGGGATGATTTCCACAATGACAAAGTTGAACAGCCAATGGGTCACAGACCCGATGGCGGTCAGTTGAATGCGCAAGTCTTGGGGCGCATTCTCAACACTGTAGAGAAAGTTGGCTCCGAGAAATTCGAGGGGGAAGAAGGTCATGAAGGCCAAGAGAAAAAAAGTGGCCGCCACCAAGGCACCGATCGTGTAGCGATAGTCAATGCTCCAGACACACCCCGCCAGCGCGGCCATGGACAAGCCCATGCTCAGGCAGGCGATTATGAGACAGGGGCTTTCGCCCGAAGCGGTCCATACAGAGACAGGTAAATGTAGCTGCCACGATCTTCCACGTCAATACCCCGGCATTGAGCAAGGCAGCCTTTTGCTCTTCGAGACCAAGCAATTCTAAGCGATTTCTTGAAGGTTGTCGACTCGTAGTAAGAGATGACGATGGCCCCCGTCATCTGAGCGCAGAAGTTGATGCCAATCGCAAGGCACATGCGGTAGAACAGCCGCTGGCCTCGGGGTTTCAGGAGGTCCAGGAAGCCACGCTCCGATTGCGAACCCTGCCGAAGATGGCTCGAGATGTTGTCGATCTCCATCCGAGTCGCATCGTCGTCAATGGTCGTGTCCCAAAAGAGTTCCCGCATTGCCTCGTGGGCTTCGGTCAAGCGGCCCTTGCTAATAAGCCACCGGAGAGGTTCGGGAAAGAATAGCGTGAAAGTGATAATCATTAGACCGAAAAAAATGGGCACGGCGAGAGGGAAACGCCAAACAATCTCGCTGGACTTGATCAAGGAAGAGCCAACGTTGACCCACCCAGCGGCAGCAATTCCAGAGGAAATAAAGATACCAATGATCCCCACATTCTTGCCACGGCTCTTCGGGGCTGTGCATTCGCTCTGCCACACCGGCACCACAGCGTTCACCCTCCATTGCCAATGCCGGAAATGATTTGACCAATAGCTGCGATGGCCGCCGCGATCATCAGGGACTCACGACGTCCAATGCGGTTCCCAATCTGCGTGACGCACAGCGCAACAATGAGACATCCGATAGTGTAATTGGTGACGACCGTTCCCTGGGCCTTCGCACATTGGTGGCATCGACGGTCCTGGTGGTCCTGCTGGTTTCAGTATTAGGGGATTGGCGAAAGAGGGTGGGATAGCTGAGAATGCCCCCTATTTTGGACTGGTTGTAGCCGAACAATAAAAACGATGGGACGACTATCAGGCATACACGGGCTCGAGCGAGTGACGCGCCCTTGAGCCCCCATAGGCCCATGTTTTTGTTTGGGTTTGGGTGTGTGATGTGTGCTGGGTAAAGGGAAGTGATGGGGTCAGGGTGTGTCCCCTGAAAAGTGAAACATGATGAATGGTAGGATTTAGGGAGATTTCAAAAGCTCAAGCCACGAAAGCCTCAACAGCCCAGTGCAACGAACATTCATGGCAGAGTTTCTCGGAAGGAAAGGAGGTATACCGTAGCTCCTGGGGTTCCTGGGGCGAACACAAGCGGTCTGGCTGCCAGAACTGCGGGGATTGCGTATGCTTCCCCACAAAATCAGTCGTTAAGCATTATGCGGCCCCGCTCTCTTCCCCATATTCCGGCATGAATCTTACCCCATGGGCAGCGGTGCCTTTGTTACCCCATAACTGACTGATCCCCGGATTCTTCGGTTAAAGTTCTTCCCAGGGCACCAGTAGGCACGGTGTGAAATTTAGCTGCAGATTCTTCCGACAACGTCTGCCCTGACGGCAACGCCACACACTTCCTCAAACCAGACAACAGTTCATGGAAATGGAGACCGGGATGAGATCTGTGATTGAATACTTTGCCTGGTCCCGGGATACATTATGCAAACAGTACAACGGAGTACATCTCATTCAATTCACCACAAACCGATATGGCGGCAGCGCCCTAATCTCCTCATCGTCACTCGTGCGGCCGGCATACGCGGTCTCCAGGGGGTAAAATGCGGTGCGCGAACCCATCGTCGTGGATCGGGAGGTTGCATGGCGTGGGTTGACGCCCGACACCCCGTGGTCGAAGTTGATAACGCACTGGATGGCGGTGGCGAGGGTCAAGACGGTCAATGCAAGAGACACGCTGGCGAAGAGTAGCATCGTGTCTTTGGCGATCGTGTGGGCGCGCCGCGAGGACCCGCACAGCACCACGATGCGGCTCAGGAGGTAGGCGATTAGACCTAGGAAGCACATTACAATGAAAGCCATGGCCCATTTCATCTCCTGCTTCACACAGTAAATGCCCAGAATCATCACGACGAAGGTTGTGGGGACCAAAGCTAGCGTCAGGTTGTACTCTGACTCGCTGAAATGCACGTCGATGAGGTTGTATTCGACGATGAAGGCCACGAGGAAGAAGAATACGTATTTTATGAGGACGATGTAGAGCTGTTTCTTGATTTAGAAAATTGCTGTGCTCCGGGATAGAGTTTGGGGCAGTGTATTACCTCGTAGGCAAGATAGCGCCAACGGAGGGACGGATCACCATGAATGGTCTTGTAGATGATCCAGGTGTAGTCGCGCTGCAGACGGTAGGCGGCCAAGATCAGCCCTGCTGACGACAGCGCGAGGATTATGGGTGCGGCCAGCACGGCGGGCTGGATGATGTTCCATAGGTCCTTCGATGAGTCCGTAAAGGGATGCCCTGTTCCATCAACTCCGTACCTGACGCTGGTGACCGCGTCTTTGGTTTCGACACATTTCAGACTGGCAAAGATGATGATGCAGAGGTTGCTGAAGCAAATCGCAGTGAGCAAGATGCTGTTTTTGTGATGCACCGCGTCAAGGCTGAGGAGGGTTTCGTATACACAGGCGAAGATCAGGATAGCGAGACTGATGGGGACAACATAAGAGACTGGCACCTGGTATATCGGGGGATTGATCCAAGAATACCACTCCACTAAGATGAAGCTATCGCAAAGTGTGAGCATGCATCACCGATACCGAAAGCGAGGGCGCACTTCGGCACTGACATTTCGAGGAGGGTGACTATCGAACCCTGCGCGAACAATGTTCCGCAGAACATCCATTCATTCCGTGTCGAGGGGCGATACATGTTCCACCAAGGACAGACAAACACCAGAAGGGATGAATTGTGTCGAACGGCAGGATTTTCGTGAGGGATGCAACTAAGGGGAGGCTCACAGCAGAGTCTGAGACACGGCTTGACTAGGTCCACCTATACAGGCTTCGGTCCAGTAGAGTCCTTCTAAAAATAACTATCCTAATGGCGGGATAATCATATCCCGCTTCGTGTCAATTTAGGGCTGGGTGGGCTCAAGCATCTATACACGAAAGCACCGAGGCGCTATGGTGCTCAGGACCTGGCACGTATGTATATGCCCGATAATGTTTCTGAGGCTCCGAAGAGTCGACTATCAGAGAAAAGAGTAATACTTCATTAAAACTACCTGCCTGTGCGAGGGTTTCACGGGAGCGGAAAGTGCATACCTATTACTAAGCAGATATGTCCTGCATAATTAATCACGCGACGCCGTCTCTTCCCAGCGCGTCATCAACTATACATGCAACACTTCGTATTCAGATTTCAGAATATGCCTTTGTATCTACATACATCTTCTAGAATTCGGCCCTCTTGTTTCTTCTTCACACAACTTAAGACATCTCCCAGACTTGGTTATCCCAATGGCTGCAACACACCGAATTCTTTTGATCTGTTCGAGTACACGTCCGGACGATGGATGTATGTTGATGGAATGGCATTCGGCGATAGATAACTGAGCCCATTGATAAATTCAGCTACAACAATTACCTGAGACATCGCGAGAGGAGACGAGTCTTCAACGTCACTGAACTCAAGCGCCTCGCAGCTCGTTCAACCACCAGCCAGAAGACAGCGTGGTTGGATTCGAGAAGCTCGCCGAGGGAGGCTTCAATCGAAGTTTTTTGGTCACCATGAGGGATGACTTCCGCTTCTTGGCCCGCATTCCGTACCTATTCGCTCAGCCCCGATCTCTGGTTGTTGCAAGCGAAGCAGCAACACTGGACTATCTTCGTCACCACGGTCTACCAGTTCCCAAGGTGTTTGGATATTCTCCTGATGCAGAAAACCCTGCCGGGACTGAATATATATTCATGGAATTAATGCAGGGGACAAACTTAGGCGACGTATGGTTCGATTTGTCCGAGCAGCAGAGAACAAAAGTTGTGGCGAACATAGTCGAGCTAGAGTCCCGCCTATTCGCTTTACGATTCCCAGCAAGTGGCAGTCTCTATTAGTTTTCCGACTTACCCCGGTCTCGGCAAGTATCTTTTCCAAGCCCTGCACTTGCCGATGGAAGTCGCTTGTGCATTGGCCCTGATATTTCTCTGCGGTTGTGGTACGGGAGAAGGATGAACCTCCCGGTGGGCCGGGGACCATCTGGGTCATAACTCTCCACCATCCGAAACCCACGAGCAAGGCATCTGTGGCTAACATCCTGCAGACAATGACTGTCTCGAAGTTTTCACATGTAGTGTCAGGAAGGAGATCGCGTACCTCCATAAATTCGGACGTCCTCTTCAACCTCTACAGCGTCTTCGCAGAAAGGTGTACAACTATCAAGCACAACCTCATCTCGACCACATTCGGAATCTCGAGGGTTATATTCATATTGCACCTCAGCTCATTCCGCATGGTAGCCCCCGCCTTCTTCGTCCTATTCTGCGGCATCCTGATCTGCAGCCTAACAATATACTCATCTCTAATAACCTAGAGATCACTGAGTTAATTGACTGGCAGCACAGCACTATCCTGCCACTTTTCTTACAGTGTGAGATTCCAGGGAGTCTCCAGAATGATGGAGATGAGGTATCAGAGTCACTGCAGAAGCCTAGTCTCCCAGTTGATTTCGATGACTTGCATGAGAGAGAACAATTTATGCAAGCGGAGATTTTTCGCAGGCGTCAGCTTCACTATCTGTATGTCAAGTTCACCGCAGAGAAGAACCCCAAGCATTATGACGCCATGGCTCTCGATTTTAGCACAATCCGGCAGCGCCTCTTTCATCACGCGAGCGATCCGTGGGAGGGTGACAACTTGACGTTGAAGGCCGATCTGGTCACGTTGTCGAGGGACTGGACGAACATTACCGGTTCTGATGCAACACAGTGCCCGCTCACGTACTCCGAAAAAGAGGCAAGCGAGTGCATGCGACTGGCACGCATGCAAGCTGAAGCAGATGACCAATTGCAAAGTTGCCAAGATCCCATTGGAGTCGGACCTGAGGGGTGGGTACCGGTCGCCCAGTATGAACAAGCGAAGGCAGCAGAGAGGAAGCTGAAGACGGACGCGCTTGAGGCAGCTGAAACGGATGGGGAAAGGACACAGTTGGATGAGAATTGGATCTTTGATGACTTCTGCGAGGACGAGTATATGTGATTATCTCGGCTCGGCTGGATGGAAAGATGAGCTTTGCTCTAATTAACAAGGTGGATACTAGTTCAAGGTGTGGTGTCTAGAACCATGGGTGAGATCATGATATCGATGTGCATGCGTTTGACCGATAAGGTGAAATATATCAGTGATCTTGTCAGTGTGGAATTGTTCTGTTTCCTAGCCACGTTCACTTCTCACCAAGAACTCTATCCAGTCCTTTGCTGTTGACTTCAAACCGTCGCAGAGCTTCTATCTTATTATAATATGGAATGCTCCTTCTCGGGTGGGTCAGAGCATATTGAACAAGACTGAAGGTTGCACAGGTCGAGAGGTGTTTGATGTGTTTGCAGTGCCCACGGGCGGGCTTAGTCAGCGTTCGTCACGGGTCAACCTTTGCCCTGATGAGGTCTTTTTATGCAGTGGAAACCCCTATGATCATTGTATGATGAATCTTGTGAGATCGAAATCATCCTGTTCCAGTCCAAACACTGGAGTCACAATCGGGCTGTTTTAGATTGTGAAAAATAAGCCTGTTCTGCCTACTAATGCGACACCTTGCCTCCGATAATGGTGAAACGCGTGCTACCGATGGTAGTCGAACCATCAACAAAATGATTCAAAGTACGAGTGGTGAATACAAGGCTTGGCGCTGAGAGCATACGATAGCATGAGATTAATATTAAACTCGAATCCTGTCGAATAGTAAGTGGCCCGCCTCAGCGCCGAGATCGGGTGCTTGGCTACTCAGATACGAGAAAGACGAGGAATCCAAAGGATTCAAGCGGGGGCGGCTAAGGAGTCAGCCAGGGGCCGATCTTAATCACATCAATTTCCCTATGGGGTTTCAAGCCAACACAGGAATGGTGGATGCTGCTGCACATTGGCCGCTCAGCCCCTTCCATCGACCTTGGCGCCCGGTGCCCGGTGCCCCTGCCTTGCCCGTAGCGGAGAGATGATTGTTAACGATACCCACCGAGAGAATAATTTTACTACTAATGATGGTAGCTCTCACCACCTCTCATCCATTTTCTGATACTTTTTCCCTTTCTCTTTTCTCCCTTCTCTCCCAGACCGAGGCCTCTCAAATTCATTCACCATGACGAACGCCACGGCAGGGATACAAGGCTTCGCCTCCCGCCGCAATAATACCTGTTTGGAGGATGAAGTCAGCTGCGGCCACACTTGGGGGACCCAGTATGCCTGTTGTCCCAGTGGCTCCTACTGCCCGGGCTCCAAAGTCAGCATCCCCAACAACGTTTGCTGTCCCAGTTGGACCGATTGCACTGCTCAAATCGATGATCCACCTGTCTGCGCCGACTCGAGTTGGGGACTGTATAACTACAGTGGGTATTTCTGTTGCGAGGGCGACACGCAGGGGTTTGGTGTCAAGGGAGAGACGTGGGTGGGATGCGCCGCGCAGGATTATCCCGGAAACGCGAAGTATTCCGCCTTGAATCTGATCGCTCAAGGTGAGTTCTTTTCGAACGAATGTGATATTATCTTGGGTCACGGTTTAGCGAAGTGAGTGCTGATGACAATCGGCTGAGTAGAAACTGGAACAACGACCGCGATCGCGACGACGACTGCGGCTACTACTGCGAGCGCGGGAACAGGGACTGTAGCGAGTGTGACGACCCCTCCGACTTCTTCATCCTTGACTGCGACAGCGAGCGCTGTACCAACATCGCATGGAACGAATTCTGGGGCGATTGCTGGCGGTGTCGTCGGAGGGGTGCTGGGTGTCGCTGCTATCGCGGCAGGGCTTTGGTTTTTCTTGCGACGCCGCAAGACGCAAACTCCGCAGCAGCCTGTGTCGCAAGCACAGCACTCTGAATATATGTATGCGGCTGAAGATTCGAATTTCAGTGAGCTTAACGCGGAACCCGACCGGATCGAGCTCGTGGGACACAAGAATCAACTGAGGCACGAGTTGCCTGGATAGAGTCTTAGTCGATGCATACGCGCGAGGGTAACAGGAATAAGGAGGAGAGAACGAACAGGGCTCTTCAGCAGAGCAATCCGTTGCCACAACTTATGTGAATTTGTGGTCATGTCCGGAAGAGCAGTGTTCACGACACATGCTAGATGTAGGGGCAACCTGGATGTCGATCAGCAGGAAGTCCTTGGAGGAGACAGTCTGCTGCTAACATCCTCGAGTCACCCAAAAAGCTGAGCTGTCTGTCGATGCCCTGTCATATTGGCGCAATCTTGACATCTAGCCCAGAGAGGCTCATTGGAGCAATGCTTGATGGTTTTGCGCTTTGACCACCATGAATTCCAGATGGACCTATATGGGCTTCTTTTATGAGGAGACGATCCGGACTCGAGTCCTTCCGATCCAGAGTATCCTAGGCTCAATGGCACAAGGTCTTTATGGAAGGCTATGGGCCATCTTTCCTATCCCGACCAAAACGCATGAGGACATCTCACAAGCCCAGCGACAGGGCCGCTTTCCCATCTCTGAAAACCTGGATGAAAGTGGTATTTATTTCGGAGTACCAGAAGATTGCTTCCCCAGTTGAAGCAGACCGGACGGTCTCAATTATATGACCATGTCAATGCTCACAAAAATATGCTCAAGGGATCGACTATCAATACAGCGATAAATAGCTTCATTAAAACAGTCTGTCGTGCATAAACGCGGTCGATGCGCAGCCTCTGATTGATGCTGCTGGCACCGGCGGATCGTTCATTGCGACTGGTTTTGTTCGGCTTATGGAATGGCGTTCCTTCGATTGTCTTGCTAATTCAGCATGAGCAATGGGGTCGGAAAATTAAAGCGGCACTAGGCAGTGAGTAGGACGGTCGCTGGCTTCCTATATGAGCATACCTACTACACTCTATCTCTGAACCTGAGTCTCGACAGTTCTAGGTTGAAGGCACATCACGCAAATCTTGATCAGGTCTTTGGACGGTGTTGACGAAGTATCCTTCCGGTGGGAGCTATTTAATTACTATCTTGAACAATGACAAGAGAACCAACAAACATCAGAATGGCCGATGGGTTTAAAATGTGCTTCTCTTCCAAGCTATTTCCCGCAACCTCGATCAAGGTTTCAACGTTCACCGATCCTCTCTATTGAACAAAGGCAACCCGAAACATCAATCACCCATACCACCCATCAGACAACCGTGCATCACACACATCTTTCCTCTACAGTGCCGCCTTGGCCAAGTTACCCATGAACGTCGCATCCTTGAAAGGCACCGTCGCCTTCCCAAACTCAGCGGCCTCGAGCCCTGCCCTCGCAGCCTCGGGCAACGAGTCCCAGGCCACAAGCGCCAAGTCTCGACCCAGCGTCTGCGTGAACTGCAACTCGTGGTTCGTGGGGAAGTTGGTGAAGTACTCGACCTTGGGCCGGTCGCCCTCGCGCGGAGGCGCATTGGTCTTCTTGTACTTTCCATGGCCCGAGGCGGCGCCGCCCAGGAGCGCCGGGTTGGCGTTGCTGGGGTTGTTCACCCAAATCACCACGTTCTCCCAATCGTGGCGGTGCGCACCAACCGACACCCCGCTGTTCGGCATGTCCTTCGGCATGTACCACGCGTACATGATGCCGTAGCGCCCGTTGTACCATCCTCCTCTTACGTACGTCTGTCCCTTGGATTGGTCGCGGCAGCCGCCTGTCGCGCTGCCTGTGTCTTGGAGGCCGCCACTGTTGGGTTTGTTAGTGGTTTGGAGATACGGATGGGAGGGCACCGGAGGAGAGAGAGGCGTTCTGACCTGGTGTCACCGTTGGCCGCGACGGCTGGGTAGGACTGGCAGCCGTGGGCGATATGGAGGAAGGGCTCGAACTTCTTGAAAGTGTTGCCGATGGCGTTGTTAGGGACGGTCTCGGGGAACGGGGCGATGCTGTCGTGGGGGACCACGGCGCGCTTAGAGAGGGGAGAGGCTTGCGCTGCGGCGAGCGTGGTCAAGATGGTGAAAATGGTCTTGGGGAGCATTTTGGAGAAGAAAGATGGTTATGATGAGGTTGCTTGCTCTGCTTTGTGGGATTGTGAACTTGAAAGGGAGGTCTGGAGAAGGGTTCCGAGCTGTCTTATATAGCTTTTTTCACAGCGCTCTCCTATATCATACATAAATACTAGCAACCGAAGGGGCGTGCTCAACACTGACCCTCACTATCCCAGCCAAGACCGTATACATCTCCAAAAGGGTGAAGTCAAATTGGTAGACGATGTTGACCTTCGGCTGGTTGAAGGATCGAACCATTCCCAAGGGGCACAGCCTGCAGGGTTCCTGAGGCCTACATTGCGCTGAGTGGAGGAGTTCCAGTCTTCAATCTATGAAAGTTCAACGTTCCTCGGGGGCTCAGTTTTGGTTCCATTAAAGTTAGGCATATTCTCGGTGACATTGGATCGGTTTCGAAAGCTCCACCCGCCAAGCCTTCCTTCGGGAATCGGTATAATATCGGGGCAATCCTTTGATCGACAGTCTCCTACTCAATGGTTTAGTTCCACAGAACCATCCAAGTCTTGGCTCCTTGAACCATGGGCTGATTGACCTCGTGGGTTCTGCAGAAACGTTGACGAATTGTCCACTGAACTTGGCAAAATATCCCACCTCTTTAGGCCCTTGAACTCTGTCAATTTGACCATCGATGCCTTTCCCTCGTCGACGAAGTCGAAGCCTGAGATTGTCTTCTCGTCAGCGGCGCGGTATGATTGCTATGGAAGTATGCGTCTTCTCAGCACGGAGCTCTAGATTCTTGTTTGCCTACTATTTCGACATCAAGATTAGCGAGAGTCAGAAATTACACCAAGCTGGACCCTCCCTCAGTCACGCCGGACCCATTCGGTGTTAATGATGAAGAAATGTGAACCTGTTACCCACCGAGCGGAACCACGGATTGACGTAATCGATAAGAGCATGCCGGTCTTCGGTGTCGCTCTCGGAGCAATTGAACTGGCTCCATCATCAATGAATCAATGAATCCGTTCGGCAAGCCTCGCGTTCTTTCCAGAGCGGCAGTACCCCGGACTATGGCAGAGAATAGTCGTTGATCACGACGCGGGAGTCGGGCCGCAGGGCAGGGATCGAGGCGGGCAGGATCCGGATGGCGTACTTTACATGTCCGGCCAATTTTGTAGGATTCAGCGGAAGAGGTAGGTGTTGGTCATGATAGGCTGGGCCTGGAGGAATTCATGGGAGATCAGGCTGATGCGTAGGGCGGCCTAGCCTGGCAGGGGTCGTCGCTCTGGAGATGGGTGGCCGCCGTGATAGATATTGCCTGTCGATTCTACCCGGTCGACGGATGTGGAGACTTAGGACCAGTCTTAACTGCGAGCCAGGTGCGAGGCCACATGACCCCTGTCTCAAGCCGATCATGCTCATCGGTTTAGCAAGCCGCGTTGCATGCGTCGAGTCTCGTCGGATGAAGTCATACTTGGACAAGTCTGTCTTTTGCGCTAGGTTATAGCCTCAGGAGTTGGTGAGTGGGAAGATGATTGACGGCCTGCAACAAACCCGGTACCATTCCTAGATTGCGCTTCCCCTCAATAGCGTCAAAGCTGCCTCAATCAATATCATCGCGCGGTCTTAACCCCTGACTGAGTCTCTGGTTATAAAGCTCATTCTTCCCCGATCTCTGCAGAAGCATGCCCAGCACTAATATTAACCAATTATCAACGATTTACCGCTGACTTAGCTGGACACTGATCTGACCAGATATCTCGACTCATCTAACTGAATGAAAAAGACCCAAATAGAGTTTTCTTGACAAGAAGTTCACAATGCCTTCATAATATTGGCAACAGTGGGTAATGAGACGAGCGCGACGGCGCTGCCCGCCATCATCGCTTATTTAATCAACCAGCCGGATAAAATCCCCTTACTGGCTGGAGAGTCACACTTGGCGTTCTACATCAGCAATTCGTGTAGCCTTCAGAACAAGTCAGACCTTGCCTGCTGTCTTGTGCTCAGGAAGAAGGGGGGGGGAGCGCAGTGGCTGAACCTGGGTCCCGAGAGAGTAAGCACTAACCCGAGCCCTAACTCCCGCTAGCCACTGTACTAAAATCTCACTTACTCACCCCGCCAGACCGCTGGTTCTCGCGAGGCGTACAGTCTCAACCGCGACCCACTCCTTTAACATGCGGCCTACCTGTTTATTCCTTCCCGAGCGATGGCTTTCTTATGCATCCATCGACTCAGGCTCCCCCCTTTACCTGAATTACTGTCGAACGGTACAGCTGTTGAGCACGGAGCCCCGATCTTGCCTCAGCCAGCAGCTGGCCTTGGCGGAGACAAGTCAGGTTCTTGTTAGCTTTTGACTTTGAAGTAATTGGAAAGAAACAACTTTGATGGGAAAAGCTGCGGGGTTTTCTGTTGTTCAGATACAATCATTGACGGCGCGAGTATGGCTAGCAAAATCAGGCAATGCTAGAACGCCAGCGGACTGTGACTCTACGCCGGTATGCTGTCAATGCACTGGTAGTTGAGACCTTCAATATTGCCACATATATCGAGAATATTGAGATATTACTATAAGGGCGGCGATGGCAACACCGGCTTTTCTTTTCAACTCCAATAGCAAGTGGCAGTAATCGTGACGTTTGAGAAATGAAATATCCAGGATAACCTTTCTGGTGGAGAGAATTTGCATCTTCAAACCTATTCATCTCACTGCGGTCATTATTTCTTTCATGTCAATCATATCCTTTTCCGAATCTGATCGACCATCTCTAATTCATTTGGAAAGATAGTGGAGTATAATCATTCAAATCTTCTTGACCCAGACACATAGGATGACTAGGGTCTTGTGAATAGCATCCCGTTGCTATTCCACCGAGAATGGCATCAAGAGCATCATGGCGCATTGTGTACTCGATCAGATTGGAATCCTCTTGTAAGCCCAATCAAAAGCTATGACGGTGGGCTCGGCCCGAGATTCGGCTTTTTGCAGGTCACCGTGCCAGAGTGTCTACCTGAGCGCTTGGAGGTGATCTCTTACGCCAACGAATCTGCGTTTCTCTATAATGGTTCGCATGAATCTTTCCCACCCAAGCGACTATCCTCTTTGCTGATTTTTAGGCAGATGAGATGGAGAAGCTGATTGATGCTGATGGGGTTAGTCTAAGGATACCCTTCAGCTCGCAATTTGAATGCCCCAATGACTGATTGGCGTAGAAGCTCGACCAAGCTCATAAGATGGTCGGGCCCTTTGATCAGGGACATCATTTACAGACGGACTTCGGGGCCAACAAGCTGGAATCTCGAGTTCTCGCCGAGATTATGGCCATTGGCAAGCCTCGAGCGGAGACGTTGATGAAGGTCTGGGCTAAATCTTTTCGTTCAGCGTCGTTCAGTCGCGCCCGTTCTGCGCTAACGTTGGAGGAGTATCTATCCATGCGAATCATTGATGCAGGAGAGCTGTAACAGACCTTTATCCCATGTCAAATCTAATGCTACTGCCAGGAGAGTGACTATAACATCTGGTTTGGCACTCTGACATGCGAAATTGTGCTGACCATCCCTGGCGAAGACTTCTAATTGTGAATGGACCTGGTGCGACCGTGTTACGCAGCTCTCGGACTTACCAATGACCTTTTTTTCTCTTGGAAAAACGAAAAAAAATGATGCAAATCGTGCTGGTGTGAACTCGGTATCCAATCAATCTATGTGATCATGCAACAGAGGAATGTTCATGGCAGATTTTCCGAGCCGGTAGCGATGGGGGTATGCACGGCTGAAATTTGCGCTACATTCAACACTATGGTTGCACGGTAGGAATGGTACGGTCTCAAAGCCTTTCTGGAAACATAATGGTCTATTTAGAAGCGCTGTCATATAGCTATGCTGGGAATCTTGTGTGGAGTGCTCATTGCCCGCGATAACGAGGTCTAGGAAGACCCCTGTAAGCTGACTAGCCCTAATTATGTTAGTCTCCAACCTAACAGCCTCTGGTATATAATGCGGGCCCCCGCTGCCTCTCAGAACACAAGCTTTTCTTGTCTTATTCCTTGCTGGAATCTAAAATCCTTTAAAAATGGGTGCTCAATTTTCACAATTCTTCCCTCCACGACCGACTTTCACGTTGGACGATGTCCCTTCTCTGTCAGGAAAGGTCATCATAATCACCGGTGCAGCTTCGGGAATCGGATTGGAACTAACACGTATGCTCTACCAAAAAGGAGCTACCATCTATCTCGCCGGTCGCTCCGAATCCCACGCCCAAAATGCCATTGAATCCATTCAAGCCACCGCTTTCCCCTCAAACACCATAACCGGCCATTTGCATTACCTCCCCTTGCACCTAGACGACCTGACAACCATCAAATCAACTGTCGAAGCATTTGCAGCGCTAGAAACCAAGCTTGACCTTCTCGTCAACAACGCCGGAGTCTCGCAACCTCCGCTCGGCAGCGTCTCCAAACAGGGCATTGAGCTCCAACTCGCAACAAACTGTCTGGGTCCATTCCTCCTGACCCAACTTCTCCTCCCCTTTCTCAATACTTCTGCTACTACGTCCCCGTCGGCTCCGCGTGTCATCTGGACAAGCAGCCAAGTAGCCGAGCTCTCCGCTCCACCTGAAGGAATCATAATGTCTGAACTGCAAAGTCCTCCACCGAATGCAGTCCGCAACTACGTGACCTCCAAGCTAGGCAACTGGTTTCTCAGCGTGGAGTTCGCTTACCGGTATGGAGGAAACGGAATTATCAGCGTGGCGCAGAACCCCGGCGCAGCGAGCACGAATCTCCTGCGCAATGCGCAATTGATGAAGATCCTCTCGTGGCCGCTGCTACATAGCCCAGCCCTGGCGGCGCATACGGTGCTCTTCGCGGCCTGTGCGGAGGAGCTGGATCGACCGGAAAACAATGGGGCGTATGTGATTCCGTGGGGAAGGATTCATCCGGGCGTGGCGACTGGCTTGGAAAAGCATTTGAAGCGCGCGGAGGATGGGGGCACGGGGCGGGCGAGGGAGTTCTGGGATTGGTGTGAGGAGCGCACGAGAGATTATATGTGATTGATTTTGGAGCAATGTACGTGTCTTTGACAGGATGGAAATAGGCGCAAAAGAGGCTTGACTTTTTCTCCTAATTGTTCTCGGAAAATCTGTAAAGTGTAGCGGGACAGGATTTGGAGAGCTTATCATCCTCTGTGTTTCATAATAATGATCGATAAAGACGTAGCCTGGATCGTTTCTTGGATCGTAGTTCCCTACCCTGTGATACTTTTAGAGATTTCTGCCACCGACCTTTATCGCTGAGTATCGTGTCAAGCATAAATCCCAGCAATAATTCCGAAGAGGGTGCGAATCTCCAACCGGATCCACACAAGATCGCCATCTGGCCCGTGAGTTCGGAAATGTGGATGTATCACACACGCTCAGACTCCATTTCGGCATCCCGATTGCCAGATAAATGGGCCCGTGATTCACGCAACTAATTTCGGGTCATATTTTCGGCATTGATTAAAGACTTATAATAACGCGATACGAGATCCGATCAAATATGATGGGTTGTCCAAGACTTACCATGGCCAGCATTCAGCCTACTTCGCACGAGCCTTGGTCTCTCACGGATCCAATAAGTCTGGAGGTTGGAGGCTTCAGAACGTTAATTTGTGACCCCTCCGGGAGCACGGGCTCTTAATTGAGGTTATCACCTCTGGCGTCTGCCAGACTGATCTGCATTTCGCCGGGTTGGAAACTGATCCTGGGATACACTATCCACGGGTGATGGGTCACGAAAGTAAGTTTCTTTCTCTCTCAGCCGTCATACATAATCAAATGATGCTTATTGATTATATACGGCTACAGGTACAGGGTAGGTTTACCAAGTTGGACCCAATGTCACCGCAGCTCGTGACGGTGACCCAGTGCTCATGTCCTTCTCCTCCTGTTAGTCCTGTGAATGCTATCGCCAGGGCCACCCCGCGCACTGTTACAGTTTTGACCCTATCAACTTCGAGGCGACCTCCGCCAACAGGGCTCTTTGGGAGGAGGGACCAGTATCCTCGCTGGCGCCGAACACCTTTGGCCATTTCTTTTGGCCATACAGCTTTTCGAGCCGAACGATCGTGCAGGAGGCAGCGGTAGTTGCGGTGATCGGGCTGGGAGGGGTGGGACTGAGCGCCGTGATGGGTGCACAGATTTCCTGTTGCAAGACAATAATCAGTATTGCGAGGAACAAAGCCCGGCTCAATCTGACGCTGGAGCTGGCAGCGACACACCTGGTTCAGATCGATCCCAGTGCCGATATCGGACCCGTGACACAAGCAGTTCGTGCATTGACCGGGGGTTCCGGCTCAGCTGCCATACCTGAACTGGTGGCTGAAGGTATATGCATGGCAGCCAACAAGGGTAGGATTGTTCAGCTGGGAACAGCACCCGAGGCAACAACGATCAGTTTCCAATCCATGAGTTCATGGTTGCAGGCAAGCAGTATATGGGGGTTTTTGAAGGAGATGACCACCGGTTCCTCGACAGCTTGTGCCTAGGATGATTGAGTGGGTTAGGACTGGACATCTACCTTTGAACAAGATCATTGGTTACTATCCAGCTGTGGGCTTTGAAGCAGCATTCAGGGATATGAAAAGTAGAATGACTACCAAGCCAGTTCTTCTTGGGTCTAATTTCTCTTTGTCTTCCTCGTTTTCTGTAACTCCGTGCGAAGCTCTTCCGCCAACAGTCTTTGTCTATTCCTCTTCAACCTGGATAGATTCCAAGGATTCCCTTTGCACATGCGGATATCTTCAATTGAGAACGTGATAAGATGGTCATTCTCACTATGCTATCTTTGTGTCGACAATCTCTATGGGAGGTTCTAAGGTAAAGAGGTTCTGTCTTATGCGTAGCGGCCATGGCTCTATTCCCCAAAGTAACGGAATCTTTCTCCTTGAAGACCTTAACCCACAGGGAAATCGCGTATAAATATGATGTTCCCCAAAAAGATCTTTGTATTGCAAATGTCTTCATCTCATATTGACCGGACGTGAGGCTTATCTACAAGCTGTATGTACTACTGACACATATCATCAGTCAGATACTTCGGTCATCATGACTCTGTCCGTTATGTCCAAGTTTGAGACTACATGGTATACCATCTTCGAGTCGAGCCTGGAACTACGCGCCCACAACGTCCGGCTCGATATTGTGTTGTTTCAGGACTATCACATCGGCCGGGACAGCTGGGTTGGGTTCGCGATGCGTCTGCTCCAGCATATCTGGCATTCCCAGAAGCCAGACCACCGCTGTCGGAGTGCCATGGCTGTTTATGATGGCCGCGTTCGATTCTTTCGCGAGTCGCTCTGGCTTCCTCACTTGGCGGTGCCGGTCATATTCGAACATACGGTGGAGTGGTATTCGAAGGAGTCGTATGATCCTGTTCTAGCGGATCTTGTGCTCCTTCTCCACCTAAGTAGTCAGGCTTCTCTCGATGATGAATATTCCTCTTAGAATTAGAGATGGGTCCACAAGCGGACGTGAGTGCGTTGGGCTAAGGTGAGTATGACTTTTTTCCCTGGCTGGTGCAGTAGGTCCCCATTATATAAAGACAATCAATGTAAATCAAAAAGATGCACAAAGATAAAGTAGTAAAAAAGGTAATAAGATAGTCACGGGTATGGCTCCTATGAAGGTGAGTCTGGTGTGTGCTAATACTACTGACTTTACCTTACACATACCATGTACTAAAGTTTAGCTTGGAGATTATGGGACAGATAAAAGAATTAGATAAGCTATCAAATGATTGCTTGGGACATTGGTGCTCTCATGAGTTTTTCAATCAGACTTTTTCAATTATGATGTTAAGTGTCTGGAATGACCGCGGATGACGAATTCCTAATTTGGGTAAGGTTAAACAGATTAGTACCAGGCTTGCTGGAGTTACTCAATAGGCGCCCTTGTGCTTATGGTGTTGTACCCTTCGACGGTTCTTGTGCGGACGGCCATTAGTCAGGCTGTGAGCTGCTCGGATCATTCCCTTCGCAAAGAACAGACACGCACCTGCTGAGATTTAAGGTAACTATCGTTTACTGTTAGTTTTCAAGGCTTAATCGGAGAGCCCTGGAGCAGCGGATTTGGAATGGGTAGCAGACAATAGTCCAAACGATGAATAGTCCTGCGCACACAATCCCAGTGATGTACCTCTCGTACCAATATATCAATCCTCAATTGGTTTTATTTAAGTGAATGATATGCTAGACACTTCAAAAATTACAGACACCGCGCACACATCTTAAAAGAGAGCTAGCAACAATCGATTTGGACTAGTCAGTATTCCATTCGAAATAGTGCAATTTGAGCCCAAAGATTTCATGACCTCGATTCATACATATTGCTGAACAACATTCTTCTGCGAAAGAGCCAGAGAGCCAGCGAAGTTTGATTCCGTCTGTCTTACGAGTCAATTAAGTACACACGTCTGACATTATAGAAGACATCCAAACCTCAGCCCTTAAATCCAGTCCAAAGACTTCCAATAATCCTTGATCGGCTTGGGCCCAAAGTTCGGCTCGTCAGGAGCGGAAGCAATCACTTTGAGCTTCACATACTGGTCTCCCCGGAAAAAGTAGGTCAAGCCATTCGTGTCTTCCGGCACAGGGAACGCCGCGTCGACAGAGTCGAACCCAGCTTTGGTCAATGCCGGCCATTCAGCGGTGAGCTTCGCGGGACCGTAAACGGTCTTATCCTGGTGGACATTGATGCGGACATAGCTGGTGCCCCGGAAGATGTACGCTTCTCCGGACTTGGCGGGAACGGGCATCACAGCGTCAATGGTGTCGTATCCGGCGGAGGCGAGGCTTTTGAACTTCTCGGTGATCACCCAGGGCCCGTCAACGACTTTGTCGTCGTTTAGCTCGGGCACAACTTTGATGTGCGCCACGCGGCTTCCATGGAAGACATAGATCTCGTCTGAACTTCCTTCGACCGGTAGAACGGCATCCACAGTGCCAAAGCCAATGGAGATAAGGGATGGCCAGCGCTCATCGATCTTATCTGGGCCCCAGGTGATAACATCGTCATTCTTGCCAGGAGTGAACTTGATGCGAGCATAGCGACGACCTCCGAAGAAGTAAGTCTGCTTGAACCTCGGGTGGTAGTATGCTGCGTCGACCATTGTGGCTAATTGAATTGAGAATTTGGCGCGAGGTAGATCTTTGGGAGGTAAGAAGTTTGTGATGACTATGGAGAAGATGAGTCGATGATTGTGCTCCTCCCTAGCATGCTTTGTGTGGTTTTTATATCCAAGGGAAGATATGATCTCATTGATTTATAGCTTAAGATTCATTTACGTTACAGTAGCCTCCTACTTTTTCGAATGTTTGTGTCCCACAGACAAAGAATGTATTTGGCAATGACGGATCTCCGCAAGCGTCATCGCTAGTTGTGCATGCGTAATCAACTTATGGTCGTTGAGATGTGACTTGACACCATTGGTTCTATGTTTGGATCTGTTCAGATGCCACCTCGTTGTAAGAATAAAGCCAGATTTAGTACTGAGCTTGATCAATGACAACCACATCCAAATTATGATTTTATTTAGACTAATCTACTAATCTAGATTCCCAAATACACTTGCCGGAACTAACTATCTGTTCCCATCAGTCCACCGATTGATTATTGAAAAAGGCAACGATTCTTGTGGGACGTGGCACCACTACGCAAGGTACTACCTCATTGCGCCGGTTTAAGAGAAAAATACTTTCTGGGAGAGATGCTGCTCATACATACTCTCATACCGAGTAATCAACCTACTTGAATCTTCTTTCCTTAGCTCCAAAACTCGGTTTGGGAAACCTAGATCGGTACTCAATATTTTAAAGTTGCGATTCTTGGCCGGCTATTCCCGCTTTTAAAGATATCTTCTGGTCAATTTGCTACTGTGGAGCATGACAGACGGGATCGTCCTACTATTCTTTCCGCGACCGGAATGAAAAAACGTCAAAGTCTAGCATTCCACATCGACGGAAATGTCAATGAAGACTTTGGCTGGGTATTGGGTATGCGTAACCATGGACAGCGGGCACGTCCTACATGACGGCTTTTCGAGATTTTCTGCTACCTTGAGAAGAGAAATTCTAGGGACAATATTGGTGTCGGGTCGATAGTCTAGCATCTCACCACATTCTAAGGTGGCATTATGGCTTGAAGGTTCATAAAGACACCGAGAGCATTGAATACCGATGGTAAGTACCACACATGTCTTGTGTACTAGAATGGGCACTCAGCTAACCTCTCGGAGACAGCCGCCTACAGAAGGGCTGGGGTTTATTGCCACAAATTAGGCACGAAATATGTCGATCTGCATTCCATAGTTTGCCAAGCTGCCATACCCACACACTGTGTATTGATTTGATCGAACATCTTCAACTTCAGTCGAAGTAGGTATAGATCATTATTATCATATATTCGATGCCATGGCTAATTCCAAGTGGGACATACCGTTTTCACAGTGGCGGATATGGGGCAACTATTTGATCGTGGATGAATTGGTGATCAGGCAAGGTCACATTTCTGTGCCAGCCACATCTCATCACATGGCTTGACATAGTCACCGTGCAAGAACAGTCTGCATGCTGCTGAGCCCTTACTGCTGAAGCTGGCCGCCCCGGAAATCACTTCACTCGCTATCCTGCTCCGTCCTTGCGTTGCGGTCTGTCTCTAATTTGCTACTCTAATCGAGCCTGATTTCGGACTGGAGCGGAGATTTGATCCCAGTAAAAGTGCCATGCAGTAAACGGCCTTCAATGGTCGGTGATTCTATTTCTTCACCTTGGCTCATTTGGCAAGCTTAGACATGGCAATCGAGCGAGTTGGGCGAGTTTTGGGAGGTCACCTGACAGCTTAACCGAGCTTTAAGTTCTAGTTAATCAGAGCTCAGATCAGCTTAAAACTTAATAAAGATATAGGTTATCTAACAAGTACTATTAAAGAATTAGATATAGAGTAGTGGCTAACGGCCAGGTCAGGTCAGGTTAATCAAAACTTTTATACCTAACCGCAGGTTAATGGTCAGGTTAAGCCACTCTAATTAATTATTCATAGTTAAATTATTTTGAAAAGATTAGCTTAGATATAATTTAATAAAGTTAAGTAGAAATCAAATTCAAATTAGATAGAAATTAAACAAAAATTGAATAAAAATATTTTGTTTTTCTATTATCTTTGTAGATTAACTTTGTCAATATCTACTATAACGGAGTAGACGGCTGGGGGTCAGGTAAGAAAGGCAACTAGCCATCAATTGCAAGACTAATCCTTGGGGATCCCTTCTTCCGCAAGCTGTAGCAGACTGACTATATATATTATCAAGGGAGGGGGAGTTAGCTACGAATGACGTGAATAGACGGATTGAAAGCCCGTCGAATCAGTGGAGGCCGGAGGTACTGGGTGCAGCTACGCCGGGTATTGTACAACAAACTTAACAATAATAAAGATTGATTTACAAACTAATCTATAATTAATCAAATTAAGAATAAATATTTCTTATATCTAATAAGAGTGGCTTAACCTGACCGTTATACCTTAACCTCAATTTGACCTTAACCTGGCGGTCAGGTTAAGGTATAAAAACCAGATTAACCGCGGTTAACCGTTATGACCTGGCCGTTAGCCACTCTATAATTAATTATGGTTAATTATTATAATTATGATTTTAATCGGATTTAAATATCTTAATCTAATAGTTAGATAAAGTTAGATTAAGATTAAGGTATAATAGTCAGGTTAAGCTACTCTAATTACTGCTACTTTACTAGGTTATATTCTAGCCTGGTTATGTAAAATAAAATATTGAACAAGGTGCTAACCAAGTTAATCAGTGCTGAGTAGGTATTATATATGCGGAGGGTTCGAAGTGGCAACCGGCAGAAGATCTTTGGTCTCCTTGACATCAACATGCTAATGGGACATCAACCAATATTCGTATCCTAAGACTGCAGAAGGATTCTTCCATCTCGATCCATGGTTTGGAATTTGTAGACTCACCCGCCAATCATATCTCCCTGGACACGATCGCCGACGGCGAAGTTTATAATCTGGCTATCCGTGGAGGGAATGCGGTGGTTTAATGGGATTGATATGTGGGGGGACAATGTTTGGGTCTATGATGTAAACTTGACCTTCGCGATCTGGCCTGTATTTCTTCTATACTGACTTGGTTCACAGCTGGAAGTAACGAACAAGGATGAATGTGTAACCATCAAGGTCGGCCAGTTATCTTGCTCTTCACCGTTGCATACTCATCGACCTGGATGACAGAACCCGAAAAAAATACTAAAAAAAAGGTATTAGCAGATACCTAATCTTTATAATTTTATTCTTAATAAGATAATTAAGGTTTTCTAGTAGGCTGGTATAGCCATTAAAATATCTAAAAGTAGAATATCTTAGCTAAAAACTAGTGAAAAATTATTTTAGTATTCCATATCACTGCAGTATATAGACGGTAATGTAATTAAATTTGTTAATATATATAATAATCTATGAGGTATAAATACTAGAAAAACACAATTTTAAAAATATAGATATATTGATTTTTGGCTTCAAAAATATTTAAGAACCAAAATGCTTGGCAATGCGCGCCACTCACTTACACACGCCACTCGCTTACCGACTACGTTAGAGGTCATTTGTCAACCAAACTCCCACCTAACTCCCACCAAATAAATCCCAAGCCACATGACGCTTTGTATTGGCAGTGAATTGCGCAACGACTTGAACGCATTCTAGAAAAAGCTGTTTCGCTTGTTATTCCCAAATCCTAGTATATGGTCATCGTGACGATCGACATAACATCCGACAATAATAATTTAGCCATGGGAGCCACTATATCGTTATCCTTCTGGAACCACCAGTGATGAGAGAAAGGAAGTTGTAAGAAACGCCCAATTATTCCTACATGAATAGCTAGTTTGAATCCAACGTCTACAACAATCCCAACCTCCTCACTTTTCACTAACTCCTATTTGTAACGTTGCCTATTCGCTATGCAGGACACAAATCACTTCCCAGATGTCGAACAGCAACCCCCACCGGGCAACAATGAGCAGAGTCAGAGCCAGATCCACAGACGCAGAAAGGCCTTGAAAAACCACTTGCTCGCCGCGTCCAGCGAGTTCGTGGGAACTGTTCTGTTCCTGTGGTTTGCGTTTGCCGGCACGCAAGTGGCTGCGATGAACAGCGACAATGATACCTTAAGCCCTCAAAGCCTCCTCTATATATCGCTGAGCTTCGGTATGTCACTCCTTGTGGTCGCCTGGGCTTTCTATCGAATTTCTGGCGGGCTCTTCAACCCCGCGGTAAGCCAAGTTCTCCCTTCCATTTTGGCATAGATAAGACTAAGGAACCTATGGATGCAGGTGACAGTGGGTCTGACTCTGTCCGGCGCGATGCCATGGCTGCGGGGCGTTTTCCTGCTTCCTGCGCAGATCCTAGGGGGCATCGTGGCCGCTGCACTGGTGTCATGCATGTTCCCCGGCCCTATCTCCGTTTTCCAGACGCGGTTAAATGCCAGCACCTCAATCACCCGCGGACTCTTCATCGAGATGTTCCTGACGACCCTGCTTGTTTTTACCATCTTGATGCTTGCCGCAGAGAAGCATAATGCCACTTTTATGGCCCCAGTGGGAATTGGATTAGCCTTGTTCGTCGCCGAGCTGGCCGGTAAGCACTTATTCTCTCACGAGTGCCAAAAAAGCTGAAAGATATGTGATAATGAAATTTCCTGTAGGAGTCTACTTTACCGGCGGCTCTTTGAATCCGGCAAGATCGTTTGGACCTGATGTGGCAGCCGCCAGCTTTCCAGGCTACCACTATATCTACTGGATCGGGCCTCTCATGGGTGCACTCCTGGCGGCGGGCTATTATCGCTTTGTAAAAGCTTTTAATTATCCAGAGGCAAATCCTGGTCAGGATGCAACAGATCCAAAAGACGAGTAGGAAGAGCCAGCTGTACTCTCTAGCTCTACCACCAGCACAAGCTGTTCTAATCTATGGAAATGTTCTGATCTCAAAATTGAATCAAGAAGAATTGATCTTGTCAAGGAAACAAGGATACTACCACTCGTGTTTATGATTCTAATCCACAAAGGTTGTTGATACACGCCTTGGTATCAGTTCTGGGAGTTTGTACTAGCTATCTAATTGGCCATAAGACTAGAGAAATCCTTAAGTATTGATTAAACTTTATCATAGATAGCAATTAGCTTGTTACAGTGGTCTCATGACGATGAGAAGGACATAGGCTGACGCCTAACACAGTGCGATTCCTGTCATACCCGAAAGGTAATTGCTTATTTGAGTTCTCCGAGTCGAAATCAATTTACCTTGATTAAAATGATGAATAATCATGTTGACTTAATATCTAGGTGCGGTGCAATAGAGGGTTACCATGTAACAATTGCCTAGATCAAGGTCTCCTTTGTACAAAACAGGGAAACAGACGGCGTCTCCCGAAGAGAATCCTAAGCACCAAACTGCGACGACAACTACGACCACGAGCAGCATTCTGCAACTCGCACCTGCCCGCGTCGTGCCGGATTCCTTGAATGAGCCTGTTATGCCCACCCAAAGACCTGAAATCGACCGGAACGTGGAGGTCCCACGGAGGGGGATTGAAGCAGGTACTCCGACTCCGTCTACAGCACGGGGGTCTCTCCTAGCTCGTGGCCAACAACACCCAGTGAGGTGTGACCTAGCAGCATGGATCCCACTGAATAGGCCCAGCAGGACTAGCTTCATGTTTCTGGGGAATGTGGGTCGATTCGATCACGGCTTAGTCTGCAAAGCTCAGGAAGTTTTGCGCTCCGCTATGGCCAAGGCAAATCATGCCCAGCAAGGGGTGCGGACGTCTCTCTAAGATGAAACGGGCGTGCGGTTGGAGTCGGTGTCGCTGGAGTTTCTGACATGGATGTTGCAAGGAAAGAGGTGCATCTTCTACCACCTTGAACCGCTTAAAAGTGAAGATTAACTCGGGTTACTCTGACAAACCAGATATCGGTAGTGCCAAATTTGGACTCTATGTCTCGGACTACTTCAAACATGTATCCAAGTCAACCTTGAAGCATATATGTATGAGGCTCTTGTCCAGCAATGTCTCCCCCGATGAGAGGGATATATTCTCCGTCTGCGTCAACGCTGCCGCTCATAAATTTCTCAGAGCTGTTCTCGTTACGGAGGAGCACGATGAAGATCTCTCGGCCCATCTCCGGCTCAGGTGTTCAGAGTACAAAAAGGCCGCGGAGGCCACACCCGATTGAATCCGGCCCATGACCACTCCCAATCTTTCGCTTCTCCAGGCAGTTCTCTGTGACGTGAGCTTTTGATTTATTTGCCTCGGTTCTTTCGGTGCTCAATTCCGATCAAGTCGTATAGGTTTTCCTTCATCAAGGATCGGGGAACACCCATTATTGCTACGAGTTAACCCGAACTGCCTGTCGATTAGCCACTGGTTCAGGGCTCAATTTGGCTAGTCCTTGTGGGTCAAGGAATACTAGGGCAGAAGAAGAGATCTGCTGCATCGTGTGCTGCTACATGCTGGACAAGAATTACGCGGGAAAATTTGAGCCCGCTCGATGGTCTTTCGATCCTGAACCTGGTTTGATTGACCAATATATACAAGGGACAACGGCCGAGTCTCTTACCATCTATATCTTCATGGCACAGGTCCAGGATGAAACACTGTCGTTGCTGAAAAGTCTTCTATCCACCCCTTCTCCACAATCCAGACTAAATTTACTACATAATTGTATCGAACTGCTGTTGCAAAGAGTGGAAGAGGTGCGGCAGCGAATTGAACAAGTAGGTGATTGCCTCTCAAATCCTTCTTACGAGTTACCAAGTCTTGTTCGATCCACAACCCAAGACTGACATTCGCAGATAACAACATTCACTGCGGATTGTTGGAAAGGGCTTGATGCGACCGACGAAATTGCTGCGCTTCGCTTCGCGCATAACTCGCTTCGGACTACGATCCTTTACCTCTCTGAGCAGTTGCAAGGGCAGGCCCTCGGCTCGGGGGCGGGGGGGGAGAGGGCGCTTCTTCAGTCTGCTCGTCAAGAGCTGTCCTCACTACTATCCATATGCCTGATCAATGAAAGGCACCGAGCCGTTGGCTTCTTGCACTGGTTCGTACCATGCTCACGCAATCTCCATCCTCAATCCCAAACTATAATCGGTGAGACTGATCTGACGGCTTTAAATCAACAGGACCCTAATGTAATTATCCATTGCCTGCGTGTTTTGTCCTGTTTTGCAATGCTGTGACTACCTCTCACCGCGGCGATCTGAACCTTCTGAACCTTCTCAAGACTGGCGACGGTCCTGATGCCGAGTGTCTCGATTAGCAATCCGGTCACGGTCATCCAGGGACTCCCGGAAGAATTCGTTACCCTCTCGTAGTCACTATTCTCTGACACGAGGATGGGTGGCGCCGGGGTGACAGGCGAAGTCGGGGACAGCTCTTCACTCCCCCCAGGCGCAACCTTCTCCAAATCCTACTCAGCTCAGCCATTACCTAGGGACGAACCTATTTCTACCGCCCTTGCTGCCGGGGCTTCCACTTGGACCGATAATATTAATACACCCTTTACATCTGATCAACCTGGATTGATAACATCAAACGAAGGAGAGGATCATGCTACACTGCTGGACTTGTCACTCCCTATTCCCTTGGACTTTGATTTTTCAGTTGGTGTTCCTGATCTGGTGGCTGTTTCGTCTTCTGAATAATGTAAGACCATCTCGCCAGCCCTGAATCGGCTACGAACGCCACGACTATTTGTCCTCTATCACGATATCTTTTTGCTGGTATTATAGTTAGAATCATAGCGAGTGAATGGGATCAGGTGAGTCCTATCTAGATTATGCTAGGCTCTTCTCGAGCACATACGACCACAGGGTGTGGAAAACAGGGCTTCCCGTCCGCTCAGCCGTACTTAAGCCACACGCCGGGAGGTTAGTAGTTGGGTGGGTGACCACCAGCGAATCCCTTCTGTTGTATGTTTTTTTTTCTGTCTCTCAGAGAGAAGGTGCAGACATTTATACTATGCGTTGCGCATGCCGTGGCAGATATTGCTTACGAGCACCTGCCCTGCCGGTTGAACTGTCCGGGTTGAACATCATGCTATCGGGGCAATGGGAAGTCTCGTCCTGAACCACTTGATCCCGTCAAAGGCGTAGTAGCTGCCTTTGCAGTGTTGCTCATGGCTTTGCTGGCACTTGCCGTCGACTGAATGCACAGTGAGAGACAGAGTACGCACTGACCGTGATTCAACGGCACAATGCCGGGGCAGTCGCTGCTGCCGACCGACTTTTGGTATTAAAGGTCTCGGCATGGTAAAAGGCTCTCGTCAGACTACATCACTTGGGGCTCATATAAATCTGTAGAGAGCTAGCTTTTCGATTGTTTTGATCACATTTTTCACAATCGACCCTTCAAAAAGAACTAGAGGGGGGATTTGTTGGGTCAGAAAGGGACGAACGGCATAGAAGGACTGGTCAAGCCTAGACTTGGACCTACAACCAAGCTATAGCTGTTCCAATAGAGATATCTCTTGAACAAAGCAGGCAATAGGATTCACTCTTGTTCCCAAAGGGAATTCAATTCTTGAAGCTTCTTTGTTCCCTTCTCCGAATCACCAAAGCCTGAGATAAAGGATAACACAGAGAGGGATGAGAATTGCTTAGTGATAGGAAAGATAGTAAAGTCAAACTGTGGGTTACTGTGACAAAGGGTTTTATTTTTACTCTGGTGCAAGCTTCGCCAAGGAAAAAGAAATCAACATCTTGTACTCCAGAAGCCGATAATTACTATAGTTTTCTCGACTGGAATCCATTATACTCGGTCTTCTTCACCCTGTCTGCATCTTATTTTCAATCAGTCCTAAGCCAATTGGTCTTTGTCCTCGGTTTTCTTTATCTTCTCATCTTTGCTCTTTAAAATCAGTTAGCTATTAAGATTCTTTATTGTCAATTGCAGTATTATCATTCATTATTTATTCTCAATCTGAAGGGTAACTGTTCATACAAAGACTTTCTCACAAGGGTTTCCTAAGAATACCCCCGGTATGGCTCGACATCCTTTTTCGCATTACCTTAAGAAGATCATGACAATCCCCGGTGAGGTTTCTCATCGTTCACTATATAAAGACATTGACCCCTCTTACAATCCTTACCATTGTCTAATCCCAGCTGCCTCAATATCAGCCATTCTGCACGACACCTCGCACGAACTTCTTTTGTCTCGAACACGGATCCCTTGTCTCAGGATACCACTATGACTCCAGCAGGGGAGCGGTAGCTTATGGAGATGCCCGTGCGCGTGGCAGTACTGATAGATCTAGCAATCGACTTAAAGTTGAGTATTGCGCACTCCTCTGGGTGGCACGGTCTAGTCGCCGTCATCTGGAGTCTTCTGGTGGGATGCGTGGTGCCTTTCTACATGTTTCCCGGGGATAGGTATTACAGCCATCCGCGGCGTTGGTTGATCGTTGAGAACCCGCCGTGTGGATACGCCCCGGAGGATCTCGTGAAGGAAACCACCCGGAACGATGGCCTCCCCTGGTTGATATTTGTGTCACTGGAAGCGCTCGAATTGCTTCAGATTATGGTACAACACTGGATTTGGTATCATGCATCATCCGTAACATCGTGATTAACAAAACAGTGTCCCCTTTGCTCTACACTGAGTACCGTTATGGCTCTCGTGAGTACCGGAGACGCCGTGCTATAGATGAAATGAACAGAATCTACAGTATGAGGCCACGCAATGGGGTTTGAGGGAGTACCGTTTTCCAGATTGGGCAGAACTGGAGGATACTTAGTTGGAAGGGTGATCGATAACCACATAGCACATAGGAGGATAAGCTAAGCAAGACGGGCCTGGCTTACTAGCTAAGGCTTTACCCCACTCTTCATATGCTTTCCACCCGAAACATATTCAGCAGCTCAGGATTCGGATTCGATAGCTCGGTTGTTCCGAGAACTACTGTGTTGATCGAGAAGTCTTTCAACAAGGCAATGATGAACACAACAATATAGAAACAAAATGATACAATAAAATGAAACGACACCGTGCTTCGTAAAGGCTATCTTGCGTCTGGAAGAGAACCGATCATGTTAATCTCTGGTGCCAGCAGCTACTTCGGATACCTAGTGCCTCAATGCTGCTTTGGAAAGCCCTTTGCAGCAGTTATAGTTTCTTTGCTGCTGCTGCAGGGAGGTAGGTATGAGGCTTAAGCTTTGCGACTGATGCTGCGCAGTCTCAGCAGATAATCACCCAGTTTCATGATTCGAAAGTATGGAAATAATATCACAGTAAAAGAGTCAAAGAGAAGATTAAATTAGTGATGCGACTTTGTGGGAATTTGTGTGGACATGACCGCACCGATAACAACAATGAAGGCCTCATCCAAAGTGAAGGTCTCGCCCACAACGCAAATGTCATTCCTCACATACTCAAGTAGACTTGAGCTCCTTTTCTCCGTTGTGCCGAGCCAACAGCTGTAAAGTCATCTGAGTTTTCCAAGGCATGACTTGTCATTAATTGCGAGCCTAAGCTTCTCGCCTCTTCACTGAACCCCGACCTAGACTCAGCTTCTTTATTTCCGGGGATGACTGTTATCTGACGCCATTTATCAACATTCTGCCCGAAGACTCTGAGTGAACCGTCATCGCCTCGGGTGTACGTAAAGTAATCGGCTCGGGAGGACACGAATCTAGGTAGACAGACACATGTTAGTCTTCCATCTGATCTATGCTATATTGGTCTCAGTTCAGCACAGGACAAAATCGTTAATCATACAAATAGGGCACCATAATTCGAAGAATTGCCAACCCGCCCGCAAAGAACGTCATTAAGAACAGCAAAAAGTACCAAGGATTTGACAAGTGGTGTTCGTCGAAGATGGACATCTTGACTTGAATCTTGTGTCAAAAAGAAGTTTGGAGGTTGACAACTGAGTGAATGTGTAGAGAGAGTCTAACTCTTTGAGATCGAGTGCAGAGTAGTCCCGCATCACTATGGTTCATGATGACGGGCGTGGACGGAAAATAATTCCACGCTGAGATCTGCTCTTTCTTCTGCGACCACGAAATGTTCAGCCCGCGCCATTCCATGAGCACACGGCAAGATTCACTATATAGAAGGCAGTGAAAGCCCAGTTGATCCCTTTGTAGACCAACATCCTCCTTCTCCAACTGTCTCCCCCTTAGAAGCAAACTTCAGCTCAACATGGACTTCGTTGCCAAATTCCCTCCCCTGCCATGTCTCGCCTACGAGACCGCCTGGCGCTGGTCCGCCGTCATAGTTACCCTGACCCTGTGGCTTACCGCACTCATAATCACTTTCTTCTATCTCCGCCACCAGTATGTACAAAGCGATAAGGGAGAGGTTGGATTGAAGTGGAGGTGAAACTGGTGTGGATTGTATAGCTGGGTTTCTACTTCCGTCCCTACGCCCTTCGCACTACCGAAGAGGCTTGGCTGGCCTGCAGAGGTAAGTTTTCCTACATCAGTGAGAAAGGACTGAAAAGTAAGTCCGATATGAGTTCTTATTGCTCCCCCCGGTCGCCGAGGGTGAGGCCAAGGAGAGGGACCGGGAGAAGCGCAGTGCTGCATTTCGGCCGGCTGATCCTCGCAGTTGACATTGTTCGAGGTTCTCTCTCTATGTATGTGTGTATGTCATTAACATATTTATTCATTCAGCGCAAAGATCCACAGGAGACATCGTATATCCTATATAGCTTAACCTAGAATATACCTCTTTCTTTACTATCTCTCGCCCTGACCCTTACCGCGTTGTAGTCCCGGTTTTGCAGGTGGGCTGCAGAGAGCACTGAATATGTTCTCAGATAGTCGTGAGACTACTAGCCCCTCGCAACTACCACATGTGGAGTAATTTACGAGTCCACCTTCTTAGCAGACTGGTAGTTATTCTTGCGGTCGTCTCCAAGGAATCCGAGAATAAAGAATTCTATGTATACGGTTAGAAATCTCCTTTAGGTTTCTGAGTTGTGCTTACCGGCAAGGGTGAGTTTGTCGTCCCCTGTCACTTCCACTGCTTTGAATTCTTCTTCAAGCTTCTTGTAAGCTTTCTCGTCGTTGGGCCGCCAGAGCTGGCATAGCTCGTGCAGGCTAACACGCCCTGAATGTGCGGTCAGTCTTCCAGACACTCTATCTCACTCGCATGTCCAAAACTTACCATCACCATCATAGTCCTACACCCAAGGGTTATGGGTTCAGCAATCTTCAACAACCTCAGGACTTCTGATAGAAAGAACTCAACTTACTGCCTTATAGAAATCGGCAAGAAAGTCTCTGATTAAGTTCGAAGAGTAGTAGATATTCTGCGTTCGGTGTCAGTGAATCCGGTCGAAAAGTCATTGATGCTCCTTTTCCCTAGATAAACGCCAACCTTTGGGTCCTCCTTCGCCAGTTCCTCCATGCAGGCCTGCTTGGTCTTGTTGGCTGCCTCTCCCTCTTTCTTCCTGAGCTCTTGAAGAGCCTCCCACCTCCCCTCATTTTTACCAGTTTGCTTGGCATTCTCGTACCAAGACATGATTATCGTGATAAGACTTTAGGACAAGGGGGTATAGTTGACAGGTAGTAAGGAAGGATGGAAGGGCTGGTGTTGCATTGCTGAATGAAAAAGATCACCATCCACCTGAACGAGGCCAGGTTTATATACCTGTCACCTCGAGCTCGGGTCGCACACAATTCTAACTATTCTCTTTGTAGACTTTGTGAGAATTATGTCATGGTGGATGTGCTTGTGGCGGAAAGCCTGAGGTTGTCCACTGGATCTAGACAACTGCGTGTTCTGCAGGAAGTCTACATGTATGACTTGTACAGTCCAGTCCAAGTGCAACCCCACTTACATGACCTTGATCGTCCCACACGAGATTTGCGAGTGGAGGCTAAGGTTCGATGGGGGTGATGGAAGGGTAGCATGAGTCCGGATGAAAGCTTGAAGTCCACCTTGACTTTTCCCTTTGTTCCGTCTTCGGAGAGAACTACCGATATCCATGTTACTCACAATGCTTATTTCATGAGGTAAATGGGTGAATTTAAAATGGAGAAGAAAGTTTGTATGCTCTACTCTACCTGCAAACGTCGATGTTCATGCCCCGAATCTGTTCTGCAGCCACTGCTGATTGGCCTCGATGCCTATTGTGTGTTTGATTGACACATACTGTTTCCGTAGAGCTTTATAGAATATTAATTGTTTCTTCCCGTAAAGTTTACATGGATCCGATGATTAGCGGATGAGGCTCACCACATTGGAGATCAGAGGAATTGACATCGACCTTCGCAGGCAGAGACTCCGTACTGAACAGCTTGACTATGGAGACGTAGCATTTCGAAGCTGATGTGGATCGACCAAATGCAAGCGATCGAGCGTGATTCGGCCACGTAACCCGACAGAGGGGCAGATCTTTATCCGATCTGCAAGCCCCGCACTGTGGCCGATCCTAGGTATGAGCTACTGATTTCCCATCCGAGAATCGTGAGCAGTGATCGCGTTCGCGAGTAGCAACCAAGTGTCAAGATAGCGGGGTAATGCAACCTGCGTGCATCTCCAATAGCTCATCAGGGACCAGTTGTCAAGCCCGAGAGCAGCAGTCAAAGCACGGGCAATATGTTCTGGATCTAGATTCCAGCTGAAGTCAATGGGTCTTTCCAGTACTTGGCTCGGCTGCGTGAGAACGTAAATGTGGGCCAGTAGCTTGAAATCTGCCTAACCTCCCTAAATCCACCTTCGATCGCTTCCTCTTTGAGCAAGAAATGCAGCTCTCCGCAAATCCAATCATAAGCCCCAGAACAACTGACAGATCTGAGATAATAATAACAAGCTCCACTGTTTATGTTCTCAGGCAACCGTAGTGAGTCCTTATCGAGATGGAGGGGCTTTGGGTAATATCCCTGGCGGAAATGCAGATCCGAGCCATTAGACATCTAGAAAGCAAGCATGGGAGGGGAAAAATGAACACGTCAGCGCTCTAACTTGAGATATGCTTTCCAATCACCTCTGCGCCTGTCTGCTGCTGGTGCACTCTGACTCGCTCGGCAATGCATCAGTAGTGTGATATTCCGTGCATACAATCCCCACTTCGTGAGGCGCTTAGGCCCGCACGACCAACTTCGATTCAGCTGGATTCAGTGCGACCGCTCGACATTCTGGCACTCTCCATTCTGTCTAACGATCAGAGCTTTCTCCTCTCGGTCAGTGCATATGCAGATACGATGAGTGATGAACGCCCCGTTAAGAGGTGGTTCAAGCGGGTTTTCGAGCGGGATTCAGCAAGGGGGTCAAAGGTGTCGACGAGACATGACGCTACCAGAGTGCCTGTGGTGACAACAAGTATGGGAAGAGAACCAACCTATTTGTTTTGTTTTTGACTTTATATAGAGAATGGCTCCCCCTATGCTTCCAACGAGTCGCAGGCGACTTTCACAGTCCCAGTTACTCAGCAGACAACCACAGACCCTTCTGCCTCGATTACGGCGCTTCGGGAGAAAAGAATCTCATCAGCCATTCAAGACAGAGAGAAGAGTGCCGTAACTCTGAGTGCGGATCGAAAGCAAGATACTGATAGCAGCGTCGCTGAAGTTACTTCACCTTCTCTCTGGGACAACGCATATGATTCTCTGAGGCAAGAGAAACCTGAGTTGTTGTCTGAGTATGAAGACCTTTTTTCCAGAGTGCTCATCAAGGGTGAATTGAATTCCTGCTAAATCTGTCATATAGAAGTGCTAATGATGTATCCTAGCTGAAACGAGGACCTCAGCGGTCCCAACTCAGGAAGATGATACAAAACCTGTCAGAAATCAGATCCCCCAGGGAAAACATAGCCTTGCGTCGGAAGAAGCTGAAACAGATAACCGAGCTTGGCCTGAAGCATATGGAAGATAAGGAGGTCAAAGTGACTGTTCTAGGCCATGATGTCAGTCTGGAAAACGGAGTGGGTAAGATCGGCGAGGCCGTAGCTTGGGCCCAAGAGTACATCAAGGATGCGATCAAAGATGTGCCTTATGCTCCCGCTGTGATGGCAGGCATCTCCATTATTCTTCCTCTCCTCAAGAACCCATCCGCTATTGATTCTGCCAACCGAGAGGGGCTTGTCTATGTCACGTCGCAAATCCGCTACTATGTCGAGATGGAGTATCTCTTACTCCCAGAAGGGATGATGCCCGGTTTGGAGACTGACCTGAGGAGGGCCGTGACTGACTTTTATAAGCTCATTATTGACTTTCAGGTGCAAAGCGTTATGCGATTCTATCGCAGCCGGAGCAAGAATTACTTCAGGAGTGTCATTAACTACGATAGCTGGGACGAGAAGTTGGAACAAATTAAGCGGGAAGAGACAAGACTCGAGAAGAAATTACAGAAGTCTCTATCCGGTACAGGTGTGGAGCAACTGAGGAAGTTAGCCAAGCTAGCCGCAGAAGCAGAAGAATCACGCAAGGCCTTAAATATGATTCTCTTCAATATTGAGGAGGATGTTCAGGAGCTTGTCAGGATCTCCCGAAGGGCTGAACAACGTTCACTCAATGCCGATGACCAGCATTGGTTGAAGACACTCAATGCCACCGACCCTAGTCTTGATAAAGTTCGGATCGAGGAGGCCAAAGGTTGGCTCGTTCGAGACTCATACAGCTGGGTGCTCGACCACGTGGACTTTCAGACATGGAAGGATTCAAAAGACGCCCAGCTTCTCTGGATCAAGGGTGAGCCCGGCAAAGGCAAAACGATGTTGCTGTGCGGAATCATTGATGAGCTTTCAAGAACAGCCATGCATGACACAAATATTGCATATTTCTTTTGCCAAGCAGACAGGAGCTACCTTGACAATGCCACAGCAGTTTTGCGAGGGCTGATCAATATGCTCGGCAGGCAACAACCCTCACTGATCACCCATATCCGCGACGGTTTTTTCGAGGGCGAGAATGCGTGGTATGCGTTACTCAGAGCATTCACGAATATTCTTGAGGATCAGCATCTACAAAGCACGTACATAATTATCGACGCACTTGATGAGTGTAAGACCGACTTGAGCCGACTGCTTCATGTTATCGTTGAAAAATCGTCGGTGTGTCCACATGTCAAATGGCTTGTCTCCAGCCGAAATTGGCCGGATATTGAAAGAGATCTCCGTGGTACCGCGCAGCTACAGCTTCGCCTCGAACTTAACGCGAGCACTTTATCGTCCGCCGTTGAAATTTTTGTCCAGCACAGAGTGAAGGCGTTGGCAGATAAACACGACTACGGCCCTGATATGCAGAACGATGTCCAGCATTATTTAGTCTCGAGGGCAAGTGGCACTTTCCTATGGGTAGCCTTGATTTGCGACCAACTCACCAAGACTCGAAAATGGAACGTTATGAAACGCCTGGAATATTTTCCTCCTGGTCTCAATGAGCTTTACAAGCGGATGTTGAACCAGATCAGCAGATCGGACGATGCTGAAATATGCAAGTCTATCCTCGGTGTTGTCGCAAGTGTTTACCGCCCCATCACGTTAGACGAACTGGCATCTTGTATGGATCTGCCCGAGGAAGTGAGGGAGGACGAAGGGACTCTAGTAGAGGTGATAGAGCTTTGTGGCTCTTTTCTGACGCTACGAGGACGCACAATTACTTTGGTCCATCAGTCGGCCAAGGATTTTCTCATAGGCGACGCTGTTGATGAGATCTTTCCTGACAAGCAACAAGAAAGTGTACACTCTTCCATCTGCTTCAAGTCGTTACAAGTTATACAGACCCTTCGACGCGATATTTATGGCCTGGTTGCCCCGGGATATGCAATCGATCGGGTCCGACAGCCAGATCCAGATCCCCTCGTTGCCGCACGCTACGCATGTGTCTACTGGGTTGATCATCTAGCCAAGTGTTCTCCTAGGCAGCTGGCGCAGATGAATTTTCAAGATAATGGGCCGATTGGGATGTTCTTCTGTCAAGACTACCTTCACTGGCTCGAGGCTTTGAGCCTATTAGGAAGCCTAACACAGGGAGTAGCTTCAATACTGAAGCTTGAGAACCTGTTGAAGGTAAGCTTCCATTTAATTGATCTCTAACCTATGCTAATGTGATAAATTCAGGCGACAGCAACAGCAAACCCCGAGTTGGTCAGTAGAGTTCAAGATGCAAAGCGCTTTATTCTATATCATAAGATCGCGATCGAGAACCACCCGCTCCAAGTATACAGCTCTGGACTCATATTTAGTCCAGTCCAGAGTATAACCAGGTGTCGATTTCAGACACAGGTACCAGATTGGGTGGTCGTAAAGCCAAAGATGGAAGAAAGTTGGAGTCTATGCCTACAGACACTGGAAGGTCACAGTGACGATGTCACATCAGTCGTCTTCTCTCATGACTCTAAGCTACTCGCTTCCAGCTCAGAGGATCGCACTATGAAGCTCTGGGATCCCAGCACCGGAAAGTGCCTGCAGACACTAGAAGGTCATAAGGACGGGGTGAACTCGGCTGCCTTCTCCCATGACTCCAAGATACTCGCCTCCAGCTCAGAAGATCGGACTATCAAGCTCTGGGATACTAGCAGTGGAAACTGTCTACAAACTTTGCATCATAAAAGCCGTGTCTTTTCAGCTCGATTCTCCCACGATTCTAAGCTACTTGTCTCTGTTGTATTTACTGGGGAGCTCAGTCTCTGGGATGCTCGTTCTGGGCACTGCCTAGAGGTTCTATGTGGCCGTGGCTGTCACAACTCATTTACCTTCTCTCATGACTCTAAGCTACTCGCCTATGCCTCTGGTAGTACCACTCTTAATATTTTTGACACTGTGGAAATGCGCAGCTTCAATATTCTGGAAGGTCATGGTGGCCGGGTTCATTCAGTTGCCTTCTCTCATGACTCCAAGCTGCTGGCCTCCGCCGCCGGGGATCATACCATTAAGATCTGGGATACTAGTACCTTCAAGTGCTTGCAGACTCTTGAATACTTCAGCGGCTATAAGCCTCATGTGATATTTTCCTATGATTCCAAGCTCCTCGTCTTCTGTTCAAGTGAATTCATGAAGGTCTGCGATACCAGTGATTACCAGTGTTTGTGGAAAGTCGATACTACCAATATTCGCTTTTATTGGCCCATCCTCTCTCATGATTCAAAGCTACTCGCTTCTAATGTATTGGGTGCTATTAGCATATGGGATCCTGCTACAGGACAGTGCTTACAGACTCTAGACGATCATAGTGGCCGGACTGGTTCAATCTGTTTCTCCACTGACTCCGCGCTACTCGCCTCTGGTTCTAAGCATACTGTCAGAATCTGGGATAGTGGCACCCGGCAGTCCTCACAGAACCTAGAGACTGATGATGCTACTGTCTATACACTCGTCTTCTCCCCTGATGCTATGATGCTTGCATCTAGGACAAGCGGCTCCGTCAAGCTCTGGGATACCAATAGTGGTCAGTGGCTTCATACTCTGGGTATGACCAATGGGTCTGTAAATATATTGGTCTTCTCCCGTGATTCCAAGCTACTTGCCTATTACTTCCAGAATACCATCAATCTTTGGGATACCAGCAGTGGGGAGTGCCGAACAACTTTAGATGGCCATTTTTCTGATGTTGTTTCTATAGCCTTCTCCCATGACTCCGGGATACTCGCCTCTGGTTCGGACTATGAAGAAGGCAAGATTAAGCTTTGGGATACTGGCACGGGAAGATGTCTACAGACACTTGAGGACCGTGGTTTTCCTGTTACTTCGGTTGCCTTCTCCCACGATTCCAAGCTGCTTGTATCTGGTTCCTTCTTTCATATTGGTCTCATAGTCTGGGATACTAGCAGTGGGAAGCGGCTGCAGACTTTGAAGGGTCATAGATTGGGTTGCATCGAATCACTCGCCTTTTCTTCCGATTCTAAGCTTCTTGCCTCCTACGCAGCAGACCACAGTATCAGTCTCTGGGACACTGATACTTGGCAGTGTCTCCAGGTTTTGGATGGCCAGGGCATTTCTTCCATCCATTTTGACATCTCCGACCCATGCCTTCTTCTAACTAACAGAGGCAGTATCCGAGTGCCCTTGGTTGTTGAGAACGAATCACCCCAAGGAGTCCCAGTAGTACCACAATTCCAAGCATTGGGCGTCAGTCTCGATGGGAGCTGGATTAAGTGGTGTTCGGAGAACCTACTGTGGTTACCACCGGAGTATCGTCCGTATGTAGTTACTGTGGCAGCCTCGCAGTCAGCTATTGCTATTGGCTGTCGATCAGGGCTAGTTTTCATACTCAGGATTGATGCCCAAAAGCTTTTACAGTATCTTGCTGGGGATTGATTTATGATGATGATAAATTCATTTGTGTATCTGTCAGCCGTACAGGCCACTTGACTGCAGTGACCGAGGCCATCCGTCAACTGGTTTGAATAGATTCTTATTATACAAAGAGAGATATGGTGATGAATTTCATACGGCATGAATATTGTGTCCTCCGCTAGTTTACTCTGCTCGAGTGTGGTCCGACCAAGATCAAGCTGCTCGGGTGTTCGCTACAATAGGGCCATTTGATCCTGACACTCGACGAAGAACGTATCTCGCTTCTAGGATGAAATAGAGACAAGAGTGAGGTGGCTCCTGATCTACAACCCAGCAATGTAATCGTCCAATTATCCAATGTTATAGCAAACTTTGAGCGAGCAGCTTGACGTCATGGAGCTCTCGGCCGCTTACAGCCCTCAGACGGCCGGGGATGCAGAAAGTTGGCTGAACATCATGAGGTTAGGGATTTGGGGGTGGTCGGCTCGCATTTATTGTGTAGGAGGTAAGGTGTTGGCCTTTGTTATCGCGGTGCGTATGTGTGTCGAGAGAGGAGATGACCGATGCTCGGGGAGCGGCGGGTACTGTACAGCACATCCGAGGACTGGTCGTCAGTTAGCTGGATCAGACATTGTGGGATAAGTCGGGGCTTACGGCCGCAATACGTTCATGTCAAAGTTTTCCATGCAGGAGAAATGGAAAGAACGGCGAAAGTGAGAGGTGGAAATGTGGACATTAGGGGACGTGCAGCAGCCTGCAGCAAGTGACAGCGAGACCAATATTCCAGCCCACCAGCACTTGCCTTGCCAATATTATAATAGACCACAGAAGTGCTTTGAAATCGGTGACTCCGCCATACTTTGGACACACTTAAGTGAGCTACTGGCAAGACTGGTGCTGGAGGGTGATATTGTAGCGAGAAGGAGTATGGAGGATAGTTGTAGGCGCGAAAGCGGGTGCTATGCTGCACCAAGTCCTTGGGGTTAACAAAATATCGAACTATGACCCGATAGTGATGAACTTTGGCCTCAACAAGGACAAGGTAGATAAAGGCAACCACCCACTGCTCCATGTTCTTGTTTGGCGACCGAGACCAGGTTCTTCATCCACATCGACATGCTTGCGTTCAATATCTGCCATCCCCAACTTCCCGCATTCTTATTGGCCTATGTTCCGTGTCCCGGTCGTATCGATGTCTCGTGAAGTAATGAGAGGTCGGTTTCGGGCTCAGGGGTGGGTATATGTCGTAGATAACATGACCATCGATCCTTGTCGACTGATGGAGGTGCGTGGATGTCCTTTTGGGATGGGGCCTTGCGGCCAGATCGCTGTGCGGAATCTGATCGGGGACGACATCTTGAACGACTGGGAGACCGATCAGGGAATGACCTTGCACAGTCTTGCCTGGATCCAGTGTCGTACACCCGATATCAAGGATGATGGTTAGCTAGCTCCGAGATAAACCTCGGAACGGTTCGGGGACTGAAGAGCTGACCTAGAAGTCTACTTGTAGACACTCCTACGCAATTATAGGCCCAGTAACTGTGCAGACTCGAGGAAAATTTCAAGGTCGTAGAGGTTTGATCTCATTTGAGCTGGGGCAACTCATAAGGGTCAAGAAGTGCATGGAGGCTAGGAAGTCCTCGGTGTAACCAAGGATTTCAGCCTCATCACAAGGTTCCCGTTCCTTCGTGGACAAATGACTGCTCCACGTCAATTCTTCTAGACGTTCAATTGGTTCAATCGCCAGCTCAAGCAAGGTTGTTACGCACTGCTCTCAGCCTGACTTCTCTAATCCTTCGGTCGACACTGACAAAGCCTAGGCACGCGAGCCAACACCCTAGTCAACAATCACAACATCTACCTGTCACGACCGATCCACTGCGTCGAAATGAGCCTATCCGATGTGCAATTCACCATCGAGCCCGGGGGAGGGTTTTGGGCCATATGATGATCGGCGATTGAGCTGAGTTCTTGCTACCAACACCTGGAGATCAAATCCAAGCCACTCCTGACAGTCTTGATAAGCCATATTATAGTCTCAGGATGGACATAGACTACTCTCCGAAGTCCAAGATGGACTAGCTATGCCTACTATGTCTGCCTATGCCGACGTCCAGCCTCACCCTGGCGTCAGCAATTGCTCCCTCCTTTGTCCTCTTGTCTCGGAATTATGTGCCTGAGGAATCAAAACACGCATTGTTCATGCAGTCCACAAAGGACATGGCACCTATCTTCTGACGACCTCGCAAATTATACCGTGTTGTTCTTATTGCTCAAAAGGGTCGAGGTAGCCAAGAACGATGCTGGAGGGAGGTGGTGGTGGGAGGCGAGAGGAGGGTGGGTTGGGTAGAGGAATAATGTTGCTGTCTCCCGTGCGGGTTAACGTACCTTCGCCAGCTGGCAACAAACTCGAGGAGGGAATGTCTTAGTATTTGCTATTTTTCCCTTCCTGTGAGTCCCATATGAGCTGAAGTGCAATATGACTAAAACCAACCAGATCGGACCCAAAACGCAGTTTCCAGAATCGTAACCCCCGGCACGACCTGTCTTTCTCTTTTTGTCGGTCCGCCGTTCCTCATCTTTACCCGGCCAGATCGCATACTGTCAGGGTGCTCGCTCAGACTACAGAGAAGGAATTCATGATTGATTCAATAGCTCCATCTATTGTTCTTCGAGTACATGACATTTTCATGCAAGAGATGCAGGTAGAAAGTCAGTCCCCTGCGGTGCTGTCATATAACTAACTGCGGCTCTCCTCAGAAGCCAGGACTTGGCCCGCGTTCAGTATTCTTTCAGAGTCAATGATAGGGTCCTGGTAGATAATAGTCTAGGTAGCAATAGCAAGGTTGACATGAACGTCCCCACCGACAAAGTTTCTAGGATCGATGAATTGCAACCAGGCTTCGATTGACACCACGCCATGCCCGCCGTTATGCATAGACTGTACACGCTCTAATAGACAAACGAAAGAACACGCGAACGAACCTCACGCGCAAAACCAACCAGAATACTCCTCATTCGATTCCTGAGTCATTCACAGCGTCACATCATCTAGAAGTTAGAGCCCTCCGGAGGCTGAGGAAGCTTCTTGTGTTGGGGCAGAGCCATATACCTGGAACAATAAGAACCAGACACATCAAAAGAGTTTGGAACAAAACATACCGCCTGATCTCGAGCAGAATAGTCTCCATGGTGTATTCGCGCTTCCATTGAGCCAGACAAGGCAACTTGGTGGGATCGACCTGCGGAGATGTCAGTATTCTGGATCTTGTTGGAATGCGGTATAACGCATGCGTACCTTGCCAGTGTGGGGATCAACGCATGGCAGATTGATCCGAGAGCTAAATTGAATGGACGGGGGATTGTCGGGGTAATCGGGACCGCAGTGAATCTTGACACTGTATATTCTGTTCTCGTGAACGCTCTATGTGTGTTCATTGTAGGGTCAGTAATGCTGGCATATCGTAGCGGGGAGGAAGTGTATGTGGAATAGACGGACATGAGGAGGGCCGAGTATGGTGCCATTCCAGTTGCTCATCATCATATCTTCGCCATCGTCTAGACCATAGGAGCACGCCTCTGAGGATAGGAACAGGAAAACGTTAGTGAACTGCTATTCATGTGCCGTCTCGCGGATGCATTCTCTCACCTGCGCCCAAGCCCTTCTCGCCCTTCTCGAGCTCTTCGAGCAACCTGAAGTTCCTGGGAACCTTGGCCGACATTTTGTAATAGGTAGCCGTGGAGTTAAAAAGAAATTCCTGTCTACCTGAAGTAGGTTGTGAGGAAAGTCATCAAAGAAAGGTAGAGGAGATCAGTACCGAAGCCGGAGGAGGGGCAGGCCGACTTTATCCCACCCGCGGGCAATGCTATTGCGTATCTTGTCCCGCCGGGTTCCTGAAGAATTGGTCATGTGATGATAACGGCCAGCCGATACCACGTGACAGCTCTATCTCCCCGTCGCTGCCTTGGCGCTCCTTAGAGCTGCCACTTCTGATGATGAAGTGCTTGACTGTTGATTGTTCGTTCAAGTTGCGGGTGACGGCAATTATGTATATGTATTGATGTGCAACCGCTTTAAGGAAGACGCCTACATTGTCCATCGATGTGCTTTCCCCCAGCTTCTCTTCCCTTTCTTTACCGACCCAATCAGCGATCCAACCACATGAAGCCACATCTGCCTAGTGCTACTGTACTTCTGATCGACTGATAGCGACTGGCACCGGCTATGATATGATCCAGCACCTTCTCTGAAATGTCCTCCCAGTTCTTGCAGGCGGAACTCTTGAATCTCATCCAAGAGTCTAAGAGAAGAAATTCGGAACTTCGAAATGTTAGCTTCAACCCTTCCAAAAGGGGATTCTCGAACATTGATGCTGACTAAAGATACTGCAGGCCGCCGAAGAGTCCCTCAATGACTTGAAGGCCTTACCTTCAACCTCGGAGGCCCAAATTTCCGCTGGTTAGTGTCTTATAGGCCCATAATCGGACCTCACTCATGTGACACTGTTGCTAAGATTTCATGAGATCTCTTGCGCAAACCGAAGTTTGTAAATCCATTCATCCTGGCTTGCCATAGTCGCCATGCCAAGCTTGCAGGCATTGGTGTCATCTGCCTGCAAAGGCTGGTGGCATCACGGTCATTGCCCTCAGAGCGTCTCAAAGATGTGCTCTCGGGTCTAAAGGAGACAACCAACATGAGTAGGTCATTCCAAGCTAATCAGTCAAAGCCATACTTATGCTACAAAAGGCCTGGACATCCAATTGAAGATACTACAAACATTACCATCCTTGCTCCAACATTACTCGAGCGACTTGGGGGGCGATCTCCTCGTGAGTACTCTCGAGATCTGCGCCACCTTGCAAACAAATAAAATGCCTGCTGTTTCAAGCACCGCCGCTGCAACGCTACAACAACTTGTGGTTTCCTCATTTGAGCGAGTTTCCATTGAAGATAGTTAGGACCCTGGCCTGTTGAACATCCCCCTCACAGCTGGTACTGACTCTACTACAGAGAACTTTGGCAAAGCAACTCCCACAGTCACAGTTAAGGTAGACGGAAGCCCCATTAACGTGGGAAATTTTGCCTATGACGCTTTACGTGTAAGGTCTCACGCTCCGCGGCAATCCTAAGCCAATCGCTAACCAATGGATTAGGTTCTAGACGATTTATGTCGTCTCGTAGATGGCGAACCGCTTTACTTCCTTCGAATAAAGTCTCTCTCTACGCCATTCACTTTAGAGCTGATCGAGAGCATCCTGTTGAATAGTGGAAGGCTTTTCGTTACCCATGCCGAGTTGACTCAGGTCTTGCGGACTCGACTCATGCCATTGCTTGTACGAATCCTCTCTGAGAGACATACTTTCTCTCAGACTGTTCGTGCCATTCGCATCCTGTCGGTTCTCCTTAAGCGTCATATGTCCCTTCTGCCTGCCGAGTGCGAAATGGCGCTTGGGCTAGTCACACATCTACTCGAACCGGATGGGACATCGCCTTGGAAACGCGTACTCTGCATGGAACTGTTCAGAGGGCTGTATGCTGAGCCAGGTCTGGTCAGGCTAATATATTCTTTGTATGACGGGGAAGAGAGAAGGAAGAATATATTGAAAGACCATATGGCTGCTCTCGTCCGCCTCGCCTCCGAAAAGCCGTCTCTCATCGGGGTTAGTGCCCGGTCGACTGTACCTTTAAGATCCGAGCACTCGAGGTCTGTCACCGAGGAACAGATCACTCTCGAGGCAGGAGGCGTTGCTGGCGTCATTGGAGCATCAGTTCCCATTACTGACTCAGATGCGCCGGGAATCAGCAGTCAATGGAGTGTGGTTCGAACACCTTTCATGGAACTGCTTGACAAAACTGAGTCGCCATCACCGCCTGAGACATATATCTATAGTCTCGTCCTGAACTGCATTAGCAACTTTGCTGAGGGACTTGCAAAGTTCATACTTCCATTGACAGTTCCTGACCTGAAACAGAAACGGCGAAGTCGTGTGCCAGGCCTTGAAAAAGGAGGCGACGCCTCACGGCAGCCGCAGGACAACATGAAGAATACTCAGAACAGGAAGTCGTCTGTACCAATAAACCCTTTAAATCTGGAGTCTCATCCCCAGCTCGCAGCCATCCAAAGTTGCGCTGGCATTATCGAAAATTGCTGGCCCGCAATCCTTGCAGCATGCTCCACGTTTCTGTACGCAGCCCTTGACGATGAGTTCTACCACAACCTTGTTCGATCATTTCAGAAGCTGGCACACGTTGCTGGCCTTTTAAGATTGTCGACGCCGCGTGATGCATTCTTGACGACACTCGGCAAAGCAGTTATTCCTGCGGACACAGGTAGCGCCAGACCTGCGAACACACCAGCTTCCGCTACGACGGGCCCACAGTCCAAACAAATGACAGATGATAAAACCAGGGACTCGCAACCGTCTTTAGGTATCTCGACGCTATCCAGCGAAGCGAACACTACCCTGTCACAAGAGAGTACAATCGTCTCCCTAAGCACCAGAAATCTTTTGTGCTTGCGCGCTCTGCTCAATCTTGGAATTGCGCTCGGGCCAACTCTAGATCAGCCGGCCTGGTCCATTGTTCTCGGCACACTCCAAGATACTGATATCTTGATCGGCTTGACTACAAACCCTCAGGCCATGACAAGCTCAGCGGAAGCCTCAGGTGCCTCCATGGACGTGCCCAAAGCTAATCTCGGCGCTGAGATCATAGCCGTACAAACAGCGTCCGCAAAGATGTTCGAGAGTAGCGGCGAGTATCCCATCGAATCATTTCAGGATATCTTGGCTGCGCTTTTAGACCTTTGTGGGACGGCTGAAGAGTCTTCACAGTGTGTACCGGAGTCTCCTACTGGGGAGCTGCTTTCTCCGCGCTCCAGTTTCATGCGCAGAAATACTCATCGCATGTCACTTTCGGTAGGAAAATCGAGGACACAAGACGAATTAGTACGATTTGTTCTTGAGAAAGCCAACGAGATAGCGGTAGCCAACGTGGAGCGACTGTCTTCTTTGAGCGAGGCTGATCTGGGAGCCTGGAACCTTCTCACAAGTAGGCTGATGTCGACTGCGGCGGACAGAGTGCTCAGTCAGGGACTTCGGCTCAGGGCGAATGAGGTGCTCAACAGCGTTGTAACACTCACCTTGAAGCAGAGAGATGGCGATGACTCTGTGAAGCAGAATGAGCGACAACTCAGAAATCTTCAAGTGCTCAAGACGCAGGTCAAGTTGCTCTATGAGGCAAGCGGATGCTCGATTGGTTTTCCTACGGCCCCAGTTGTTGAGATCCATGAGCAAAACCTAGAAACCCTCAAAAGCATTCTTGAGCAGTACGGTGAAACATTTGTGGATGGATGGGCATCTGTCTTCGACCTCATAACAAGCGTATTCGGTGAAAGTGCTGAAAAGGGACGAATTGAGGATTCGAACCGAAGAAACCGGGCCAGATGGATAGCAGACTCGGTTCGACTTGTGCGGGTCGCGTATCAATCCTTGCAGCTTATAGCATCTGACTTCGTGGCATTGCTTCCATTACCCTGCCGATTGGATCTGGTGGAGTCTTTCTCCAAGTTTGCGCAACAGCAGCAAGATTTCAACATCTCGTTGACCACAACGTCATCTTTCTGGAATGTTTCAGACTTCCTACAGGGACAAATTGAGCAATTCTCGATTGAATCTCATATCGATTCGTCAGTGAGCGAGGACGCGCTTGCCAACCTCGCCAAGGGAGATAACCCCTCGATTGCGCGGAACGCATTATGGTTACTGCTCCTTTTGAGGATAGTAGACCTGACGACAGATAGTAGATCGGAAGTCCGAAACTGCGCTATCCAGACTTTGCTAAGAATCTTCGATGCTTACGGGCAGCAGTTATCGCCCAAGGCATGGTGTTTGTGTCTGAATAGGGTCCTCTTCAGCATGGTGGAGGAGATAGAAGATGAGCTCTGCCTTACACTGGACAAGAATGACTCTGGCAATCCTGATTACGCCAAGGCATGGATTGAGACAACGGCTGTCATGGTCAAGGGAGTATCTGATTTAATCACGAATTTTTTTGGGACGATAGTTCGGGACGAGCTATTCGATCAATCATGGGAACGCCTGCTGGGCTACTATCGAAGGCTGCTTGATCTGCACCTGCTTGAATTCAGTGAAGCTACCTACTCCAGCTTAACAAACATCCTTCTTCGGATACAGTCCCAGGATGGAATCGGCAAACAATCATTGCGGTCAACCTGGCTTATGTGGCTCAATGGTCACCCGGCCGATCGGAAAGATCTCTTAAGCCTGGATAGTCCAAACCAAGATGCCGCAATAGCTTACCTTCGAGCTTTTCAACAGATCTATCGTCTGTATAAGGAAGATCTTGAAGGTGAAAGTGTTGAGAAGATTCTCGGACATCTTCAACTTCTTGCCTGGAACTCAATATCTCCGCCATACTCCCCGGATATCGACCGCCCTTCCAAGGTGCAAGCGTTGATCCTCGAATGCTTGAAGACTTTGTGCTCCGAGAAGGAAAGTTCGCAGCCCAACATCGTTGTATGTCTGGGCGAGCTGGCTGATTCACCGCTGTCCAAGTGGTCGCCAGAGAGTGACTCAAAGAAGCCCACTTATGTTGCTTTCTCCAAAGGAGTAATTGATCTGCTCGACTGGTATGTCGCCGAATATGGGATTAAGAAAGACATATTCCTAGATGGATCACTGGCTATCGCCTTGGAACGTCTGGTGAATTCCATTGCCTTGAGATATGAATGGCCTGGGAAGGATCGTGATCCTAGTCTCTCGCAGAAGTCTACCACTGCTTCATTGAAAATCCTCCAGGTCGCCATACCTTACGTGGAAAAGCAGTATGACACCTGCGAGCAGGAGCAAATACTGCGATTCTGGAAATGCGTGGTCGATCTGGCGAATGGAATTGTCTCCGCCCGTGGTTTCCGAACTGTGCCCATCCCTCATGCCATGGTACTGAGCGACGAGACTTTCGATGTGGCTGCGTTCAACAGACTGAAAACGCTCATTATCCCGTCGCTGGGAGCATCAACGATCCCAGACTCCATCCGCCGGGACTTTGCCTGCGCCTTGTTGCGGTCATCGTTCATTTACGCTCCGCAGCGCCTTGACCTCCCTCGCAAACCCCTCGAAGAAGACCCGCTGCATGCATTATACGATATCCGTCCAGGAAGAACCTTCGATCCGTCACCCACCCCTCGTACCAAGATGGCATACACGGTAGTCGATACACTCTTCGAACTCGCCTCGGCCCCATTGTTAGCTCCGTCCGCACAGCCCTCGTCAGAGCACGGGTCATCTGCGGAACATTCCGCCGCCCGCATCGCGCTCGCCCGGTGCATCTCTCCGTACTTGATCCTCCGCACCGCCGTATCACTGAAAGGGTATATCGCCGACCAACCTCTGCGGGGCCTCATGCCGCAGCCCACCCCAGCCCGCAAATCCCTGCTGCATCTCCTCCGGGGCATGGTTGCTCTGCGGAGCGAGCCGTCGACCATCCCCACCCCGCCAGCCAGTCAATCGGGCGCGATCCATGGGACGCTGGCTAGTCCCAGCGACCTCGATCACAAGAAGCACCTGGCGTGGATCTACCCGCTGGTCGTGCGAGCGGTACAAGTGGCTGGGAAGCAGCAGGATGATGGGGAGGTCTTGCGCGTCCTGGGCCAGGTTCTATCCGCTTGAGACCGGCATGTGTATAATTTTTCCCTGTTCGCTAGTTTTATACATTGATGTCCTGACTGGAATGACCCGGTTGACAACCTAGGATCCTTGGCCGAGTAAGAGCAGTAGTAGTATCACGTACATTCTATACAATTTTGCAAACAATGCCTCAAGAAATTACCTATACCACCAGCACCACCAAGCAACAACAGACTACACCGAACAAACCCTACAGCAATACAACTCAACTATACAATACAATCCACGACCATCGCACCAAGGAAATATATTAAAGGAAGCAAGGGTATAAGTAAGTACAAATCCGCCGCCGAAGGCCATGCCCCTGATCCCCATTTGCACAGAAACCGAGTACACAATCAACGACCGCAGCTCGATAATTCTACAACAAGAAACAAAACCTAAGCCGCCGGCGCAGGAACAGGCTGAGTCGACTGCTGCTGCTGTTGCTGTTGCTGTTGCTGTTGCTGTTGCTGTTGCTGTTGCTGTTGCTGTTGCTGATAATGGTTCTGATGCGCCTCGCTACGACCAGGGCCGGGCGTGGCCGAGCCCACGGGCAACTGCTGCTGGTGCTGTTGGAGCAACTGCTGCTGCTGGATCTGCTGCTGCTGGGCGATTTGCGGGGTGGTGGCGATCTCGGGGGCTTGTCGGTACAGCACGATTTCGGATTGTTTGAAGTAGCGGCGGGCGTCTGTGTAGGAATGAATTAGCCAAAACTGGGGTTGGGTTTGGTTTGGAAGTTGACCAGAAAGGCGGTGTCGTTGAGGAGCCGAGATGGGGAATAATAGGGGTGGTGCGGTGGGGGTAATCATGGGGTGGGTGTGGGATTTGGGGGAAGGAAGGTGGGAAAATTGGGTCCACCACGTGAAGAGACGACGGTTGTCGCTTGGGGGTTAGTGTGGGGGTTTTGGGGTGCTCTGGACGGGCGGCGGCCCGATCAGCGAGAACAAGAAAAGCGCAATCAATAGCCGGTCGGCTATTGAAATGGCGCAGTGGGATGCCGTGGGATGTAGTGTCTCGATTCTCTGGCGAGGCTCGGCATGTGGACACACATACGCTTGTCTGATTTGTGATAATACCAAACAAGGTAGCGGGGTGGGGAGAGATATGAAACAGGACAGAAATGTGAATGTTTGTAGGTGACTTACCTTCGTCAATGAGCACCAGGCTGAGATAGTACCGTGTCGAGTACTTCTTGTTGACATCGCGGAAGGTGGGCGTCAGGTCGAATCCGCCGAGGAAGAGACGGATGGGGATGGTTTCACCTGGAGAATTATTGGCAATGTTAGCTGAGCTCGTCGAGTTGAGCTGACAGAAATAAGGTATCCGGGGGCTATGGCCGTGTTTTAGCCAGCAGGATCGACTCACCTCGCGAGGGCGACCCATCCATGATCTGCATGTCCCCATTAGCATCCTTACACCATTTACGAGAATCTCACAGCCGTACTCACCTCGAACCGCACCAGAGTTTCACTCTCGTTGTATTGGTTTGGCGGCGACCCCGTCGTCTCACGCCGGATAATCGACAGCTCCATGTGTTTGATCTTCAACCGCACCAGGAGGAAATAGATGCGCCCGACGATGACGTCCTTCAGGTGATACTTCGACTTGGAGTATTCGAACTCGATGTGCAGGCAGTCCTCGATGCCGACATCCATCTTGATGGGGCTGTTGGTCTCCGGGGGCATGCGGTACGAGTAGACCCAGAGGTCCTTCTCGCGGATCACGTCGGCCATGCGGCGGGAGACCGTCACCCGGACAAAGTAGCGAAGCTTGACGTTGATACCATTGTAGGATTCGTATTGCTTCTCGATGTTCTTGAAGTTGAAGGGGAAGGTCTGGGGGTGTTGCAGTTCGCCAGGCGCGGCAAGCTCCTGAACCAACGAGAGGAATTCGTAGTGGTTGCCGCGGTCGTAGAACATCTCTGCGATGGCACATTAGCTCACGCGGCACGAAGCAGGGTCATGCAGCCAGTGAATCCAGGGTGTGTGATATGGTGGGATGGTCGGAGCCTGGATCTCATACCGATCGTGCCAATGAACTGCACCTTGATGCCTGTGTGCTCCAATCGCTTTCCATCCTTGGGCCTGACAGTCACGGCACCCTTGACCGACTCTCCGTCCATGTAGAGAGGGACCCTCTCGCGACGACCCTTGTCCAATTTGACGTCCACCGTTTGGCGTTCATCGCTATCTTCGAGAACAACGTCGATGTCCACCGGGGTGGAGAAGAAGAGGGAGGTCATCGTGGCGGGGTGAGGGAGATCGAAGGGAGCTGATTGCTGCAGGGGAAGAGTCAATGGTTCTGATTGGCAGCTCTAGACTTCGTCAAGTCAAGCAATGTACCTGAATTAAAATAAGTTGAATTACGGCACAAGAATAATAATGGCCATGGCGTGGCCAGCTTCCTGTTGGTCTGGCGGCATCTTGACTGCCTGGCGGTGGACGCGCTGGCACTATCCCCGATTACGTACTCACCGCCTTCGTCATGCCTGCTTGGTGCTGGCCACAAAGAGAAGCACCAGCAGTGACTTAACTTTCTACTCGTAGGCTGCACGTCATGTGCTACCTACTGTACTCGACAGCTAGTGATGCATAAAGAAATTCTATAGACATGGCTCCGGCCTGATGACATGCGCTAAGATCGACGGGGCATTACCGACTTTTATTGAGGGCTGAAGCGGGGAATATTCCCTCTTGCGCTGCAGAAAGGGTTCCTTCAAGAATCTGGAGAAAGTCGGACTCCCCGGATTGTGAATGATCTCTATTCTAACTGGACACTCTGCACACAAGAAGAAGGAGGGGAATTTGGAAGGGGACGACTCTATGGTCCCCAGCTTTAATGGAAATTGTCAGTCTGCTTAGGGCGCTTAAGGATATTTATTCTTCTGCCTCCGTTTGCAACCATGACCTCTTCACCGGGAGGGGGCGTTGGGCCGAAATCCGCATGAACCCTTGCCCTCCGGTAGGATCATGCACAGAGCCGCCAGGAATTAACCGTGGAAAGAGGCTGCTTTCCAGCATGTGAGGTAATGTGTGTGCTTTTGTCGGCGAGTTTCCCATTGCCTCTGGCCGCAGCGGTGAGGGACGCATGATCAGGGCCAGACGGTTTCACGGGAGGAATGGGCTCTGCTCCGGTTGGGCCATGCGTCGCACAAACCGACGTGTACCTACCGGAATGAGTCTGCTGTGAAAGAGGAAATGACCCCCGTCAAGCTTAAATCTGACCTGTCGCGTTGCTGGAACCCGGGGAAGGAAAAGGTACGGCCCAGGCCGGACTTTTTCACGGGGCGTACTATCGGTTAATTCATCGCCAGTAGGCTGATGGATCGAGAGGACGGGAGGATGATGAGACCTCGTGATGCTGGTGAAATTGGACGTGCTGCCGTCTGTTTGGCGATCAGGCTGCCGTAGACGAACCAACAGGATGAATCATATTCCAGTCTCTGTTGTTGTTCGTTGTTGGTTTTGATGTTGGCTTGTTCACAACGGCAAAGCGGTAAAGCGGTACTGTTGGATGGAGTCTTTTCGAGAGAGGAAAGCCTTTGGAAGCATCGAAGAAGGTGTGTAGAAAAGGAACAGCGAGCTAGTGTCCAACAAGGAATAGTGTGGGGGGAACCACCCCCAAATTCCGTCCGAAAAATAGATTACGGCGTTTGGAATTTACTGCTCCGAAACCAAGTGACATCATGGAATGATGGAAGGAGCTGGTTAACTCGCCCGATACTCGTCCGAAACACCATGGTTTGAGACATGTTTGGATAAGTAGGGGGAACTTGCGTCAATGGCAATAATGTATGAGCGTGATTTATATGATGCGTCACTGCGTGGACAGTGGGACACCCTCCGACTATGGTCTGTCTGACTGTCGAGGGAATGTAAGAGGCGGTACGGAGGTGATACAGAGCCCGATCGGATCTCCCGCTAACAACCAGACCGCCGGACTCCAAGGCAAAAGATAGACGGTTCTTTATTTCTTTTTCCCCCACCCTTTTTTCTTGTGCTACTCTTTCTTTCCCTCCCCCCCACTCAATTGCATTGCAGAAGAAGTGATGGTGAAATGACGAGTGGGAAATGTTCCCTCCTTTTCTGATACCTTATATTTCCAAACAGCACCCGATGCCAGCAGCCGGGGTGGATCCTGGAAGGAGGTACCAGAATAATCTTATCCATCCAAGTCATCTAACTGAAGTGACCCACAAGCCCATGGAATTATAATTAGTATTGCCCGTCCTGGAACCCTTTCATCATTGTGATTTCCCGTCCGTTCCTTCTGCTTGATAGCCGTAGTTTCTGTCCTTATAAGCTCCTCATCCCCCGATTGTTTGCGTCAGAGAATCTTAAACCCAACTTCTGCCCACCTCAATCAACTACCTACACAACTACTACTACACCTCCGACCTCCTACATCCAACCCACCCAACAACCGAACCAATCATCTAAACCGTGGTTTCAACCAACACCTACAATTCCAAGCACGTCATACACTTTATCACCGCAGCGCAAACCCTCGCCCAAACCCAAAACCCTTGAACCAAAACAAAGCCAAAAGCCACTCATCCCAAATTCACCATGCTCTCAGCCGGCGAACGCCCGCAATCCGTCATGAAAAACAAAGCCGGGGTGGTAGACAGCGTGCTCAACACCGTCCCGATGACGATGTCAATGAGCAGCATGAACAACCACACCAACGCAATGTGGACCGATCAAACACAAACCCAGCCACCAGTCCAGCAGCAACCGCCGCAGCAGATCCAACACATCTGGGTGGTAACCGGACCGGCCGGGTGCGGGAAGAGCACCGTCGGACGAGGTCTACAGCAGGAACTGGGTGTGCCCTTCCTGGAAGGTGACGATGTATGTGCAGCCATCACCCATCACCACCAACCATCTACCACCAATCCCCCAACCCTCACAATCAACCTTCCAAAATACTAACAGACAAAACCAGTTCCACCCAGCAACCAACAAAACCAAAATGAGCAACGGGATCCCGCTCACAGACGCCGACAGATGGGACTGGCTAATCTCGCTGCGACAAGCAGCAATCTCGGCGCTATCGCCGTCCGAAGCGAACGGCTACCGCCCACCGTCAGGAGTGGTGGTCGCGTGCTCGGCGCTGAAGAAGAAGTACCGGGACGTGATGCGCGTGGCGGCGTACGGGTCGCCGTCGGTGCAGATCCACTTCATCTACCTCAAGGTCGACCCCACCATGCTGCTGCAGCGCGTCACCAACCGCCAGGCCCACTACATGAAGAGCAGCATGGTGCAGTCGCAGCTGATGGATCTGGAGGAGCCCGTCGGCGAGTGGGATGCGCTCACCGTCGACGTGCACGCCGGTCAGGTTGAGGTGCTGCAGGAGGTCATCGCCATGGTCCGGGATGCGTTGATCAAGTATCAATGATTTTTGCTGATCTTTTGTTTTTTTTTTGCGACCCCCCAGGTGCATGGGTGTGATGTATGCATGGGTTCGCTTTTCGGTGTTTGTGAGGTGTTTTGTTCGCATTTATCTGGAATCTTTGCGGGAGGGAGTTTTGTTGTTTGCTGGCTGTTTTCACGGGCTGATTCTGATACCTATCTATGTATATGATTATGATTGTTTGGAACTTCGATAACATACACTATGGTTCGAATATATTGATCTATGGTGCCGTGCTTTTCAAGAGATACTATAGGTATATCAGTAGCTGAATGCCCCTTGTCTAGGAGTGTCCGGATCTACTCACCCGTGGGTTCCGCGGTACGAATTGCAAGTCTGTTCAACGAAGCACCTACATGGATAGCTACATGCAACGAGCTCGGCGGAGTCAACCGAACTTGAATTAGACCGAAACAGGCTAATGAAATCTCAATTACGATCCTACGATCAAGAGTGCAAGACTTTGTCATTGCTCGATTACTATTTATTCAGCACAGATAATTACCATACAATCTCCCAATTGCCTCCATCCATGCCAACGGCACATGCGGTTCCTCTTCCCCCCTCTCAATCATCCTCAAGATAAGTCATACACCACGTCGCTCCCGACAGGCTCGGTACTAGTCATGGGCGACTTAGCTGTGTCGGGCTGCTGCTCGGGGACACAAATCAATGGCTGCTGCTGATTACTGAAGGGATCGTATTCCGTCTTCTCCCCCATCGCGCCACAGAAACGCTGGAACCAACCCTCGAACTGAGCCCTGGATGCATCGTCTCTCAGATCGATAATATCAGGAATCAGTGGGACCAGGCGTTGACCGGGGTCTGGATTTGTGCATCTCTCAGCCGCTTGAGTGCCGAGGTCACCCGCGTCGGGATAAACCGCAGGACTCTCGTCGCGACGATGGTGGACGTAATAGAAGAGTTTGACACGGGTGGAAAATCCGATCACCACGGGCCGTCCACGTGGGAGAAAATTGTGATCGATGAGATCGGAAGCGTACCCATTTCTGGACGTCTCTCGAACACTCAGCCGACGCAGTGCGTACCTCAGGGTGAGCTCCCACTCTTCGTCAGTTTCGTCCCGAGCGTGGCGCAGGAAACAGTGGAGGCCGCTGCACTTGGCGTTTCTCATGGTGATCTCGCGATATCGAGGAGGGACGAGACATCGGAATCTACCCTTGTCAAGCTCGAGGGCGTTGTGGTCATTACCGAGATATCTCCAGAGCAATTTCTGGATGTATTGGTCCCACCCTTTCCACACGGATTCGGTATACTCGTGTGGCCGCAGATGCAACAGCTTATCATCGTCTTTGGAGGGTAGATTGAAGTCATAGAAATTGAGACAATAACAAATTCTAAAGGCTGACATTAGTCTTAGACTTCCAAAGCTATACCAACAGCGAACTTACGGCTCCGGCATTTCAATGGCCTTTGTGTATGGGGCATCCTCATCAATAATCCCAAGAAAGCACAGTTGTATAGAGTCGATGATGCTGCGTCTTGCCGGATTCCTTATTCCGATCACTGGGCTCAAAACCAATTCATCGCCGTCTCCGGACGTTCTGCGCATTCGCGCAATGCTCTGCTTTCCCGTGCGTGTGTTCTTCAAGGTGTAATGGACGTTGTCGAAGTCAAAGCCAATGAGAGCATACTTATCGTTTAGTCGAAACTCACTCAGGCTGGTGTTGCGGCAATAGGCTGACAGATTGCTCATAATACGATACGTGCCGATATCGGTGTGCTCCATTACGGCCGACAGAGTCTCATTTGGCAGGACGCGGGACACGGCCCCTTCCAGGTCATGGTATACGGCTGCATCAAAGAAACGTAGCATTGTAATAAAAGTGGGAGAGAGGCCTAGCTGCTTCGACCAAAGAGCTGTCACTGACTTTATGGTTTCAGAATCGCTGGGGGCTTCGACCTTAGATATCTTCTTCTCCAGCCGCGAGTCATCAGTGGAGTCATTGCCTTCAGTGCTCGGAGATGGTCTACTCCGAGGCCCCTTTGAAAAAGACGAGTTGGTGTCGTTAAACTCGAACATGGACATGACTGGGCTTCTCTGGACGATGGTCTTGCCTGATGTTGTCCGGACACGCAACAGGACTACGTCTAGGATTGAGAAGACAATCGCATAAAATGAAGTGCGTCCCTGTTTGAGGCCGAACTCCACAGCTTCGGCAATAGCGGCTTCTTCAACCTCAACGCGATCAAGCCCTGAGACTAGGTGGACCAAGACGCTATCCATCCAATATGTTGTTTGCTGGGGAGAAGATCCGGCCTCCACACCGGGGTAGTGTGATTCGCAGAGAAAGCGAGGCATCAAAGATTCCGAGTCTGAAGACCCTTCACCTCGAACAAGGAAGTATCCTTCAGCCTCGTGGTTTCTGTCGAAGTGCTGGATGCTTTCCAAGGACACATTGCCTGTAGCCAGAGATAGAAACGCATATGCAATTTCTCTGAATGGCAGATCCTTAGGTTCCCATTCGAGATAGCTCCCATCTAGGATAGCACGGTGATCCGACTGCATGCACGAGCAAATGAACGTCAAGAAGGTTTCACGATGAAAAGAGATATCTTGGGGAAGATAAAACGATTCCGGCGTGACCGTCTCGACGTCAAGTAGCCTGTACGCAGCAATGGACGCGCTATTGACTTCGGGCTTGAAGGCAGGATTGGCCAGCATATGTAAGGGTGTGCACTTATCAGCCGCACGACGCCTGTGGACATCTTTACCGAGATAGGTAATCCAATTGGGATCATGTGGAAGCTTGGAAAGGTGGAGATGAACAGCAAAGTCGATGCTGAAAATCTCCTTGTCCAGGTCAACTGTGTAGAACCATTCGTGATCCGTGGACCTCCAATGCAGGGGCATTATCTGAAGTGGTGGGTGATTGATCTCATCGTCGACGGCAAAGTAGCTTTTCTCGTAGCGTTCAGCAAGCGAGGGGTCGGAATCTTCTTCTTCAAGGGGCTGAATGACTACTGGGAGACACTGTGTTTCAAATTGATCGACCAGACGAGAGAAAATGTGCCGAAGGGCTTCGAGCCATGCTGCTTCGAGTATAAGCTAGACTGACAGGATTGCTTAGGGGTGAGGAACATGCCTTGGTACTCAGCAGGGTCTTTAGGGATAGAGTCAACAAATTCCTGGCCTAGTCCCTCCGGGTAGCTGTCATACTGGTTGTGGTAAGTGAAGTATCTACCGCGGCAGCGGTAGACCATGAGGCCTCTTGTGCCCATGACTGTTAATGCTTATCCGATAATGAGACGCATGAAGTGTTGAGGAAGGAATGGAAACGGGAGGGGTAAAGAATGTGTTAATGGTGTTAAGTCGAGATGCGGAGAAGGCAGAGAGAAAAAGTGAGGAGGAGACTAAAGGTGGAAAGGTGAAGAAGGTGGGGTGAGGGGAAAGTAAACGGAAACAAATTATTTAGGCGGGCAGGCAGGCAGGTATGGTAGGTAGTCACACCACTACTCAGCTGGTCACTGGAGACGAGTCACCAACAAATTTGAAAACTAAGGAACAACTATAACACAATATGAATAATCTAGCACAGTTGGAGCGAAGGGGTTAAAATATTTTGCTGAGACCAGGCTGACAGCGCACGGGGCACAAGACAATCTGGAAGGCTGAGTTAGCGCGCGGTAGCTCAAGCACTATACCTACACGTGGTTTCGATGGAGTGGATGCAGCCTGGGGGTCTAGTCCTCCTCATTGTGCAGATGTCATTTATTCAATCGATCTAAAAGGTGTGGATTTTCTACGCTAATGTGCGGGGGATGGTCTAAACCAAGCTTGTTGGTAGTATGTGTTCGGTGATATCGCAGTTCTCCTGTGAATAGGTCATTGGTACTAAGCCTGTCAGAAAACCCTGATGTATGGCTTGTCTTGTGAGGAAATGTGACGAAAGAATAGGTAGAACACTAATATCAATACAGGCTGAAAATTAAAATTATGGTATCTAGGACTGCCCGAATAATAACCAGCTTCAAATATGGGAGAAGGAGATCCGGTGGCCAGAGTATCTTCGAAGCTGGCATAAAAATTATCACATCGCATAGATCCTTATAGCCCCAGCATCTTTGTATCAGCTTCGGCTGCAAGGATGGAGTCATCGATCGAACCTCCAGGTGCTCTGGATGCTTTCCCAAAACTCTTTGCTAAACATGTGGTGGTGGGAGGACATACCCTACAATACTGATTGTATAGCATAATGACGTGTTTTCAATTCTGATACTGTTCCAGGCTGCAGTCTTTCTTTATCTCATACTGGCGAAAGCAGACGCTCAGATGAGAAGAAACAAAGCTCATTCACTAGGAACATAGCGCTTTGTCCCCAACAAAGTGCAGTTGTTCTTTGTTCAGATAATTCATATCATGTCTAGTCTTCCTGGTCTACTACGAGCAATGACTATTATCTCTCCCTTGCTCGCACATACATTTAACCTATCCTATTGTCGCTCAACTACTTATGATATGGCCGCGCCACCACAACCACCAACATAGCGCCATGCCTACCAAGGAGCAACACCCTCAGCCCAGCAAAACAAAAAAGATCCTCTCCAAAATCATGCGTCGTCCCCCTGAGATTCACAATCTCACCCCGTACGCTTTACTCGAACTTGATCGTCGGCAAAGGAGAGCCCCCGAGCATCCGTCTGGGTATGACCCAGTATACTCTGCATTACCCTCGAGCTATACTTATGCTTATCATCCGATAGGACTGCCACACCCGCCACTCGTCTCTACAAACATCTGTCACCCGCGCAGAGAGACCAACTAAGACTGATCGCACATGCAGGTGGCTACGATCTCTCCGATCTCCGGGGTGTATGTCCTCCCTTCTGTTTCGATCCATCTCATTCTCCATCCTCTATCCACTACCTCTCATTCCTCTTCCCTGCAACACCAGAACTAACCACGCTCAATTGAAAAACAATAGTACCCCATCCCCGAAGGACTCCCCACCTCAAGCGCCCACGCAGCAGCCTCACCATACCACGAGAACCAACCCACCGATCCCGCCATCCATCCCCAGCGCCCCCAGCACCCCCATCACCTCCATCGCCCACACCCCCGCTCCAGCTTCCGCGCCAGGAACCGATCCTCCAACGATTTTGAGAGCCGCCGGCTCCGGCATCACACGCGGAACACCAATTGCCTGAGGAGAAGGGTACTGGTGCAGGAGGCCAAGAGAGGCAGTATTGAGCGGTACGGGATGGTGGCGGCGCCGTTCTGGCGACGGAGGAGACGGCGGTGGTGGGATGGGCGGTTGGAGAGCCAGGCGGAGGCGGATGCGCGGCGTTTGCGGGCTCTGGAGGCAGAGGAGATGAAGAGGCGGCTTCCGAGTCAGAGTCAGGGGTATGTCTCTGATACGAGCTCGGGTTCGAGCTCGAATTCAAATTCAAGTTCAAGGATGAGAGAATGGAAGAGGGGCGGGGGAAAACTTTAAGTCTACTGCGTCTTGAGTCTGGATCTGGATCTGGGTTTCAGGAAGTGGGTTTTATTCGTGAGGAATTGATCTGATTAAAACTCGTATGCTCTTGATTTTTGAGTCTAGGATGGGGCGTTCGGAGATTTAGTAAGGGTTACTGGGGTTGTCTCTTTTGCTTTGGTTGCAGGGGAGTGGTGAATCCATCGTGCAATCTGGGATGTCAAGCATAAGTAAGAATATATTCCGAAGAGAGATTATCTTCGAAGGTCATTTGTGGAGGACTATACATACTACCTTGTACCAAGGAATACCTCGTATACAAAGCCTTGCCATTCTACTCACCAAGACACGAACGAACCCTGACTGCGCAGCTTTGCCCTCAAAGCCAATCGTTAATAAAATTCAGCGCCCTGCAGAACCTGTCAATATTCCTCTTTCTCTCCCTGCCAGTAGGGATATCCGAATAGAGAGTCTTCTCCGGCCAGTCCTCGATCTTCCAAATCTGCAGCGAATACTCGTCGAACTCCCCCTCCCGCCTAACGCGCCACAGCATCCTGGTGGACCAATTCAGCCTCGTGCGCTCCTCGTGCTCCCAGTCCTCGTCAGCCAAAAGCTGAAAGAGCTTGGCATCGAGCATCTCGTGGGCCGCTTCAAGGCAGTCGCCATCCGCCGTGAGGACCCAGATCATGACATGCTACGCGCTTGGGGCCTCCCTTGGCGGCACCCACACCTCCATTTGAGATCGGAGCTCGACTTGGTGTTTCAAAAGGAATGAACAGTGCCGGAAGCGAGAGATTCCTGCGGCCGTCAACCCAGGAGTCGAGAGCCCAGAAATTGTGCGATGTTTGCTGGAAAGAAGGCATCATTGTTCCTTTTGATCACAGGGCAGATTGACTGACCACGGGAGGGGGAGTCCAACTGTCTGGAGTTGAATTGTGGAGTTGAGTTTGTTTTGCGTCATCGATGCGTACTTATATGTCGATTCTACAGGTGTTTTATCTCTAGTCCCACCAGATGAAAGAGATTATACGGAGACTATCTCTGCAGATTTCCCATCAGGCTTTCACAAACTAGAAACCAACAAAGAAGATAGCATTCTTTGGGTGGGTTTTCCAAGCCTTGCTCGTAAGCAGCAAGGTTTACCGCTTCACAGTAGCGTATACATTCAGTGGAGGTGGCCTTTCACCTCAGGAGGAATACTCTACCTGTCTGTCCTTCATGCCACATCTCATAGTTTTGGAACTACACCGGGCCCGATGTTTGAGATTCTCGGTGTGTCCGGAGATCAAGAAGAGTGGATTTTTCAACAACCCATAATTCTGATAGCAAGCAATCCTTTGGCTAGGCCAACTGATCCAACTGATCACGAGTTCATGACTATACGGTGTGGGAATAACTAAAAAGCAAAAAACGACAACAGTCGGATTTGAACCGACGCCTCCGAAGAGAATAGATTTCTAGTCTATCGCCTTAGACCGCTCGGCCATATTGTCTTGTTGTTGATGATTAAGCAAATATATACATCATCAAACCAATTGCAAACGAATGCAGAAGATAGCCGTTTCTACAAACACAAACCATGCATTGTTTTCGATCTTAAATAGGATGGTCCAAATGCTTTAATTTTGTCTCTGTTCGCTGAGGTTAGAGTCAAGCTAGTTCTATTGATACGAGTCCTGCCTTCAATTACTTCACTAGTCCAACTACTGGTATATTCTAGACGTAGAAATAAACATTCAAGTGCAACGAGAGCCAAGTACTCCGGTTGTCTAGGAATTGGCCCCTTTCACGGCCACTCGGCAATCTGACCAGGTGAATTGTGAATTGCAGTTTTGTCAAAAAACGCCGCAGTGCTAATATTACAGTAATTAAGCCTCGAGCTCAAGACTGACATCAATCGTTTGGGTTCAAAGCCCTAGCATTCTGGGCGTAATTGAGATACTTGATCACTACCATGTCGATGTGTGTGGTTACATACAGCTAAGTGCTTTAAGGACCTATCCAGAATATCAGTGTTATCATTGCAACTAACCAGGAGGGCCTTCTGTATAATTTCACCAGATCTAAAAAGCCGTTGACAGGGAACACGCTCTCGTTAAGCCATCTTTAATTGATTACCTTTCCATTCTATCAATGGATTCCTCATTTGAATGCCAGAGGAGACAGTGAATACTGTAGTGCCTAGGCTGAGGTACAGATCAGATATACACTTAAAATCTATATAGATTGACATGTTCTTTGTAATAAGGATTAGAGATAGGACATCAAATCGCCAGGTCTCTCTGGAAGAGAGAGACTTGACTGCCTTTTTTCCATTGGTTTTTCTTGTTTCCCTTTTTCTCCCGGGGTTCTTTGTCTTCCTGATTCTTTTCTTTATCTGGCAATTCTCTTTGTTTTCTTTTTCTTTCGCTCCCTCCAGGAGCACAAGGTATCAGTCATACCACAGCTTTACCATCGTCACAGCCCTAACCCGACGCTGGCTTTCCTCTTCGCCATCACCGGTCTCTCGCTGAGAGGCCAAGCGCTCAGCATCTTCCTCCGTAACGACACTGTGGATCAGATCAATTATGCGATCGTAGTGATCGCCGGCACTCTGCTGCCGCTCGGTAGAGCGAACATTCTCGCGACGCGGGGTTACCCCTTCATCACCACCAGTATCCTGCTGCTCGGCGTCGCGAGCATCCTCACGACGCCGGGCCGCTCCCTCTTCGTCACCGCTTGCATTATCGTCGTCGCCGGTGTCGGCGTCGTCCTTATCGGCTATCTCGTAGACGTCGAGCGAATCCAGCCGTGGAGTTATGGGGAAAGACCTGAGGAACTGCCTAATGATATGGCTGTAATCGTGATGGTCGTAATGGAAGTTCTGCACGCCGTGGTACAGGAACGGACGGGGCCCGCTGTCATACTCCTCGAGGAACATGCGTGTCTGAGTGATGTTCGCCGGGATGTTGATGTAGTGCACGATGGCGCCCAGGCGCTTGCCGACCAGCGCGGGATTCTCCTGGCGCTGCACCCTCCAGGTGTGCACAAGCAGGCGGCCCACGAAATCCCAACTGCGGAGTTGCCCGCGTCCAAGAGTGAGTGTGATGATCCGCTCCCGGTCCTCGTGCCCCACGCCATATTTCAGGTATCCGAATTGCCCCGGGCTGACTGTAGCCCGTTCGAACCTGACGGCTTCATTGCCCTTGTATGGAGAAGATTGAGGCATTTTGCTAGCTATTCGGGTTATGGTAGCTGAAGGACTTGAGATTGAACTGCGGTTGTTGTCTTCAAGGCTGTTTTTTGCTGTTGAATTTGTGATTCTGAAGAGAGAAAACTGGAGTCTGATGGAGAATGAGAGCTTCTGGGATTAATTGCGAGCTGGTAGCCATATTAATATACATGCTTGAGAAGCATAAAATTGCTGTTTGAAAGAGGTGTATCTAGGACCTTTCATGACACCAATAAGCTTTTGATGAACATTCCCTGTTATGGAAATGATACAATCAAAACTTCATAAAGCAAAGAGTGTGATAAGTGGCGAGTTCCACTTGTAGCAGGTGTGAAAGAAGAAGAGCAGCTATTGTCTCCTTCAAGATAGAGAGTAGGACTGCTTTCATACAACCATAATTCGCACGATGATAAACTCCCCAAGAAAGGACAACCAGTTTGAGGTGAGATGAAGGGAGAGCAGCGATAGAAATTCATCGGCATGCAAGTGAAGCGGAAAAGGCAGGCGGGGACCGGGATAGATGACTATTTGGGATCATCATCTAGAGCCACCGTGGCTCCTTCCGAATCAACACTTTGACAAATATTATGGGCCGGTGCATCTGGAAGTCACATCCAAGGGCCATCCAGGGACTGGTGAGGATAATAGTTTAGCGGCGACTCATGGAAGATAAAGCGGAGAAGGTTGATACTTGCTGGATCAGCTTCTTTGGGGAAAGTGCGAAGCGCCGGCCACAGAAAAGTCCGTGCAGTTGCGACTCTTGGTCCTTGAAATAGCTGAGAATGTAGGTAATGATATCACGGCGGGGATGCTAAAGATGTCAAGATGAAGGAGGTTTGGGTCGAACAGAGAGGCATCCGTAACGGTTCAGCCATTGCGCAAAACACTCAATACTTAGCTGGTTGTATAATGTCAGATGAGGTCCACTATTTATGACCGAGTAAGACTAGACGTCAGTTCTGTTCATTTACTTCGATATTTGGCGCTCAATCACATGCAGTATTATCCAGCGAGACAGCCGGAAGTCAGGAGCCTGGCACACTCGGCCATGAGAGATGGCTATGAAGGGTACAGGGAAGCTTGTGAACTACAAGGGTTGTGAGGGGTGATACCATTTTTTCTCCGGCCAATGCCTATAAATATCGCTTAGACCTCGCGTATTGCTACCAGAACACAGAAATAAAAGAGTGTAGATCATTGCGCTTGATTGGTAAGCTTGTGCCGGGAGGTGGAATAAGCACTAGTCCCAGTGGCTTGTCGACTGCCTTACTGGATTATTGCTTGCGTTTTGAACTCAGTAGTAGCACGCCACTAGGCAATCACACCGGCAACTTGCGGTCACAAAATCGCGCATCTGTCCACGCTACGTACAGGTGCATGACTCGGCTGAGAGTTGATTGGGCGATGGAGCAACGTGCCCTAGAGAGTCAGTGTTTGCTGTGAGGGGTCACAGTTAAGAAGTGGTATTGTACAGTACAGTATCTCAGGAACCCCTGAAGCCCTGCTCTCTAGTCTAAGATCACTTCAGACCCGGACTATATTATACTGTAAAAGTGAGACGATAACAGTATACTTACTCCAACCCTCAAAATTTCCCTCCTTGGCTCTTCCCACCGCCCCGGTCCGCACTGGGGATAAGATCAAACAGAAACACTATCGCAACCATGGAAACAAACCAACTCCAACCATACTCTTTCGTGCAACTCGACAAGGTTTGTAGATGTTCTTCCTTTCGAATATTTCCTCAAATCATTTGCAACGTTTGAGCTAAACTGCGAACTTTCTCTCGATGCTGGCTGGTCCAGCTCGGTGAAGGAACTTACGCAACTGTGCGTTAACCCTCGTCCGCCCGGCCCTTGACAAAAAGGACCAAATCACCAACCTATAGCTGAATTGAACAGGTTTACAAAGGGCGTAATAGCCAAACGGGAGAAATAGTAGCCCTCAAGCAGATTCACCTTGATCAGGAGGAAGGGACCCCGTCCACAGCCATCCGGGAGATTTCCTTGATGAAAGAACTCAAGCATGAAAATATTCTCAACCTGTACGATGTCGTCCAGGGCGACGGTCAACTGGTCCTTGTGTTCGAATTTATGGACAAGGATCTGAAACAATATATGGATACTCAAGGTGACCAGGGCAAGCTGGATCAGTCCCAGATCAAGTCGTTCATCTATCAAGTGCTGTGCGGAACAGCATTCTGCCATCGAAACCGCGTCATTCATCGAGACCTCAAGCCTCAGAACCTTTTGATCAGCAGTTCCGGTCAGCTCAAGCTGGCGGACTTCGGCCTGGCGCGCGCAATTGGAATCCCGGTCAACACCTTCTCCAACGAAGTTGTCACCCTCTGGTATCGAGCTCCCGATGTGCTCCTGGGCAGTCGAGCGTACAACACCAATATCGATATCTGGTCGATCGGCTGCATCATGGCTGAGATGTATCTCGGCCGACCTCTGTTTCCCGGTACCTCCAACGACAACCAGCTGCATCGGATCTTCCGTCTGTTAGGAACGCCCACGGAAGCGTCATGGCCGGGGGTTTCCCGACTGCCTGAATACAGGCCCAGCATATACCCACAAGAGGGCTTGATGGACCTACGCCAGGTGTTCTGGCAGGCTGACGAGCTGGCTCTGGATCTTCTGCGCAAAATGCTTAGATTATGTCCGGAACAGCGCGTCAGCGCTGCGGAAGCCATCATGCACCCCTGGTTTCGCTGACTTGGCTTTCATGTCCCCAGTGTAGCGTTTCCCTCTTCTCCTTCACGCAAGTGAGTCGACAGTCACTGTATTCATGGATCATGGAATCGAAACGTGCCCTATGATTTCCGGTTTTCAAAATCTAGTGTCTAGATAGCCACCTGGCTCTTCAATCATTTTCCCTCTGTTTAATCTACCATAGCGAGCAGCTCTTCTAATGGTGGCTTCGAAGTTTCTTTTTGACCGGGATCCAAGGTCCAGGCTTGTCAATCTTTATCCCGACCGAGTCAGAACTCAGCCCACGCGCGCTCTGTCCGTTTCATTGCTGCATTGACTACCATATTACAGAGATCCGAGTGTAATGCAAACGCGCGACATCCCGCAAGTGAAATGTTGACTGATGATTAAAGATAATTGATATAGTATTTCAACGTTTTTAGTTAGGTAGGGGTAGTATCGAAGCCTTTTAAAGATAATTAGCAATATCGGTGGTTCAATTGAGGCCGAGCCAAGCCAGAAAGAGCCACACCAAGCCTTAACCATGAAACCAAGCTGACTGACTGGAGCAGATGTGTATTTAGCCTGAGATTCACGTCTGGAATCGATGTTCAGTTCCATTCGTACTACAGATCCAGCGATACAGATTTTAGGCCGGTACAAAACCGTTCATTCGATTGCCCTGGCGAGACAAAAGCCTGTAGAGGGCCGTGACGAGATGCAGTTCTCCGTGTAGTACGAATTCTGTTTCCGAGACGCCGAGTCTTTCCCCAGGCAAAGTCAACCCCGCAGAGTATCCGGGGTCATATCGAGACCAATTTCTGTCTCACCAGCAGGTCAGATTATTATAGCTCTTACCAGACCGCATTGAGGCCTGCCGCCTCCAGATAAGCCACACTTGGCCCCTCGTATCCAGCTCAATCTCCGAGCAACCTACTACGAAGCATTCGCCCATGGAGCAGGCATGATCATCCCCACTACCAATCAGCCGTCCAACCAAGCAGCCAATGCACAGACCTTCAAGGGCAGCAGGAGACCCAGATGACCCGCGTCAAGGTCACTAATGGTAAGTCACCGGTATCGTCCGAAAAGAATTCCCAACCGACATCCCTTTCAGCATCCTAACCGGCTGCCCGGGTTACCTTATAAGCCCAGTGGTGTGTACCAGATATTCCCCACAGCCCCATTATGCACGACCTAGCTCCTGCAAGGAGACTTGAGTTCTGCAGCAGCCCAATCAATTCCGTCCATGACGTTATGGTTCACTCGGACAGATTGCCGTGGCTTTGAATGCCAAGGGTTTTCACCCGTCCCCGGCTTACCGAGTCAACTGTAGCGCTGCATCTCCGCCGGAAAAAATTCACGCTGTTGGGGCTGGTGTCGGGATGCCGAATGAGGGGCTTGCTTTTTGCCGGATGGGAAGGTGATGTGCATTACTTCCTCGGAGATAAAGTGATTGTAGGTGAACTCAAGCTGCGTGCTTTGGGTCTTGTATGATTGTCAGATATCCGGACATGTGTTCGATGAGGCCGTTCGCCATGACAGTTGCGGGTATCTTGGATAGGATCAACTGCCATACGCCGAGAATAGATGCCTCCGGGAGATACGTATATTTTGCTGGGTTGCGTAAGATTGAGGGGTGGGGTGGCCAACTTTTGTGCACTGAGTGAGTATCTGCTGTGGAGAGTATGTTCATGCTGTCCATATTAATCTAACAAATGCAGTAGTTGCAAGCGCCGGTTAGAGATGCCTCTCCGGGATTACCCCACCAACAGCCGAGAAACTTTACCGGGGAGAAACGGCAAGCCAGACGAGAAGTTGCGGAGTGCGGACTGTGGACTGCGGAAGAAGCCACTCTCTCATCTGGAGAGCCGAAGGGTCCCTCACAGTTTCCAGTCGGTCGGTTCGGCTTTTGTCAATGTTTAAACCGGTAAAGCGGTTTGGACTGCAGGCTGTCTATCTATACGAGCAAGAAAATAACATCATCATTCATTCCCAACAGCCAAGAACATCTTTCCTTGGTCCCCCGCAACTCGCCCTACAAATGGCCTTGGCTCCCACCCTCTTCGTTGGGCTTGATTTGGGAGTTCACATCCTTTGCTTCACATCGCCATCATGAGACGACTCTCCCTATTGCTGTTTTCGTGTCTCAATGCCTTCGTGGCAGACGCTAGTGCGGACGTCAATCGCTCTTCGCTTCAGACTTACGCATCCAAGCCTCGCGTCTTCGTTCTCTCCGACATCTCCAATGAGCCTGATGACACCGAGTCCTTTGTGCGATTCCTGCTGTATAGCAATCAGTTGCAGATCGAAGGCATGGCAGCTGTCACTTCCACCTGGCTGAAGGACAAGGTGTACCCAGAGCAGATCTCCGATGTTGTTGATGCGTATGCCGAGGTGGTCGCCAACCTGAATCAGCACACCTCGCCATCCTCCCCATATCCGTCAGCAGAATACCTTCACAGTATCGTTAAATCCGGCCCAGCCGTAAGCCTCTCGAACCTGTCACCGAATGATTCCAGCTAATTCGATCCAGGTTTACGGTATGGAAGGCGTTGGACCCGGCATGAACCTCAGTTCCGGCGCGGAACTACTGCTTGACCGACTCCGCCAACCTGTCGATAAGCCCCTCTGGGTCCTTGGCTGGGGAGGCGTCAACGTCCTTGCAGAGACCCTCTACTACATCCAACACAACTTCAACGCCACCGAGGCTGCGCGTCTCCGTGCTCAGCTGCGCGTGTACACCATCTCCGACCAAGACGACAGCGGTCTCTGGATCCGCGAGCAGTTCCCCGATATCTTCTACATCGCTTCCATGCACGGCTGGAACCAGTACGGTCTTGCCGCCTGGTCTGCCATCTCCGGCGAGGAATACTACAATTTCGACGTCGGCGGTCCGGACTTCACCAAGGTCTCCGCTGCCTGGCTGAAGAAGAACATTCAAATCGGCATTTACGGCAAGGAGTACCCGGACTACAAATACTTCATGGAGGGCGACACCCCGACATTTTTGTATCTCATCCAGAACGGCCTGGGCGTGCCTGAGCAACCCGACTATGGGTCCTGGGGCGGCCGCTACTCCCTAGTCGATCTGTCCAAGCAAGTGAAGTACCGTCAGTACAGTGACGCGGCGGATCGGGTTGTCGGACAGAACAACCGGACCTATACTTCCAATCACGCTGCCATCTGGAGATGGCGAGACGCCTATCAAAATGACTTTGCCGCGCGGATGCAGTGGGCCCTCCCGGCCAACGAGAGCAAGGCCAACCATCATCCCGTTGTCGTGGTGAACGGACACGCCGAACTGAGCCCGCTGGTCATCGCGTCGACGCCTAATGCCACTGTCTCGCTGGATGCGTCCGGCACCTATGACCCCGACCGTGACAGCCTCTCGTTCCGGTGGTTCCAATACAAGGAGCCTGGCTCGACGGACTGGAATGTGGATAACCAGATCCCGGCGCTGGATTTCACCGTCTCCACGGATGGAGAACGTGCGCAGGTCACGCTCCCAGCCGCGGACGAGATCTGTGATGGCAAGAGCTCGAACGATTCGGGTTGCTGGACCCTGCACCTAATCCTGGAGGTCACGGATCACGGCGCGATCCCGCTGACGACGTACAAGCGGGTGTTGTTCGAGACAACGAACTCGACTCAGTCGGCCACGGAAAGTCTCGTAGAGGATGCGACAGTTTTGGATTGGAAGGGATACGTGGAGTATGACATTGACTTGGACGATTATTGGGTGGATGATGACTGGGAGGAACCGATACTGGGGCGGGACTGCCCGTGCTCGGGGGGACATGGGGGTAGCGGAGGTCATGAGCATGAGTAGCGGAGCATGTGCGGCGTTGGTCTGGTCTTGAAATGTATATACCAGCAATCATATATAACCTGTATATCTAGATGATGAATATAAGTATAAGCCGTCCGACTCATCACACTCCCAAAACGTAGTATGACCACCCAATGCAATCCTCACCTCAACCCATGCCATTTCCTTGAGTTCATCCTCCCAACCAACTCATTTACAGGCATCCGAACAAGATGCAGCAAAAACCCGAAACCCCTCCAAATAATTCCGTCGTTGCGTCTCCAAAAACCTCAACCTCACGCCCGCTTCCTCTCCATCTGACTCGCCCAGCGGCACGAAACCCCTCCTAACCTCCTCCTCAGTAGCCCAAACAAAAGCATCATGCTCCGCCGGATCCAACCGAATCCAACAATCCCCAGAACCAACCTCCCCAGGAGCAGAACCAACCCCCCTATCCCCGGAAATAGAGGTAGGACCCTCAACCTCCACCAGAAAAGTAAACTTCACCACCTTCCGCACCCCATCGACACGAACCCGCTCCCACTCATCAACAGCGACCAACTCCACGAACCGCGCAACCATCAACCCAGTCTCCTCGCGGATCTCGCGGGCGGCGCCGGCCAGCACGGAGGCGTCTGTGGCTGGGTCGCAGGATCCGCCGGGGATTTCCCAGATCCCTGGGAGGGAGTCTGTGAGTGCGCGACGCAGAAGGAGGATTTTGGGTTCTTGGGTCTCTGTGGATGGGGGCTGGAAGATTAGCCCGCCGGCTACGATGTGGGTTCTTGGGGGGAGGTGCGGGAGGATTGTTGGGATGATTGTTGGGAGGGGGTGAGCGTAGGGGTATAGGTGTGCGGCGTAGCTGAAGTTGGAGGTTGAGGGGGGCATTTTGGTTGTGGGTTTGTATTTAGATGGTTGTGGTGGTTAGTAGTGATGCCTGTCAACACAGGGTGCATTGGAGTTGGTTTTTGTGGCTTGGCTGCTGGGTTGGTGGGGTTGTTTATGGGGTTTGATTGGTTGGGTTGTGGAATACGATATGTAGATCCTCATGGTTCCTGCTGAGTGCATGTTTATAGATATAACAGGCCGATGAAGGGCTGGAGAATGAATGTAAGCAGTACCTTTCATCCAGCTTGTGAATCACACCCCACTCTTAATCATCTTAAAAGCTGGTTCACAACGGGCATGGAGTTGTGGAGCACTGTCGCTCCACTGCTTCTGTGTTGGTAAGCCTCATTCTGGTATTTGTGCTTGTCGTAACATAAAATTCCCCACCGACAACAGCATCTGCTGGATATTATCTGGGGATCTGAACAAAGGCTATAACTGACGGTCAATTGGGATCGCGCAAGTACTTACATGGTCTGGATCCTGTGCGTAGGTCAGCTGACTACCGGGTAGACAAGCGAGCTAAGAGAACACGGTTGACACATCGCCTACACTAACTAACTAAGTCTTTGTCTAACTAGCTACGGAGAATCATCTGTTGCTCTCACTGGACAATCACCATCTATACTCGTATAGATACATCGAAACTATCGGGAGCTACATCCATCACCATCCCACAGTCCCGCCGCAGGCTCAGCGGAACGATCTCCGCACATCTCCACCGCTCACCACAATAAATCCCACTTCCGCTCCCTGCCATCTCCACCCCATACACCCTCAAAAAAAATGTCCGACACACCCGAAGGAATCGTCGAATATGCCTACGACAACATCACAGAATGGTACCTGCAGTGGGTGTCTAGCCAAAAGTCTCCACGCCAGCGGTACACCCAACTCCTCCTCGACCAGCTGCAACATCAACAACAAAAACAACCATCACCCTCCATCCTCGAGCTAGGCTGCGGACCCGGCATCCCGATCGTGAAGATGCTGCTCGACCACGGCGCACAAGTCGTCGCCAACGACATCTCCACCAAGCAGATCGAGATGGCCCGGGCCCGTTGCCCGGGCGCCACTTTCGTGGCGGGTGACATGACGACTCTCGCTTTCGAGCCCGCGAGCTTCAACGGTGTCGTCAGCTTCTATACGCTGTTTCACCTGCCGCGGTCAAAGCTTAAGGCTATGCTGATGCAGATCTATGAGTGGTTGAAGCCTGGTGGGGTCTTTGTTTGTAATCTTGCGACGCTTGATGAGGAGGAGATCCATGGGGAGTTTCTTGGGTATGGGATGTTTTGGAGTAGCTATGGTGTGGATGAGAATCGGGAGTTGTTGACGGAAGTTGGGTTCGAGGTGTTGCAGGTTGAGGTTTTGCAGGCCGGTGATGGGAAGTTGGAGGAGGATGAGCCGGACTTTGATGCTGAGTTTATGTGGGTGATGGCAAGGAAGAAGAATTCTACGTAGTTAGATTCTGATGGGTGTATGGGGCTAGACGGATGTGAAGCTGGAGGAGAAAGAGACTCGGAGCTTTCAGAGAGTTTGTAGTTTTGCTGCCTGAGATGTAGATGAAGCTGGCTAGTTACAAAGTTTGTACAATAGACGGTGGTGTGGTGGTTTATCGTGAGGTTGAGATTCCAGCCTTCTTCTTGGAAGCCCAGTAATGTTGCTTTGCCTCGCATTTATCTCGGCCAAGTGCTCTTGAGACTTCCTCCCAATAAGAAGAATCCCATCAGATTTGGAAGATTGCTCCTTACATGATCTTACCATCTCAATAGCCTCGGGGGCACGGGGGCGCAGACCCGCGAGCGCCATGATCGTCGCCCGGCCACCCTGGCCTATGTAGATGTTCTATAACTTCATTAGACAATCACAACTGTAGCAGATACAGTCCAGATATTGATGTCAGCGTACCTGTTGGATGGGGGCCATGCTGGTCGTGGTGGTGGTGCTCGTGGCGGTTGGAAATGTGCTTGAATCCTGAGAATCCGCGTTAGCTCGATTTGCGAATCACCATACAAAGACCGTATACCTTGAGAGAGTCAGTCTTCCGCGCTTGCAAGGCTACAAGCATCACCTTCTTACTGTAAGGATCAGCCAAGCCTTGATAAAGGTCATTACCAAAGAGATCTTCCATGTCTCCCCATCCAGTACTCAAGAGAGGATATGATTACTTCTAAGCAGTAGCCTTCCAGAGATTTCTTTCCTGACTCAAGGCAGAGATGCAAAAAATAGCTTCTCGATGGTTTTCGACTCGGATTCTCTTACTCAATATCGGGCGGGTTTAGCAGCGGCGAGCTTTGAAGATGCACAAGTTGCTTCTAGTGCTGATGCTAGAGCAGACATTCGAGAGGCCTCTTTGTTAAAGTCTTCAGCGAGGCTCAGGTCCTTTCCCTTGTAAATTGGAAGTTCGCTTCATTAGAGGGCTTCGCGGTCATGATATTCACAGATCGACTCGGGCGATCCCGCCGATGAAACGCTATGTGCAGTACAAGGTGATTTGGCACTGAATATAGTCAGCGATGTAGATTCAGGTCGAGGCTGTGGCAAGGTGAAAGTGCCTAACGGACCCAAACCGCCCACACAGTATTATGGATTCTTCGCTATCTCTGTGTCGACTTCATCATGTCAAGGCTCTTCAAGGGTGATTCTATCATGTTCCGTAAAAAATGTCTCAAAGCCCCGGAATGAAGTTCAGTCTCGGAAGATGTATTCCAGGATAGCCCTGCGGTCAATCTCTGCTGGTCCTGCGTGATCCCGGCCCTCGAATGTTGAAAGTGGCCATTCACTATATGAACAAGGGAGCGGCTATTGATGCAGATATATACTTCATTCCATGTTGCCCAACCTTTTGAATGGGCTCGCCCGCGTGGAGGTACGATCCATTGCCGGAAGAGACTAGCTGAGAAATGCGGGACTAGCGCGTGCAAGATCTGCTCATACGTAGATAGAGTAAGAATTGTACGGCGAAGAAAACAGAGTTCTCGTAACAGCGTGCATTATACCGCTGCCCACGAGGACGAAGCCGGCCTCCTCTAGTCACGAAGATAGCCTCGCGGAGCTGGGATCGCGAGGGGCTAGCCAAGACCGTGTATGTGTAGAAGTGTGGCGGACCATGCTGTTCGGGAATGTGGATGGGTTTCGTTGCTTGAGTAGACCGGTGCAGTACGTGCCATTTTTCTTAGCAGAATTCATTGGGACTTTGTTGACTAGCTGCGTGGATAATGGCAGCTGAATGCAGCCGTTGGAGAAGCCGATTCTGCTGTAGAAGAGAGTACTGTCTTCATAGTTCATTCCATGTCTTTTAATATACAGGAAGGCTTGCAACGAGCAAGCTGAGTGATGATATTCTGTAATTGGTATGTCTGATGAAAGAAAGGAGGGGAAAGTGGTATGAGGTAGTTAGGAAAGGGATGGTGGGAGGGCGGCTATTACGGCAAGGGAAAATGCATTAACAGAAAACACAGTCTAGTTGGGGCTGAATATAATTCACTTTCATGTAAGTTGAGAGCAGGTAGTATCAGGGCAGCATTAAAAGTGCACTTACAGTCGGTAGGTGAGATACTTCACTGATATAACTCAGGCTGACAGATACATGAATGCAGTACCCTTCCAGCGCCTGAGCTGGGGTCTAATAATTAATTCAATGTGACCAGACTTAATAAAGATACAGGCCTTAATCTATTCACAGCGAGCCTGCCACGGAGACAAGCAAAGCGGAGTGGCAGGTCTCACTGTAGTGAGAGCTTCTCGTGCGATACAGGTTTGGAGATCAGTGCATAGAATCCACAATGCTCTATTCGGGTAGCGGAGTGGGCTACACAAAGAAGAATATTTAGGCTGTCTTTGTCAAAATGAGCTCCCTCGATCTTTCGGACTGTAAATCCGACAGGCCATTTAGAGTCCGAGAGAAAACGACATGAGAGTAGAGCGGAATATCAATAGTGCCTCCGTAGCATCAAATTATGAGTCAAGCCCCCCCGAACGATCAATAGTCTTGATGCTGAAAATTGGAGAGGTTATATACTCTCTTTCGCGTTGAGATACCGAATTAGCTACCGTTATTTCTTTTCCAAATCTTCTGGGGATGCAAGTCAGGGTTGAGAGCCAACAGGTCAAAGCCGACAGAACGTGACATCAGTGCATAAAACCACATCAGTTTTGATCAGATCAGACCATTATCCAAAAGGGCAAGAGCGATATCAATCACGATTATAGCCGAAACCTCCGTAAGATCAAATCCAAGCTTATCATGGTCACAACCTATTCTCGGAACTCGGCCTTTCCGAGTAACGCAGGCAAGCCCTGAATGTATAAAGATACACCTTCCCCTCTGTAACACGTCATACACTTGCCCTAAGCAGGATCTACTTGGTAATCTGGGTCTTTTGAAAAACAGTTATCTTATCTGATCGATATTTGATTTCCAACTAGGGCCCTGATTTGTGGAACCTGTCATGCAAGCCCCATCTGCGCCGACGGAGACATGCCAAGAATTGGGAGCTGTCGCAGCGAATCATGGCCGAGGTCGGCGTATAGATTCGAGGTAGAAGAGCGGTCAATGAAGTCAGGTTACTTTTCACTCTCAATATCTTCATCCCGATACTTCTTACAGAATTGTCAATTACCTCATCATCATGCGTTTCTCAAGCATTGTTGCCCTTTTTTCTCTAGTGGTGCTTCCCGCCATCGGGAGCCCCGTGGAATTTAACCAGGTATAGTTTCATAACCCAAGCTCTCGCGGAGGATAATTTACTTTTAGTATCAATACAGATTATGCAATGTTCAGGAAGACTCTTTCAGCAAGCGATGCTGCATCCTTTGTGATAATTCGTATGCCAGATGTGGATCGAAGGATAAGAGGGAGGCTGTTGATATTTTGGATGAAGCTGTTCAGGGCGATAATCAAGTTTTGGTTTTGTTAACGAAAGTTTGTAAAGAGCATGGGGGAAGTCGGATAGAAGGGTGACAAGTTGCCAGGTAATCTCAGTAGAAGACTCTCATGTGATTCAGATTTTCATATACAAAGCACGTTGTAAACTCTTCGGGTCACCGTAAGAGTGCTACTCAGCAGAGCAGTTACCTAGGCTGGTAAATTTGACTTCTTGATGAGGATCTTAGGCTGTCGCACACTGGGCTAGAATTAACAACAATCGCTCGTCCAATAGTTTGTGCATGTCCAAGGGTTGCATAGCTCGAACTTTACTTTCTATGAACAAGCAATAAGGCGAAGAGGCGTATAAACTCCTTGTGCCTGTAAAACAGAAGAATAGGAGAGAATTCTCGCTCCAGATACATGCTGGTATATGCTCGAAGATAAATACAAATAATATTTACGTCTGTTATTGAGACACTCAAGTCTCCCACGTAGAGCGCTTTTCCAATGTTAAATCCGCGGTAGCCCATGAAGTACCGGTACCCCTGGCCAGCAAGGAGAAATCAAGGGGCATACATACCACGACTTCGACCAGGCAGCACCACGACTTATAACCAACCACACTTGAATCTCCGCCAGGAGCAGTGCAAGCCATACGTACGCACGCACGCATAAGATAGACCATCTCCCACCGCCAGGCAATCCCACCTTCTCAACCACAACCATAACACCTCACGCTCATCCCAATCCAACCCACCACTCAACCACAAACCACACAGTTAACCAACCCAGAACCCAAAATGCGCATCTCCCAGATCCTCCCCACCCTCACCATATACCTCCGTACGTCCACACCCCAACATTACCCCCAACACCACAGCCCTCACTAACACCAAACAACGAACCCCAGCCCTAACAACAGCAACAATCCAAACCTACACCCCTCCAACGCACCCAAACCTAACCTACAGCATCACCCTCCCCAACACCACAACCCCCCACTCGGGGCCAATCTACATCCAGATCTCGGCCCCAACAACCCTCCAATGGGCATCCCTCGGCCAAGGCGCCGATATGTCAACAGCCAACATCTTCATCCTGTGGGCCGCGTCCACCACAGAGGTCACGCTGTCCCCGCGCTCCGGCGGCTCCGGCGAGCCGACCTACAACCCCCGCGCGAACGTCACTTTACTTCCTGGATCGGGAGTGGCGAACGGCACTATGACTGCCAACATCCGGTGCGAGAATTGTTTGTCGACTTGGCCGTCGTCTGAGAGCGGGGATACAGCGGTGGCGGGGTTCGAGATGGATCCTAATGGGAATGCGACGGAGTGGTTTTGGGCTTGTCAGAGTGGGGAGATGCTGGGCACGGATGATCCTTCGGCGGATTTGGGGATGCATGATGATAAGGGGGTGATAATGTTTGACTTGAGTCGGGCGAGGTTTCCGGTTGAGGAGGGGGTATGTTTGGAGGGGGTGAATCCTTTTGTGTGAGGTTGTTCTTGGTGGGGTTGAGGAGAGGTGGTGGGGTCTGATTGATGGCATGGGAATTCGGTTGAGATAGTACCATGCGGGTTTATTCCTACTCTGACGATAGACCTGAATTTGAAATACTGAGTCATTGGCTATGATCCAATGTAGCAAGGGTAGGTGGGAGGCCGAACGGGCACTAGATCAAGCGCTCAGACTTAATTCTGCAGTAACTGTAATGAGGTTATATTAGACTGGGAGAAAACAAGTCGTGTAAAGCTTGTAGTTTGTAAACATGCGCGGAGCCATTATCGAAGACCACGATTGTCCAATCGATTGGTCCCCTGGATGATGAATAATAATAGCCTCACCTCGTTAGAAAGAATAAGTACTCCAACCAACCCTAATCAGATCGCTTAGACATCTCCTCCTTGCCATACGCCACCGTCTTCCGATCGAACTGCCACCGATATACGGGCCATACCAACGACGCGACCAGCCCCACAATCCAGTCACGGACCGGCCGATCCCTGGGACTGGGGCCGCGCATATTGTTCAACAACAAGTCTGTCTCGCTGTCCACGGTGATAAAGAACCGCCCCTCACACAGCCCTTTCAGCGTCAGCTCCGCCACCCTAGGCGCGGTAAGCCCGCCCTTGTTCTCCGCGGTCCCCTCCAGCTCCTTCAGCAACTGCGGCTTCCGGATCTGCTCCTGGTAGAAGGCACCCGTGTAGATCGTACCCGGAAAGGCGCAGTGCACCCGGATGTCCTGCTGCGAGCGGTAGAGCAGAACCTCCTGGCGCAGGGTGTCGGCGAGCGCGCGGGTGGCGGCCTTGGTGGGCGCGTATGCCGCGTAGCCCGGGAAGCCGAGGAAGGCTGCGGTCGAGGCGGTGAAGATGAGGTGGCGTTTCTCCGTGGGACTACTAGGTGGCTCCTTGAGCCATCGGCGCAGACATGCGTGAGCGATATACGCGGCTGCGAAGTAGTTCTGGTCCATGCAGGATTTGATCTCCTCGGTCGTGATGTTGGCGAAGAAGCCAACCTGAGCGGCTGTGCCTCCAGCGACTATGAAGAGAATGGATGGTGGGGCTGGCAGGGAGGTGATGAAGTCTTGCACCTGTTGGGAGTGTGGGTTAGTGCACGGCGAGATTGAAGTGAGGGTGTCGGGATTACCTGTTTTGGGTCTGTCAGATCCACGGCCGAGGCACCGATCACCTGATCGGGAGACTGCGTATGCGACAGTAGCTCTTGCCGGGTCTCCTCCAGTGGGCCTGGGCTTCGAGCGAGGATGGTGACATGGGCGCCTGGATCAGGTGGGGTTAGTCGGAGCTTGATTAGATGGCAGGTTGGGGTGTTTTTATTATTCACATGCCTTGGGTCGTGAGCTGGATGGCGAGTTCGCGGCCCAGTCCTTTTGATCCACCGGCAATGACGACGGACTGTGTGGAGATTAGACAGGGTTCTCCATGGTCAAATAGTCTCCGACCTACCTTGCCTCGCACGTCAAAGTGCTTGCTTTGCTTCATTGTGATCGTGGGACTGCAGCGTCACTATAAACAATGAATGATTCAGGGGGATTTCAGCTGAACCATGGGAAGATCATTTGCACGGGCTGCATGACTAGTGCTTATCTGCCCGGGTTATTGTAACTCCGCCCCCTCATTCCTTATCGGTTGGGCGCCTAAATCGGCAGCAGACACCACAGCATCTGCTTGGCCTATGATATCAATCTGACCAACAACTAGCTTCTCAGGAATGCAAGAATATGATCTAGTGGAATCAGGCTCTGACCCCTGTGGCTTGGAGGTTGAACTTGGTCTCATCCCTCATTGTGTCCTAAACAATGAGCCGTAGCGGGCCGCGCCATTGAAGAACCCGTGGGGCTATCGAATAGTTGTGCCCTCATTGTCATCATGGATATGAGTTCATGCGCCTGGTTCAACATACCTACAGTGGGTCACAAAATCCCCGAATGCTGTGTCGGAGACTTGGATCCTACGATGGCGTCGAATTATGCTAATTAGTGCTATTGCGTCAGATTGTGAAAGGGAAGGGGCAAAAGGCCAAAGAATAAAAAGATAAAGAAAAAGAAAAAAATGAACATAAGCAGAAGAAGAAGAAGAAAAAGGAAATAAAAAAGGAAATGAAAAAGGAAAAGGAAATGAAAGAGAGTAAAAAGAGATCTTCGGGGTATAGGGGCACCAAAAGAGAAAAGGCAGAAGAAACAAAAGTAAGAAGAGCGTTGAGGGTGCATATTCCACATGCAGCTGTACTGATGGGTACTAGTATAAATCAGCTGAACAGTGGGTCAAGACTCATGGTCTTGGGACTTTGGTCTCATTCATGTTCAAGCAGAAAGGTATAACTAGGTTCTCGTCGGTTTCCAGCTGAACAGTATTCTTGAGAGATTGTGGTTCAGACAGTTCAATCTCATTGATAAGAGAACCACAATGGCCTCTTCTCCTTTCATTATCACAGAACATACCGTCGATTGCCAACATATCCGCGAGTATCCTCATGCAACGAGACACGGCGACGATGCGCTACAGCTGGCAGTGAAGCAATACATTCCCAAATCGAACCCGAATCCCCAGCCGGGAGATGTAACCATTATTGGGGCGCATAGCAGCGGGGTGCCCAAGGTAGGTGGCTCTAACGTGGCATTTTTGCCTACCTACTCCCATCAGGCTAGGAGATGCTTATCCACGAGAATAGGAGCTCTATGAGCCCATATGGGAAGAACTTCTAGCAAAGCTCGAGCATCAAGGCGTCCGTATTCGCTCAATCTGGATTGCAGACACTGCGAGCCAAGGCGCCAGCGGACTGCTGAACAAGCAATACTTGGGCAATGACCGTACGCATTCCCATGCAAGAACCACTAAACTCTTGCAAGCTGATTTAACTGTGTAGCATCATGGTTCGACCACTCCCGCGACCTCCTTCATCTAGTAAACACCTTCAAAGCCGAGATGCCGAGACCCATCGTGGGAATCGGACACAGCCTTGGAGCCGGACAATTGTAGGTTCTCCGAGCAACCAGAAGCTCAATGCAAGTGAGAATAACCAGCAAAGCAGAGCCCTCTTGTCCCTAATGCACTCCCGCCTGTTCACATCCCTCGTCCTTATCGAATCAGTGTTTGGCCGGGACATTCTCAGCGGAAAAGGTCTCGCGTTCGCGCAGGGATCACTGGCTGCTCCTGACAATTGGGCCAGTCGTGCATCAGCCGCGGCCTATTTCCAGAAAAGGCACCGCAGCTGGGACCCGAGGGTGCTGGATCGGTTCCTGAAATATGGCCTCCGAGACGTAGAGCGGGAGAGCTCGTCGGACAAGGCCCAACGAGAAGTCACTCTCACCACTACACAACATCAGGACGTCATGCAGTACCTTCGCGCGAACTTCTCTCACCGCAAGCCATTGAGACCAGATACAGAGACTGACACCCCGGAGGACACCCACGACCCGTTGTTCCACCCGGATGTTATTGGCCCCGCTCACGCGATCGCTCCCTTCTATCGCTGTGAACCGCTCCTGGCGTATAAGCTGTTGAAACACGTCCGTCCATCCGTGCTGTATATCTTTGGCGAGAAGAGTCCGATATCGACGCCAAAACCGCGAGCCGAGAAGGTAGAGCGCACGGGAAGGGGCTTCGGGGGCAGTGGTGGGTACAGACACGGTAGGGTCCGGGAGGTCACGCTCCCTGCAGCGGGGCATCAGGTTCCGTTCGAGGATATCGCGGGGGTCTCGAGTGCGACAGCGGAATGGGTGAAGGAGGAGATGCTGCGGTGGAAGAGGGATGAGGAGAGGATAACACACGGCTGGGTCAACCGTTCAGTCGAGGATCGGTTGTCCTTGTCGGAGGAATGGCAAGCTCGGTTGAAGGAATCCTTGGGAAAGTACAAGCTAGCGAGATCAAAGCTATGATTTAAAGAATACCGGAATATCGCTAGTTATCAATGCAAGATGAGTGAAACAGAGAATTCCCATTCCACTCCGCATTTCTACAAAGGGCTTCTATCTGTCACTCCCCTCTTTGTTAGGAAAAACTACTTAAATGCTCCCTTCAGCATCCTCTTCTTTCCACACCTCAAAGTACGTCCGAATACTATCACAACACGTGCATCAAGATTCTAACATACCACAGTCCCTGTAACTGTTTCCGCGACCATGGGTTTATCTGAGTTGCCTGCAGAGCTAATTCTGATTATAGCCGAGAACCTCAACTCTGGGGCCGCCATCAACTCTCTTGCTCGTACGAATACAAGCTTCTATGACTTGTTGAATCCTTTCCTTTGCCGCTACTGTGTGCGAAAGGGGATGGACGACATCGCATTGGGTCATGCCGCGAAATACGACCATCTAGCGGTAGTCAAGCGGCTACTCAGTGCCGGTGCCGACCTCTATAACCCCGTATTCTCGGGTAAGAGTAGATGGAACTTCGGAGATGGTCCTTATGCAAGCCACCCGATTGCGTTGCAGCCGAACTTGGCGCCACAAGAGTGATAGAGCATCTTCTAGACACAGGAGGAATGGCTGCTAGGCTGACGGAAATCGAATATAAGAAGTTGATGTACAAAGCTGTGTGCATGAACCAAATTAAGACGGTGGGGATGTTTTTGAGCCGAAAAGTGATGAACTTGTGGAAGCCTTCGCAGAGCTGGAGCGATCTTGGCCTCCCTTTGATTACTGTGGCTGCACGTGAGGGAGACTCAGAGATCCTCAAGCTGCTACTTGAAGATACGGAAGAGCGAGTTCAATTGGGTGTTCTGTCAACAACAACCAGGCATCTAACGGTAAACGGAGCACTTTTTGGAGCCATGTGGAGCAGGGGACCTATAGATAAAATCAAGTTATTACTGGAGGCAGGGGCCGATATCAACGCAAAACGGTTTACAGTTTAAAGCCTGGCACTGCGTCTCCAGGACCCTTACCCCCTTAGGCGAGGCTGCGTATTTTCAGCAATACCACGCGGTGTAGCTCCTTCTTGAGGCTGGGGCAGATCCCAATTTTCTGGCGAGCAACGATGAATGACCTTTGGAGAGTGCCTGTGCCATACAACTTGGGGAAGACCCTGAAAATGGAACTCCTGCACATCGCAGAATGGCGATTCTTGACCTGCTCTATAGGTACGGTGCAGAAACAGCTCGAGCTGGAGGTGGAGGAGCCCTGTATAATGCCTCGGATCATGAACGTCTGGACTTACTCGCACACTTCCTTATCGGCAAAGGAGCCCAAATCACATCCACATTCAGGATACTTGAGGCCTCCGATCAAGCGGCGTTGACCCAAGCAATAGCAAACCACGACCTGGTGGCTATTAGAAAGCTTAGCTTAACATGGCGGGCGTGTTACTGGAACTACTACGACTAAGAGCATTCGTACGATATGTCGCGTCCGATGCGGTGTCTGTACCTCTTACGAGCTTAGAGATAATACCCTTGCTTTGCATGCGTATGAATCGTTGTCGGAACCATCAAAATCTACACCTGACCAGGATGAACGAATCCGAGCGAGGACCCATGCTTTTATCTTCTCGATATGCAGGTTGTTCTTTATAAGAATGTCTTCAAGCAGAGCTTTCTTTCGCTGTAACCCCCCGCACACAGGTGCGCTCACTTATTAAGAATATTACTGATCAGCTCAAATACAACACACAATCTTCAGCCCAAACTAAGGAAAAGGATCATAATTCCCTTCCCCCCAGCAAGCACCCTGAACCTCATCCCCGGCGACATCCTGCTCAGCGACCCCCTGCGCGCCAAACCTCTTCATAACACCACCATTCTCCGCATCGGAGTCGAACGCAGCCCAGCCTTTTCTCTCCAACCCACGTACTGGATCCTTAATAAACTCAAAAAAGTAATCCTGCATCACACGGCTCGTCGCGACCTCCTCCGCCGTGCCCTGGCCCCGCGCAATCCCAAACGTCCCAAAGGTCATCGTCAAATCACTCGAGTGATACGCGCCCATCCACGGCAGCGGACTGACATTCGAGAAATTGCCCGCCCACTCATAGCGATACGTCTTCAACCCTGCCCTCTGGCGCACAACACTCGTATTCGCGCTCACACATAACCAATCACGCAGTGTGACCGCATTCACCCCCGGCTGCCACGGCCCGGCTGTGACATTATCAAGGGATAAGGGGTACAGCGGCGCGGCCTCGTTGGCGCAGTTCGAGATAATGGCCGGCGTGTCGGCAATATACCCCTTTGCGGCGCGCGCGGGATAGTCCGCGAAGATGACGGTTTCGTCCGCGACGGGGCCGAAGGTCATGGTGGGCGTGGTTCTCGCGTCGCCGTAGTGGCCGATGAAGTTCTGGATCCGCGAGACGGGGACGCGGCGCATGCAGTCCAGCTCGGCGGCGGGGTCGGCGGGGAAATCGCAGCCGAGGTTCTTGGCCACGAAGGTGAAGTTGGAGTGGGGTGTGTCGAGGCTGGGGGTGGTTTTGAGCGCGGTACCGGATTGCGAGATTGTGGCGCGCGCCAGTAGATTGTCCCAGAAGGCGTAGGTGTGGTAGTCGACGCTCATTGCCCCGGCTGACTGGCCCCAGAGCGTGATTGCGTCTGCGTCGCCCCCGAAGGCTGCGATGTTCGCGTGCACCCATTCCAGCGCTGCCCGCTGGTCCAGAATCCCCAGGTTCTGCTGCGTTAGCCCCGCTGCGTTCGGGAAGCCCATGATGTTCAGCCGGTAGTTGGTCGTCACTACGATGTGGCCCTGCGTGCGGTTCACCCACGCCGCTGGGAGCTGGTACGGTACTGGGATGCCTCCCGTGCGGAATTGGCCGCCGCTGTAGAAGACCAGTACGGGCAGTTTGGAGTGCGCGGTCGCGTTGGCGGGTGTCCAGATGGCGAGCTGCAAGCAGTCCTCCGCGCTGTTCTCAGCCATCTGGCCCGCCGTTGAGTTCTCATGGCCGTTCCAGATCAGAAACTCGTTGACCAGGTTCCCGAAGAACGAGGGGCCTCGGTAGACGTACTGTGAACAGGCTGGAGGGAACGTGGTCGCGTTGTGGTGCTCGCTGGATGCTGGGAGCGGCGCTGGGGGTAGCCAGCGACGCGAGGCCACCGGCGGCTGGGCATATGGGATGGACCGGAATTCGCGCACTGAAGGATACTCCGGGTTGTGAAGGCCGGTGTAAATGCCGGTGTTGGTGTGCACGGTCAACGAATCATTGACGACGACCCTGGCACTCACCCATGACCCAGTCAGCAGCAGAGATGCCAGTAGTGAGGTGGCTTTCATGATTCCGAATGCAATTTGGTGGCTGCTCGAGTGTCTCGGAGAAGGAGGGCTGCATGAATGATTTCAGACACATGCAGCTCTATTAATCAATTCCCGGGGTTCGGCCGGCGCTCCGCATTATGCGTAGTCACTTTCCCCGGTACCCCATGATTCGATGACAGCTGCCACTCTCATTGCCGAGTTACTTTCCGATGTCAGTCCGGTGGCTTGTCGCTTGTGTTTAAGGCGTTAGCATGCAGACGGCTGCACCTCGGGACTCGGGTATTCCGAGCGACCTACAGTTCCTTCAATCAATGTAATCCTACAACCACAGAATCCTTTGTGTGAGGGAATGCAAGGCGGTCCGTCGAAGCTAATGCTCCTCATCGCTGTACCGGCACTCTTGCGATGGTGAAAGCCATTGGTTGTGTCGCTGGACGGGACGTTAAGATCGGTGCCTAAGATTGCATTGCACCTTCCATCGGGAGAATCTGATTAGGGCTCTCGGCATATTACAGTCCGACACGTGAAGGTGTTATAAGATAAAGCCCCCTCTACTATATTTCCTAGTAATCGATCAATGGAGCTGTAGGCCATGTGTACTGTACACGTTCAGGGCTTCTATCTCTCGAACTATTGATTGCCCCACGGGGTGTGCTTTATCCAGATCAGGGCACGGCACTACGTACCTATACCTCGTCGGAACTTCTGGCGGACTTTCAGAAGCCGAATCTTCCGCTTACTAGTCCATCAACAACCGGGGTTTATCCCCAGCAAAACAAGTAACGATCATCCGGTGATCTCACATCCTCGCCGTTCTCGCATCTTCGCTGCCAAGCATGCAGCCCAATAATGGTAAAGCCAAGCCGCCTTAGCCGGGTGACAGAAATCGTCAGGAACTGACCGGCCTTGCCAGGATTACATTTACAATAAACGAAAAGCCATCCTAGCCGAGGAACACCCGTCAAGGAAGCTTCACTTCGGACTAGATAATATCTGCAGATGAGTCTCACTTGAGAATAGATTGTTTACGATGCTTTCACTGCGGAATCCGAAGGCCATCCGGCAGATTCTCCGCTTCGGCAGTCACCGTCTTGCAGAACCTCGGATTTTCCGAATGACGCTAAGGCAAGATGGAGCCCGCCGTTAATGTTGTTTCGGGTAGGGATCTGACCCCCTGCAGCCCCGATGTTTCCAGCGGTGGCAGTAATTTTTACAGTGAAACGTGCATACTGTCATTCCTGCTCATGTTGGACTCCATTCCTTGGCGGGGGTCGGGGGGTCTTGATGGAATTGAGGCCAGCAATAACCTCATGGTGGGTTGTGAGTACAGATTTGCAGTGCTGATCTCTGTGCTAGTGGGTTCTGTCTGTTCTCTGGTGTTCTGGGGCCCACTGTCCTCGACCTTGTTGCAGCAATGTATAAATACTCGCCATGGGGAGGGATTGAGCAGAAGAAATCTCAATCACTCAATCACTCCTTCCCAGGCTCAAAAGCAGCTGCTTGATCCATAATGCGGTTGAACTACGCCGGTGCTCTCCTCCTCTCCAGCCTGGGCCAGTCCCTGGCTCTCCCTACCAGCTCCAGCACTTCCGAGTCTTCTCTGATTGTAGAGAATGCTCCCGACCATGTCCGTCCTTATGTGATCCGTCACCACTCTCATGCACGCGCCGTGACGGTCGAAACGCAACTGTACCGCTTCTACGTCACCGGCCCGTCGTCCGGTTATGCCTTCACGCTCATGGGCACCAACGCCCCGCATAGTGATGCGCTGGGCGTGCTACCCCACATCCACCAGAGGCACTATGAAAACTTCTTCTGCAGCAAGGGCAGCTTCCAGCTGTGGGCCCAGGGTGACGACGATACCCAGCAGACCCGCGTTCTGTCGGCCGGCGACTACGGCAGTGTCCCACGGAACGTGACGCATACGTTCCAGATCCAGGACCCGGACACCGAGATGGTCGGCGTGATTGTGCCCGGTGGCTTCGAGTAAGCCTGCCTCTTCCTCCAACCTTGTCCACCTGTATACTAACACGACCCAACAGGGAACTATTCTACCACCTGGGCAGCAACATCAGCGACACCACGCACTCCCCGTACGTCCCTCGGTCTGGCTCCAGCTCCTCCGCCGCAGGCCCAGACTCCACCTTCATCACGACCCTGGAGTCCTACGACGTCTACGCCAAGCTCTCGTTCTCCCCGCGCTACGACGCCGTCAACGGCACCGCCCCCAGCGGCAGCGTTTGGCACAACGGCGCCAACGAGCTGGGCAAAGTCGGCAAGCCCTACTTCCTCGCCAACGGCTGGAGCCCGAAGTACCTCAATTCGCAGTACGGCTACCAAATCGTGGCCCCCTTCGTCACGCCTACCCAGTCCCAGGACACCAACTACACCCTGTCCACCATCTCCCTCAGCACTACCCCTTCGTCTGTCAAGGTTCCCACGTGGACCTTCCCCGGCGCCTGTGCCTTCCAGGTCCAGGAGGGTCGCGTCGTGATCCAGATCGGCGATTATCCCGTTACTGAGCTGGTCAGCGGTGACGTCGCGTTCATCCCCGGTGGTGTCGCATTCTCTTACTATAGCGAGGCGTACTTCAGCAAGGTGCTCTTCGTGAGCTCGGGTACTGAGGGCCTGGATCAGAAGTTGATCGCCGAGGGTAAGGCGTGGGATTACGTTACTTTCCCTACTACTTGGTAGTGGGATTTTGGTGAGATTCGGACGTGGACGTGGGAGTACTTTTGTTTGTACATATTTATAGAACTTATTTCTCTGCTACAATTTGCAGATTGAAACGGGGTATTTTGACCTTTGATGCATTTTTTTTGTGGTTGGGATGTGCTCTGTCATATCGAATACATTAGTAGTAGTATGGTAACAGTAAATATAGGGAATTTCCGTACCAGCCGAATATATATTCAACCCGTGGTGCTGCGACCATTGCCGTTGATATTTACAATCAATTTAGTGAATTGATAGTTTCAGTTGCTATTCGAAGCTAGGGCTACAGATGCTTATTCGTCAATGAATAGAAGATAAATATGGAGTATCATTGCACCAGCTCATGAAAAGTAAAACAGCTAGGTGCGAAAAATATAATTTCTGCCGTGTGATCCAAGTACTTATTACAAAAATGAAGCCAATCTTCAACAACAGGCAAGATGGCCGAGTTGGTCTAAGGCGTCAGGTTAAGGTTACCTTAACACCCAGCTTCACAAGCTTCCTGATCAACGTAAGTTGGCGTGGGTTCGAATCCCACTCTTGTCATATCTTTTTTTGTTTTTCTTTTGTCGGTCCCCGCTCGGGTAGCTAGCCCTACTCCCTCCGTACCCAGACATTTGGCCTCACAAATAGACCTCATTCCCTTGAGCGTGCTTGAGAATTCTTTTTGGCGCGTCGAGTTCAGATGAAGCTCGGCCATCATTGTGGGGATTGACAGGAAGTACCGATGGACTATTTTGGGTTCTAGCACGTTTCAGGTCTTGACCTGAGTCTATTTTTATCTACACCGCATTCATTACACCATCTCGGAATCCTTGCTGGGCATTCCATCTCGAGGAATATTTCTGAGACACTCGAGATGAGTGATGAGTCTCAGAGATAACAAGCAGTGTAGCAAAATTGCTGTTTCTTCGCAAGCCCGAAAAAAGCCAGGGGCCATTCTATCCACGGCCGCAAACCATCTTCCAACGAGTCTCCGATTCCTACTAAGATGTGCTCGCTCCAGCCCTTCAAGTACCACACGGAGCTGACATACCTTAACAAGATAGTCCAGTGAGCTAGGATCACCATCGCGACAGGCCTTTGTTGCTCGACTAAGAGGACAAAGTTCTCGGGAAGCTGGAGCATCCATTCGATGATAACGTGAACAAATACTGGAGTTTCTCCTCGGCCAGGGCGCTTTAGATGAACGCCGTCAAGTTGTTGCAGCAGCAGGTCGATGGCCAGGATATAGCTCGCCCGTTGGGCACAGTCAGCAACACTGTGGTCCACCAGCTGTCGGAGACTATGAACATGAAGCTTGTGCTCGCACAGTTCCCTCGCCGACAATGCACCGATGTAAAGCATCTGACAATCACCAGTCCTCTCTGTCGCCAAGGCGCCACTGAAAACATGCTCTCGATATGACCCCACGATAAGACGAATGCCCTGGACGAGCAGCCACCACTCGGCTCGGCCGTGGTCACTGAATAGAAGGTACTGGCCCGGCCACGGCCCTCTGGCTAGATAAATGAAGCATATCATGACAGCTGAGATGTACGCCCGTTGACAGCTGGCGGTGTCCAGGTTTGAGACTATCGAGACCACGGCAGGCACCCCGCACGCGAAGTGATCGTCCGCCTGCGTCTGGCGAATCTGTCCCTGTGTAGGGCTGCTCTCGTGACTTAGATGGAGGGCGGATAAGGCCAATACAAGGCGAAGCATGAATGGGAAGGCCATGCTCCATCGGAGTACGTCTTGTTGCCATATTGAGGCGCCCTCGACTTCGTTGGCGAGGGTACGGTAGGTTGAGGTGGCGAAATGGTGGAAGAGTTCTAGATCGGCGAAGGATAATCCCTCTCCCATTGGGATTTCTTGTGGACTTGCACGATGTTCTCTCGAGCATGGATCGTGTGTCTCTGCTGTCATGAGCTCTACTGGCCGTGCATATATCCGGCCTTTCCCCTGAACACAGGAGGGGTCGATGCTCTGCGAAGTAGTCCTGGTGTCTGATGTGGATGGTCGCGCCGAAGCTGGGTCCCCTGGCGACTGTTTGGCCTTATCAAGGTTTGGGTAGTCACAAGTCATGGAGCGCATATGGCAATTCGAGCATATAGGTTTCTTCTCATCGCACTGCAAACTGTCAGTTTGGAAGGTCATTGTCAAACTTGCGCAGGTTGATTGACACCTTAACCCGCCGCTGCTTACAGTTCAGACATCCCGAACGAGACTTTGTATGTGACCTTCTTGCTCTGTACATTGTCTGTGTTGGGATTGTATGGCGACTGGCCTGGAAAATTTCGCTTGTGACGTGGCGGAGATTTAATTCTTGCATCGTGGTCCAACGCACTGTATCTTGCTTGGCTTGGCAAAAATATGTGTCTTGTACCCAGTAGATAAACGATTATGATCAGCAAAGGCCATTACCGCAGAAATGGGTTCACAATATAGAAAGCAGGGTTGTCGGAAGAGGAGCCAAGGTCCTGTGGCAGTGCAAGGGTGTATGTCAGTTGTTCCATTGGGGCTTCCTGGCTTCCTGCCCCTGAGCTAAGAGAGTAGGAGTATGATATAAATTGAACTGGGAAGGCTTTGCGAGGGCATGCTTGGAGCTATTGGTCCTGATTTACCTTGTTGCCTGATGCTTGGGGCTCTATCACTGATAAGAGAGCCAAGAATAAGCGAGCCAAGACCAACCCACACCCCCTCTCGTTGTGGCGCAGTAAGCAGATCAAGTCTGGACTATAGTCCTGTATAATCTTGTTTATTCGCTGGTGACCCTTGAATTTGGTTACCTGCTGTAGAGAAAGCTTCAATTTCTTGTATCTCGACGGGGCTGCGGAGATATGTTTGAAGCTAAGAAAGGAATGGAAACCCACCTATTCCGAACTTGGCGACGTAAGCCAGCTCTCTGCCTCGAATAAGCCCGACGGAAATATGCGGAACTGCAAATAAGCGAAGACGGATGTAAAGCTAGCTACAGTACCTATCTGCAGGGCTCTGGCTGCAAGAAGAAGAGTGATTAATGGGTCAGGTGATTACTGAGCTCGTGATGTTCACCGCGGCAGGCATACTTCATGGCTTCAATAGATCTTCTTCATGTGCTCTGTCTGCAGTCGCTGTCATGAATCGTCCTATCTGTAATTCAACAACAGAGAACCAGCCGAGTTTGTCACCCTTCTGCTCTTCACAAACCAGAAATTCACCAGGTCGTAGTCACGGGAATCCCCCTATGGGATGGCGGCCTTCCCTTTCATCGACTTTGTGTGATCATCAGTGGTACCTTTGCTATTTTCGCCGGAGTGGTCTCTTTTGGCTTGATTATGAGCCATGCGCTACATTACAGTAAACCGATCGAACAACGACAGTATGAATTCTACCTCGTCACGGCTATGCAAGGTTTACCTCGTGATCTTGTATGTATCTAGTGCGTGTATAGAATCACTAGCTACAGCTTCCATCTCATGACCTCACAATCTTACAAAAGCAAGACCCAAGTTACTTTACCCAACGCTATACCCAGCCTAATACTCTCTTGCCTTCCTTAAGAATCCTCAACTATAACCACTAACTTGACTTAGGCGGCTTTGTCATATGTATTGACTTATTCCTAATACATGCAGTAGAGTTAGTATAATCTCAAACCCCTTCTCTAATATACAAACCAGGGATTACCAGAGTATATACTTATTAATCTTCTTAACCTAAGCTCTAAAACTACTATAATTATAATCCTCCTTATCCTATATATTCTTATAGTAAATCATCTTCTCCCCAGTATCCTGATACTCCATCATAAACTTACCAAGCTATCAGAATTCAGCCCTGGCACCGATGTTTATATATATATATAACCCCTTTCGTATATGTGAAGAACGACACTAAGTTCAATATGACAGACCTGCAGGAAATTTGGAACGGCGCTTGGAAAATCACTAAGCCGGCGGGCGAGGCAAGGGGCGAACCACCACCGGGTTTCCGTTCCTCTCCAAGCCCACTGCCACCAGGTTTGACCACTGCAGTTGTCAAGCTTCATCGTGGGGTCAAATTAGATCAAGACCATGATTTTCCTTGAACAACATCCTTTGTTCGATACCCCATCGACAGAGCTTCCCAAACCTCCGGTGCCATACACTACCGGATGGAGGTTCACTGCAGAGTCTCATAGTGCCCCAAATCCAACGCTGGTTACACGAGGCTGTTGCAAGAATAGTGAAAGCGACAAGATAGAAAGAAAACAACTGAGTCCAGTCGAGCGATGTTTGAAGCGACCCCCCTTGCCCGGGGGTAAAGGAAATGATTCTATCAGGCTGGAAGTCATCAAGCTTTTAAAAGGGGGCGATGGCCACAACTCGCAAGTATTCACTGTCCGGCTAATCGCGCCAGCAGCCTCTCAATCGCTCCCTCAGGAAGGCACAGAACTCGTTGCGAATATATATGACCCACTTTATTTTGGCGATGATGAAGGGCTTCTCAATCCATTCCTCTGTATGGACAAATACTACACCCACGAAGCCAATGCATACAAAGCCCTTGGCGAGCTTCATAATTGCGGTATCCCAAAATACTATGGTTCATACTCCTTAGACTTACTTGTGGATTCAACACGTAAACGGACAGTCAGAATGATTCTCATCGAGCACGTTCGAGGAATGACCATGGCAGATGCTGAACCGGAATGGTTCTCTCAGAATGCCCGTCAACATATCATGAAAACGATTGTCGACCTCGAGAGCAGGATATATGAAAAGGATATTTGGCTCGTCGACCTGGAGCCACGGAACATCATCATCAGATCTGTAGTGGATTAGCCAGCCTCAGATAGTGTTTATCGATTTCGGACATGCTCTTTTTAACCGCCGACGAGACGATCCTCTTGCATTCCGACTAAACTATTTCTTGGGACAGTACATTTCACCCCTTCTGCGCTGGAACTATGCGAAAGCGAAGATATATGCATTTTCAGACTGAATCGACTGGGACTGGGATTCCTGGCTCGAGACAGAATTTGCACACACAATTGCCAGCATCACACCGGAGATGAGAGAACGGTGGTCGGACGAATAGGAGTGATCGGTTTTCATTAGGTGTTGAGGACATCCTTCAATCCCGACGGGTGCCTTGCAAACTCTGCTTGCGTGGAGATTGCAGTGCGTCTCCCAGTGCTTTGTTGGAAGCATGTCTACCCGAGAGGGCATGTAGCGGGACAGTCCTGAATGTTCAAAAGAGTATCCACAGCTTCAACGTCAGAACCTCTTCTCTCCGCTCCAACTTGCATTGCCACCTGTGCTGCTTCCTTTAATAATCTTAGCATTTTATCATCCGAATGCCGGCTTCGATACTCGGACCAAAATTTCTCGTCCACTATTAACCAGCCGTCGTACCCTTTTCCATTGTCCGTTGCATTCGGGCTCTCTTCTACACCAGAACCGGCACCACCGAGTTTCCCAAGGTTTCCTCGCGTGCAGTAAGCCGGGGAAGTTGGATTGTCGCTCCCGGCCGAGTCTCCAATGTCATGCTTTCTTTGGGATCCAGTGGTGACTGTTTCCGCAGAGAATCTCATGACCGACATTCACCGCCGCAGCATGCATCAACAACCATCTGCGCCCGTCCGCGTTCGAATATCGAGTTGCAAGTACCTCCATGACTACAACTATAAGGGACTACCAGGGAACTGAAGTCAGCCCGTTCGATAATCTCGGTGCCAACTGCCAGGGGCTGTCTCGTAATGTCACCGTGCCGGAAGACCAGATGGGCATTGTCACTTTCAGACAAACAGATATCGTCTTATCTATCAAAAATATGCCCTTTACATTTTCTCCCTCTTGTTCATGTACAGTCAGGAATGTCCCTAAGGCTCCCCTCGGATTATTACCCGATTACGGCTCCTCATGGCCCAGCGTTACCATCAATTTTAGCAGCTGGCTTTTCCCTAAACTTTGTCCGCTCCTTCGAGGCCACTGCCATTTCGAGATGTGTTGATGATCCTTTGAGAAACAACGCCATCTATAGCAAGAGTCAGCCGGGTAGCTAAATGACCTGCAGACCAGAGGGCCCCAAGCTCACGATCCGTTTATCCTGCAAATACAAGACCCAAGGTACTCCACCCAATGCCACATCCACCCCAGAAAGCTCCTGCTCCCCCTTCCCATCCAACCACAACACCACAACTCCAACTAAATCGACTCAGGCGGCTTCGTAATATGCGTCAACAGATCCCTAACGCAGCGCAGCAAAATCAGCACCAATCCCAACACCTAAACCAGGAAACCAGATAGACACATACCCATTAACCTTCTTAATCCAAGCCCCAAACCCACCATGATCATAATCCTCCTCATCCCACATATCCTTATGATAAACCACCTTCTCCCCAGCATTTTGATGCTCCAACCGCAGACTCACCAAACTATCCACCGTCTTCGACACATGCACCCCAGCAAGCGTATACCGCTGCCTCTGCTTCCAAACCAACTCATCCTCACTGTTGACCACCACCTCCGTCGCCAGCGTCTCCGACCGCGCGAACAAGTTCGGGATCCCGTACCACTGGCCCGCGATCTTGTACCGCGTGTCGCAGTAGCTGAGCGGGTCGTCGTACACGGCTTGCTCCGCGTACACGGCCATATCGGACTCCGAGGCTGCGCCGCTGTAGAGGTTCAGGATGTGGGTTTGGATTGCTTGGCGGGTTGGGGATAAGGGGACGGAGGTTGAGGGGTTCGGCGCGTAGCTTGGTTTGTGGGTTTTTGGGTCTTGTGGGGGTGATGGGTGGGGTTCGATTTCTCGCTGCGTGGGGTGGGGGGTTGTTGTTGAGGGCATCTTCGTATTTTGTTATAATGTGTGTGTATCTTGATCTTTGAGGTGAGTGGGATTGATTATTGAGGCTGAGTGGGTTCGAGGTTGAGGTTGAGGTTGAGGGTGAGGAGGCTGGTTTTTACTTCTTGTATGGTTCTGCGGGAGGAGGATGGAGGTGATGTCATGGTTGGTTCAAGGGGTAATGAAGTCATTGCTGACAGAGGACGCCACTTTGACTTTCTTGCATGATTTGTTTATATGAGGAATGAAGGAGTGAGGACAAGGCGTGTGTCATTCATGCGTCGTGAGCAGTCAGTTATCGGTCTGCGTGGTGTTCGATAGTAGAGGTATTGCACCATGGGGAGGACAAGTAGGGCTATAGCTTAGGGCAGGGCGCCCCAATCTCCCATCGTGCAATTTATGCATCACGCGCATCCACCTTCCATCCCCCCTTGCTAAGCAACCACCCCCCATTCTGCAGCACCTGAAACACCGCATCCGAATCATACTTCCGGGCTATCTCCCCCAGCCGGCGCACATTCTCGGCCCCATAACTCGACAGCGGATCCTGATCGCGTGAGGCATAGTTGGAGTACTTGTACGGGAGATACACCCCCTGTTCCCTGGCCGATGTTTCCGCTGCATCCACAATCGAGCTGATCGCTTGCCGCACTCGCTCTTGGTCTTTGACGTTCTTCCAATCGGCTCGCGCCAGGAACCCTTTTCCATGTCTTAGCCAGGCTGAAACGGAAAAGAAAACGGCGACAACACTTACATTGCTGCCCGACTGGCTCCAGGCCCAGGGGACTATTGGCGCTGACCTGCATCGCGAGTGAGGACATGGGCTGGATGACGGTCGTCAGGGTCAGCCCCTCGACGTCTTTCAGTAGCGCTGCCTGCTCTGCGTGGGCTTTCTCGACTGCGCGATACACTTCCAGGCTCGGTCGGCTGGACATGGTTCGGAATTCGTGGCTGGTGACACGGGTTAAGTTAGTATGCGCTGCTACAGTATGTATTCTCTTCGCAATGACGGAAAGTAGAATAAAAAGGTGGGAAGTTACAGAGTTGGCTCGGCTTCGTTGACCGACGCGACGGCCTGGACCAAGTCATACACCGACCGCACGCCGGCAGGGACAAACGTCGCTGCAGACGGAATGTTGTAGAAGGGCTCGAAGACCGCGGGGCGTTCAACCGGGGCGCAGTACACGAAGACGAGGAGGATGAATTCGTTGGTGGCGTTCCAGATCAGCGTCGCCTTGTTGTCGGTCTCGATAGCTTGATGATATTGCATCAGCGCGTCAAGCAGCTGCGCGCTGGCCGTGGGCGGGTAGATCTGAACCTCCGCCCAGATCTGGTTGGGGATAGTCACCATGTCCATCCGGGTGACGATGCCTGGGACCAATGTTAGAAGATTTGAGCATGCCTTGAGAAGATAGATATCGCACCATAGTTGGGACCACCTCCTTTCAGCGCCCAAAAGAGGTCGCTGTTCTCTAACGCATTGGCGTTGACAACCTGTGAGTCGGCGAGAACAACCTGCGACTGTCAGAGCCAACAGCACATCGAGAGAGAGGAAGACGGAGGCTGTACCTCATAGTTGCACACGTTCATAGCACCCAAGCCATACTGGCTGTTCTGAAAGGATATTCCACCACCAAGCAGTAAACCAGGCACACCAACATCCGGGACTCGGCCTCCAGCAACCACCAGATTGTGAGCCTCCAGATTCCTGTAGACTTCGAGCCATCGCAATCCCACGCCAATCTTGGCAACTGTCTTATCGCCTGACAGCTCGACCTGATTGAAGTTGCTCAGTGAAATGACCACGCCGCCCTCATTGCTGGTGAACCCAGGGATCTGCAGTCGGCCCCCACCGCGGATGGAGAACTTCACGTGGAAGAATCGACACAAAGCAAGGGCAGTCGCAACCTGCGGCGCTGATGATGGAGAGACGATCACTCGAGGCTGAAGCCAGCAATTGGTGGACCTGAGACATGAGTGGCCGATCGGGAATAGGTAACCATCATCGGGCGTGGTGCACATACCAAGGCATCTGACGCTGGGTCTCGTACCCGCTGGCCCCCGGGGCCACGCTATGGCTAGAGAAGCATAGGGTAAATGCTTCAGTTACATATGAGTCGCGTTGCTGGGCTTTTTCAGCCTCAGTGAGGGCCGAGTATGCCGACAAGAGAGCGTCAAGCTGGGCATGGCGCGCGGCATCCAGTTGAGCGACATTGAGGATCACAGCTGCGGAGGGACTCATTGTGGCGGAATTGGAAAAACTCCGAGGATTTCTGCAGATTGGACTCGAAGCACTCACGCGGAGCGGCCGCACAGATTTTATCAGAGCTTCTCGCCGCCGTCCGCATAGCCCCTTGGCGAGTGGGTATCGTCACGGCACGAAGTGGACGCTATCCCAACCGGACCGCAGACGGACCGCAACTAAAACCCGAAGCCACCTCGATAGAGTCGATGACTCGATACAGACGGGAAGTTAAATGAAATGGGATTTAGGTCTCAGAATCGACCCAGTAATGACCCACTTGCTCGCTGGCACAAGCGATCCTTCAGGGCCTTGCACTTCTGCGGCCCTGCCCACTCCTCCCCACGTTCCCAGATCTTCTCCGTCTGTTTTTCCCCGGCGATTGTTCGATGTGACTGAGTGACTTCCGAACCACAATTGACGGTGAGGATGGAGGGCCCTTTGCACCCACGCAGTGATGGCGGCACCTCCCAGATGACTATCGCCGTGCGGGCTGTTGTGCTGGCCCTGGCGATTCCCACGACTCTTGTCTGTGTATTGCGGGTATGCAACCCTAGGCAGCGACCCATCGCAAAGACAACCGGCTAAAGGGTGACAGTTGTACCTGCGCAAGTTTGTGACCAAGCAATTCGGGCTAGATGACTGGTTCGTGCTCGTCGCGCTGGTAAGTGATTGCTCAACCCCCTCGATAACCACCATCAAACTAACTGCGTATCCCTCGATAAGATCGGAGTAGATTTGTTTTCAGCGCTGGCATACACAATCACCTACTACGGCCTGGGCCAACCCTTAAACCAAGTCTCCGCCGACCAGCTCGTGGTCTTTCTGACTGTCAGACACATTCCCATCGAATACGCGATCGTCACTAAACGTGTCTAGCTCGAATATGCCTCGCAATGCGCCTACCTCTTCATCGCAGCCACGGTCAAAGCCAGTCTTCTCCTCTTCATCATGCGTCTCTTCCCGACCCGATTCGTCCATACCGTCGGCAAATGTCTGCTAGGAGTCATCGTGGCGTTTACGTTCTCAGGCACCTTGGCGCTGGTCTTCCAATGTCGACCCGTGCAGGCCGCGTACGACAAGACGATAGCAGGCGCCTCCTGCTACCCAACCGAAACATCCTATGCCATTCTCATGATGCAGGGCGTCATCATGTTCGTGCTGATGTGATCATCCTCGTCCTACCGATGAGGCCGATCTGGCAGCTGCAGATGCCCATGAAGAAGCGCCTATTGGTGATCGGGCTGTTATGTATCGGTACGTGAGGCAAAACCTGCCTCTAGCAACCATGGTCTAACAGACCATTGACAGGGTTCACGGCATGTGTGGCGGCACTCGTGCGGTTCTCGACGCTCAAGTTCGCCAACGACACGACGAACTTTACCTGTAAGCCCACCTCAGCTAGCTTAAAATATGAAAAGTGTTCGCTAACCGAACAGACTCGGCATCCATGTCCCTAATCTGGATGGAGGTCGAGTTCAACCTAGGGCTGATGTCCGGGTCGTTGTCTTCGCTACGCAAACTTTGGGGTCTTCGCTCCCTTTCGTCCGCGCCAGACGGTACGTACAGCGATTCGAGGCATTCGACGCACTTCGATCTGGTCCCTCGGAGCTGGGGACAACGCGGAATCACGAAGAAGACAGAGATCATGAGGGTGGTGGAAGGGAATGAAAGCCAGGACCCGATTACATCTACCTAAAACTTACCAACCTAGCTATAGTCTCAGAACATAGTCCAACCTATCACCTAATCCACCACCACAACTCAGCCCTCCCTCATTCTCCCGTACATTCACCCTCAAGTAGATACTCTCTAACCGCCCTCCCCCAGATAGCCGCCCGCTTATACAGATTAAAACCGGGGAACTCCCCTCCTTCAAACCGGCAATCGCCCCCTCCAACCTGGCCCCATCCCTTTCAGCCCGCATCTCTTCTAGAAACTACATATACGTGCGGACGACAAACACAATCGCATTTGTGACAGGTAATCGGAAGAGCACCTGCCTCTCACACCGCAACTGCGCCTATAGAAACCGTTAAAACCACCACCTTCCCCAGCCCTCCCCCATCACCAAATCCCAGGGTCGAACTAACCTTCTCAAAATCCAATGCCCCGAGCTCCTCCACCTCCTCCCCGTGGTAAAGATGCATCCCATCCAGCGCAAATAACTCCCCGGCAACCGAAACAGACCACTAGTCCCGACGCCCAAATTAGCACTTCCCCCCAGCGCATATCAACCCAGTAAACAGAGCACCGAAAGGGGAAAAGGAAACATACATTCTCCCTCCCAACAAGACTTCCCACGGATAACCGTGAAAGATACCGATCCATACTCGGCCGCAACTTCCTCGTATAATCCGGTACGGGCGCGTGGATGTCCGCAAGCGATTTGGTGAATTTGTCGAAACATCGGAAGCCGTTGGGGAAGCAGCCGATGAAGGCTTCTAGGGTTAGTTGTTTGGGTTTTTCGTCTGGGGATTATGTGGGGGTGGGTCGGGGGTTGAGGAGCAGGAGGAAGTCTTCTTCGAGGTGGCGGCCTAGGAGTGCGAGAGCGTCTTCTGGGTTTGGTGGTGGGGTGCTTGGGATGGTTTTGTTTGTGAGGGTGTCTCTTGTATTACACCCTTCGGCTGTGTTGGAGGGGAAGGGAGAGGAGGGGGAGGGGGGCAGGGGCGCGAAGATGGTTGGGTAGCGCTTTGGTAGGTAAGTCAGGAGGAAGGTGTAGAGCTCGTGCACGGCGGGCGTGGAGCGCGGGCTGGCGCCTAGGACGGAGGGGCGCTGGGTTTGTAGGACCTTGTTGCGGAGGTGCAGACGCTCCAAATAGTGTTTTTCGATTTGGATTAGGGTTGAGATTGGGAAGGTTTGGACTCCTGCGTTGGTGTATATCGGTTAGGAAGGATCGGTTGTGCCCCGGTTCGAAGGTATGGACTTGCCCATTGTGATGTGGTACCGCGGCTTGAAGGGGCGCAGGGCCAAGGGCTCGGTTTGGTCCCATTGAAAGTTCTCTAGGGGCTCGATTTCAGAGGCTGCTTCGGCCTCGTTAGTCTTCTTCCCCTTCTCTTGGGCTTTGGTGTCTGGGTTGCTTCTGGCGAGGATTCTTGGTGTCAGCAGTAGTGCTATGGCGGCACCGAGGTAGGGCCACAGGCTGCTGGTGAGGGGGGCGAGAGCCATGGATGTGTGCGATTGCCATATCAATTACGGTGAAATCTTGCTTATATGCAGATCTGTCGCTGAGCCGATATTCCTGCGTACTTATAGATGCTTCAGGGCCAGTTCAGGATATCCAACTCCATGAGATAAGGACTGCGGGGTCGCTCTTTGTCATGAGACTAGATACCCTGTTTGATCTGCACGATAATGCATTGACACCTCGAAGAAAGATTAATTCAACGCCTTCTATTGGCATTGAAAGCATTGATGGCGACGCTTACATTCCCCCTCGCCGTTGACGTTGAGGTATGATTGCTACCTGATTGGCTGGGTCCACCGAAGTAGATGCATGGCATCGAATAACCATATTTTTAAACTCCAACTGCGTGCTAATTACCATACTCGAAGATAAGTCCCCATTCTCCGCCACAGCGGTCGTCCGTAATACGCATCCAGCATCTGCAGCTCCTCGGTGCTCAGCTCCCGATGGCCGGTGACCAGATCCGCAGTCGCGGGGTCCCTCCAAGGGGTGCGATAAACCACCTTGTACGCGACGGTAAAGAACACAATCATGAGCATTCCTATCGTAGATGAAAAGAAACTGTACGCAGAGAATCCAGCTCCGTTCTGTGTTATGGCATGATTAGCTCCTACCGTATTCCGCCGAAATTTCTCACAAGCAAAGAATGAACTTACCACTGGCTTGATACTCGTATAGATGACGCAAGCAAACAGCAAGCTAGAAATGACAAGGCTGGTCAACGGCGCCAAAGGCCACAGTGAGGACTGCCACGCATAAGGTACCTGGAACAGCCGGCTCTTCTGCGCTCTGACCGCCGCTCGGAATCGAAAGGAGGTGAAGGCGATAATCGCCCAGTTGGTGAAGAACGAGGCACTGGTGATGGCGATCAGCCAGTTGAGGACCTCCGTGCCGCCAGCTATACAACGGTAAGTTGGTAGGTGGCTAAAGGGTGATTCTAAGTTTGCATACCGCTCAAGCTCATATAAGTCATAATCACAGCTACAATTGCCGTGATCACGAGGGCCCATCGCGGGCGGCCCTTGTCGTCGACCCTCGCAAACAATGGGGGCAACAGTCCCTGGAGAGACATGGTGCGGAGAATGCGCGACGGTAGGAATATACACTCCAGAGCAATGGCGAGAATCCCAAGAATCATGCACGCGTTGATCAGATCCGGTATCACCTTGATGCCTGCGTCTTGCACGGCAAGGACAAAAGGCGAGGAGGCGACGCTGGAACCACCCAGCAGGCGAGGGTCGGTGGATGGCACAATCAATGAGACGAGCACGACGGACACGAGGTAGAATAAGGCGACGCGCCATGGAATTAGGCTGGCCGAGTGTGCCATGGAGTAACGTGGAGATTCAGCCTCACCAGCCATGACGCCGATGAAGACCTGGTCTCCCACGGCCCACATGGCGAGTAAAGCGGCGCTTGAAAAGCCCTATATTTCGGGTCAGAAGTATCAAGCAAGCGCTGTCGGAAGCCAATTACCCCAAAACTATTCTTGAACGCGGGCAAGTCGGTCCATGTGCTGCCATTCCGTACGTATCCAGACGAACCTGCGCCACCGATAATAGCAAGTGAGACGATAGTGATGAAGACAAACAAGAATGCCTTAATCAGAGCGCCAAAGTATTGAATCCACCCGAAGTATTCTGTAGGCATCAGGAACACCGCAAGACAGATCACCAAGAAGATGGTGACTGTCACAGAGTCAGCTACACAACAACCCAGCAAAGAATAGTCGTTGAAAACCAGGGGTGAAAATATCATGTAGAAAGAGGTATCGGAGAAACCGCCCACCCGCACCAATGTAGGGCAAACTCACGCAAAACCGCCTCCGGCACGACCCCTCCCGCCCAATAATTCACCAGTATAACCAAGAACGTGGCCTCAGACGCAAACACGGACGTCCATCCTAGATTAGTAGACACCATCAGTCCAGTCCAATCATGAACATAATCTGGGAGCAACCCACCAAGCCACTCCGCGAATCCTGCTCCAAACGCCAGCGCCGGATCCACCCACCGATACGCGTAGTCAATATAATTTCCTGACGTCGGGAACGCGATCGTCATCTCCGTCAATGTCTGCAAGTTTGCCCAGACGCCGAGGCAGACCACAAGGTAGGCTAGAAACATGTTGCCTGGGCCTCCATCCGCGAGGGCTTTGCCCGTCGCAATGAACAGGCCGCTTCCGACGCTGGACCCGAGGGAGATTACCTATTGGGATTCAGAATAATAGTGAGACGATCGTTCCCGCTATTAGTTCAGGATCGGAGTCAAAAAAGGGCATACATGGATTAGACGAGGGCTTAAATTGCGACGAAGATCCCCATTTTCTGTCTCTGGAATGTCGAGCTGGTCCTCTCCGATGGAGATAGTAGAATGTAGATCGGGGTGTTTCTCGTCAGTTGCCGTTGAAGAGGCGCCATCGCTGCCAACATGTTTTGATTCGTGCTTCATAATGTTCTCTAGTGAGTTTAGGCAGACATCTGAAATTGCAAGACTTGAAGACAGAAGATATTTTCTTCATATACATTTATCTGAATCAAGGGATATTGAGCAGAATCTAGACCAATCCGCGCAAGGCAAGGATTTTGCATCGCAACATGGGGCCATCAGCATCTAGATTTCGGCATCGCCTTCCAATTGTGCTTCCCCGCACCCGATAAGGATCAAGGGGCTTCTTATCATAACAGGAATGCGGAGGCCTGCTCGCTTCGGTCATGCGAAAGAGCGATGGCGTTCTTCATCTATTGTTAGATGTCTGCATATGCCTTGCATCAAGTGCATCTGCAGTTCTACAAGATTGGGCTCTAATCTCATCATGATTTTGATGTAAATCAAGCATGATGCCCCGAAAATCCCTCAGCTCAGCACGAACGCCCCCAGATCACTCGACCTGTGCAAAACCTGGCTCCAAGACGTATCCCGCATTCCAGGAGACCTCCGAGCGTTACAGACCCTCTGCGTTGCTTTGAGGACCACGGTAAACATGCGAGCCCCGGCTTTCAACCCGGATGCCTGAAGCCGACGCAAAGATTCCTTTGTAGTCAGGGTCCAGGGCTTCGAGGCCGGCAATGAATCCCAGCCAGCAAGTGTTGAGCGATTGATCATTTAGTCTCTGCTTTTCTTTGTCATATGCAATGAAATTGGGGATGACATCACGGACATACGGCCGTTTGACGACAGCCTTGACATCTCTGATTGGCCAATAAAACTAGGTGATAAGTGCTTTGTGAATTGCCTGGAAGAGATGGTACGGGAACGCTCCTTGTGAGGCCTAGTCTTTGAAGCGTCGCGACTTATACGGTATCCCTGTCCGGAGTGAATGGCTAAGCAGGCCCAACTAGGTGGCGTAATTCCAAACGCGGTGGCGATCATGGAAATTTGGAAGACTTCATCATATCATACATCGCGGCTGTGGTGTTCAGTTACTTCAACACGCGCAGATGGGGGAATATGCTGTGGAGCATGCGCACTTTGGACGATCAGACCACTTTGTGAATGACGGCGTGAACGAAGCTCCTTCATTTGAGAACACTATCCTAGCAGCACCTTGAGCAAGATGACCTTCTAAACACAGATCATTGACATATGCCGGTTACGTCGCACCTTGCGTGCGCGGCAGTCAAGACAGGAACTCTCTGGTCTTGAGATATCATGAAGGGCGATGTTGAGTTTCTCTTCTCAACATCGCACGAGATTTCGAGACCTTGATGATAGTTTTCGTGACGAGTGTGATAATCGACCACGGCTCCACTTGCCAGTTTGTTGAACGGCAGGATATGGGGCACTCAGGATGGGCAATCAATGAAGGATAAGGCATGGTTTTACATGAGCCTCTGGACGCTCTCGGGGAGGGCCTGCTCTTCGCTCAGAAATTTCACATTGGTAACTCATCGTAGCTATCAACATATCCCAGGTTCAGCGCATCGATCACTCATACGGATCATCCATTATTGAACCAATTAGCCATGATAGGTGTTGTACTGACCAAAAAAAAAAAAACACCGTCTTACCTATGTATTTTGTTTTTCTCTTGGCCGGGGGTTTGTGACGCGAGATGTGTGGGAAGGTTGTCAGATTAGGGTAACAATGAGGTAAAGATTCAATCAAGGGATGGTGCGATTAGGTTGGCAAAACCATGGGTCAGATGCAGTCATATGACAGTTTAAAAAATCATGTCTCGTTAGAGCATATATAGTAAGGGGGAGGAACAAGAGATGAAAAAAAGAAATGAAGCCCAACGCGGGGGTTGAACCCGCAACCTTGAGATTAAGAGTCTCACGCTCTGCCGATTGAGCTAGCCGGGCTGATTTGTTGAAAGCCTGGTGATAAGTTTGTCCTATTTCCTTGAATTGTGAAAGTTAATCGGAGCAATGCTGATCATTCAATCTGTAAAAATAAATACTAATCGGAAAAGAAGCTGGAACACGATCGGATAAATTTGAGCAGATGCATTCTGGCATCGTTAACTTTTCTCTCTTCAGGTACCTCTGGTTTGCCGTACACGTATCTGTCCTTGTCCTTGACAACCTCTGGCTCTGGCCATTGGAGCAATATATATAGTGGCACCGAGGAGACCGGGTATTACAGTGCTGGCAACGAGTGAGGGCTATCAGCATAACAATGAGATATTAAGCTACTAGGCCACCCCACCACCATACATCATTAGGATATAAGAGTCGCCAGGAAGTCATGGAGACCCGGTGCCAGATCATGCAGGAGTTCAAGGAATGCGGCCCGAGTCAAGCAATGGGCATCACCACTTGACAACCCGAGATCCAGCTTCTACCCGACGTCAGCTCCAACGCTGCTCAACGCTACGTTAAAGTATGACAAGCAGCCCATATTGCGAGCACATGCCGACAACGTGATCAGTCTATTCGTGGGCGTTCACTCTGCTAGATATCTCCGCTCACATGAAGATGTGGCGTAGCAGTACAGTCCATGCATGCATGATGAGCCATCATGATAGATGGAAGTGCTCGGAGCCAGGACCGCTCAATAGGAAAAGCCCGCCTGTACCAGGTGCCTTGTTCTTGTCAGCTCACCCTTCGAAACATCATTCCTTGATAATACTTCCTCGTACCGTCGAAATGACCCTACGGACGTGGCCGCCCTGGGCTGGCATTGCAACTCCCGCAGATGCCGCGTACACGCAGAGCATTTTTTCACACGAGCTGATGTTGGTTGAAGCACTGTAAGCCATTGCCATACTGGAAGATCTCTTCTCCTTGCTCCAGTACCCGATAGCCACGGTCGATTCAGATTCATTGACCTGTTGTCCTAGTCCTGGAAGCATAGCCTGTTTGGCCTAGATAATAACGGCCAGCACCTCAAACACGAACAAAAAAAACTCCTGCCAACATGGACTTGACAAAACAAAACCAGTCAGACAACCCAAAACACCATGAATCAAATGATATGAATCAGTACATGTCATCAAGTCATTGTATCAGAGTGCCGAGCTTAAAACAGCCCTAAACCCAAAACTTCCGAGACACTTATCATCGAACCGTGACCATTTACATCGGTCCACACACGAGGTATATGCAAGCTGTTACCTTGGGCGACGATGCAACAAGCATAGTACCTGGTTAGGCTTTTCACGTAGGCAACCACCGAACATAGGCGGGGAGTGAGCCCGAGCATGGAGATAGCAGTCACCACGAGCAACACCGGCCCACCTCAACCATTATAAAAAGACTGCGAAGTCATTTACAATCCCCTTCGATCTCAACAGCAACCTTCAAAAATCCTCATCAGACACTACTCGTCACTTTTGACCATGGTTCTCACCGAACTCCCCTCTACGGGGAAATTCATCGACCATCTCATCGCAAACCACATCCAAAAACTCGACCAAGACCCGCACAGCACCGAAAGCGATCGCCCGTTCTTCATCGCCGACACAGGCCCAGCCTTAAATCTGTACAACCGCTGGCGACGCGCCCTGCCCAGCGTAGCCCCGTTCTACGGTCAGTGTCGTCCCCCAGCACATCCACTCATCCATTTCGTGTGATCTCCAGAGATACACCCACCCAGCAACAGAAGAGGCTGACCAAGCACCGCAACCGTTAGCTGTGAAATGTAACCCGGACGTGCGGTTTCTGCGGTTCCTGGCCGACCTGGGACTGGGCTTCGACTGCGCCTCGCAGACGGAGATCGAGCTGGTCCTGTCCCTGGGCGTGGACCCCTCGCGCATCATCTTCGCGCACCCGTGTAAATCTGCCTCGGCGATCCGCGTCGCGGCCGCCCACGGCATCACGCTCACCACCTTCGACAACATCGACGAGCTCGACAAGATGAAAGCACACGCTCCTGATATGCAGCTGCTCCTCCGGATCTACGCGCAAGACGACACCGCCGCGGCGCAGCTGGGGAATAAGTTCGGTGCGCCGTTGACAGCAGCGGAGCCACTGCTGCGAAGGGCGAAGGAGCTGGGTCTGAATGTGAGGGGAGTGAGTTTTCACGTCGGTGAGTTTTCCCAATTCACATATTCGACATAGACATATTCACATTCACATTCACAAATTGCCACATTCACCAACTCCCACCAATTCATCAAGCCCCAGCCCCTTCCTCAATCATCTCCCTTCGAACCCCTCCTCCAATCCCAATCCTCCAAACCCACCCTCAAACAGCCCACTAACAACCCCAGGCTCGGGCGCCCGCAACCCGCTCGCCTTCACAAAAGCAATCCACCAAGCACGCCACGTCTTCGACCTCGCCCAACACCACCTCAACACAAAAATGGACATCCTCGACATCGGCGGCGGCTTCCAAGACACCAACTTCGAAGAGATGGCAGTTCCGCTCGCGTACGCCCTGGATGAGGCCTTTCCCGCCAACACTGACTCCCCGGTGCGCGTAATCGCCGAACCAGGCCGGTACTTCGCCCGAAGCCTGTACACGATGGCCTGCAAGGTGATCTCGCGACGGCGGCAGCTGCTCGATTACACGCCGTACCCGTCCATGCTTCCCGATATGTTGTACCTGAACGATGGGGTGTATGGGAGCTTTATGTTGGTTTTGTTGGAGAATGAGGTTTTTGTGCCGGATACGGTTGCGGTTAGGGGTGTGCTGGGGGAGTTGGGGGACGAGGAAGGGCAGCGGCTGCGAGCGACAGGACCGCATCAGTATTCGATATGGGGACCTACGTGTGATGGCATTGATTGTGTGGCGCCTGAGGTGGTGATGGAGGGGGAGGTTGGTGTTGGGGATTGGTTGGTGTTTCGGGATATGGGGGGTGAGTATATACCTACTTTCCTCTGGATGGTTGTTGTTGGTGTTGATGCTAGGAGAGCCTGGCTAATGAGTTATCCGGGGGATAGCGTATAGTGTGGTGAGTGCGACGCGGTTCAATGGGTTCTCGAACGACTATGATGTGATCTACGCCAGTGACTACATGGCGGCTGCTTCCGGGGTACAGGGCCCGACTGCTGATTCTTCGGGGATGTTGTGGAAATACGTCGAGTGGTTCTTACCTGGGCCTCTGCGAGGTTTGTTGAAGCAGAGGGTTTAGGAGGTTGCTTTGTGGTAGTGTATCGGGGCTGGCCCGGGGGGGCTGGGGTGGTACTTGTTCTGGGTTGGTGATACTGACAATAGGGCTGTTGATGCTGAAGTGGGCTGATTTGGCTTGGTCGGGACATAGAGATGATGCCTTGCCATTTGTGGGATAAAAAGTGGTCTACTTGTTCTTCTATACTCTGTTTAATGTGTATCGTGGGAGGGTAATCTTATATTCAATGGTACGGCTAGGGTGCAATGTAGTGATTGGAGCATTAGCACCAGCGTGCCATGTAAGAAGGGGCAGTCTAAGCATCGAATAAATTGAATAAATGTCAACACTACCTTGATCGCAATATTAAATCTCCAGGGAGAGATACTATGGAGTTGAGAATAGCCTACTTTGAAAACAAGAACCTTCGTGATGGTCGAGTATTATCCACACTAAGTAAACCACCTTGACATTATGCTGATCTTTATGTTTTTTAGGTTGATAAAGCACAGTTCAAAGCATCAAAACAAGAAACATCCTCGATGGTCTAACGGTCATGATTTCCGCTTGTCAATCCCATTCGGGAACAAGCGCGGGAGACCTGGGTTCGACTCCCAGTCGGGGAGATGTCTTTTTTGACTTGCATATGTTTTTGCGGGATATCACTGCTCTCTAATTGCTACCTAGGTGGACCATGTCAAGAAAGAAACATAGCCAATGGGCCATCGCTTCTTCTTGGATGGAGCGGCATTCACAGCCTCTCACTCTATACAAAAAGTCTTCTCCCACCAGCTTATGCTCGGGCTCATCGCCAATCTCCTCCATCTTCTCCAAGAGCTGCGTCATCCGTACAACCACCTCACGATGCTTCGGGTCCTGATAGCAGTTGAATAACTTCAACGGATCCTCCTGACAGTCGAACAACTCCCACTCCTTATATTCCTGACCACCCGGCCTCGCCCCCTCGACATCCAACGGCTCATTGCACCAATAGATCAGCTTATACCGCTGGTCGCGCAGGCCATAATGCGCATACGCCCGACGAATAACATCATTATGCATCCAATACCGATGATACGCGATCTGCTGCCAACCAGGGGGCGTTCTACCCTGCAACAGAGCTCGAAAACTCCTTCCCTGCATATAACTCGGGGCGGGCAGCCGCGCAAAGTCCACATTCACAGACGATATCATCGCAGATGCTGCCGGGGTGGATCTCGCGCGGGTAGCGCACTAGGAACTGCATCTGGAAACTCTCGTACATGAAGCGCTTACCGATCCATTCGTGCTCGCCCAGGAAGAAGTCCTGGTCGGAGGTATAGACGACAAGGGTGTTGTCGGCCAGGCCGGGCTCGGAGTCCTGGGTCGCCAGCAAGCGGCCGACGTTCTCGTCGACGCTGTGGATCGTGCGCAGGTACCGCTGCATGTAGCGCTGGTACTTGAAGTCGGCCAGCTCGGCGCCCGTCGCGAAGGTAAACGCCGTGCCGTCGTCGACGTCCACCAGCCGCAGCGCGCGCACCGCCTCGTCCGTCCCCGGTGCAGGCACCTTGCGGTTCCCGTCGAAAATGCGCTCGCCCGTGGGGGCGCGTCCGCCGTCCGGCTGCGCTAGCCCCAGGTCGAAGTACGTCTATGGCGTTATAGTTAGCGGGCTCATATCTGATCCGATGCATGAATCAGTTCTGAATGCATTCATGTCTCCTTTCATGATGGTATAATCAAATTAGGCATCGGCATGCCGCTTGGTTGACAAATTTGGACTTCCCCTTTCTCTGTTGATATATGCGTTAGGGCTGGTTCAGCCACGACAGAGGTAGTACGAGAGACAGTCTTGTAACTCCCCTGACACATATATGCAAGGATCACCATCAGAACACCCGGCAAGACAAACAACAAGCTACAACAAGCACTTTAAAAAATCTACTCCCAATTCCCTCTCATGCAAATCTCCCAACCGCAGTACCTCACACCGATCAAGGAAACACAACCGCCCCCTCCACCCGATCCACCCCCCGATTTCCCTCCAAGGTAAACCCCTCCTCACGAAGATACTTCTCCCCAAAATCCCTCACAAAATTATCAAATGTCGTCTGCGGCTTCTGCCGACAAAGCTGACACATAATCTCCTTCACTCCATCCACAAATCCCGCCCGCGAGAACTCCGTCGCAATCCGCGTATACACCTCCCAGGTCACTCCTCGCCCTGTTGCTCCAGATCCAGCTTCAGCCCCAACCCCGGACCCTCTAACCCCGCTATCACCTCCATCCTGCGAGTCCGAGGCACCAAAATCTCCCCTCCCCCAAAAGTCCACCCGAATCCCCGCAGCCGTCAACGCAACCTCCGGCTCCTTATGAGCAGCAATCGAACCCGTCGTATGCAGGGCGATGGCATCCCAGACGAGTTGCACGCGGACGGGGGCCCAGTCCGGGGCTTCACGGGCGAGGAAGGCGCGGGCGGCGTTTGCGCCGTCGACTTCGAAGCGCTTATCTGTCGAGATTAAGGGCGTGGTGCGGGGGTTGTCGAGCGCCCAGCCGAGGTCGTGGAGGAGGGTTGCGATGGCGAAGGCTTCGTGGTCGAAGGTTTGTTGCTGTGATGGGGTGAGGCGCTGGGTGATGAGGAGCGTGCCGAAGAGCCAGCTGCGCATTATGTGGTTGTAGGTGAAGGGGTCGTAGGTTGTCTGCGCGTAGGCGTGGGCTTTGCGGATTAGTGGGGTGTCGCTGACCTCGATGTCGAGGATGAGGCGGGTGGGGGGTGGCATTTTGGTGGATATTTTGCTGGGTTGAAGAGGGAGGAGGTTGAGGATTGGGATTGGTGATTGTCAGTGCGAGATTGCTATTGTATAGTGCTTGGTAAGAGACCGGGATTTGCTTACTTCTAAACATCTCACGTCAGATCGTTGAGCCGCTGCACGCGGGGAGATCACCAATCATGCTCACATTATTCTTCATATGGTAACCCCGCATTTGTCTTCAATAGTAATGGTCTAGTCAGCATGGAGGCTTAATCTTAGTCCCGCTTAGTTTGCTCTGATCGTAGAAGCCAGCTATGCCAAGCAAATGCACGCATTAGCTTCAGGCTATATTCTTCGTTAGGATCTAAAGAGGGATAACACACATAATGACTTTCGAAAAAAAATGCAGTGGTACAGTACATTGAAGTAACATGCCTCTTAAAGAGATCCTCTATAAAAGCAAAGCATCAATCCATGACTCAGCCACACAAAGCTTAAACACGTCCGCTCTAGTAGTCCCTCTAAGGTGTCCTTACCCAACAACAACAACACTCCCAATTACCACCCCCCCATCTCGTTACCATCAAAATCTATATAAAATGCCATCCAGCCGCGCCTCTGGTCTCGAAGCCCTCCTCAACCGGCCCGAGCAGAAATCCTTCCTCCAGCGATTCCTCCGCTCCCCCATCAAATCCACAGCGCAGCTCCTCCACCGCACCTTCGCTCTCCCACCCCCCAACAGCCCTAAAAACAGCCCCCCAATCCACATAGTCTGCATCTCCGACACGCACAACACCCAACCCCGGCTCCCAGACGGCGACATCCTCATCCACGCAGGCGACCTCACCCAATCCGGTACACCCCAAGAACTCTCCACCCAGATCGAATGGCTACACGCCCAGCCCCATCGCCACAAAATCGTCATCGCAGGGAACCACGAACTCTGCCTAGACAACCAAAAGCCCACTAAGAACCCTCCATCCGTGGACTGGAAATCCATCACCTACCTCGGAAATACGGCAACGGAACTCGAGTTCCGTGATGACAGCCACAAAGGCATGCGCCGGGTGAAGGTGTTCGGGTCACCTTGGACGCCCAAGCACGGAAACTGGGCGTTCCAGTATATGCGTACGGAGGTGGAGTTCTGGGAGAGGACGGTGGATGTTCCACGTGAAACGGATATCCTGGTTACTCATGGCCCGCCGAGGGGGCATCTTGATGTAGGGGGATTGGGTTGTCCGTTGCTACTACGGAGGTTGTGGGGTCTGGAGGGGAGGCCTCGGTTACATGTCTTTGGGCATGTACATGGCGGGTATGGGGTTGCGATGGCGGGGTGGGATTCTTTCCAGAGGGTTTACGAGGGGGTGATGGAAGGGACGGAAGGGGTTGTGGGCTTGGTGAAGATGCTGGGGTTTGGGGTTTGGCGTGCGCTCAACGCATACTTCGGGAAGTATGAGCAGGGGGTGACGGTGATGGTCAATGCGGCTGTGGTTGGCGGGGTGAGGGACGAGAAAAGGAGGGAGGCGCTTTGCATTACTCTCTGATGGTTGGTATGTACTGTACATCCTGCACAAGCAGTTCTTCAGCCTCGTATCCGGCCCATGAACTCCTCGATCGTGCCGACCAGGTCTGATGTCCAGCTCAGATGCGGCGAGTGGTCGGTCGACGCCCGGTAGACCACGATCTCGCGCTTGCCAGCGCTCCGCAGTCGCTCGTTCTGCGCTTGCAGCATCGCTTCCTGGTACGCTAGCGCCAGGCTTTGATCGTCCTCCAACACCAGATATGCGCACGGCAGAGCCGAGTAGGCGTCATTCGTCAGCGCTACGGTCATGACGGGTGATGCGGTCAGCGTCGCGGCCCATTTCTCCCCGTCTTCGCGGGAGAGTTGGCCGAACATGTACTTCGCGCCTTCGGCGGTACTCAACAGACCCTTCTTGCCGTATTTCTGGTTTCTTTGCGTTAGTGGGTCTGGGCCTGGGAAGAGAAGACGGAGTGAGAACACGCACGTGAGCCCGGCAGAAGGACGGAACGAAGAAAGTCCCGTCCTTGGGCTGTAAGTAGCTGAACACGGACTCGCCGACGGGGACGAGAAACGCCCCGTAGTAGAAGATCCCGATGATGCCGGCTGTTTTGCCCTCCGATGGTCGTGCGTGGTACTCCGGGATCGCCGCTTGGGTTGCGACCCAGCCGCCGGAGGAGTGGGCCACCAACAGCACCTGTCTGCCTTCCTGGTTGATGAGCTTGTCGAGCAGCTCGAGAATGACATTTACGTCTTCCGTGTCGCTCGGGTAGCCGCCCGGTGGTGGGGGACGGTCGAAGTCTGGGTTGCTCGTGTCGCCGACGTTGAGCTTGCTGAGATCGCAGGTCGGCCGTTGAGGGCAGTAGGCTTCGTAGCCGTGGAAGCCCAATTGCTCGATGAAGGGCTCATAGGGGGCAGGCGTGTGGTATGAGCCGTGGCAGATGACGATTGCTGGTCGCTTCGTACCGATCATTTTGATGCTTCGGAGGATGTTCTGGGAGTCTATCGGTCGGGTTTGGTCGAGAAGAGAATGTTTGTGGGACAAGGATGCCGGCCTAATATAGATAATTTCCGTAGTCCTGCACGTGGTCCAGACGAGATTAAACACTAATCTAGCTGTTTCATGGCATAACAATCTCCGGCAGCCGGTTAACTGCATGCAGACAAGTATGGCGTGCCTTTCGTGTTTACAGCCGCAGGAGTGGATTCACCAAGCCAGCACTAGTACGCATCTAAAATCTGACAGCTCCACTGCAATTTTTAACCAGATTGGCTTGCTCGTGAGTTTTATGGGGACAATATTCTAGGCCTCAGAGAGATGCATCTTGCGCCAGAGGTATAAAGCCGCAGCAACACAGTAATAAGTGATCATTCCCCGCCCTCTTGATCCATTCGACACACAGTATACACAAACCACTATCACACCCAACCCACCGAACCCAAAATGGCCCCTCCAGTCCTCCTAACCGGCGCAACAGGCCTCATCGGCTTCAGGGTCTTGCAAGAACTCCTCCGAAACAACTACAGGGTGCGCATCACCGCCCGCAGCGCCAACAAAGTCCAAAGCGTGACCACACACCCACTCATCCGCCCGTTCGAGTCCCAACTCACCACGGCGCTCATTCCCGACATCAATGCCGCCAATGCATTCGACGAAGCCCTGAAGGACGTCACATACGTGATCCACACGGGTTCGCCCGTCCCGATCCCAGGCACAGACCCGCTCCGCGATGTCTGGAGCCCGACAGTCGACGGCACAGCGAGCCTACTCACCTCGGCGCTGCGATTCAGCACCATAAAACGCATTGTCTTGACCTCGTCCATCGTCGCTACCATCCCTTTGTCCCCTCTACCACCATCAACAGCCCCCGAAGTGCCTGTTAGCATAACAGCATCCTCCCGCGTCCCCCTCCCAGCAAACACAACCGCCACGCCTGATGTATTCGAAACCTACGTCCTCGCGAAAACCATCGCCCTAAGCAACGCAGACACATTCATGAAAACCCAAAACCCGGATTTCACCCTCGCGCACGTAATCCCGGGGTACGTACTCGGCCGCGACGAGCGGGTCCACGACGCCGAGATGGCAGCCCACATGCCTAGCTCGTGCGGGATCCTTCTGCAGGGACTTACGGGGATTGATGTGCTGGTTCCGTTGCATGGCGGGTTTGTGCATGTTGATGATTTGGCGGAGATGTTTTTGAGGGTTATGGAGTTGGAGACGGAAGTCCAGATGGAGAGTTTTGGGGCCTGTGTGCCGGTGGATTTTGGTTAGGCGTGGGGGTCCGTGCAGCGGGAGTTTGCGGATGAGGTTGCTAGGGGGGTTTTTCGGCAGGGTGAAATGAGGACTTTGGAGGTGTGGTTTGAGTCGCTTGAGACGGAGGCGGTCCTTGGGAGGGCATTTAGGGGTTTGAGGTTGCTGTTAGGGATGTTGGGGGTTCTATTTGGGGTTGTTGAGACGGGGTTAGTGTGCTGAAGATAGGAGAGGAGAATTAGGGGGGAGATGACTGAGGGCTAGTTAATTGGCTTTGATTATGTGTGTATGTACTCGCTGATTATTTTGAATGTGCTGTGGTGTAGGGTGAGCTGGTGACATACCTATTCATCCCTGTCTCTGCATCCTGCTTCGCTTTCATGTGAGTTATCTAGCCGAATGTATAATTTACCCATTGCTGGAGCTTCCCATTCGGGCAGTAGTCTATACTGTCGACGGTGACGTTCATCCAATGTAAACCGCCTGTGGGAGGCTTTGGGGCAAGTTGCACTGGTAGCGATGCTGGCCGAGTGGCAGGGTCACTCAAAAGCGGGTCGATTCCTTCAAGGATGTCAAATATACCTGGGGATAGCTGGTGCGAATCAGTTACTCGCATCCGCGTTTTATCACGGCTTTCACCAATGCTTCTCGGAGCAGTGATACCGGGAGGAGCCTTGTAGCCCCCAGACCCGGGCCCACTGCCTTGTCTGCTCCTTTGGGCAGGGCGATCTTCCAGTTGCAGCAGGGAAGCCTCACTGCTCCCAGAGCTAACCCAGATCGGGCTACTGGGAGCAGGACGATCCTCATGGGCAGGCATCGCCGGGATGTCGCTGCCCGTGGAGCTGCTCGGAGCAGGGGTCCCGTGAGCAATCCAGTTGAGTTGGGCTTGCTTCCGAAAGACACCATTGTTCGTCGATGTCTCAAGAGCGGTATCGCATATAGTGAGGCTGGGCCTCTTCCGCGGAGGCGATCGCGCAGTATCACCGCTTGCCAACCCATCGAGAGCCGGATTATCAGAGGCAAGCGAGTTGTTTATCCCCGTCAACAACTCATCAGGAAGCATAAATCCATCGGGAGCCGGATTTTGAGGGAAGGGCGAGTTGCATATCCCCGTCACAAAATCATCGGGAAGCATGAAGTCATGGGCTAGGGCCTCGTAGAAAGAGTCATCTAGCAGATCTATCGTCGTCAAGCTCGTACCTAGCAAATCATGCGTCAAGGGAACAGCGTCTTTGTCTTTAAAGCTACTCGGAGCAGGATCAACGAGGTCAGGCCCACCGAGCAGAGGCGTCAGAAAGGGGCCATTACTCATGAACACAGGGAGAGCATCAGCAGCTGGGACATGCTCACCGTATTTCTCCTTCGAGATAACCTCGGACAAGACACGATCACAGGCTAACTGCTCGTAGATCGAGTCACCGATCAGTCCAGCACTCTCGAGCTGGCCCAGCAAGGACACAACACGATCTTCGCTCGTCTCTGTCGGCTCGGGGGTTTGGGGTTGACAGGTTGCGATGCTCATGTTCCACATGAGTACCGCAACCTTATCAGCGGGGATGGAGTCGACCATGAACAGCTTCGCTCCCAGTTGATCCACCACCCAGCCCGGCTTGTAGTGCTTCTGGCTCCACGTTCCGCCCGTTTCAGGTCGAAACAATACACCACCTATGTGGTTCTCAACGCAAAAGGACCAGTCTTGGGCGTTGGATTTGACAACATAGAGAACTTGATCGTTCGCCATCTCGTTTCTTCGTTGCTGATGCGTGTGATTCGTGATGGCAATGGCGGTGGTGGTGGCAGCAAGACGATCTAGTCAGGGGTGTTTTATCTCCCTACGGCCAATATATAGATTCTCGAATGTCTTGTGCTTTGTTGGGTTTTAGAGAAACTTATACACTATCTGCGTTACCCTCCGTCCAACGGACAATGGCTTCCTTTCTCAGCTGCGGAAAAGATAGTCGCCAAACAAAGGATCATGGCCAACTCATATCTTGTACAAAAAGCTGTCGGAGCCGGAACAAAGATTGCAAGAGGCAAACACCGCAAGAGCTTCTCTCATTGCACTTTTTGTCTTTTTTCGAGGATTGGCGATGTACTCACAGATTCACTCGGATTCGGTCAACTCTCGGTGATTCCAGAGCATGAGAGCTAACCCGCATAACCCCTATGAACCAAGAAGAGCAAGCAGCAACTACAAGCGAGATAGACCGAATCGAGCGAGGAAGTAAACATATTTGGACACTGACCAGGAAAATCAAAGTAAGGATCAAACTTTGACGTAGCAAGTCCGGCACTTGATATCTGTGAGACATGTTACATCGCAGGAACGAAATGATCCACCACATCCCGCAGTATAGCACTCCTGAGATAATTGCCCCCACAAACTACAGACAGAAAAGAACATGACAGATCCGTACGAGCCGCTAGCCGCAACTTCAGGCCTCTCGTGGAACTGTCCTAGATCAGGGTCGTCACTCATTCCGAGGGTGGCCGTCACTTTCTTTGGTAGCTCCCAGATGGCCGCGGAAACTCTACATTCCATTTCAGGTACCGGTCCTTGGGACCATGGGATAGACTCACTTGCCTGACAAATAACAGCGAGAGAGAAAATCGAAATTAAAAGTAGAGCAAAAAGCATAATATCTAAGAATTCGTCGTTGCTGTGATCGTAACGTGCAACTCCTGTATTTCCTCCATGAATATCTAGATTAGACAGTATTAAGGTACGTATGACAAATTATAAGCAGACATAGGTCTCGTTATTCAGCAAAACCGAGCCTCCTCCGGCAAGCTGAATGTAGTCATGGCGTCGACTGGTATTTCCATTGCTGATGAGATCTCTGGCTGGCACAGAAATGTCTGGCTCTTGACCGTGTGAGCACCAAGACTGAGGAAATCCTCATATTAGCTCAAGGTCATATTATCATACATTCAGGATGTCTTACCTTCAAATATGGCAGCCTTATATTCATTCCTTCATTAGCTGATATGTCCTCAGATCAACAGCCCAGCAGCGATGGGCGCCAGTGCCCAAAGCGCAGTATTCGCATTCAGCAGTCTGGCCGCGCCATTGTGTTCCTGCGGGTACTCGGTCGGGTTACTGGTATCGCAGTGGCCCTCGGTCTTGGTCGAGCTCAGCGTGCAGTTGGCCGTCTGTCCGTCGGCGCTCTTGAACGTCAGCACGGCGCTGTACCAGTCGACGGTAACGGAGGCATCGCCGCAGATGGACTTGGTCTGGACGCCCTGGTTCTTGCCGCACTCCTTCTTGAACGGCTTGGAGCTGCCCTTGCAGCCAAACAGCTCATCTTCGACGATCACCGAGCAGTGCGACACGTACGAGTTGGCGGGTGGATTGGTGGTCTTGATCTTGATCTGCGCGGCGGTGATAGCCTGCGCCAGGGCCAGGATGGCGCCGAGTTTGAGGAGCTGCATTGTGGGCGGACTTGAAAGCTGCGATCAACGTCTGGCAGTGCTGAGCGATGAAGCGGAGGATGTCGCCGGCTGTGAACTTGAATTTCCAAGTTAGTCTTCTGTTCTGTTGAAGGCTTCGTTATATACCCATTTGCCCTACTCGGACAATCTTCGGATATACCGGCACACTCGGATATCCGGACCCTGGGAGGGGTGGTAGAGCTGAACGATCACTCATGTGAAGCTTAACAGGGCCTTTTTACTATGAGGGGCCCCACTGGAGGGAAATCCACGCAGCCGTCTTGGACGCTTTTTTGTATACTTCCATCTGTGCCGGTGATCCGCATCGGGCTTGGCACGGCATAGCTTGGCCTTGCTTCATTCATCCCAGCAACCATTCGTACAGCACGGACACTGCGCTGACGCAAAACAAGATAACATGTCAGCAGAGGCTGCAGGATTGCGCCCGTCTGCTACCATGCTTACTGTCGTGAGAATGGTTAAGGAAAAATGCCGCAAAAGAGAATTTTCCGCCCGATCAGACGATCTGTGCGTTAAGGCCCCGAGACATCCGGCGACGGGCCCACCTCGTCTGACTGATATCGGATTGAGCATCAGCATCAGCTGATCTGCTTTGGTTGAGGGGAATAGTAAGTGATAATAGAGTTATAGTCCATGGGTCACGGTCTCCTAATGAAAAGTCGCAGCGGTGTAGCCGGGTCTGTTTACTATTGCTGGCGTTTCATTGGTGTCGTGAACCTGGGTCATCGTGAGCCCCATGGCCGGGCAACTTCGTATTATCCTGCACGGCTTATGAATGGGGTATGTGCGGACAAGGCTGCGTTGCGGTGTGAAGCGCGACTTGAGCCTCCTTTGAGATCAGATTCGACTGAACGCTAAGACGGGGGCCTATGCACTATGACGGACCGGGGGTACTACTTTGAGGACCTATATTCTACAGAAGGAAAATAACAAAAATTGGATATATGATTGAATTCTGTTGAGTGACTAATCAAGCAGGTATCAAAACTGTCATCAAAAGCCTTTACAGGGAGACGCTGTCAGAGTCATCTCCCGTATCGGGCTCTTTATCGCTGTCCTCACACTTTTCTTCGTCACCTTCGTTTTGGGACATACCGTTTTCAGGGTACTCAGAAGCATCCTGTTTCTCAGAGTTGACCTCAGGAGTATCTTCAACGGGCACAGCCTCGGAATTGTCCTCAGTACAAGGAGAAGGATCGGATTCTCCAGGGCTGTCATCGGGCTTGTCTCCGTTGGGGTTGCCATCAGCGATGTTTTCTTCAGCACAGCCAGGGGCATCCTGGCCTTCAGGATTGTTCTCAGAAGTATCTTCAACAGGCGAGACTTCTGATTTGTCCTCAGCACAAGCAGAATCATCTGGTACTTCACGTTGGTCAGAAATATTCTCAGATTTTTCCTGGTCGCAGTTGTCCTTCAGAATGTCTTCTTCGCAACAATCGGGAACAGCCTGATTTCCAGAGAGAACCTTAAAACCATCTAATGGGGTCTCAGGGTTGTTCTCAGCATGACTAAGAGTGTTGTCTTCCTGCGGATCATTCTTAGGGTTACTGTCGCCGGCGTTGTCTATAGGACCATTCTCCTCAGAGCAATCAGGAATCCCCTGTTCGTCAGAATGATGCTCCCGACCATCTTCTGTTTCGACCTGAATCTCAGGGCTGTTGTCTACAGAGACATCAAGAGTGTCCTGTGCTTTGATATCCTTATCAAGATTTTTCTCCTTGGAAACAGGCTTGGAATCAAGGCCATCGACGCCGTTGGAATCGGTCTCGGGCGTGGTATCGGGCTTATCTTCAGGTACATCAGGTACATCAGGTGTATCTTCTGCTTCGGCACTATAATGAGGATCCTTCCCTCTAGAAGGAAGCTCAGAAGAAAGGTCGTTGTCTTCAGCATTGGCCACTGGGCCATTCTTAGAGGCGTCAGGTGTATCCTCTGCTTCAGCATCATGATCTGGAACGTTTTCTTCATGATGAGCTTTAGGACTATCTTCATCAAGGCAATCAGGAGCGTCTTCCTCTTCAGGGTCACCGTCATGTTTGGTGTCGAACTCGCCAGGGGTAAAGCCGTCCTCGGAATCGTCCTTGTGGCCGTCCTTGTAACGACCATCCTTGTCGAAGCCGTGCTTGTTATAGCCATCCTTGTAAAATCCGTTTCTATCATATCCGTCGCTAGTAAAGCCGTCTTCACCATAGCCATCTTTGTCGAAGCCGTTCCTGTCATAGCCATACTTATCGAATCCGTCCTTGTCAAGTCCGTTTCTATCATAGCCGTCGCAAGTAAAGCCGTCCTTATTATAGCCAGACCTGTCGAATCCGTCCTCGTTGAAGCCTTTCAAGTCATAGCCGGCAGCGTCCCAGCCCAGATTATCAAACCCGTCACTATCATAGCCATCTCTATCGTAGCCGTCCCTATCAAAACCGAGCTCATCATACCCGTCCTCATCATACCGATCGGTGTCCTTGGCCTCGTCCTCCTTATCCGGCCCCTCCGAATGCGTAGGGGAAGGGGTACTGAACATCCCAATCCGCAGATCTGCAAACACAGCCTCCACGCGCTCATGGTCGGCCGAAAGACTCAGCACGTCAGACGGCTGGAAGTCACAGCTGCACAGATCCGCGGGGGCAGCATCCGAATCCATCTCGCTGAAGAACCACACCCGCAGCTTATGGCTCTTGGCAATCACAAACACAAGCTTGGTATCCTTATCGGCGCCGGCGACCACGCACGCGAGCTCGTACTTCCGGGCGTCGGTCATGTGGGGCTCCGGGTGGAAGACGCTCATGTCCTGGCAGACGGTGCGGACGAGGGTCGTTTCCTTGTGAATGGTCATGGGGCATGTGGTGCGCACGAGATCCACCACCACGTAGGGCAGCGGCATCTGCGACGCGCCGTCGCGGAACCGCCGTGTCACGATCCGGTACCCGTCGCATGAGCTTTGTGATGCCGGCTCCAGGAACCCGTGGCTCAGTAGCCGGGTCCATAGGTCGGCGATGTCGCGCGCGCTCGGCAGGAATGTCCCCCCGGCTGTTGACTTCCGGATGGCTTCGATCTGCGCTCGTAGCTCGACGTCGCTCCAGTAGCCGAGCCGTGAGCCTGGGCTGAGCGAGGCTTTTTCCCTGTCTGGGGGGCCTAGCTCGAGGATTTCTTGCTTGTCGGTGATTTCGACGATGGTAGGCATGGTGGTGGTTCTTACGATGATGATGCTGGTGACAGTTTTAGGTTGTTGAGGTCAAGTGCTCAGCAGTGATGGTGTTGTGTCGAATTAGATAGGAGGAGTAGCGATGCTTATTTATACCTGTAGAGTGATCGCTTCTACGCTCACATCGGGCTCCGCGTGAAACGCTCAGAAAAGCATCCGAAGCTTTCCAGACTAAAAGTCAAAGAGCTTTAGAAGCGAACAATGACAATGGTCGTCATGCTTACAAGTGTTGCTGGTTTCAGCGAAAATTGCCCTCAATACTTTGTTTCCAACTGTGACCAGGCTTTCATATCTGATGTAAAGACACGCCAGCCCTTTATGAAAGACTAAGATAATCGAACCTTTTCTTTCTATGCAATAACGATAGCCACTATAGCATCCGGTTCATTCTCGCATAGATGTACAGATATCAACTGATAGATGTAGAATGAACTATACAATGGAGTCTTTGTGCAGGCCCTCTCAAATCGGAACTTGGCTTTTGCGTCGACTATTCTCTTTGTAACTCTGCTTAGATGTTTGCTTAATGAGACTGAAGGCCTTAAATCTATGCTCGGGCTTCTTTCTTAGGGAAAGATACGGAATCCTTCATTTGGCGATGCTTCAGGGAAGAGTTGCAATTGTTAGGGATACATCAATGCGGATGCTTTTACTCCTTCTTTTAGGATCATAGGTTTAACTATCAATGTGTATTACATCAACAAGCATCATTGGTCTAGTGGTAGAATTCATCGTTGCCATCGATGAGGCCCGTGTTCGATTCACGGATGATGCACTCACTTTTTGCTTTGTATCTTTTTGGCGCTCCCGCCAGCTCAGTTTCCTCTTCTACATCTTTGCACCCTTTTCTTCTCATTGTGATTACTCAGAATCTTGAATCTAACCCCTTCGTCTCACATCAAAGATCGATGATATAGTTGTAAGCTGATATCAGCTTCCATCTGCAGCCATCCAATCAATATCCCCCGAGAAATCCCACAGATTCGCAAGTTCACTCGGAAGATGCGAGAAACCGAAGTCCATGCTGGGGTCCATCATCGGAGCAGGGTGATGCACTTGATCTAGGGACACTCCGAGCATATCTTTATGCTGTCCCTTTCCTTTCGCCATATCTACTAGCTCATTAGAGGCACTCAAATCGGCAAAGATACTATAGCAGCAGCACAAACCTGAGATAGTATGGCCAGCCGCACCCGCATAATCAACCCCATCTAGTTCCCAACCCTCTGCACATTCTGGACTCGAAGACCAGTTCCCAAAAGCTGAAACCCCACCTTTTGTAACATGACACTAATCGACTGCCAAGCCTGCCTAGCCTCCACAGACTCCTCCTTATACTGACCCAAGATACCCTGCGAAGTCCGCAGCGCAAGCAACGACTCCTCCTTCCCCGACCCTGGATTTTGTCTTTGTTCAGAGTCTCGCCCCTCCCGCCACCGGACATGCAGCTCAAGACACACGACCGTAGCCGCGAAGGTGAAGTCATGGGGGGTAAAAGAGGTGAAGAACCACCGACGCCGACTCAGGACTCCGCCGGGGCGAACCTGCGCATCGATCGTCGCTTGATGCTCCAGTAACCGCATCGCTGCGCCAAGGCAAACCTGTCAGGACGCTGCGTGGTGCGGATCCGAGCGTCTAGTGCTCAGAGCCGTTCGGTGCAAAATATATCATGATTCCCCCGGCTGGTAGCAAACGAGCTCGGTACAGTGCCTTTTCCCTTCCCCATAAACAACCAGATAAACAAAAGCTAACGCATGTTCCGACGAGTGTAAGGCCATAGAAATGGGAACGAACTGTCTCGGTCCATTCCTCTGCAACCAACTCCTCCTCCCGCTTCTCCAACGCACAGCATCCACACCCGACCCTGGTACTGTGCAGGTCGTCTGACTCTCCTCCCTGCTATCCGCGTTCATAGTCCACTGCGGTATCGTCTTCGACGAACAAGCCCACTGACCCAGAATCCTGAAGAAAGTGATAGAGAACTACATACAGAGCAAAGTGGAGAATGTGTTTCTTGCCAGTGAGATAGCGAAGGATACGGTGGGGATAAGAATTTTAGCCTGGTTTGTTCTGCTTCCCTTGGAGTGTTATCTGGGATTGTGTGCTTACACATCTCGCAGAGCGTGAATCCCGGGCTCATGAAGACGGAGCTCCAGCGGCATAATCCTGCTATTCAAAGTAGAATTATGGTATGTTTACCCTGCCTCATAGGTATTTGAACACGATTGTTGAGGATTGGCAGGGTGTCTTGTTCAAGGGCCCGCGGTATGGGGCGTACAGTGAGCTGTTTGCGGCTCTCTCGCCTGAAGTCACTGGGAAGAACAACGGCGGGTTTGTTGCGCCGTGGGGCAGATTCGGTTCGGTACCGTGCCATATTGCGAAAGGGTTGGTTTCTAAAAGTCAGGGAGGGACTGATGCGGCGGAGAGGTTTTAGGCTTGGTGTGAGGACGAGAAAGCGGGGTATCGGTGAGTACGTCGGTGACTTTGAGATAATACCTTGCTCTTATGGTGATGATGGTTCTTGTATGATACTCTAATGATATTCCAACTGGCTATGCCTCGGCTCCAGATAAGCCTGGTCTTCTCCACTGATAAGCGCGACAAGTCTTTTTATCGATGCGGTTAGTGCCGCAGACTAAGGAGTGGGGCGCGTCCCAAGCGGAGCTGAGATGTCCACGTTGTGGCTCAGAAAGGGGAAAAGATGTAGAACCTCGTGGGTCCATGCTTGTGTTGCATATAAGTCCAATTGACATATCCTTCTCAGTCGATGGATGAATCATATCTATACACAGCCAAGCAAGCCTGCAACAACCAACAACCAACTAAAATGAACACCACCGACTACGAAATCGAGAAAGGCAAGATGCTGCGTGGGGAGATGTATCGCGCCTTCATACCCGGCCTGATTGCCGCGCGTCAACGATGCAAAGTCGCGGTGCTTGCGTTCAACAACGCCGGAATAGTGTCGCGACGGCGTCAAGTTGAGCTTTGGCGAACGTGAGCTCTTCTCTGACCTCCCTAATCGATAAATTGGAGCAATGAGTTACTAACTGTGTGCGCCAGGATCATCGAGGACAGCCGCCCTCTTCCACCAACGGCTCCTACCCCTGAGGAAGACGAAGCTCTCTTTGAGCAAGACCCCTGGGTGGAGGGTCCGATCCGGATGGACTACGGGTTCAATGTGCGCGTCGGAGCGGGCACATTCATCAATTTCAACTGTACGATCATTGATACGTGTCGCGTGGTGATTGGGGAGAGGTGTCTGTTCGGGCCGAATGTGAGCCTCTACAGCGGTGTTCATCCGCTGGATTCCGAGGTGCGGAATGGCACGGCTGGGCCTGAGTACGGCAAGGAGATCCACATCCAGGATGATTGCTGGTTAGCTGGAGATGTTAAGGTGCTTGCTGGGGTTACGGTTGGGAAGGGGTCGACTGTTGGGGCAGGCAGTGTGGTGACCAAGGTAGGTCTCTTTTTTCCTTCGTCCTGCGAGGTGGGTTATAGGGTGCATCCGCTGATATTTTCCACTGTGTAGGATGTACCGCCGTATTGTGTTGTGGTTGGGAATCCGGCACGGGTCTTGCGGTATTTAAAGGGAAGCCCTCATTACAAAAAAGACCAGACTTCGGGCTGATTGAGGTAGCATAGAGTAGATGATATATAGGTAGGATAATACGGAGCTAATTAACTCTGACAGAAGGTCAAAGAATGTTGAGGTTGGACAGGGGTTGTTGATGATGAATTATGCGTCGTAGCACTTACAAAATAACTAGAAGCTTTCCATAGAATCATTCCGAAATACATTGGGTCAATGAGAGTCACTCCCCTTATCAAGGCATCATGGACAACGGAAACGGCAGTGCACCCGGCCTGATGCGGATTAAATCCGATCCTGGATCATCAGTACAAGTCGCGCGTGGGTTGAGGTCGTTGAATGGTTTGATCTCGATACCTGCGTAGCCCTGGGGATTTCTAGTGTAAACGATTACTGTGTCATTCAAACAAGTTACCCAAAACCCCATATGTCGCCGATAGTGTCGTCTAGTGCTCATCCATCCGTGCGGCGTATGCCGCTTCAGTTCTTCAATATGTGGGAATGTTAGATTTAGGGACGGGAAGACAAGACCGTGAGTCAGCGTGCTGATAGGCCAGACGCCGCCACGTCTGATGTCTCTAAAATCACACAGCTGCCAGGCCTGGTGACTACGACCACCACTGCCGCAAAGGACGTACCAGCCCATATAGACCGGGTATGTCAATAGGCCGTGGGCAGAGACCATAATGGTCTCCCCAATAGGAACGCGCCAGGGCCGGATTATCCCTTCAAAATTAAAGTCAGCATAGTACTTGCGATAGCGGTCGTGTGCGGTTAGGTACTTAATGGCCAGATAGACCCAGGCATCTGTCAGGCGGACCCCTGCCGGAGGCCAACCCAGTTCCTCTGGGTCCCACAAGCCGCGTACCAGAGGCCAATCTTGCCATTGCGATGTATATCTTGAAGTCACCTCGCACCTGGGTGGCGTTGGCGGAGCAGGCTCCCCCAGAGTCCATGTGGTGGCTGGCTCCTCGTGATCGCCCAAGAGGGACGCGCATCTAGTTTGGAGAATGCCAAGCTTTTCATAGTACGCTGAAGTGTTTTCGATCGGTCGATAATTTTCCATCGCGCCTGGCCAGGATTGCTATACTTGAGACCTAACGATGTTTGATGAGAAACAGAGAGAGCTGCCCATTTTATAGATATCTCTATTCTCGATTAGACAAAGACTAGTGAGTAATTAGTGAGGTGGAAAGATAAACTCCAAGACATACCCCGGGTCACTCACTGTCTTGGGACTCCTTTCATGGAGATGCAATCTGCATAAATATGCATATTATGAAAGCATATGCACAAATCCCTCCATAATTTCCACATCAGCCTTGAATCCCACTATTCTTTCTTTCCTTCCCCACCAACCTATAATCCAACCGCCTCATAAGCATCCTGAAATGCGCCATGTTCATTCAATTACATGTTCCAAGCTAGAGCTTTGACCTCATGATGAAACTCACTTACACAATACTGCGATAGCGCATCCAGCCATACCCCCAGTGACAAGCAGCATCCAGCCATGGAGCCCAACACGTTGCCTCTTCCGCGAAAGAAGAAGCAGTACCAGCGATCAACTACCGGGTGTATCATGTGCCGTACACGCAAAAAGAAATGCGATGAGCAGCATCCCATCTGTACGGGCTGTCAGCGTAACGGTCTGATCTGTGAGTGGCCTTCCGCCGAGAGACCCCAACGCAAACCACGACGCCCGCAGCACCACCATTTGCCACAGATGGGCTATGCATTGCCACCTCATATTGCGTCCATGATCACCGTCTTTGCTGTTCCCAATGCGGACATCGTCAATCGCCTTCTCTCCCACTTCACTGACTACAGCCCACGATGGCTATCCACCCGCACAGAAAGCCGCCGGTCGGAGTTTCTGTACCATCTCATTCCCGCCGCAATGGATAGTCCACTCATCCTCAAATGCATTTTGACCGTAGCAGCGGCAGATTTGATTAAATATGATTCTTCTAACGTCGGGCTAAAGGGGGCTGCCGTGGAGTATTATGGCCAAGCCCTCGCGAGCATTCGTGAAGCTGTAGCCAAGGAAGAGAGGTCCGACAGAACCCTGTCTGGTAGGGCTTCATGCACCATGTGACCGTGACCGGCTGGCTGATTCATGATTCAGACTATACTTTGTTGGCAGTATTGCTTATATGTCTACACGAGGTTGGCACGGCGAATCTCTGATCAACGAACAGAGCCTAACGCATTGCAGATCCAAAACTTCTCCAATGTTGAACGCTTACTGCCTCATCTCAACGCTGCGGCTACCCTCTTCTCTCAGAGGCTAGACGATACACCCCCAAACTCGGAGCTCAGAAAGCTTTTATCTGAGATGTTCTGCTACTTCTTCGCCCTGACAACGTTCACTCATGGGCCATATCTCGCGGTCCACCGGGGCTCCTCCATTGTCGAATCCTTCCTCACGAGCTCGCATGACACTGGAGCAATCATCGGCACCGCCCAGCAAGTCTTCCTCATCATCTTCCGCGCATCCAATCTCATCCAGCAAGCAAAAAAGACAGGCATGCCTCTGAACGCAGCCATCAAGACCAAGCTCACAGCAATGGAGCGCCAGCTCCATTGTCTCCAGAACAAGACCCTACCCCCGTTTGACACGGGGTACACCGACATGGAAGAACAAGGCGACGCCATCATGTCCGAGCTCTACAGACTAGGCTGCATTTTGTACCTGAAGAGAACTATCGACCCATCCATTGATATGAAATCAGACACTGTCCAAGCTCACGTGACCGATTTCATCCGGCTGCTGAAGCTCCTGCCGCCGCATCACCCTGTGAACTGTATCTTCTGCTGGCCTTTAGTGGCCGTCGGCCTCTGCACCACCCTGCATGCGCATCAACGTATCATCACCACAAGGCTCAAGAAGATCTATGGGGTGTGGACTTCGGACCTCGTGACGATGAGTATGGAGTTGTTGCGTCAGATGCAGAGTGCCAGTACGGGTAGTTCCTCGTTGCACTCTCAGTCTCGGGGGCAGGAGATGGCAGCTTATGGTATGCATGATTTGCAGTTTTCGATGGTCCTTTTGTAGAGAACACTTCTTTCAAGAGGGCAGACATATCATTGCAGCTCTTGTTGTGGGGTTTTGTCACGAATTGACAGACTCTTTGGTTATCCCACAATCTTGACTGCGTCGTCCGCCATTTTCATACCACCATCTTGTTGAAATATAACCAGGATTCATCCATTGTCTTTACAGAGATCTTAGTACGCATTTATGATTCATAGTCGCGGAGAAGAGTCATGTCGATGAGGGCTGGTGGCGTTGATGACGTGGTTGATTCTCTCGGGTTGATACTCTCGGGTGCTGGACGATTCAGTAAATGAACACATCAAGTGCTCATTTCTGCTTAACCAGTACTTCAAGATCTGGACGAATGCCGTCATAAAGAGGGTTTAGAGGCAGGATACAAAGAATAGAGACCAACCCAAGGGCGTATACACTTCAAGCATGGACCTCCGTGAGAATAACAAAGACATAGTCGCTACTTCTCCTCAAACAAAGGACCATTAGCGGCTGACCCCTATACAGTTGACGAGGAAACAAGGGACAGTCGCATAGATAATAGTATATATATACGGATTAGCCCTACAGCAAGCACAATCTCCTGACTAGCGGCCACGGCTTCCGATGACAGACTCAACACATCCAAGATGTTGGAGCTGATCTTCCGCACACGCAGGATGAGCGATAATCCGCCGCCGTACACCAGCCAGGTGTCGAGCACAAACCCGCCTCCACCTCCTTATACAAGCCAGGTAGCAGACTCGAACCCAACCGGACGACAGCCACCCACGGGCTGCGGCGCTATGGCGATCATTCGCGACTATCTGCGTATATCAACATCATCCAGCTACTACGACCGGATCAGCAGCCGAGGCGCATCCGCGGCGTCCAGCCACAGGAAGTATACCATGCGCCGTGACGAGAACAATAACTACCATCATACGCGACGCACACCCAGATCCTCGAACCGCAACCACCGCCGAACCCAGCGGACCCGCGCATCTGGATCCCCCAGCCGAGCCCATCGCTCCCATCGCGCCCACCGAGAGCCTCAACCATCAGCAGGACCGTCCCGACCTCCTACCTCGTCACCCCCTACCTCACCCCCCAACACTTCATTACCCCGACCCTCACCCCAAACCTCAACCCGGACCGACGCCTCCATCCCCGCGGGGGAACCAGAACCCCAAACCCCACCACGATCCCCCAAAACCACCAAAACCCCCTCCAACCTCTCACGCCTAATGCGCCTCCTCCCGCAAGGCGGACTCTACCACCTCGCCTGCTTCCACCACCAACTAACCTGCACACGCACAAAAATGGGAGACCCAAGCCACGCGATCTTCCTCCAAGACCTCGACGACCTAGCCTACGCGCCCTGCACGATCGACACAAACAGATGGTCGAACCCCTGCGCCAGCTGCCGCGAGTACTGGGCTTCGCCTCCTCCGGGGAGCGGGGAGGAGCAGCTCCCGCGGCTGGGGAGCTTTTATTCGCATTTACCTGAGTTTGTGGATGAGCTTGTTTGCGGTATTGGTGCAGGGGGTAGAGGAGGGAGGAAGAAGACCGGGAATGTGAGTTTGGAGCAGCTTATGGAGAAGGATAGTCATACGGTGGGCGTGTTGAAGGCGTTGTTCGTTTGCGATATCTATATGCAGGGGATCTTGCCGGCGCGGCGCGCGGGACTAGAGCCTGATGAGTATTTTGATAGGTTTTTGGAGAGGTGTGGACGGTTGTGTGATTTGGGGTGGTTGAGGAGGGTTTTTGATTATTTTTTGGACCGGAGTCGGTTGGGGCCTGGGGTGTGGACGCCGGATGCGGAGAATTAGTTCCGGTTTGTTCTTTTGTTCTTTGTCTAGATGGGGAGAGGGTTGGGTTGGATGGGGTAATGGTTCCATGAATTAGGGCTGGTGCTGGTGCTGGTGCTGGGCTGGTTGGGGTGAGGCGTATATTAGTTATAGAGTTATATAATATCTTCGATCTGAGATGACTACGTTCAGTGTATAATGTTTAGTGTTTCGTATACTAGACATGACAGATATTCAAAGGGATGTAGACAACATCGTATTATCTTATCTTCAAATAAACCTGTACAGCTCTACATTTAACAAACCTTTTAAACAACACTCCCCAATCCCACAAGAGCAATAAATCTACCAAACACCCCCCCTAACAGGCAACCGCAACAACCGCAAGCCACCCACCCCCTTCCCCTCGTCCTCCGACCTTACCTGCTCCCCCTCCACCCCCTCCCGCAAAGTAGCAGAAGCAGGAGCAGGCATCCTTCCTCCCCGCACATTAATCTGCAAAGAAGGATGCAGCAAGCGCGGCTCACCCAACTTCTGATCCCTCTCCCTGCGCAGTCTTACAAACTCATCCTTCTCGACCCCCTCCCGCAAATGCTTATTGTGCTCCCGATGCTCCCGCACCGTCATATACGGTACCTCCTCGCCCCGCTCCGCAGGCGGGTAATCGTGGCCTACCCAGATCTTTGTCTCTGGGTCCATGGCCAGTAGTCGTTTGCCGGAGTGGTACAGGCTCTCTGCTGAGCCGCCTGGGAAGTCGCATCTCGCTGTCCCGATGTCCGGGTGGAAGACGGAGTCGCCGCAGAAGATGTTGTCTGTTAGGGGTTAGTTTGGTTCTGTTGTGATTGAATGTGGGGTTGGTTGGGCTTAGGATTGGGCTCAAGGGAAGGGGAGGGAAAAAACGCACCACCAATGTGATAGCCCAAGTGATCCGGGGTATGGCCCGGCAGATGTATGGCGACTGCTTCGAGGTTCCCGATACGGAAGGTCTCGTCGTCGTCGAAGAGCTTGTCGAAGGCGGTTTGGTGCTCGACCGTGGGGATGGAGTAGCGGGTTGCGAAGAGCGTTTGTACCTGCTCGATGCGCTTGCCGGCGCAGATTGGTGGGCGGGATGATTCCGTCTGGGTCTGCGTGAGGCGGGTTTGCAGGTAGGAGGCGGCTGTAAGGTGGTCGGCGTGGATGTGCGTTTCCAGGATGTGCGAGATGGTGTAGTTGTTGCTGGCGATGAAGGCCAGCAGCGCGTCTGCCGTCGTGGTGCTGACGGTTTGTGTCTCGCGGTCAAAGTCGAGGACTGGGTCGATGATGGCTGCGATGGAGGTGGTCGGGTCCACGACAAGGTATTGCCAGGTGCTGGTTTGAGTTTCGAAGAACCCGTGGATCGTTGGGCTGCTGGGGGAGGTGCTGGTAACGGTGGTGTCGGCCATGTTGCGGAGGGTTGAGGTGGTGTTTGTTTGTGTGGGTGAAGAGGATGAGGTCGAGGCGAAGCGCTTGTTTAGCGGTGATGTCGTGGGTGTATAGCGTGCAGTCGTAGCTGAGGATTGAAAATATGACACTGGACGAAGCGGGCGGACCCGGGAATTGATAATCAGACTTCGTGAGGTTGTCTTCGACTGCAGGACACCCTGAACTGCACGGGATCTGATAGAGGTCGAGAGAAGCTTCATATTTATAGCGATGGGTCTAAATTGATCTGCTGATTCCAGTCTCATTCAATGGCATGGTGTGGTGTTTAAGTATATTCGGCGAGGTGAGTCGGCCATGGCATAATTGACGTCAATCGGCGACGGTTGGCTGCAATCGGCGATCCGTGACCTCCCCGTCCGGCCCTGACCGGCTTCTCCACTTCCCCGAGTTTACTCCCTGACGTCGAATCTTAGTCTCTATTCAGTTACTGATGCCCGGGAATTTTATTAAGGTTGGCGTCTGATGATTTCAAGGACCATCCCCGAGTGGCGAAAAGAAAAACCCGGCCAGAATCGAGGTATGATGACTTCATCTCTCACAGTGAAAGCTTGTTCATGAATTGACTTTGCATTCAATTGCGACAGAATTATGCTTCTCAGCATCCCACTCAGCTCGTCCAATCGGATGGTATCTTTTTGCGGATTTTTAATCGAAATACATAGTGACGTAGGGGTGTGTTGATGTGTATTTATACCTCAGTCAAGCACAATAGACCCTATTGAACACCGAAGTCAAATTTATACAATATGACACGTCTCATATGAAAGATGATGCACACTGTATAATCCAAGGTTAGCATGTTGACTCGAGACTCAGTGTTCCTGACAAACAGTCCAAATGAATAGTCTTGCCAAGCAGATTGGTAAATAGTCCCTATCCGAGGGGAGCAAATATTTGTATAGTGAACTATACAACCCTAAGCCGTTGACAGGCCTGATACTCACTCTCAAGGGACGCCTCGCAAATACAGCTATCCCAGTCAGCAAAAACATTGCAACCCAACACCCATCTCAAAAAATCATCACCATCTATCCCCCGCCGTGCACAAAAGCCCCAGATCTTCCCGCCTAGCCGCAATCCTCATCATTATCCCCAAAACCACCACCACCACCACCACAAATCCATAACCACCACACCGGGAAGCATACCTACGAACCTCCCAAACCACCAAACGCCGACCCCCCCAACCCATTTCTAATATCAGCATCCTAATTAGCTAATCCCTTAGTAGCCTTACCTATAGGTAAAACCCCGTACAAAGATAGTATCTACTCCTGTATCAAACATAATCACCCTTCCCGCGGCCTCACGTTCTTCCTCCCTTAGCCCTTTTAACACCCACTCCTCACAACCCAAATCCCAAGCAGAAAGAAAAGCACGTGTCCAATCTTATCTCATCAGATAAAGAACTAAAGAACAAGAAACCATCGCGCCCCCACAGCCCAGCCAAGCCCCATAACCCTGCAAAACCACACAAACAACCAATCACCAGCACCAAAAATAACAAAAATGCGCTCGCCCCACCATGCGGCCAGGAAAATCGCCCCTTCCCCCGGGCCGACCGAGTGCAGGTCCAGCAAGGAAAAAGTTATTTTAAGGAATAAAGTTAGGTTTAGTGGTGGTTCGTTTGGGCCCCGGTGATCCCAGCTCAAGAATAATAGAAGCTAGATGCAGCAAAAAAGATGAATAGAGTCAAGGGATTTCGAAATGAGATGCTAGCAAGAAAAGTCCCCGAGGTCAATTGCCAATTTTTGCTACATCCTCAAGGTCGGATCTTGTCCGACCGGTAAGATGAATTGGGCAAGACTGCTCCGAAGCTCATTCCGAAAACTCCCGAGGTGGGTTTTCGTCAGTGTTCACCGACGGGACACAAACCCTCCCCCCCAGAGGATTACCAAAACAACAGGAAAACTGAGTTGGTCTTTTACTTGAGAGAAATGGAGTATTATGAAAATGGAATTAATTCTGAAAATGACCTAAGCAACTCCTAAAGGCAACTTGACCGCTATGCTCCAATCGCCTGACTAGCATACACACAATAAATGAAGCCCCAAATGAAAACCATGCAGCAAAAACAGAGCAAGAACCAGGATATCAATCATGAGCGCAAGCCGTAATCAGACCGTCAAGACATACCTAACGCTGAAGAATCGCTCTCGCTATGCAGACAACCAGAATGCAGACAGCAAAAAAGAAGTAAACCATGTCCACACTTTTGTCGCTCTTGCAATATCGTCACCAAGTCAAACACAATGATCCGAGAGATGCGCCATGCGAACAGAGAACAGGGTATAAAACTTATCATGACAAAAGAGTCGAGAGTTCCACACAGCCTTAGGGGAAAAGAGAAAAGGAAAATTATTTCTTGAACATGTAGTGTCCGTAAATGCCACCGACGTCTCCGACGGCAACGGGAATCTTGCGCATGCCCCACCATCTGGCGCCCATCTTCCAGTCGCGCGAACCATCATCCAGCGCGTAGTTCGGGACAGAAGTAGGGTCACGGACATACCAACCCCGACGGCCCAACTCCCGCACAGTCCAGCCGGGAGACGTTTTGGCATTTCGGGCCCGCTCGCGGAGAGGGGCAATCAGCTTGTCGCTGAACTCGATAACCTGCAGAGGGTAGGTCTGCTGCGAGAGGATGACACAGGCATTGGGGTTGAAAACAGTGCCGATCGTCAGCTGAGGCGCCTTGTTGAGATCCAGGTAGCGCAGAGTATGCGGCACCCATTCCTCCGCGGGAGTCGGTGGGACAGCCTCAAGTGGGGTGGGTGGTAGGCTATCAATGGGAGTCGGCGGTGCACTCTCTGCCCCGGTGGCGGGTCGCGGAGGAACGAAGAATTGGTTCAGATCCTGGCCCGACAGTTCACAGGAGCTCAATCCCAACTCCTCGAGATGCTTGGTCAGGGGAACCAAGGCTTTGGTGTGAGCCGAGGTGACCTTGGCACCACCCAGGTTAAGGGAGCAGAGGCTGGCGGGCAAGTGCGGCAGGAGAGCCGAGACGTCTTCTTCCTCCAAGAGACGGGAGCGCGTAGGATCAGTCATCAAATTCAGGAACACCAGCGAGTCAGAGACAGCGGGGTGGGTGGTCAGGAATTCCACCACCTTGGGACCCCGAAGGCGACTGCAGCGGGACAGACTCAGATGGGTGATCTGAGCGGTTTTGGGAATCGAGAAAAGAGCGTCCTCGCCGACCTGAGTGTGAGTGAGATCCAAGTGAGTCAGGTTGACCAAGCGGGGAAGCAGAATCTCAAATGCCACAGACGGCAAGCTGCTGCATTCGTGCAACGAAACCCGTCGCAGGTTAGGCAGCGCAGCCGGGAGACCAGGACCCGAGGTCAACGCCTCGAGGAAGAGCCCCGAAAAGGACTGGGTGGAACAGCCGCAGAAATCGACCGCGAACAAATTGGGAAGGCCCGTAAACAGCTTCCGGATGACTTCCATGCTGAGATCTCCTTCTACATGCTCCTGGAGCAAGCATTCGCGCAGATTGGGCAACAGTTCCAAGCACTGCAGCAATGTCTTGGAAGTGAGGTTCTGAATTTCCGAGTTCATCTGCTTGGTCCGTCCCAAGCCCACCGAAGTGAAGTGGGAGAAGTCGAGACGGCGCACCAAAGTACCCAATGCCGGATAACGAGAGATGTGGTTCAGAGCCTTCGAGAAGATGATGGAGTGAGGGAAGGTCATGTTCCTGTACAACACACTGAGCGTAGCGGCATGCAGAGTCTTCGAGGTGAGGAGACAGGAGATGAGATCCACATTGCGGGGGGTATATCCGTTGGGAGGCACATCCAGTGCCAACAAAGAGATAATCTGATCTGTTACAACTTATTAGCAGGCTTCAAAAGGTAGAGACAAGGACAAAAGCCTCTTACCAAGCACCTCAGGGGGAACCTTCTCCAGGCGCGACGTTCCCGGAACCGGTTTGGGCTTCTCCTCGACGACCACCTGCTTCTGTTCTGGCACCTGCAGGGTCTGGCTCGAAGGTTCCGCCACCGGGGGAGTCGACTCCCAAGCCCAACGCGAGTGCAGCTGGTTCAAACCGCGGAGATCACTGTAGCTGCGACTCAGGCTTTTCCCACCCAACCGGATCTGCTTCCATCCCAAAAAGCCACCGCATGGGCAGCAGAAGTCGGGAGTCGGCTGCATCTCAAAAGGGTTAGGCTTAGCGGTCTCCTTAGGGGATTGTTCAATGTGGGTATCGACGAACGATTGCGCAATGCCTGCAAAGTATGTGTTAGACACGTCCCAGGGGACAATGGATTACCTCACGCAACTTCGGAGAAAAAAACCTACCGTCGACGTCTTCTTTAATAGAGCCAAAGGACTCCCGGCGACTGCTAGACCGTGAATGTTCGGTGGATGAGCACGAGGGTGAGTGAGGGGAAGAGCTGCGCGAGCCATTGGAGGGCGAGGCGTTTCCCGAGGAGGTGTATCTCACGAAGGTCTGCTTCGGGATCGCAATCGCGGTAGGGACGGTGGCGGCGGAAGACATGGTGGACAACGGTGTTACTGTGGACGGGGAAAGGCTCTATATGGAAGTAGAACCAGTCCCAAAAGACCAGAGAGAGTGCTGTGAATGAGGGGACGAAGGAAGAGGGGAGTTTGGTGGTGGTGGTGTGATGGTGGTGTGGTGTGCCGACTGTGTTGATAGTTGAGTGAGTGAGTGAGTGAGTGAGGGCGGAAGAGGTGAGGCGGCGGAAAGAGTGAGAGAGAGAGAAAGAAAAGGAAACAGAGGAAGGGAAAAGCTTTTTTTTCTTTTTTTTCTTTTCAATTCCCTGACCCTTTCGCTTTCCCCGGATTCCAGTGAAACCCCCCTGGGCTGCAGGTTGCACTAAACAGCAAGCAAATGAACTAAGAGGGGCGAGCGGAGACGTAATCAACAGGTTGGGTGAGGTTGAAGCCGAAAGCTGTTAGTCACGGATTGCAGTCGAACTGCGATCAAGGCGGTGCCCCGAGCGACAAGACTATGCACTCTAGTGGATAGTTGCTGATGAATCGCCGATCCTCTCTGACGACAGGAGGAGGGTGGAAAGTACCGAGTACACAACAAATAAAAGAAAGTTTGCCCTGACAATTGAATGGCAAGAACAGATGCAGGTCAGTCAGTCAGTCAGTCAGTCAGTCAGTCAATCAGTCAGTCTTGTTTGTGTTGTGAATTGGGGGAAGATGGCAAACAATCCAGTCGAAGAAGAAAGAAGGGAAGGGGGGGGGGAAAAAAAAGCAGTGAGGCGGCAAGAGACCGACGTCAAGTTTCTATTAAGTAAGGCAAATTGGAAAGGGCCGAACAAACAGTACGGAGTAAAAAAAAAAAAGGTTTTTACACAGAATGACAAGCAGTGGAGGGTGGAGCCGAAAGAAGCAAATCAGCGGGCTTGAGGGTTCCATCCCAGAGGAACAAAGAACATCTGCTTATAGAAAAAATCTTTAGTGGGAGATATCCAAAGAATGATGAACTCCGGAAGAGGGAGGGAGGTACATCGAGGACCGAAAATCTCCACCCTCCTGGCCCATATCATCATGAATTAGATGTGCAACCTCAGTACATCATCCTGCATGTTGTCCTCCAACCCCATCTCACGGATCGTCTTCCCGGGTCCTCCATCGCCTCCATCTCACCCTCGTTCATTCGCCGATCCCTGTATGGACGTTGATCGATCGGGACTACGAAGTACTTTACAAAGTCCGTACTCGGTCGGGGAATACGACACCAGCATTCGGCCAGGTGATCGTAGGCTGGGGAATTTCCATTAGGATATGGAAAGTGCTGATTCGATATATTCTGGCATGGTGCCATCCACCGGGGTTTGGCTGGCATTGTCCTCGTACTTTGCGAGGGAGTCATTCTATGACATAATGTAATGGAAAATCCGCCATCCTGCAGGCCCCGTGACCCGGCCCAAACGGGCGGACCGGCACTCTGGAGTGAAGCCCCTCCTGACCGAACTTCCTTCCGGCACTAGTCAAGTCTTTAGTTAGTAGACCGTGGGTGGTCTAGACAGTCTAGCGTCTAGACAGCTATCCCGCGGCGATTCACGGGGCCAGGAAACTTCCAGTGTCGCCAGGAATTGGGTTTGTCTGTCTTACCCCAGAATCCCCTCCGTACACACTACACAGTACCAATGAGGTATTCCTTACCTACGGGAGAGAAGAGCCTTGGGGCGGGGGCTGATGATCCCGTGATCCATGCGGAGAACAACTAGTGTTTGTCACTCCATTGCCTCTCCCCTCCGCTTCCCCTCTTCGTCTCCAGTTTTGGAACACAGACTCAGGACTGCCACCAACTCTCCTTGCCAGGCTGTCAGATACCATTAAAGCTCCACTCACTGTGCTTACTCAATCAATCCTGCCGTATACCCGTATACCGGATATTACGGCCAGCGAACAGCCGCCATCCCTCAGGAGTCGGGCAGTACGACCCGAATAGCATTCATCCCTGGAATCCTGGATCGAGGAAGTTTGACTGCTAACCTTGAATAATCCTGGCTTAGTCTCGATCGAAGCTCGATGGAACTCTTCCATGCACCACACTTGGCTCCAGTCAGCCGTTCCCCAGAGCTGTCCGCCCCGTCTAGTGCACGGTCTCTCGGAACCACATCCGCACATCGGCCGGAGAGTTCTCTCAATATTGAGTCTAAAGGACTTACCACAATAAAACCAACCCACTAACTACACACCCGTTTTCATCAATTCATTCTTGTGGACAATCCCACTTCATTCTAAGATAGTTCCGCTCCCGAACAACCCCTGACCAACCACCCTTTTTCTTGGTCCGGTCTTGGCCCGTCCCTTGCAGCTGAAGCTGGGCGCAACCCTTCCTAGACAACTCGAAAGATGAACCGACTGCGGTAACCTTCTCTTCCCTATTATGTGGCCAAGCCTCATCGGAAGGACAGATGACCTGGGCTGCGGTACTGCGAGGGGCTGGGAATCGCTGCATTCCCTTCCAAAGTACGTCAGTCGCATCCGCGGGGCCCCTTTCTAGAACTTTTCCACAGGGGCCATGCATGACAATGAGGCTGGGGAATGACGCTGCATCCTACTTTCCTTCCTGGGACGCGTTGCCAAGAAGGATCCCCGGGCTATGGGAGCCGCCCAGACGCGCCCCCACCCCGCTATTGGCGCAGTTCATCTTAGGGGATTATGGTCCCATTCTCGTGGGTCGCTGCTTCGGCGGCGGCTATCCTAGCCTGTGCTCTCACCCTACCCAGGTCAGATGAGGAGTCGTTTCGCTTCTCCGACCGTGTGTGACACGCCTCCCTCAATCATGCCAGCGTGGCACCACCAATTTAAGCGAGATTGTTGTCCAACGATCGCGTCCCAACGTGGCCATGAACTTGGTTGGAGTGGTACAATCCATTGCACTCCCTTCATAGGGAGGCTTTGTCGGAAATACTCGGGTTCAGAAGCTGCATCCATCCATTAGGCAAATTACTTACTTGCTGATATCCAGGTTGTGACTTCGCCCGATGCGCACCTTTTCATAGATCACAGATGACGTGTGCAAAGCAGCGTTAGAAGCGGAGAAGTAAGGCTCATATTCAACTAATTTTGATTCATAGGTTAAAGTACAGTATAGAGTAAGGTGGCACAAATCAGCCTCACTCTAAGCGAATAAGCCGCTTATTCTAGCAAGTGACGCTAATCTTATTCTCTTCCGCCCCGACTTTCGACCCTGCGATGCGACTGACTCTATGCCCCCAGAGAGGCCATACCCGCCCCAGAAGGCCTTCCGTCGTCATGGCTTTCGCACCAAAAGCAATAAAGCCGCCCGCCAAAGACAGAACACCGCTGAAAATAGAGGCTTGCAGGAAGCCTCCATAATGATCGAATAGTGCCCCGATCAAGGCGGCGACGGAGCTAGCAGCGATTCCCATTCCCAAGTACGTTCCACTATCCCGTGCGTCCTTTACGCAGAGCGTCAACTCCGCGGTCGCTCCGAGATGATTGTGCCCGATGCAAACCCAATAGCCATGGCATATACCACCAGTCCGGCCGTTGATTCCGCTGTGGCCATACACAGGCCGACCACACCCGTGCTGATATCTCCCAGAGCGAACATGTTCAGTCATCCGTAGTTATCGGCCAGGATCCCAGGGATAATGCGTCCGAAGGTGGCGGCGGCGTTGAGGATCGCCAGCAAGTACGAATCCAATGTCGCATCCATGCCTCGGGTCACTGCATAGGTAGGCAGATAGAGCAAAGGCTTGGAGAGGCCCACGAACATGAAGAAGAAGGCGGCGATGATGAGGTCGAACTGGGCCTGAGTGAAGGCTTCCGGAATGAAGAACGACGTCGTGCGCGGAGGCAGGCGAGGCTTGACAACCGTACATGCGAACGCCATCATGGGTACAACCACAAAGCCCATGATATGAACTGACCATTCAAGTCTAAGCGAGGAGCTGTTCAGCATTTTCGACACGGCAAATGGGGAAACAACGCCACCAATGGACGAGCCGGACACGATCAGCCCGAGCGCCGCCGCTTTGTTCTTGTCAAAGTACTGCGACACGACTGCAAAGGCCGGGAGCTGGAGAAAGGCCATCGCGGTGCCTAGAAGGACCCCCTAGGCCAACATGAACTGCCAATACTTCGAGCAGAGACTGGTCATTATCATGGCAAGACGTAGACGACTGCAGCTGGCCTGGTAACCTAGTTCGACAATGAGCTTACACACAGCCAGGGCTATTGGGCCGAACTTACTCATGCCCCATATTGGTCAAACAACGGGCCCCAAGTCCACCTGCTGCAATTTGAAGGAATGTGCACAGTGACCCGATCCAGGAGATTTTACTGGATGATCCTGCGCGCAGCTGATTGGCGACGTAGTATTCCTGAAACACACCGAACGAATTCGCAAAACCAAGACAAGAGAAGATTGTGCATGCGCCGCCGGCTGCGACGAGCCACGCTTGAAGACCTCCGTCTGGGGCTGCATCGTGTTCAGGAGATGTGGGCTCTGGTTTCGCCCCGCCCGGATCGGAGGGACGTATCGTCGCCGTTGACTGGGCGTGGGGGGATACGGTGACACCCATGATTTGAAACTTGGGTTGTACGGTTGATAAACCAATCGAGGATTATTCGTAGGCTCTTTGGTTGACGCATGGGGTGAGACAGTGCCATGATCCCAGCTCTCTTATACACTAACTTGACTACACCACTGCTACCAGCCCGTGGCGGAGATAGCCGTAGGGCTGACGGGGAGACGTGGTGATCGGTCGAGAAATGGTAGTCCGTTCGGACCAACAACGCAGTAGTCTCTATGGCTTGATAAGAGCTACCCAAAGGAGCTATCTATTTGGTTACTTACAAAAAACTATGTAGGAACTAATGCTTGGTATGATCAACATCATCAGCAATACCCCCCTTCAATTCGATTTGCTTCTACAGGGAATGTACTGTACGTGATGCCGTGGAGTATAGCACATTGCATGAAGTTATGCTATCGGAAAATAGCAGGATACCTCAAATTTAGCAAGAAAACTATCTTCGGAAAGACCAATTGCGTCCAACTGGTCTGTCTGGCCTTATGGCGATATCCATAGATCTCACGGCATATCGCCCGTCACGTCCCGAGCACAATCCCGGCCGCATGACTCGGACTCGCCTTGACTCTATGCGAGCACCACAATGTCTTCCACAATATCTGTCAGTTTGTGACTGATTAGCCATGATCGGACCCGCACGTCGACATCGAAGACCAGCCCTGTAGGTCCATCGGAGAACTCTCCCCTCCTTCTTAACCCCGCGCTGACACCGACCAACAGCTCTTGCTCTCTCTGCAGACGGCGAAAGACCAAATGTGATCGCCAAGCACCCTGTAGTAACTGCGTGCCCTCGAAGAATGAGTCTACTTGCGGATCTGATACTTCCGAGGTTTCTCAGCCTTTGCGGCCTGCGTCCGGGGCCACAATCATCCTGAAGACTGCGGGTTGGTGTTGAGCTTGGGGTTGGCAATGTCGGTGGTGGTGTTGCGGAATCTGGGACATATGGGTGCGGGAGTGAGGGTGTTGGGATGGTAGCTGAGTCGATGGGGGATTGTTGGATTTGGATCTTATGGCGAGTTCTTGCCATTCTTCTTGGAATGTTGGGTTGGCTTTTGTGGTTTCCGTTGCTGATTTGGCTCTGGGCACTAGGCTTCTGATGCTACCTTTGGGTTTGAGGATGCGTAGCGGTCTGCTGGGTGGATGTTGGATGAGGAGATGATGCAAAGGGGCGGGGGGCTTTGTGGTAGAGACATTCGGTTCGGTTGCTTTTTGTTGGAGTATATGTGGGTGTGGGAGGCGGTCTGTCAATTTTATTTCTTCGAAGAGCTTTACTCTATCTTGTACATACATGCGGTGTTGGACGCTTTAATTGGATTAATTTGTATAGTTGTCATGTACTTCCTGGTCAAACTGAGGCCAAGCCCACGAGTCATAGGGCAGTATCTGGATCTTATTACTGCTTGTAGAATGCGAGCTTCGACTCCTTCAGCGCAGCGGGATATAGGGCAGGTGAGGAAGGATTCTCGATCTGCTACCCTGGCGGAAAAGGCCACCGCTGCGCGGCTCCTTCGGCGGGAGTCTCTTCGCTCATAGCCTCCACATACATGTCGAAGAGGTATTTGTTCAACTTGTTGGTCGATTCCCACTGCTCAAGCGGGACCCAGCCGCTGTCATCGGTGCCAAGCTGGTCCTTTACAATATCCCGCGAATACCTGCTGTCATGATAAAGCCGGACCTGCTCGGTGTGCCTTCTAAGTTCCTCTTCATTAAATGCAACAGGACAACTGCCGGGAAGCCCCAGCAGCACCCAATCTTGAGAAAGCCGTATCAGGGAGTTTCGTAGTGGAACCATGGAGCCACTGGAAGGAAGCTGGCAACAAGTGAAAGGCTCCCACAGTCGGCGATCTAGTCTCATCGCGTTGTAGACAGGCTTGTTGTATACAAGGCATGACATCTCGTAGTACTTAGATTGAACCGCCAATGTTTGTGCCTTCCTGGCCGCTTCCTTTTGCGTAGCGTCCAGCTCTTCATAGTTATCCGGAAGAGCGGGGATTTCAGTTCCAGGACTGTAGTCTTTTGGTGGCCGCAGAAACTCGGGGAAGTGTGCCTGTATAAAGAGAGGAGAGGCTTGCGCGGACTGCCAATCAATCACGCCTTCAATCAAGGCCCGGTGTTCCGCGGATACGTAGATGTTTCCGAGATGCAAGTCTGTATGCCAGATGATTGACCCTGCCGCCTTCACCACATGTGGATTGTGTGTTAGGGCCGGTAGAATCAGTAGCGCCTTCTGCAAGAGCTCACTGTACTCGTCCACGGACTGATCATCAGAGTATCGCTTCAGCTGGTCTGCACTTCATCTCTATTTCTCGCAACGAGAGCTAGCTCTCGGCGTGCTGCACAGAGTGCAAATTCCAGAGTCGAAGTCCCTAAACGATGCCAGTCAGAAGGCGGGGCGTCCAGTGAAAGAAAAAAAAAAAGAGCTTACACGGCCCAATATCTGAACTGGGAATCTCAGCGGAGGTACTATAGGCTCGGTTGCAAGATGGTCCGATGCAGAACATCCCAGTGGGGTCCAAGTCTGAGAAAAGAGAATAATGACGATATCCAGACAGCAAGGAATCCCGCAGGAAGAGGCTCCCGTATGCTGGGAATCTACAGCTCTCAAGCTCCTTCTCCATTTGCAGGATCCTGTCAATCAACTTATAACGTTCCTAAGTGTTCATCCTCCCCCATTCTTCTGTGAGCGCGACCCCAAGGATCTTTTCCATGAGGATATATTCCGCACCCACCGGGTTTGTCGGATCTGAACACCAGACATAGACCTCTGGGACTCGAGTTGATAGACGGGTCCGCACTAGACAACAGAGTGAGTATGTGGAGACCGAGGGAGTTTCGTCGAGAACATACAGAACTGTAATGTCGCTACTTCAGAGGCTGTCGTCAGTAGGGGCGTCCCAGAATTCGGACAAGGGATCTTTGCTATTACTTCGTTGCCGTCGTTCATCGTGAGAAGGAAGGCTTTTGTTGAAATTCCCCTCCAACTTGACGATGCGCACGCATTTTGTTGCCGGGCTGAAGAGAGACGTGGCTAGAGCGCAAAGACTGTTGACGTCGAACTTCACGAAAGGCTGCTCGAGGTGATGCGTTTCGTTCGTCAACCATCTGCCGGAGGTGTATCTGAATAGATCGTCTCGGTTGTCCAACGGCTCTGCATGCCATCAGCTGCTCGTGCCAATGGTCGAGGAAGGCCTAGAATGGGTCGACAGACCGATAGTCTCTACCATCGGCTTGTTGTTTTGTACTGTTTGGAAGGTACGGTTCAGGTTCACGAAGAAACCCTGGACGACGCCAGTCATCCTTGTACGGATATGGCGATGCAGCAAGGCACGAGAGAATGGTGTCTTCAACATTATCCGCGGGGATTCGAGGTAAGGCCAGCGTTGGATAGGATGATGATGATGATGATGGATGATAAACGCCTCAGTATAACATGTAGCCGCAAGCTAACTGAGTTGGGAGGCACATTCTTGAGTGACAGTCACGTAGTTACTGTTGGACTGCATATCTTGATAACAAGGCTGTTCGTCCCGTGAGCCATTCCAGCCCGACTGGGGATGCTGCTTTGATCGCCCGGCGGTCTTTATAGAAAGAGAGTCTCACAGACGGTGGATTTTCCCTTGAGGCCGGCACAGATTGCTGGGATTGTCGAGTTGGTGGAGGATGTCGGTGCATTGAGAATTTTGAGACGGATATTCCGGGGTAGGAGAGGTTTCAATATGGTCTGGTGTTCCATATGCATTTTTGGTGGGGGGAAGGAAGTTATAGCACGGTGTGAATCTCTGAATTATGTCCTGTACGGTAGTGATTCGACCCATGGCAATCAGAACATAAACAATGCGAATATGCCAACCAGACTGTACCCACTCTCTTTCCTCAATGGTAACTTCCTCAGCCTTCAATCTCATCCCCAACACAAAACCCCCCCCCTCCACACATGAACCCATAACCAAACGCAACTCTACAAATCAACCGCCATCTCCCCGGCCTCCTCCGCAACACGCACACTATCCAACTCCTCCGTCCGCAACACACTAACCAAATAATTCTCCCCGTCCACCCCAGTAGCATGCACCACCACATCCTCCCCGAACCCGCAATCCTTCTCATACGGCGCCGCCTGCACATACATCGCATACTCTCGGCCTTGCCCCTCGCCCACCAATAACGCTTGCTCCGCGCACTCCCTCGCCGCCTGGTACGCCAAAAACACATCCAGCACGCTCAGCCTCGGATGGTCGTCATCGGCCGAGACGGTCGTCTGCACGACGTAGTACAGGTGCAGGGGCACCCGGCCGTCGCCCAGGGCCAGCGTCAGGTGTTTCGTGTTCGGGGTTGTTTGGATGCAGACGCGGAAGGTCGTGCCGTCGGGTGTTTGGGCGAGGATGGCGAGGCCGGGGATGTTGGTGTTGTTGGCTGGGGGAGATGCTTCGGGCGTGTTTGAGCTGGAGCTGGAGCTATAGCGGGACTCGTACCGCTCAAAGAACTCCCGCTCGTACCCCGCGTCGAAGAGGCAGCTGTTTGCGGCGGCTTTGGCGGTGTCGAGGGAGAGGTAGGTCCCCAGGATGCGGGTTCGGCCTGTGAGGTTGTTGGTGGGGTCTTTGGCGATTGCGGTGATGAGCAGGATCAGGTGGTAGAGTTTGTCTTCTGGGGGGGAGGGCGGTGGTGTGTTGCTTGTATTGGGCTTCATTTTGGGATTTCGGTGCTGATTTCTGTGTTGGTTGGGTTGTCAGAGGGTGGGATGGTAGAAAAGAGGCAGTGGAATTGATATCAAGAACAGTGGTCTTTGATTGAGCCTGAGGCAAAAGTCGTACGCTACTGTGGCTTATATCATGGCGATCATGTTATTCTCAGTTACCTTGGGTGCGATTGAGATCTTGCAGTGGTATCGAAGTATCAAATATCACGCATATACCCCCCACCCCCTCGTTCGAGAATCTCGGCCGAATTTTCGCTCAACACGAGCGTTCGACTAAGAATCCAGCATCTCATGTGAAAGCCTTCTATCAAACCGCAAATCGGTACGAGTGCTATTACGTACTGAGTGACGAAACTGGGCCAGGGGATAAGGCATCATGCCACTAAGACAGCCCGGAACATAGAGCCAGCCTCTAACCACTGATTTAAACTCAACAGCATAGTAAAGCCCAGGATCTGTAAAGAACTTCTCGGGGCCGACACTCGGCGATCGATCGGTCTCAAAAGGCCAGAGTCTAGAACGGCGATCGCTTCCAAGCGAACCACTCTGCCGTCTCACCGAAGCTTGACTCCGCCTTTGTCCGTGGTTCGGCACAGGCGCCGAGAGATGCTATCTCGGGCGAGAAGGAGCTCGAGTCAGCAATGCCAATGATTTGCTCGCCATTGTTCGTGAAACAAAGAACTTTGCGGGGTAGCTTCGAGCTAATGAGGTCATGCGATTCATGCCCCGCAGGTTGCACCACTTAGGGAGTTCGCTGTTTACGGAGTTGGGTTGTTCTCAGATTTCAGGGTTCTGTGGTTTGATGACCTAGAAAGCAAAGTGTATCAGGAATACATTCGAGTTCCAAGTTAACAGATACCATACCAAAACAGCTCTGGCGTCAAATAGTGTTGTAGAGGGAAAACGAAAAGTCCCTCATCTTAACTCAGCAAAGCTACTCTACCAGCCGTGCCAACCGCGCAATATCCTCACCATTAGGACGATAGTCCAGCCCCCGAGACACCTGGGATGCGAGGTAAAACCAGCAAGCAGCATTACCCACCGTTGTCAAGCAATCAGGCAACCCGCGGCTCAAGTTTGCTTGCGCATGTACTCCTTTGTCGGTGAAAAGACGATACAGATGCTGCACGATCGTGTCTAGGTCCAACCCATCCACCACAAACAGATTCTTCCTTATTTCCTCCTCCTCCAAAGCCATAAGCCGCCCTCCTTCAGTGGTGGTGATCACCGGCCGCTGTTTCTGGAGAGCCCAGAGCAGGACCTCGGGAATGCCCTGGCAGACCGACAGTTGAACGACCGCGCGGGCGTTCGAGAGCAAGGTATTCCACATTTGGTCCTGCGGGCCAATCTGGACTACGCACACTTGGGCCGCGAATTGCTTTTTCAGGGTCGTGTCGATGTGGGTGTGGAGACGATCATATAGGGGATCGCTTTCAGGGCTGCGAGATGGCCCGTGGTGGCAGATGAGAAGCTTGGGAAGCGGCAAGTCAGGGCTTTGCTGGGTGCAAATGGTGCAGAACTCGTCGTAGGCGTCGAGCAGGACAAGACTTCCGTCTCCGGGGCGCAGCTGGCTTAGGCTCAGGATATATTGCTCTGTGTGATTCTGATTTCAGTATGACACTCAATAACCTACCAAAGCAAGCTTACCATTCGGATACTTGATTACTGGGGTTCTAAAGGTCCTGCATAGGGAGTTGAACTCTTGTCCGTAGAAGGTCAGGTCGGCGTCTGTCAGATGCTTGTTCAAGCCGTCGAGCCTGATTTCATGTCAGTATACATTCGCATGGAGGACCTATGATGCCACGGGCATAGTTACTGATCGGTAGATGTAGAGATACGACCGACGCGTTCCTCTGGCATGATAGATGGGGTGAATGCGCGTGGCAGAGGTGTAATCAAGGTATCGACGTGCTGTAATCGGGTCTGGACGAATTGCCACGCCCGTGCCTGCGGACGTGTGATATGCTCCAAGATGTCCGGTGGCGCGTGCAATCTGTTCTCAAAGATGACAGGACGATCATGATCATGCTGCTTAGCTAGAAGCGCCAGTGTCAGCAGCGGGGCACTGTCGATGATCACCACATCAGCTCCTCCCTGCTGGCGCGCACGCAAGGGTCCATTCTCCTGGAGCCAGTATCGACTTGCGTTCTCGTACGCGAACTCCAGGATTTGGAGCTGGTCCTCCATGTCCAGGTGCACGTCTGTTCCGGCTAAACCCTCCATGATATCCTCCATCTTGCGGATCACCTGGAGGGTATTCGGGCGCGGCTTCGGGACATACCTGGCGACGTTCGTGATTCAGACTTGTTTTTAGGTAGAAACTCAAGGCCTACCACTTCATATCCACCCCCAGAATATGACTGAGACGCAGCAAAGCATGCCTGGTATGCACGTCGGGTTTCCCCTGACACGTCATGCTGAAAAAGGCAATCTTCACCTTCCTCTCCACGAGATCCTCGGCGAATCCTTTGGCCCTCTCCCACAGTTCAGCGCTGACCGTCCTCTGATAGTCGTCCTCTTCCGCGAAGCGTATACGGAAACTCTTATCGACGTCCACCATCCCATTGGCATAAATCTGATTGTGGATCAGATGTCCGACTCCAAACGCCCTATCTCTCACGAATCGACGAGTCAGCTATATCCCACTCTCTTCCTTGCTTCTTCCGTTCTTTTATCCGGCGAAGCCAGCTCACCTCAAGCATTTCCTTGCCATAGAATCCGCTTGCTCGTCCGGCGTCTTCCGCTTCCAGCTCGCAAAGATCGAGAGGTCCCCGGCCTCGTCCGGCTGCCGGGTATGACTTTTGTACTCCGGCACCAAGGGCAGCGTATCCAGCTCCCGCCAGAGCCGTGAGCACAAGCATGGACACATCCGCACCAGACCTTCGGGTAGGCCGACCGCGACGAACTTTTCTCGGTGCTTTTCACCGTATCGGCGCAAATGGGCTAGTAGCTCTCCGATCGAATGGGCAGACACAGAGTGGTCTTGAACGGGGAGTGGATACGTAAAGAAGTCGACCAGCTGTGTCGCGTTGCGGATGGCGATCGCGATGGTTGCTGTTATTGCTTTCGACTCATTATGGGTTAGGGCTGGCTCCGAGAACCCAGCGTAGGTTAGCTATGATTTCGTAGAGTAAATAGATTTGTTAGTGTTTCAGTTAGGAAGAACCATTATATTTTTGCGAGGCGTCACAGCCATACTTGTGCAGGTTGTCCACACCATGAATTGCTGACTGTCCGGGTCGAGATATCATGGTCATTACTCTCAGAACTAGACTCTGTGGTTCGCGACATATTGTTCGATATAGATGTCTGCAGGTTTCTATCTCATTTGTGACCTAAAGTGAGTTCAACTGTTGTTTGGGTATCGACTTGAGAGCCTTAGCTTCATGATTTACAGCTAGCATAAAGACGCAAGCTTATATTTCATGGTAAAGTTCTGAATCTCTTGGCGTACGTATAATGACGGTCGATATTTCCGAAGATCGAGTGCTTCTCAAGCCAGGCCACCCCATTCGATTTGTGTCATGGAGAAATGAACCCATGGTCCGACTGCTGCTGACACTTGGGGTTTGGAGGTACAAGCCGTCTGGGCCGTGCCTGCTGGGGTTGTCGGCTCCGACCATACGAGCATACGAGCTCCACCAAAGAAGGTACTGCTAGAGCAAATACTGGAACCCCAAGAATTGTACGATGACGAAATGGAACCAGGCTGGGCTTGCAGCCCTCGTAAAATTGACTTCCGAGGTATTCCACCGTCTGTAGAGGTCCGGATGGCAAGATGGCTGCACCAGGCTGGGACCACATGATTAAGAGGCTTGAAGCTCTGCTGGAGGTGGTACACACCATGAAATCATTGCGTATCCCTTTACCATTGCATCGTATGATTGATACTCAGCCAACTCGAAAGGTTGTTCCGAGTCAGATAAAAAGGCAGAGTCACTCGGGAACTATGTCACTGATAAAATCATCGTGACTGTGTTTGTTCGCACCAACAATATCCACAATGGACCCCAAATCTGACGTCTTCAGGCAAGACCCGCGCAATATTCAGGCCTGGCTAGTTGGCCATGGACTCGCCTCGCTGGTGGCTGCGGTGTATCTGATCCGTGAGGGCAACATCCCCGGTGTCAACATCCACATATTCGATCTGCACCCCGATCGAGGCGGAGAGATGGTCGTTTCCGGCAACGCAGACGAAGGATACTCGCTTCCATTCTACTGCCTGCCATATCTCCACGGGGAAGGAGTGAAGGAACTGCTGGATCTGGTGCCGGACATCAAACATCCTGGCAAAACTCTCGCCGACGACGTGCGTGAGTTCCGATTCCAGCTTCCACGGGCCCAGAAACACGCTGGCCCCCGAGCTGTAAGCGTCGATGCATCGGGCAATCAAGCAGTGCTCACCAAAGGAAAAGGCATCCAACTGGGTCTAAAGGATAGGATGGAAGTGATCAAGTTTATCGTGAGCCCCGAACAACCGCTGCACGCCAAGCGCATCGACGAAGTCTTTGAGAAGCCATTCTTCGACACCGGGTTCTGGTCCCTCTGGTCCACCACGTGAGCATTTCTCTCTCTCGTCGAAACTCTGAAATCGAAAACTGATCAAACCCAGGTTCTCGTTCCAACCGTGGCATAGCGCAGCGGAATTCTGGCGTCACCTGCGCAAATACCTGGAGGAGATCCAGACGCTGCACGAGGTGGACAAGTGTACGCAGACACGCTTCAACCTCTTCGAATCGCTCGTTCTCCCAATCACCGCATTCCTGAAACACGAGCAGGTCGACTTCCGCTACCACGCCGAGGTCAAAGACATCAAGTTCTACCCTGACAGCGACCCGACGACCGTCTCAGAGATCGCGGTGACAGAGGATGAGCGCGACCACCTGATCGATCTGGATCCGCAGGATCTCTGCCTGATCGACATCGGCTTCTCGCGCTCGGGCGCCGTGATGGGGAGCAACGAACGGGCGCCGCCCTTCCTTTCCTCCAACTGGGAGGACTCGCTCCTCCGCGAATGGCGCCTGTGGCAGACGCTGGCCGACAAGTCGCCCAAATTCGGCTCCCCGACGACCTTCCTCTCGCGTCCGCTCGAGTCCGGCCTCGAGACCTTCACGACCACCATCCGTGGTCCCGCCTTCATGAACCTCTACGACAAACTCACGCACGATCAAACCGGCACCGGTACCCTGCTCTCGTTGGCGCAGAGCAACTGGGCGCTCACGCTCAGCGTCCCGCACCAGGCCCTCTTCGCGTCGCAGCCAGACAACGTCACCGTGCTGTGCGGCTCTGCCCTGCGCCCGGCGGAGGAAGGAAACTTCGTGAAGAAACCCATGTTCGCCTGCTCCGGCCGCGAGATCTTCGCCGAGGTTCTGGCCCACCTGCGCTTTCCGGCTGAGCCGATCCTCGAGGACTCCGCCACTATCCCCTGCGGCATGCCCCTGGGCACCGCGCCGTTCTTGACCCGTGGGCCTGCCGACCGTCCGCTCGTCATCCCCCGTGATACCACCAATGTGGCGCTCCTGGGCCAGTTCGCTGAGCTGCCGGATGGAGACACGACGATGAGTCTGGATTATAGCGTGCGCACGGCGCAGGTGGCTGTCGCCAAGTTGTTGGGGCTGTCCAGGCAGCCCGTGTCCGTTAAGAAGAATCTCTTGCTTGAGGTCTTGGATCTGTTGATTTAAATTCGGCGTGCCTGCATTACTTCGCTGTTGATGGTGTTTGGTACTGATATACGTGTGTCTATTCCGGTATAGTCGGTTTCCATGCTGCGCGGGGGAAAAAGCCTGCACTTTAAGTTTTATCAAGCCGGGATAAGAAATGATATTGTTCTACTAGTATTACCAGTTTGATTGCTACTAGTATTCCAGTGCCATAGGTCCTATATAGATCGACAGTATGATCACGAGAATGACCGAGCTAGAAGTCCATGATGGCTCCAGGGGAGGAGCGCAACAGGATTCATTAACACGATGACGATACAGGAAAGCCATTGTAAGTGTCTGATCTGACCAATTTTGGGAAGATGCCAGATTCATGGGACATGTTTCCTTTACGTATAACAAGCTTTATCTCCTTTACCTCCAAGCGTCAAGAAAAAAAAGCAAGAGAAAGCCCAGCACCGCAAGGTAAGACACAGGAAGTGGAATAGCTACTTTCATTCCCCCAATCCCCTATACCCCTGCTCTTGCAGCCACAGATATATGCAGGCCTCATTGACACTGAAGAGAGCCCATGTGTATTACTTCTTTCGACTCCGTTATACCTGAGCATCGATTGGCGGTTGTTGGGCCATACCCCGTCTTATTCTGATGACCCATAGTGCAACTTTCTTGGTGCTTTCGGGTGATTAGCTGAAAGAGAGAAATCTCGTTCAATGACTGGCGTTTCAATCTCACAATTCCCTTGTTTTCGGGTTTCCGGGGCGCAGGGCTAGTCGATCGTAAGAATAGACGACAATTGACGGGTGAGACCGAGAGTCCACAGCTAGGTACCGTTTTCACCCCCGTATGGCTGTATCACATAGACGCTCGCCGTACTTTCGCTGCAACACACGATATCTCTGGAATCTGGGTTTCCAGAACCACCCGACAGTCGATCGTCGCAAACAGACGCGCGAATTATGTAGGTACTGAACAGTCGAAAAGTGCGTTCCGCCCCGAGAATATGAATATGCCTGGTAATCCTTGGAAACGAAGTAGAATTGCCCACATTACAGAAAATGGATTTCGAGTTGCGGCACTCGGACTGCATCTATTTCTCTTGGAGGTCTAAATCAACATTTTATGGATGGCATGCGGACCTGTTTCATATGAAGGCAAGCTCATCGTCTCGTGCGAGGAGCGGGACACAAGCAAAACCCAAGACCCATCTGTTCTCAGCGCTGCAACGCCACTGATTTTCAGCAAGCCTGTTCCGGACAGACGACCCAGGTGCCCTCTTTTGAATTCCGCATGGTTGCAAAGCACGCCTTTGCGAATTCTCTTGTGCCATAGTACAGAATAAAGAAATATGTTTTGTCCGTCTTTGGCAAGGAGCGAGGAGGAATAGAGCTTCCTGTATGATTTAAAGTTTGCCTCTTATCTCGCTTGCCGTTCCTACAAAATTACATAAGGATTAGGTCAAGTCTCCATTTATGATGCATTTGTAACAGCCGTATTCGACATTGTTGGCTGGAATTTGTTTCAAGTTAACTGCGCCTAGAGAGGTATGCATCTACCAGGGGTAACAGACTTCCAGGGAGTGTTAGAATTGCCTGAGCATAGAGAACGAGCGGAGCCTGGAATGGGTGTCGCAGGGTCTACCGGGGAGATCTGCTCGCTCAACATGTACGTGTCGGGATTCAGCATCTTACGAGGTAGAAGTCTCTATCCCGGTACTCAAGTCGAGAGTCTTCGGGGTCGTACAGGGTTCGCTCCGAGGGTGATTTCCCATCGCCATTGCCCGCCTGGCTCTCCTGATCTCCTCTAGCAGTGTAACCCAACCACTTTGCACTGAGACTGGTAAAGAAATAACAAAAGGAGATCGCAGGCGCGCGCGCCCTGAGGGGCCGTCGCTACCACCAGCAAGCACCACAGCAAAGACAACAGTCAACCAATATTCAGGCGTTGAACGGGCCGGGAAGGTTGCGAATCAGCCACTCAAGAGTATCCAGGACAATTGCAAGCATCGCCGGGATCTCGGTATACGCATCTGCAGCTGACCCGCGCTCACGGGCACACTCTCTGGAATTATCCAGCAGGCGGATTAAACGGATGAGCACAGTCCACTCGCCATTATCATCGACGGTCAGCAAAAGGTCGTGACGGGTGAAGGGAGCGGGGAGAGAGAAGTGCTGCTCAAGCAGCGCGTGCAGGCCGCCGCGGAGAGGGGGGCGGGCCAGGATGCGACGAATGTCGGCCTCACGACGGATCTGAGCCTCGTGGTCACTGAGCCAGAAGTGGTCCACCGGTTGCTAGAAGAGATTGCCAACACAACCTCCGCGATAGATCGAGGGTTCTGCCGTTTACTGGCCGTTGGGCACCGCCGCTGGATGCTCATGCACCAGGGGTTGTTGGCTAGTAAATGAGGACCTACTAGACGACCACTTGAACAAATGTAAGCGTTCCCTTCTTCTTGGCTAACACACAGGGCTTTTTGAGCATGTCTATGGGCGAGCACGGTTTGATTCGTCAGTTGCATGGACGTGCCAGAGCTAGTCTGAAATCACAGTCTGGAGGTCCATCGGGAACAGCAGAACAAGAGCAGTGAGACCTTAGACCAGTGGGGACGTTGTGACACGCGGAACTGCCAAAAGCACTGAGCGGCTCAATGCAGCGAGCGTAGGGTAACTGGTATAGCAGTACTGTATCTAGTCCAGAAAGAAGAGAGGTAGAACGTGCTACCAGGGGCTCTCTCTCTTTGTCAAAGATGTCCAAAGATTTACCTGCCGAATTTGAAGACATTATGGCGAAGGCCTGAAACAAAGTAGCCGAGGCTTGCAAAGTGCATCAGTCACACACCACTCCGCGAAGGAATAATCATCGACCGTGTGCAAACAGTTGCTGCACCTCTACCCAATCCCTTCACTGATACAGTCGCGGAACGCCCGCTCGAAGGCCGTACTTTTGTCTAGATCTTGCAAGTAGTATGATTGGAACGTGTTGGACGAGGTAACTTGATGGCAGAGCTCGACGGATGTTGGAGGTTATCCGTTGAGGATGGCCCAGTCACACATGCGTTGAATGTGTCGTCGATGCGTCTAAAGCCAACCCACCCAGCATCGCCCATATTTCCTGTGCACAAACACTGCGCATCCCTGCCTATCAGATTCTCACCATGCCGTAGAGCAAGACCGAGCTTTTCCGCATCCTCTTGCCAATCTACTGCGGCGACCACCCGTGCGCGCGGATGCCCGGCGCGCTCATTCGTTCGCTTCAGGTGGATTGACATTTATCTAGCGCAGGCGATCCGAAAAGACTCATGCTTCGTGGTAGGCATAAAACCGATTTCAAGAGGTGCTGTCACCGTGCGCCCTGCGAAGAAGGCTGTATGTTGCAGCTTGACGCGATGCCGGACCTTTTGCAGGCATTCTATGTCGTTAATCCGGCGGGGGCTGGGTGATTCCAGGCTTCCAAATCGGAGGAGTCCCATGACTCTGTAAGTCCTGGTATTATTCCTAGGACCCAGGATTCCAATCGTAGCCTAGTAATCAAGTCAGTGTCTATACCAGTCGGAATCCCAGGTAAACGTACTTTCTTACAGGTCCGATTGCGCTTGGAACACTGCTGGCACGCGACGGATGCAACAACGTCGTGGACGCAACGAGGCTTGAATGATTCCAAATGCATTGGATCGTAATCCTTGCTACTGGTCCTCAGGCGGTGCATACAAAAGAAGACACGGGGATGGATGGGCACATCGCGCAAGAGCAACGGCGATGAATACGAGGAGGCATCCTAACGAAAATCAACGAGAGAAGGGCAAGACGAACGAAAGTTCGATTGTACCTGCAACGACATACCCAAGATGAAACCAACAAACGGCAATCAACAAACGGCACTCCCAGAGGATAAAAATCAGGAGCCAGATCATCATAGTCTTTCGAGAAGCCGGACTCTGAGGAGAGATTTCTTCTCCGAGATAGCAGAGAAACAGACCCTTTGCAAGCATGGTATCCATCACAAGCGTAGCGTAGTCGTAGGGATAAGATCCAAGATCTCGGGAGACCCGTGATGATAGAGTCTGTGATGGAAGAGTCTGTAGTCGGCATCACTTCCCCTATTACATTGTGAAGGGGAGATCCAAGAAGCCACATTGGACAAGACGGTTCACCTCTAGTGCTGAACGACAGATTGAAATTGATTTGCGTCTATCAGGATACCCCAAACGCCAAAACTCTTGCTTGCCTTCCCCTAAGCAATAATATGGGTGGCCGCTAGACTAACATCAGATGAACAGCTTAATATATCGTGCCGCAGATATGAGATACTTACCCATCCGAGGAGTTGTAACATGTCCATACTTAGTTTTCTTGGCCACATGGCTTCAATAACAACAAGTTGGCCGGTTGGGTCAGCGTGCTCATGATACCAGATTGTGTAATTCGATGCCCTCCAAATAATAGAAAGAAAACAAGGCTAGAAGAATAAAAGCTAGCGGAAGATGAGATAAAATTCTTGTCAAGAGCTTTCCGGAGGGAGAGGTGGAGGAGAGGTGATGCGTGTGGTGTATTGGTCAAGAACTTCGAAAGAAAGTCGGTCGAAGCAGGAAGACAACTTGGACGGCCCGGGCGTTGAGATTGTGAATCCGACATCGGGAAATGTGAATGGTTAAGACTGCAGGGTAATATTCAGCTTTGCTCCGTCAGACTGGGACACTCATTTAAACTGTTCATTCCCATACTGATTTACTACTTGGACCTATCAGAAAGCAACCTCCTTGAGAGATATGTACTTTTGTAGTCACAATTTTCCAGGGAGTCATGTTATTAGAGGTAGTGAATCTCGTACTGGGTGTCTTGGGTGCCCTTTAGAGTCAACAGGTTGTGTGCGTACTTCGAGGAAAGACACGACGTCAGTGCATATACGGCCGCTCCACAGAGATTAGTGGGTGCCGACATTCTAGAAACCCGTCCACAAACTAGATCTCTCGCGACATTATGGTCATTGCGCTGCATATCATAGCACAGTCATTACGTAGACCAACATCTAGAAGAAGGTAGCAATGAGATGCCTGGATCTTATGCAGTGTATCAGAGCGGATTGCGCTGAAAGGTTGAATGTGGCGTCGCCAGGTCAGCCACCTCCCGGGACTCAAAAGTGTATGCTTGCGGAATAATCTATACTCAGTATCGACCACCAATAGGTTGGCTGATCAAAATGATATATTCAATTCAGGGTACGCACCGCCACAACTATCATTATTGTGCCAGCAGCAAACCCCATAGTAATGGCCGTAAGAATAAAGACAGAGAATGAATCAAAAACAGCAAAGGATATATACGCTTGGTATCACAGGATATATTTACACCGGGTCAACCCAATATTGGTTGTTGAACCACGGCATGCACTTGACCCTTGGAGGTGGATCTACCTCCCACTCGACCAATTCCGGTCCCTTCTTATACTTCTCCCGCTGAATGATCTGGTGCACATATTTGTAGGTCTCTTTTGCCTCGCGCGTCGACTTGTACTCGTATGCAACATTGATGCTGGAAATAGCCACAATCTTGCCTAGGCCTGCCTTCCAGAGGTCCTTTGCGAGGGTCATGGGCTCACCCATGTAGCATTCGCCTGGTTCCGAGCTGCGAAACGTGACAGTCTTCTGAACGAACGGCGCGGCGTTGAGTGTCACCATGCCACCCCAGCATGAGTATACTTGCACGGGCAGCCCTCTGCCGTAGCGTTCCGCGCTGTGATTGTCGTCGAAGAACATATCCTTGCCAATCCAGTATCGTGCATCATGGGTGATCTCGAAGAAGAGATTGCCAGACATCGAACGGGAGACCCAGGAATCGTAGAAGGAACCGCCACCGGAGTTCCAGTCAAATGCGCAGGTCATCTGTGCCTCTTGATTTTGGTGCTGATATATCAACTCGAGAAGATCCTCCGTGCAGAGGACGATATCGTTAACGAAGACAATCAGCGCATCGGCAGCGTAGGGGCTGAACTTGCCCGTGCCGGCAGCGACAAGCGGAGCAATCGCCTGGTTGCGCAGGATTGCGAGATCCTTGATGCGATCTTCGCCCTCCGCCTTAGGGTTCAAACCATTCGTACCAAGAAAGTAGCGCACACCCAACGCGGCGAGCTCGGGTTCCAGCGCGGCGAGAATCTCGTATGTACCATCCGTGGATCGACCCTCGACGATAGAAAGCGCACAGTACTCGGGCCCCACGAATCGCATTGTATCCAGAATGGCACCCATCAACGGCATGAGGATGTGGGCAGCTTGGTATAGGTCGAGAGCGAAGAAGTATTTCACCTTGGGCTTGGTGCTACCCCAAGTCGGTTGGACACGGAGACTATCATAACGCGAGCTAATATTGAGAGGACAGTCGAGATGGGCGGTCAATTTCATATTGTGTTTGACTATCGAGCAGACAAAGTCGTCCACCGCACTGCCATTGATCGGGGCTTTGGCGTTCATGGCGCCGTGGAGGTCAATAGATACGGTGGCGGGGTCGAAATCCTCGCAGGCGGAGAGAGCGGGAACAACAGCTTCGACATCGTTGACGATCAGGCCATCACTGGTGGTGAGGGCGCCATTGCGATTTGCGTAGAGGTAGAGGAGTAGGCACAGAGAGGCCATCAGTATGGCGGCTCGACCAAGGTGCCATTGCACCTGATGGGGGTTCATCTCAGCTAGATGGATGCATATAGGATGGGAAGCTTGAGGTTAAGAGGTGGCGACAAAATCAGGCCATGAGACGAGAAAGGAAACTTTGCATGGTTCCGTCGGAGGGAGGGGGAAAAGAATCAGATAAATGAAGGAGAGTGGATGAGGAAAAAGAGGGGGAAAAAAAAGCCGACAGAACCTGCTCTAGGTTGGGGATAATGAATTCTCCTTCTCATGTCAGCCTCAAGTGGTGGAACCCGGAGCTGGATGGAACGCGTGGGCCTTTGGCTATCGCTGATTTGCGCAGCTGCCTAACTCGGACTAGAGTAAGCCAGTCTAACAAATTGCCGCCATGAGATCATCGACACCATTGAAGGCTGCAAAATGAGGTGATGGGGGCGTCATCTTCCGGAGTGGGGGGAGGGAGCGAATGCAAGTGAGGAAAAATCAACATTTGATTGATGATGATGCCCGGCAGGGAATTTAACTGCAAATAATCATGTGGTGGAACAACTGACAATCGCAAACTCTGAAACTGGCCCGGATGATTGCCGACACGTGAGGGACCAAATTGGTTTAGTGGTTGGATCATCGGATCTCTCGGCCTTCTCGGCGATGAAACTCATCGGACATTGTTAACGGTCAACGTAAAAGGGGCTTGGCTGCCAGATTAACTCTTCGCTTGACTCATGGAATGCTCAATGATCTCTTTCTTTGTGAGCCGGAGAGCCAAACAAGATACCAACTAGGTTTGCTCAAATTCAATTGTCACTATACACTGCCCGTCAGCCTCGCTCCCGGTCATGATCAGAATTGCCGCTTCCTGTCAGATGCATAGCCCACGCGACAGTTGCTGACGCCTGAACGTATGATAGGGCGGATCTGGCACTTGGGGGCTAAATCTGACACATAAGTCGAACCTGTCATCTAAAGGAGCCATCATGACGGAGGTAAAATGCCTTGTGGGGGCCAGGGGGAGAACACTCGCAGTGACGAGCGGGAGGGGCTGTTTTCAACTCTGGTGTCGTAGCTTTTTATCTCCCATGCAAGGTACAGGGGGACATGGTGTGAGCTCTGACTGTCAGACTGCGACACGTCATGGCATTTCACTGCAGCTAAGCCTGCGATCAGCAATTAGACCTGAACATGCGGGTTGTCGATAGTAGGATTATTCCTGTCCCGCGCTATGCTGGACGAGGTCGTCTCTAGGCTCTAGGCTGCTTTCATGCTACTCATATCATGGCAAACCACCATCATCATCAGGCACTAGACCATTGAGCCTGAGGCACCGATGGGATATATATCCCTTAAAGGAAGGTGGGACACGGCTAGACCCGGTTGGGCAAACCCCCTCGATAAATAAAGAATTAAGGTTGGGTGCAGTTGGTGCCTGAACCACCGTCAGCCCCAAGTCCGTTTCTTCCGCCTCATCTAGCATCGTCATCAGCCTTCCTCTTTTTCTTCCTCCCACCAACAACTCTAAATATCTCTATCAATAGTGATCCAGTTGTCAATATGCCTACTTATACAATTGCCAGTGGAGATACCTTGTGGAAGATCTCTCAAGATCATGGCGTGACTTTGGCTGCCCTCACCGCAGCCAACCCACAGCTGACCAACCCGGATCTCATCTATCCTGGCCAGGAGCTACAGATCCCATCGGACTCAGCTCCTGCACCTGAGCCGGAGGCTCGGGTTCCAAATGAGGCTCCTCGAGATCTGGCCAGCCCTGCTGCCCCTGTTTCCGGTTACAATGTCACACGTGCTCCTCCTGCTCCCCCGCAGATGGTTCCGCCACCCGCTCCCGGCGTCGCCCATGGACCGGCCTACAAGACTGTTGCATACTTCACCAATTGGGTAACCAAGTACCATCCCACGCAGAGGCCTTTGTGACTAAGCTTTATAGGGTGTTTATGGCCGTAACTACCAACCGCAGGACATCCCAGCCGAGTACATCACGCACATCCTATGTACGAACCAGAGTCGTCCAATCTGACGCTCCAGCTAACAGCCTGCACAGATTCCTTCGCAAACATCCGGCCCACTGGCGAAGTGTACGTTCATCATCTCCTCTCTCTTGTCTCGTCCATCAACCCTAACACCTCCGATTATCCAGCTTCCTAACAGACACGTACTCCGATCTCGAAAAACATTACCCCACCGACTCCTGGGACGAATCCGGCACAAACGCCTACGGCTGCATCAAACAGCTTTTCCTTCTCAAAAAGCGCCACCGTCACCTCAAAACCATCTTGTCCATCGGCGGCTGGACCTACAGCGCCAATTTCGCCCAACCCGCCTCCACTCCCGAGGGCCGGCAGACGTTTGCCCGCTCCGCCGTCCACCTCCTCGCCGACCTGGGATTTGACGGTCTCGATATCGACTGGGAATACCCTGCTGACCCCAAACAAGCGGCAGACTTTGTCCTCCTCCTTCGAGAAACCCGTCTCGAACTCGACCGCTACGCCGCGCACCTCCGCCTCCCCTCCCGCCTGTTGCTGACGATCGCCGCCCCCTGCGGGCCCACCCACTTCTCGAAGCTCCAGATCCGGGACATGGACCCGTACCTCGACTTCTGGAACCTTATGTGCTACGACTTTTCAGGCAGCTGGGACAAGCACGCAGGTCACATGGCCAACGTCTTCCCCGCCCCGGGGTACGACCAGCTCACCCCCTTCAGTGCAGACCGAGCCGTCCACGCGTACGTTTCGCAAGGCGTGCACCCGAGCAAGCTCATCTTCGGGATGCCCTTATACGGGCGCGCGTTCGAGAACACCGAGGGCCTCGGTCTCCCGTTCCAGGGCGTCGGCGAGGGGTCCTGGGAGAACGGGGTGTGGGACTACAAGGCGCTCCCGCCCGCGGGACATCAGGAATTCGTGGACGGGAATCTGCTGGCGAGTTGGAGTCATGCGCCCGGTGACCAGAAACTGGTGAGCTACGATACGCCGCAGGTGGCCGACATGAAGGTCGAGTATATCAAGCGACGGGGCCTAGGCGGAGCCATGTGGTGGGAGCTGAGCGGGGATCACCCAGTGTCGCATGAGCGGAGTCTGATTCGCACGACGGTGAACGGGTTCATGCGCACCGGCGATCTGGATCGAACCCCAAATACCCTGGTATACCCCATGAGTCAGTTCGAGAACTTGCGGAGGGGGCTTGAGTAGTTAGCTCTACTGCTGTCTTGGCGGGCGCTTGTATAGTCCGTTCGTCTATCTTGGTGTATGCACATGTGTTGTATAGTAGCAAGCCCAGCTTCAAGCACCGGCCGGCCGGCCATGACGAATTCATGACGCCTTCGTCGTGTTCTAATCACCAAAAAATAATGCCGCGACTGGGACTCGAACCCAGAATCTGCACTCCACCCGCTAGGTACCAGACCCCGGGGGCTCTGCAATGTTAATACCACTACACCACCGCGGCTATGTTGTTGTAGATGAGGGAGCTGAACAACCCCATAGACCCTGGACCCACTTTCCGTTGGTGCCTCAGGCAGTAACTTTCATGCGTGCCTCCCTCCTGGTGATCTGACGATTTTTCTGGTTGTTCAATCAACTCTTGGGGTGTAGCAAACACCGCTTTGGTCTGCAAGGTCATATGTAGAGCTGAGCAGTAAGAGACTATAATTACAAAGGATTTTGCGAGACTGGCCTGTTCCCAGCCAATCCAGAGGCGTAGGTTATTGACTGTACGACGTGTATAAGAGGTGCATGAACTGAAGACTCACTACCCCGATATACCGAACGGTTTGTTTCTCGGTCATGTCCCATACTTGCTAGCGCCGGCTCAAAATACGTCCAACTTAGTCCTTGCCTGTCACCCGGACATCAACCCACTTAAGTTGAGACACCCGGCTCCATTTGGTAGGGAAAGACTTCAGAAGAGCAAAATAAGCTAGCCTCTATCCGACCAGATAAATCGCAATCAATTCTGCAGAGCGTCTTGGCTCGAAGAGCGTGAAATGCACGAGCCAGTATCACGCCTCATCAGGCCGGTCCTGATAAGGCCAAATTTTCTCCATCCATCCCCTCTCCTCGAAGTTTTCTGCTAACGACAGGAACAGTTCCTTCTGCCTGCGGCTTGTCTGTTGCAGAGTCTCAAAATGCTCGGGATCGACAATGCCATCCATCGGCAAGATACCGGCATCTTGAAACCTTTCCATCAGCTGCTCAATGTACTCGCGATTCTCCATCTCTTCGCTGTGCAACTTCTTTTCCTCTTCGGCGAAAGAAATCGGGCAATCATGTGCAGATTGCAGCTCCGACCAATGCTCTACTACATCCATCAATGATGCGCGGAGGCCGAACACCTCTCTTGAGGACCATGCTCCGGCGACGGATTTGATGGGTAGAACATGTGGTGACTTCCATGTGGTGTTATGGCGTATCGCGGCATAGAGCCGGGGGTTTTTCTTGGCGGTGAGGACTTCGTAGTATTTGTGGCATAATGCGCTCTTGTAGGCCTTGTCTGCCCTGGTTTTGTCGTCCTCGGAAAGAGTCTCGTAGTCGTCTGGCTTTTCTGGCATATCCCAGCCGAGGGAAGGTGGGCTGGTATGTTGGACCATTCGAGGGAATCTGGCCTGCAGGATCAAGGGAGCAGTTGTTATGTTCTGCCAGTCGATGATGTCGGTGATTGTTTCCGTGTCAAGGTCGACGTAGACGTTGTTGAGATGGAGGTCCGAGTGCCACAGTGTCGGCTGCAGGAGATCCGCAAATTCAGGTTGATTTCGAGTGATATGTGGAACAAGCAGTAGATACTTCTCAAGGAGATCTAGGTACTCGCTGGGACTCTCGCAGTCAATATTGCTTCGATAATAGTCCATACGTGGCTGCGCCTTCTGTGTTGCCCAAATCTTTTCGTTGTTACCTATGTGTGTCGCATAATCGGTCATGTGAAGCCCTGCCGTCCATCATCAGAGTGTAAGCAAACCGATGGAGTTTTATGGAAGGGTAGAGAGAGGGGAACTTACAGGGGCCTCGGGATAGTTCCATACCCGCTCGTCCATCAAGCCAGAAGACCGGGTCAACGACAGGCCCAACGCGAAACCTCCTCGGAGAGTCTCCGTCGAGAGGGATTAGATATTTAGAATGTTTAGACGGCAGATCTTGCGGATAGTATATGCATCCGTGCGCTGGGAATGACGTTGACACCAATTTTGTTTCTAGTGCCACGACCTGTTGGATAATCTTGTGTTTCGAAGGCGAAGGGAGTCGATACCAGACATCGCCAAGCGCAGTCCCTCTCGCTTTCTCCATGATGATGTATTCGCTTCCGACTGGGTTTACGGGATTGCAACTCCAGCTGAGTACCCGCAGAACTGGTAGACCTATGATGTTCCTTACCTTCTATCATTAGCTTGATGTTGCTTGGAGGATTCGGAGCTTACAAAGTCCATGGTTGCAACTTCACTGGCAATAGTCAAAACTTCCGGTCCTGCATTAGGATTCGGCAGTTTGGCGACTACTTCAGATCCATCATTGAGTGTAAGCAGAAAGGTCTTGTTATATTGCCCTTCCTGATATTTTGTTATGCGGGCGCCTTCAGGAGTTAGGAAATATAATCTATGTCATGGGAGATCGAAGGGAAGCGTACATCCATCGATATTCTTACCACTTGCCCCAACAGCAATAGAAACAAGCTCTTCGATACTGAATCTTCGATAGCGCTTGCCGGCTTCTTGCTTGTCGTTGGCTCTGTTGGTTGTCAGCAAGACGCCAAAATCAGTTTGCCCTATGAATGCCTTACAGCCATCGCTTGGTGGTGTATCGATAGAAGTCTTCTTTCTTGGCTTCGATCACTGGGAAGAGTGATTATAAGTTAATTTTTCCCAATTCCAGGCATCATCAAGTTTTCCCACCTGTGCCATCCTTCTTCTGCAGAAACAGTGAAGGGAGAAAACTCGCTCGGAAGCTGTTGCTGGAGAATTGAATCTGTCTGCAACATCGACCAGAGGTAGATAAGACAGGGTTAGTTCTGGAGATTACAACTGTAGGTCTCAGTCTTGGAAGTCTCATGGTATCTCCGACGGATGAAGGCGATGAGTGATGTTACTGTAGGGACGGAGGAAAGTATGTGGTCCTATTGTACGCAATGTAGTTAAACAAACTATCTCGGCTTAGTCAGTTTATGCTGCATTCAACTAGCAAGTCTACAGTTGCGTCGCCCGAGACTGTCAACGTACCCCGCGCAGCACAGTCGAATCGAGTGTAACTGACTCCACTTTGCTCGATGGCGATGAATCCTTGCTCTTTTTTTATGCTCGTTGGAGATCGAACTCAGCATCAGTCTTCACTAACATGCTTTAGGATATACTATCACTAGCATGACAGCAATGGAATAGGCTGATAATTCATAAGATGTAAGTCTTTTCCCATCCAGGCATCGTCTATGGTGACTTCCAAAAGCATCCTCTTGGACTGAACCATCAAACCAGAATTTCATTCCCGAATTGAGGTCCCCTTACGATCATTCTCTCGCGAGAGATATACAGAATCGTCCCCATAAGCACGCAACTTCTCCCGCAACCCTCCATCCACCGGTCTAGATACGAAGTCGAAACGACCCCAGAACGACTCAGTGCCGTAGACAGAAACCAGGCAGGTCGCCGGGTAGCGGCTGGCAACCGCAAGAAGCCTGCCTATGCCCTCAGCCGCGAGGTTGCGTCCGCGGAGTCGCGGTAAAATGGCGACGTCGTGGATATAGTACTGGTCCGCATCGGAAGCGATGGTCCCCAGCAGGCTATTCAGCGCAGGCGCCTGACCCTGTCGAATGGGATGTGAGATGGCATAGCCACAGATCTGGCCGTTTTCTTCGAGGGCTAGGCAGCCTTCTGGGTAGAGCTGGACGCGTTCGATGAAGATTTCAGAGCTTTCTGGTAGGCCCGGATGGACTTCGTCTGCAACGCGCATTAGGCCTTCGATGTCGCTTGGGGTTAGGCGGCGCCAGGCTGCCATCTTTGGGCTGTGTGTTTTCTTGGATTTCTTAAGTAGGTTGACAGGGAATGCTCAATTGGCATATGAGCATATGTGTTTTGTGACCTTTGCTTGGTGGATTGGACTTGTTCGAGCTTCGAGAGAAGCACGGTGGTGGAAGTTGTTGTCTGGGTCAGTCAAAGTAACGGAAAATCATCTTACACTCGGGTGGGGCCGAACATTTTCCCACGCGGTGGATCTATAATATATTTGTTGGAAGTATCTTTTGCCCTGGATCGAAGAACTAAGTCAGTACTGTACATTGCAACAATGAATAGACAGAATGTCTGATAGTTTCACTCGTACAACATCGGTTACATGATCTGCTCCAAAAAATGCCACGCGACTTCTTCCTTAAACAGGTGTTACAATCAAGTTGTTAGTAGCAACTAGCAGCAGAAAGAACGATTTTTCCAAGCAACGGCTGAGGACTCGCAATTTAGACGGCTATCTAAGTCCAGCTAGCCAACTTCTATGTATGGTATGCAAGAGCTATTTCCTCCTTCGAATAATGCGAGAAACAGCCATTGTAAGCTTCCTACGCAGGTCATTTGATGGGTTGCCTTGGGCAGAAAGATGCAGGGTATGCTTGTGCTGCTGCTGGACGATGCCATTATCTAGTCTATATCGAATTCAGCTTAGAGAACTTCACGTACGCACGTACGCGATTACTCCTTCGCCTTCGCCTTCTCCTTCATCTCCCCCCTCTCTCGCACCGTCTTCGCAACCCCCCGGCCCACCTCAGTCCCCAGCGCCTCAAACCCCTTCACCACCCCGTCCCGATCTCCCTTCCCCATCTCCTGACTCATCTTAACCTTCCCCTGCAACCGTTCAATGCGGATCTCAATCCCAATGATATTCTTCTTCAGCAACTCCACATAGTTGACCGGCGCATCCGCCACCTCCCACGGCTTCTGGTACCCCATGATCCGCGTCTCAGATTGGCGAGACAGATCCTCCACCTGCCGCTGTAGATACGAACCCGTCTCCTCAGACTTAGAGTCACAGTACACACGGATCTTGCCGTACGCCTGCGCGCCCGAGTAGTTCCACGTCGGCACCACCTTCCCGGTGGCCGGCTTCGTCTCCGTGTAGAACTTGGGCGTCACGTAGTGGTGGTGCGGCCCGTTGAAGAGCACGAGCACCTCGTCGGGCAGCTCCAGCGCGCCGTCGGCGTTTTGCTCGGCTTGCTGCGCCGCCAGCGCCTCCATCAGCGCCTTGGCTTGCGGGTTCTGCTTGGCCATGTGGCCGCGGAGGATGCCCGGGTGGGCGTCGTCGGCATTCTCGGCGGGCACGTCGAGGACGAAGGGGATGTGGCTGGATTGGAGGAATGGGTGGGATGGCGATCGGATGGCTGTTGTTAGGATGCCTAGCGGGTTGTCGCGGATGAGTTGTTGGAGGTACGCGATGCTGGACTCGGCGTGCATGGGTGGGAGATGCATTTTGTTTGCTTCTTGTTGGTGTTTGTTTTGGGTGAGCGAGTGATGGCCTCGGGTGGTGCGGGGTGGTGCGGGGAAATTCTTAAGGAGAGTTGGGATTGAAAAATCGAGGGCAATGCCTTTTTTATAATAGGGTTGTCTCAATTGGTGGCATGGTCATCTCATGAAGTGTGAGCTGCGATGATTCACATTTGACAAGCCCCGCAGCTCGGTATCGCCTATCGCAGATGCTCTTAATCCTTAAGTCGGAGTTCCCAGGGATCTGATTGGCACGACGCGCCGCGTCTCAGCGTTGGCCGCGGAGTTACAATGCACTTGCGGATTGGCCCCGCGTAAGAGTTTCTACTTCGGGTGCTTGGCTCGGGATTTGATTGGGCTTTGGAATGGTTTTTTCTTCTGGAAGATCAGATAGATAGATGCCTCTTCTTCACGTCTTCCATGGATGAGAGAACTGATTGAGTTGCAAGATAATGCCTCTTTTTAGTGAAGCTAACGCTTTTTCGGATAAGTGACCGGTGAAATCTGCATCACTGAAGGCAAAGTGGCCAATCAGAGACTGTCTATATCATTGTTACTTTCCGCTTGTGGAATATGTCGGGAGTGGCCGGGGCCGGGGACCCGGGGTTTGGGGTCAATGTATGAGGGCTCGGCATGGACTTAAATGTGATGAAGTGATCTCTTATACTGTAGAGATCGCAGATGCTTCTTTGCTCGGTCGGAAGTTGATTTCTTCACTATCTTGTTCCTCGTGTCTACACTGACAACAACTTTTGACCTATATCAGAGCATCGAGTTCCACTCTCGCATCATACCCGGGCGAAACCACTGATTTGCTATTACGGAATGTGATATCGTGATCCTTCTACTATACGCAGGAAAAGCTGGACGCTACTCTAAACGGGACTCAGAGGCTTTAATTGATTGTATCACAGCTTAGCAGAATCACTATTGAAGTAGGTTCAACGACTATGTGAATGGGTTCTTGGTATTTGCGGCAATCATGTGCTACGATCATCTCATCGACACTGTTGCAGGCTGCCAGAGGTTACTGAATCAACGACAGTTCTGGTGTATTATGGTCATACATCTGTCGATTCCTGTCATCAATATACAAGTTACTTGATTCATAAAATCGATGCACATAAACCAAGCTTATTCTAAATTGAGTATGCTCAGAACACTTATCCTCCGCTACAAGCCTCATTTTGAGTCGAGGCGCGGATTCCGTTTTTATCGACTTGTACCAACGGCATATGTTGATCAAACAATACAAGGAAACTGGTCTTCTACCGTTACATTTCGAAGTCAAGGAAAAGCTTCCCTGTTGACCATGCGAGCTCTTTATACAAAGGAGATTCGCAGTAGGGCGGGGCCATAACGCCCAAATTGACCAGGGACTAAACATATGTCGTGAGCTGTAACTGAGTTCCGAAACCACGATACTGTCAGGACTCGGATACGTCATTTCTGTGTCTCCTGAACCATTGTCATTGTTGTCTCTTGGGGTGGCCCATTAGAGATATAGTCTCACTAAAGAGACGTGCGAGGATAAGCGATAGCCCTTCTCTTGACACATAGCCAACCTGTCATTGCCTTGATTAGCACTGAACCCCTCCTTCTATACGATGAGAGCACTCATTAAAATCTGAAGACATATTGCAGCATAATCTCAGAAACCCGAGCGCATCCATGGCTCATTTACACACTGGGCGCGGTCGATCCGACGGAAGTTTCCGAGTAAGGCTGAAGTGCCACCACACCTTGGAAAACAACGTCATCTCCACAATTGATGTGCGGCTTTTGCGGTTGGCCGGATATATGGGTGTTGATCCGTGTCAGACAGGAACTGCAGGTTTCGTTAGCCAGTGACGATGCCCCACGAACAAGGCCGCAACAAGGCTGTCGGCAGAATGAATGCGCATCTCCTGTGTACCTCTGCCTCTGTCTCTGCCTCTCTGTCTCTGTCGTGTAGACTTCTTGATCCGAGTTTCCCGAAGGATTGTCCTTCCAGATCCCGTTTCGACCTAGACAAGGATCACACAGGCACCAAACCCCAGGGTCTCTTCTCCAGTCACGATGGGTTGGGCTTTGTGGGGGGCATGAGTTTGGCTCCCTTTCACAAATCATGGAAGTGGGGCTCGCTTTGGGACCAAAGGTGGAGCGTCTCCCGAGCACCGGACACACTTTGTTGGCTGTAGGCTTCGCGCGTTACCAGGGCCTATCTTCTTAGTTCGTTGGAGGATGGCGCTAGACAGCAGAACACCTTGGATAGCTTCAGCAAAAGTCCAATGCGTTCCTGGTGGGATTTTGGGAGCATAGCGTCATAACCCCCACTTGCCGGGATGCTAATTACTATCGACTCTTCGAGCCGTGACTCTTTGATTGAGCGATTTTCCGGAAATGAGGTCATTGCTCGGCTACTGACTGTTTTTGTTTTGTTGTGTCGAGTGGGTTTGTAGATTGGCTCTGGACCGAGTGGATGCGCGTGCGTTCTGTCGTAGGAGGATAGGAGACTAAACATTGAGATACGGAGGATGAGGTGGATAGGGCCTATGTAAGTAGAATACAAGATCTCTGGGCATGGGTCATGGACTACTGCAGCGAACCTGCGTGTGGATCTTTAATTTCTTTGCGCCAGGATTCCTGGACTGAGGCTGAGCGACTGTTATATTATTGTTGGGGTTGTCCTAGTCTTCGACTGAGGCGTGGTATACCCGGGACAAAAAAGTCGGCGGGCCAGGACTTTCCGAAGTGACAGCAGATCATCATGTTCAAAGGGCGGTATACTCGGTAAGTGATCACCCTACTCTGGTGCATAGCCGGCCAGGAGTCCTGAGGGGAGAAGGGCATTGGATACGTATGTGAGGGATACTGCTGTACATCATCCATCCAGTCGTTCGCCTCGTCCTTTGCTTCCAGATGCCCCACTGCAGGCTCAGCTAGCGTAGGTGGTTGTAGATACGGTGTCGTACAGTATGGTATCATGTCTCCGGTCAATCCAGTCAGGTAAGAGGTAGACTTTCCTGTTTGAGACTGACCAGCAGGGAAAACCCAGTTGATGTTATTGGGATTATCATTCATCAGCCTTGGATGTGGGTGGTGTTCATGTCAGAAAGGGGTGGGTAGTGAGTGGGTTGAGAGCCCGGGTACGTAAGACATTCTCCCCAGGGGCTGCTGTCCTTCACTAGTAGTCTAGTCCTAAGTAGTTCAGCAAAAGACCCTGAAACAGTCAATTTGAACTAGTCCAGATTGCTCCTCTAGCGTCCCTGTACTCTTCTTGAGGTATTGTACAGTGTAGTCACATAAGTTCTGTAAATGAGAGGTGGGAAAGAACTGTCTCCTGACCTATTACCCGGAACAGACTGACTGACTTGAGAGAGTAAGTAAGCTAGGCTGAGCTGTACTGTAAACTAATTGTACTGTGTCTCAAAAAGTGTATCCTTGTCTGGGTGCAAACAGTGTGGCGGATCTCCTTCCCTCACACTGAGTAGTTAAACAAACCCCCAGTTGACTTGACTGACCAGACTCCACTGTTCCCGGTCCAGCCTGGTTCGACCACCCAAATTTAGCAACTCAGAGAGAGAGAGAGAAAGAGAGAAAAGAAAATAACAATTGAACAATAAAATACGTTACCCTCAATCTCATCCACTCCCCGCCCCTACCTTTCGTTTCTACTCTTGATCTCCCCCCCAAATTATTATTTCTGCTTTTACTCCGTAATATCAGGAAGAAGCTGATAATATCTTTCATTCAAGGGATCCTGCTCCCTTCTCTTTCTCCTTCTTCTTCTCCTCCTCATTCTTCCTCCTCTTTCTCTTTCTTCGTCTGCCCTCTCTACCCTTCACAGTCGTATCCTTGCAGGGTACGGTTGCGGTGCCGGGCCCGCCGTCGTCCTTATCTGTGCCAGACAGAACATCTGACTTTCCTCCCTCCTTCTCTATCTCGCCTTTCTCTTGCCTCAACTGGCCTTAACTCGATCGACTGAGTAAACTCTTCCTTTTCCTTGATGGCTTGGACATTTGCGAGCCTCTCCTCAACGACTTCCGACCATGGTTTACAACGCCGTCTCACAGGCCGACCACGAGGTCGCTTCCAATGCCAGCGATTCTGATGATCAACTCCAGTCCCAGCACCATGGTGCCTCTTTCCAACAACTCCCCTTGGATGTTGACCATATTGGGGCTGGCAGTCATCTGCAGCCTGCCAGATCGGCCGAAAGCTCCAGTATCGGCCGTTTAGGCTCGATGATCCGGTCGATCACTTCAACCAGCTACGACATGGTCGAAGACGACGACTATGAACTACCCGCCGATCACTTCTCGCCAACCCAAAGTCCCAAGAGTTCCCGTCGCGTGCCTCCGCTCGATACCACCGCAACCACCATCGAGTCCTCCCCTTCCGAACCGCCGCTCCGAAGCCCCATCTCTGCCAGTGGGGAACCCATCCCTCTCAATCACCCCACCCCCGGTCTACAATCCCTGCAAGGAGCTTATGTCAATAACGTTGAACGCCTCGAGCGGAGCGCCGAACGGATGAGCATGAGTTCTACCAATATCGGGGACGAAATTCGCAAAATGGATTTGGAGCAAAAGCGGAGGTCCAGTGGCTCGTCGGTCTATACAAACAATCAAGACGGGGTGAAGGCCAGTCTGTCGTCTCGTCAAGGCTCCATCCAGTCCGCCTCGCGTCTGGCTCAAGTCTCAGAGCATGGTCCTGACCACCCGTACGCCGCATCGGTCGGCCACGCACCTATGATGCCCTACCTTCCGCCTCCCCCCTCCGCGCCTGCTCAAGGGGAACTCCGTCTCGTTGACCATGAGCATTACAATCACTTACTCAGCGAGGAGCTCGAACGCCCCTGCACTGCGGCTTCGACTGACACCTATCAACAGGCTCGGGTCCTGTTTACCGACTTCGACGGCGTGCATTACGTCCCCACCGAGAAAGACTTGGTGCGCCGGGTCTCACTCACCCGTCCGCCGCTCGCGAGCCGATCCGAGACATACAAAGAACCACAGGCCGGTGAAGATATGGTTTACTATCCTGCACCGGTACCTATGATGCTGAATCTACCCCCTCGCCTGTCGCGGAAACCGGGCGCAGAGAGAGAAAAGCGCCGCACCCAGCTTCTTGGCTCGATTCCCACGGAAAATCGCAAGGCAGCACCTTGGCTAGCGAAACAAAACCCGGACAGCGATGCTCATCTTAAGAGAGATAAAGAGCCGGCAGCTTTGCCTCCACAACTTCGTGCCAGTGTCTTCTTCGAGCAGCCATCGGTGCCACTCAATCTAGAGCTCACCCAGGCCTCCGCGGTAGCCACCCTCGACAGTATACTTGATGCTTCAACACATGCGCCCGTGAGCGCTTTCACGGACCATCCGATTGCCGGCGCGCCAGGTCATGCTAAACTCACGCGGAAGTCTTCCTCCGGGGGATTACTGAATCATGCGAAGAAGCGAGCTTCCCAAAGCACTCTTGGCTTTGACCGCCGTCTTTCCGATCCGGAGCTGGAGGAAAGACCGCTTACCTCCGATCGCTTCTATAAGCAGACCGAAGCTGAGGCTGCAGACATGCATGAAGGCAGCTTGTTACGGGCAGATGAACATGGCGCGACCGGGGGCGTAGATGTGCCTCATCACGACGATGAGGATATGCCCAACCCGCTCGGACCAGAGGCAGAGTTCACCGGGCCGCCAAATACACTAATGGCAGAATTGGAAATTCGGAAAAACGAACTCAAACAGCGGCAGAAAGCCGTGGCGGGTCCGTTTGGGCTCCAATCAACACTTCTCCAGATGGATGCTGTGGCTCAGAAGCAGAGCGAGCATCGGCGGCAGAAGCCAGTCACTCTGGCGTGGGAAAGCACAGATGCTCACAAACAGGACGAGGGAGATGACGATGACGTCCCGCTGGGTATGCTGTTTCCTGAAAAAGCCCCGGCGACTGACGAAGTGCGCCCGATGGGTCTCATGGAGAAGAGAGCAATGGAAGAGTTGGAGCCTCTAAGTCGACGTCGGGCCCGCCTCCGAGGAGAACCCCCACCACGCACTCCCGAGCAGCGCTCAAACACCATGTATGCAGCTACTGTGCCAGATGCTGTGGCTGCAGCCGAGGAAAGCGGCGATGAGGAGGAAACCCTAGCTCAGCGTCTCCAGCGCTTAAAGTCTAAGGACCAGCCTCCGTCCACTGTTGCGGATAGTGAGTTCGCGAGCGAGATCCTTGCTGAGATCAACAACGTCGGGGCCGACGGTGAAAAGATCAAAACTGCCGAGGTCCCGCCGGAGGACGAGACTTTAGCGCAACGACGAGCTCGCCTTCAACGCGAGGCCGAAGCTGAAGCTCTCAACAACTCGACCCTGAAAATCCCACGGTATCGGAGAAGCATGGCCGATATTCTCCATGCCCGACGTCCTTCCGCCGTGCCGCGACCGCCTACCAAGGATACTGCCAAACCGCCAGGGGTAGCTCAGCAGTATTCAAACGATCCGCGATTGTCGTTGCGACAGATGCCAACGTACCCGGGGCCTCAGGCCGGATACGCAGCTGCCCGGGCTGCTCCGTATGTGTCTGGCATGCAGCACCCGAATACTTTTTACAGCGATGCTATCTTAGGGGTCAGCCATCTCAGCTATGCACCAGGCAAGCACCCATCCAAAACGGTGAGGCCTATGATCCACCCAGGACAAAGGGAGGTTATTGATCGCTGGAGGCAGAGCATCGTATAGATGCTTTTCTGGTTCGCCCGTTGCCTCTTTTTTCCTTTGACATTGTTTGATTTTTCTCCTTCCCTGCTCTGCCGATCTATGTTTGATCTTGACCAGGATGCATATCTACTGTGTTGAGTTGAGCACTGTCCTGTTTGTTTGTCTGAGCCCTTTTTCTTGTCTTTGGAGTATTTTGTGCCGGTGATATCCTTTGCCTCGATTAGCGGGTTATTTTGTGTATTATACCGTAAGATTACCAGATTCCACATTCTTTTCATGGCCTTTGGGCAGCCAAAAATAGTAGCCAATACACGTCGAATTCGGATAATCCATCACAGTTGCACAGCATTGGCGGGGATCCTGCAGTGGCCAGTCGAGAGCTAGAGAAAAGAGTGCGTCGAGGTATACGACGCATGTAACTAGGTTGACTATCGGTAAGTCAAAATCAGACTGCTGCATGCGACCTGTTGGCCAGCACTGTTTCCGGCATGATGACTCCCTCGTTCCTGTCTAAGTGTGTTTTGTCTTCGATCTTCTAGTCTAGTTACTCTACTCTTCCCAGTAGACTTTTGGTCAGGAATCAGTTCGTCCGTGCCCCTGGTTCGGGACTGGAACTAGTTCTCGCATGCCGGAGAACTCGACTAGACTAGCAAGAGAGATTGGTTTCATTTGCCCCCCCGACGAATGCAACACTTTCTAACTTCTACTTAGTACATAGTGCAATTTAACGGTGCCCCCCTTGGATTGAAGTCATTGGACCGCCGCCCGCCCGCCGGGTGAGACATTGAAACAACTTGCCCCACGTCGAATTATCCTGCATCATCCATAGTGAAGTCTAGTCTAGTGGGATTCTTTCTCTCTTTCTGCCTTCCAGACTCAAGGAAAGAAAGAAAGAAAGATACAAGACACTGTCGCTGCGAACCCTTCCAGCTTTATTTGATCTCACATTCTTGCCGGGACGATCCATGCACTGCAGAAAATGTTCCTGGCGCTATTCCTCGCATCCTAGACGCTACCGTACTCGGATGCACCCAAGGTGCTCCTGGCGCATTCCTCATCTCCCCTTCCCCTCTCTTCGCCATTATGGCTCCCTCTACTGTCTTTTCCTACTGGCGTCGCGATCACCGCCGATCGAGCGCCTCCCCCGTTCCGTCTGTTGTGCAGCCCACGGCCAAAGGCTCGGTTTCCAACACACCTCCCCAACTGCCCGTCATTCCTAACAACACCACCACTCTTCCCGCCTTCGCCGACCCCTCAGCAGCCGCGCCAGGATCGAGCCCACCACAAGCAATCGATCCGGCGCCGGATTCGAAAAGAGCAGTGACCGTATCGGCGAGCCCGATTAATGCGCCCGCCCCTTCCTCCGCCAACTTCGCAGTATCCTCCGCGGCGGTCGAGAACCACGCTCAACGCGACTCCAGGTCCGAAGAACGCGATCGAGATCCAGCTCTCACCTCCCTGTCGAACCACTCGCAGCCATCCTCTGCAGCGTCGCGCCCGCACCATGGTGACGGCGAAATTCCGCGAACGAGCTCCCCGTTTCGGCTTTCCATAGGCAAAAATCTCCTTTCATCCAGTCACCAACCTTCCGATCCCCAACCCAAACGATATTCTACTTCCAGTATGCCGTCATCGAGTCACCCGTTCAGGTTCAAGACCTCCCCCGATGGACTACCCGCCGACAAGGTCGCGACATCACAGCGAGATTACAAAAGTGATGGCGGCAGCCATCGCCGCCAGGGAGACAGGGAAACTATGGCGGGGGAACATGGTCACCACAAGTCGGGCAAAACCAGGCTCCATCTACTGAACCCCATGTCCCTGCTCGCCCGACGGCGCTCGCACCAAGTCACCAGCCTACGCACAGTGGATGCCACGAATTCAGCCCGCAACCTGGTTCCGGCCATCCCAGATGATTACGACCCTAGAATCCGTGGGAACATCGTGCACGATTTCTCTGCGCCGCGTGCGCGGCGGAATCTCTCTACCCCGCCGGTTCTGCTACAGGACGGGTACCAGCATTTGAACGAGTCTATCGCACCGTGTGCGGACCAGGCGCTCCACTCTCAACACAATGAGCAAGGAAAGCGGCAAACACAGTATTCGCCTGTGTTCAAGGAACACTTCGAGGACAATCAGAAGGTGTTGCAGGTCGAGAACAAGGCCTATCTGCAGTCCTCCTTGTTAACGGATCCTTCGCTTGCGGGAAGTGCTTCCAGCGCGCTTCCCGTGTTTGCGCGGAAGCTGCCCTCAACGATACCGGAGGAGGATGGGCCTGCGCAAACATCGAATGAACCGGTCGAAGGCGGCGAAGATACACCAGACAAATCATCAACTCACCCGGAGCCTGCCGACGTACACGACGAGGACACCATTGAGATGATGCCGCATCAGTCACTGGGTTTACCCAAGCATCTCAAGAGTAATGCTTCGCGGTTCAGTTTCGATATGAATGGCGTAGAGTCGTCGGCGCAGGAGAAGCTTCTGGAAGAAAAACACAAAGTAAAGGAGGCAGCGAGGAGGGCCAAGGCTCAGTTGGAGGATCCGGGCTTCAGCGATGGCGAAGACTTCGATGCTGACATCCTCGATGATATGTACGACTTCGAAGAAAAGATTCCTGGTGTCAATGTCGATGCAGACGATGAAGACGACGAGTTCCGAGGCTTCTCGGGCACAGGCCAGGTCCTCAACAAGTCTTGGCTGGCTCCCGACCTGTCTCCTGTTGTTGCCAGCCCGCTGACACCCAGGATTCCGGAGTATGACGGCGCCGGGGATTCTACTGCTGCTCCTGTGCCGGAAGTAACCCGAAGTTCCTCGAACGAGGAACCGAGAGTTGTTGTTCCCGAGCAGGGTCTCAGCATTCAATCTCTGCCTACGGCGACTGAATCGTCTGTCGAGACCCCACAGTTGGTACAGAGTGCGCATCCTGTGGCTCCACAGCCGATCGATGACGATGATGATCTGTACTTCGATGACGGGGAGTTTGGTGACCTGACCACTGGGGGCGAGAAATTCGATGAGTCGGTGTTTGACGATGAAACTAGTCACTTATATGAGCGGAAGCCAGTTGCTCCACAGCCCAGTCAGGGGGGCGTTCAGGGTACTCACTTGTATGAGCAGAAGCCGGTCGCTCCGCAGCCGGTTCCAGAAGATGATGATTTATACTTCGACGACGGGGAGTTCGGTGACCTAACCACTCAGGGCGAGACGTTTGATGAGTCTATCTTTGACGACGAAACAAGTCATTTGTATGAGCGGAAGCTGGTAGCTCCACGGTCGGTTTCCGATCCCTCAATAAAGGTGGACGATAATGAGGCCTCTTCGAGTCTCGCGGTGCATGAGGAGACACAGGCGGAGGCCAATGGCGGTCTCAGACATGCCCCCAGCATAGCAAGCGAGTATCAAGCAGGCTCGTCTAGAATGTACAGTCATACCCTTGGGGCTCTCACGGACCTTGCGCCCTCAAAGTCCCATGGTGGAGTGTTGTCCGAGTACAATCTCGGGGCCTTCCACGACGCTTTGGCCAAGGTAGCCAACGACACATCCCTGCATGAGAGATTCGGGCGCTCAGTGAGCATTAGCGAGCGTTCCGTGGGCCAGACAAGCACGGCGCAAACGATGGACACGCCTTCCGGCCTGGTATCGGACGACAGTCATTTGAGCCAGGCTATTGACGGGATGGGCTTCGACGAGGTGTTAGACGATTTTGACTATGACGACAATGACGCCTTTTTGTATGACGACCCGATCATTGCCGCTGCCAATGCTGAGGCGCTCGAAAATGACGATGACGGTTTCTACGGTCAAGAGTTTGGGTTTTACGCGCAATCCCTCGGGGCCTGCAGCACGGAGCTCACCAGCGGCGGCTACTTTGGTCCCCGTGGCGCCGAAGGTATCTCACGCAGCTTCAGCAGTCGAGGCAAGTTTCGAGAACCCAGTCTCACGCCGATCACTGAGCGGAGCGAGTGGAGTACCCGCAACTCGGTCATTTCGCTGACAGCTCACGGTGCCGCGCACTCGAACCCAGCGCTGCCGAGTCCCGGCTTGGCTCAGTTGGTTGATCTGGCTGGCAGCATGGATGATGAGATGTCGCTGAGCGCCTTGATGCGACTCCGACGGGGCGCCTGGGGTGGGAGCAATGGAAGCCTCCGCAGTAGCAGCGGCAGTCCACCGCCCTATCTCCATTCGTCGTCGAACCGGGCGAGTTTCGTCTCCGATGCGAGTCCCACGGTATATACGGCTCCTCCCGATATGTTCGGTACCTCCGGGGTTGCCGAGTCTCCTATTGAGAGATCAGAGAAGCTTCGGTGGTCCCAGGCCTCCACCGAACAGCGTGTGGAACCTTGTATGGTTGGTGAGGAGAATTCTTCCTCTGTATGATTGTGCAAGAATGTCCCTCGCGGACGGTGCTGCAGAGAGTGAACTACAGGTGAGCCCATAATGGTATATAGCTCATGTTGGTCAAATCTCATAGGATGTCTGTGATTTTTGTCATACTTTACGATGTCATGCCCAATATATAATACTTTTCTTGCCGTGAAGAGGCAGCAGCGACCTGTACTTGTTATTAATGAGATGATGAAGATTTGCCAGTACCCATGATCAATCAAGCGCGCGGGGGAGAGGTCGTCTGACACGGAGTAACCCTGTTGCTCCAGGATTTAGTCCGGCGGGGGTTCTCTTTTTACTTCTATAAGGCTCTGTTGCAGCAGGGCTGTCCAGCTGCGTGTTGCACTTGATGTCATCGGGGCCCACGTGCCCTGCCGCAAAAACCCGGCCCGGGAAATGCTCATAGCCGGGTGTGGCGGTGCAGCTGCTTGACCGCAACCGGGAAGTCCGGCCCGCCTGGCAAGTACTGCTGGGCACCATCGCTGGGCACCTCCCGCTTCAAGATTGGGCAAATTATTATTCCCTCGGCCCGCACAGGCGGGAGTCGCGGTGAAACAAGCAACCACGAGATGAGTCAGCTGTGGCTGCTAGACAGAGAACCTGAAAAGGGCCTCAGCCACATCTGCGCTGGCCGTCATAGCCGTACCTCCGTAGTTCTCGGCAAACCTCTGTCCAGTTCCAGTGCCAGTGCCAGTGCCAGTTCCCTCTTCCATCTCATCCCAGTTCCATCCGTCTTCTCTCTTCCCTTATTCCCTTATTCCCTTTAGTACTCCACCACAACAGAGGTTACCCCTCTTGAACCCCTTTGCTTTTTTAGAGTGTGTTCACTCTCTGATGAGTCCCGTTTTTGCTCAGGTGCTACGGCAACAATAGTCGACACCTGCTTTCGATTCCTAGATCTCTCCCAGCGTGCGTGTTCCTTTGGTCCGCCGAAAAAAATCCCGCAGCGATGACCGCAACATGAAGCTCTAGCTAACCTGTCAATCGACGCGTTTTTAGATCAAAGGACTGCTTCTTGCAACCTCTAGTCGTGTTACGTTCATATTCAGCTCTTTGCAAATCGTATTAAGAAAATTCCCGCCATGTTTCGCTCTACAGCCGTCAGGGCGGCCAACAGCGGTATGCGCTCCGCCTGCACACGATCTTTCTCCCTCGCTTCCAGCGCCAGAAATGCTTCTTTCCGCAGCTCAAAACTCGGCTTGACCACCCGCCGTCCCCTGGCGGTGGTCAACAGCAAAAGACACTACGCCCAGTCCGCCGAGGGCGTCGATGCCAATGACTCCTTCCTTTCTGGCAACACCGCCAACTATATCGATGAGATGTACGTGGCATGGAAGAAGGACCCCTCCAGCGTCCACATCTCGTGGCAAACGTATTTCAAGAACATGGAGGAGGGCAAGATGCCCATGTCTCAGGCTTTCCAGCCTCCTCCCACGCTCGTCCCTACCCCTACGGGCGGTGTCCCCCAAGATATGCCCGGCGAGGGTCTGGGCTTTGCCGCCGGTACCGACGTGACGAATCACCTGAAGGTCCAGCTTCTGGTGCGTGCCTATCAGGCCCGTGGTCACCACAAGGCCAAGATTGACCCTCTGGGTATCCGTGGTGAGGCCGAAGCCTTCGGCTACAACAAGCCCAAGGAGCTCGAGCTCGACCACTACGGTTTCACCGAGCGTGATCTCGATGAGGAGTTCACTCTTGGACCCGGTATCCTGCCCCGCTTTGCTACCGAGAGCCGCAAGAAGATGACCCTGCGCGAGATCATCGCTACATGCGAGAAGATCTACTGCGGATCCTACGGTGTTGAATACATCCACATCCCCGACCGTAAGCCTTGCGACTGGATTCGTGATCGCTTCGAGATCCCCGAGCCTTACAAGTACTCCGTCGATGATAAGCGCCGGATTCTCGACCGCTTGATCTGGTCCCACAGCTTCGAGTCCTTCCTTGCTACCAAGTTCCCCAACGATAAGCGTTTCGGTCTGGAGGGTTGCGAGACCCTGGTCCCCGGTATGAAGGCTTTGATCGACCGCAGTGTTGACTACGGTATCAAGGACATTGTCATCGGTATGCCCCACCGTGGTCGTCTGAACGTCCTCTCCAACGTCGTCCGTAAGCCCAACGAGTCCATCTTCAGCGAATTCGCTGGATCTGCCGAGCCGTCCGACGAGGGCTCCGGTGATGTCAAGTACCACCTGGGTATGAACTTCGAGCGCCCGACCCCCTCGGGCAAGCGCGTCCAGCTTTCTCTCGTCGCCAACCCCTCCCACTTGGAGGCCGAGGACCCCGTTGTGCTCGGAAAGACCCGCTCCATCCAGCACTACAACAAGGACGAGAAGGACTTCGACTCCGCCATGGGTGTCCTTCTGCACGGTGATGCCGCCTTTGCCGGTCAGGGTGTCGTCTACGAGACCATGGGCTTCCACTCCCTTCCTGCCTACTCCACTGGTGGTACCATTCACATCATCGTGAACAACCAGATCGGTTTCACTACCGACCCCCGTTACTCTCGTTCCACCCCCTACTGCTCCGATATCGCCAAGTCCATCGACGCTCCCGTCTTCCACGTCAACGCCGATGATGTTGAGGCTGTCAACTATGTCTGCCAGGTTGCCGCTGACTGGCGCGCTGAGTTCAAGAGCGATGTCGTCATTGACATTGTCTGCTACCGTAAGCAGGGTCACAACGAGACCGATCAGCCTTCGTTCACCCAGCCCTTGATGTACAAGCGCATTGCTCAGCAGAAGGCTCAGCTTGACAAGTACGTCGAGAAGCTGATCGCCGAAGGTACCTTCACCAAGGAGGACATCGACGAGCACAAGAAGTGGGTCTGGGGCATGCTGAACGACAGCTTCGACCGCAGCAAGGACTACCAGCCTTCCGGCAAGGAGTGGCTCACCTCGGCCTGGAACGGCTTCAAGACTCCCAAGGAGCTGGCCAACGAGGTTCTGCCTCACCTCCCCACCGGTGTTGACACCTCTCTGCTGCAGCACATCGCTGGCAAGATCAGCGGTGCTCCTGAGGGCTTCACTCTCCACCGCAACCTCAAGCGTATCTTGGCCGGCCGCAAGAAGACCGTCGATGAGGGCAAGAACATTGACTGGGCTACTGCTGAGGCTCTTGCCTTCGGCTCTCTCGTGTCTGAGGGCTACCATGTCCGTGTCTCCGGTCAGGATGTTGAGCGTGGTACTTTCTCCCAGCGCCACGCTGTTCTTCACGACCAGGAGAACGAGGCTACCTACACCCCTCTCCGCGACATCTCTGAGAAGCAGGGCAGCTTTGTTATCTCCAACTCCTCCCTCAGTGAATTCGGATGGTAAGTTCTTATTGTCCAACTGAACGATTGAAGCGTTCTTCCATATGCTGACTTGTACACAGTCTTGGTTTCGAATACGGTTACTCCCTGACCTCCCCCAACGCTCTTGTCATGTGGGAGGCCCAGTTCGGTGACTTCGCCAACAACGCCCAGGTCATTATTGACCAGTTCATCGCTTCCGGAGAGTCGAAGTGGCTTCAGCGCTCTGGTCTTGTGGTGTCTCTGCCCCACGGCTACGATGGCCAGGGTCCTGAGCACTCTTCTGGTAGAATGGAGCGTTGGCTGCAGCTTTGCAACGAGGAGCCCCGCATCTTCCCCTCCCAGGACAAGCTTGACCGCCAGCACCAGGACTGCAACATGCAGATTGCCTGCATGACCAGCCCTGCCAACCTCTTCCACATCCTGCGTCGCCAGATCCACCGTCAATTCCGCAAGCGTAGGTTTCCCTTTCTTGATTGTTCTGACTCAGGCTAATTTGGACTACAGCCCTTGTTCTCTTCTTCTCCAAGTCGCTCCTCCGTCACCCCATTGCCCGCTCTGACATCGAGGCCTTCACTGGCGACTCTCACTTCCAGTGGATCATCCCCGATGAGGGCCACGGCAAGGAGATCGATGAGCCCGAGAAGATCGAGCGTGTTATCCTGTGCTCTGGCCAGGTGTATGCCACTCTTCAGAAGCACCGTGAGGCTAACAACATCCGCAACACCGCCATCACCCGCATCGAGCAGCTGCACCCCTTCCCTTGGGCTCAGCTGAAGGAGAACCTTGACAGCTACCCCAACGCCCGCAACATCGTCTGGTGCCAGGAGGAGCCCCTGAACGCCGGTGCCTGGAGCTACACTCAGCCTCGTATTGAGACCTTGTTGAACCAGACCGAGCATCACAACCGTCGCCACGTCCTCTACGCTGGTCGTGCCCCTAGTGCCTCTGTGGCCACCGGTCTCAAGTCCGTCCACTTGAAGGAGGAGCAGGATTTCCTCGAGGATGCTTTCAACGTTCACCAGGAGCGTCTTAAGGGCGAGTAGAGTGTTTTTGGATTGTTTTTCTTGGTTTGGCGGGGGAGCTAGTCTGTGTCAACTCATTTAGGTCTTCATTGTATGGTTTTTCCTTTGTCTACAAAGCATAGTGTACGATGGTTATACAACAAGTCATGCTTGCGTGTGTCAGGGTTCTGGTGTGTTGATTTTGCACACGTTAGAATGGTTTGGCCTGTCGAGTCCTTGCATGTGCTCAGCACGCGCGTGTAAATTACAGACATTGATTATAAATTTTCTGAGGCTTTGGTCCATTTATGAGCATCACATATTTCACGGGTATTTTGTAGCAGGACTCGATCCGGACAAATGATGTCATTTCAGATCTTGACTTTCGGATCTGACTAATGAATGTTCTTGCCTGAGAAGGCAGGCTGCAATCACCTGATGGGGCTCATTCTTCTCCGCACCGCAAGCCGCAGCAGAGCACTATCTTCACCACTCCAACTCCTGCTTCTGAGTTGCCTGGTGCGCTTATGGTTTTTCTAGTGAAGGATCGCACCAGCAGCAAGTTCTCGGTCTCCTATTCATTCAAGTAGTTGAATACCTCTGTCAATCTCACTCGGACTGAGTGTCGAACAGACGCTTCAAGAGGCAGTCCTCTACCTACCCTCGTTTATCGTCCGATCTTCCTCTTTTCTCTCTTACTCTCTCCTCTCTCCTCTCTCTGTCCCCTTTTTATTACAATTCTCAAACCCACCATGTCTGCCACAATCCCAGCGAGTCTTTCAACGACCACCTCAGCCCATCTCAATCCCACGACGACAACAACGACAACAACGACCACGACCACCACGACCACCAAAACCCGCCAGACACGAACCAACCCCTCCCGCACATCCAGGACCCAAACCCGCTCCTCCTTCGCCTTCGGCCACGGCTCCGCCCTGCATGCCGACAGTAACTCGGCCGCCGCCACCCCGATGCCCCATGGCTTCTACCCGGCCCTCACGCACTTTACGGACGCTATCACGGCCCTGCCGCGCGAATTCCGGCGTCACAACTCGCTGCTGAAAGAGGTCGACGCCAAGGCTTGGGCCCTCGAGGATAATCTGCTGCAATTGCTGAAGGCGAGCGCCGAGTCCAGGCCCACCGAGGTGGAGGAGACTTCCGGGCCGATGTCGGTGTCGGCCGTGTCGGTGCCTGGTTTGGATGGTTTGGGGGTTGGTGTTGGTGTCGGTTCGTTGGTATGTCTCTTTTTACATGTTCTCGAGGAAGTGTTTGTGGGAGGCTTTTTGTCTTCGTTTGCTGTCTGGTTTTTCATTTGCTCTCGCGGCGGTGGATATGTGATTCAGGTTGAGACTTTGTTCCTCGCTCTGCGATAAGGCAGACGGACGGTCGTCGACAATCCTCGGTACTCCGGATCATATGCTAACGAGCTTTTTTGCTCCGAATTCTACAGGCCCCCTCCGAACCCTCCGCCAGCAAGAACCGCCGCCTCCTCTTCGACCGCGTCCGCCACACGCTGTCGGATCTGATGATGACGGCCGACGAGAAAAATCACGTCATCTCGAACGCAAACGACGAGCTCGATCGCCAGCTGACGCGGCTGGATGCGGTCTTCCCCTTCATTGCGGGCGAGGTCAGTGACGAGGCCCGGTTGGGTAGCTTGTCGCACTGGGCGTATTCGAATCGGTTGTTGGGCGTGGGCGCTGCCGCGAAGACGACGGAGCGGCCCCGGCGCGAGGCTACCTCGTCTGGGAAAGCGGAGTTGGCACATGGGCATGCACATTCACATGGACATGGGCATGGCAGTGGACATGGGGCTGGTCATGACGGGGATGGTGGGGTCGGGCCGTCGCGGGGTGAGGCGAGGCGGGAGGCGGCCATCGCGAGGAGACAGCGTCGGGGGGGTGCTGGTGCTGGCGCCGGGCAACAAGGTGCTGGTCATGCGGATTCCGATCTGGATGAGTTGGCTAGGGGCTCTGGCGGTGGTGGAGGTGGTGGTGGGGGTAGAAAGGGTGGACAGAGTGGAAAGTCTAGAGGAGGGGCGGGTGCTGCTGCTGCTGCTGCTGCTGCTGCTGGGCAGGGAGGTGTTCAGGCTGGCGAGCATGTCGGTGGCGCTGGGCAGGGAGGCAGTACTTCTGGTCAGGCGAAGCGGCGGAAAGTCGAGAGGCCGCCGCCGGTCGACACTGGGGCTGCGATGGAGAGATCGGCGAGCGGCGCCGGTGCTGCTGGTGCTGCCGCTGGCGGTGGTGCTGGAGGACGGGCGGGATTCAAGGATGTAGATGCTACTGGTGGTGCTGGCGGTCCTGCTCCTACCAAGAAGAGATCCCGCGCACCGAATGCCAATGCGGCTTCACGGAAGAGGTAGGCTGCGATCCTTTCTCTTTTGTTATGATGTTTGCTCATGCAGTCACTGCAAAAAACAAACCCTTTATCGTTGCACGGATTCATACTGACTGGCTTCAAACAGAAACAATCCAGGCAACTCTACCACCGATTCGCCGGTCCTTGCTCCGTCACCTGTTGTCGCTGCAGCCACGATCCCACGCAACGCGGCCAGTCCAGGCCCTGGTGCGGCGCGGCCACAGTCTTCTCGTACGCAGCAGAATGCCGTTCAAGCAACTAACGGCCGTCAGCGCCCATCGTCATCTGCGTCAAATCGTGTTACAGGCAACAGTAAGTGGTGGTGGTTCATTTGTGCTCGATCACAACCTGACTGACACCTGTGCAGACAAAACAGCCGAGACAAAGACCGTCGTCAAGGAAAGCACATCCAAACCCGAAGCCACCCCCAGCTCAGTCAATGAGACCCCACGCGAGACGGCCGACGAGGCCGTGGATGTGGCGAAGATGCCCGTGCCCGTAAGCACCAAGCGCGAAGACACGGACGGCAGCAAACCGGCTCCCTCCATCGAACCAGACGAGACACCAGTCGCCCCGGTCACGGCGGCTCCCGTTCCCGCCCCGAACCCACCACCCAAGGGCCGCTCCTCCAAGACCTCCACCCCAGTGCTGTCCACCTTCACCGAAACCGCGTCCACGACCACGCAGCGCGTGCGTCCCACCCGCAGCACGGACCCCGCCCCGGCCACCGCTGCCACAACCAAACGCTCGCACAAGAAGAACGGTAGCGTGCCCGTGGTGGTGCCTCAGCGGCCGCCGTCCGAGGACGAGGAGTCCCTGCACGAAGGCGACGACGAGGACGAGGACGGCGAGCCGCGCTACTGCTACTGCAATGAGATCAGCTTCGGCGAGATGGTGGCGTGCGATAACGATGCCTGTCCGCGCGAGTGGTTCCATCTGTCGTGTGTGGGGCTGACCAAGCCGCCTGGCAAGAATGGTATGTTCTTTCTTTCTTCTTCTTTCGGTTTGTTTATGATCTGGGTGGATGGTCTTTTGCTAACTTGGCCTTAGTGAAATGGTATTGTAACGAGTGCAAGGATAATATGCGACGGAGTCGTAGCGGGCGTTAAATTTGGCTTGTCCTGACCTTATTCTAATGGGCATTACTCTGGAAGAGGATGGTGTAAATCGAGTTATAGACTGGGAACAAGGGGTAGCATTTGTACTTGCATCTTGGGGAGCACCGGGCTCCATATGGCTCTACTAGTGTGAGATAACACATCGTGGCTGTGCCGTATAAGATTTCGGGCCATCCGCCACACTGGCACTACCCTTTAGTGAGCTTATTCCGGTGTCTATCAATTGATTTCAGTTCATACCTACGCAAAAGTATAAGGGCGTATGAAGGCGGGCGCGGGGGTTTCATCACGAACGGAGGGCTTCCATTTCGGCTAGATCAGATATTCTATTTTATACATGGACAGCCGACGTGATTGATCTAGTATCACGTACTCTGTCTGTTGTCTACTGATGGAACTGTGTAGGGCTTTTGGTCGTCCCAGCCTGGCTGGAGGGGATCAAATATTGCGAGAGGCATTTTGTTAGAACACGTATGTGGACTAGTCCGTCAGAGTCTGTGTTGTATGAAAGAGAGATAAGATGGAGAAAGTGAGAAAGTGCAGCGACGAGCTATGAATGAGCAGTGGTCTAAATTCCTTCCTGGCTCTGCGACATCGACTTCTTCCTCACGCGAACCGACCAGATATGTCATTCAAGCATGCAACGACCGCGTCTCGGGACCCTGAGGTTCTTTCTGCGCTTAATGCAGTTGGGCGTCTCTATTGGGCGTATGGAAAACACAAGCGTGCTGAGGAGTTGTACACGAGTGCACTTGTTCGGGCGAGAGACAATCCTCGGTCCAAGTCATATTTCCACCCTGCAGTCTGTGCACAACATTGGAGTTCTGTGTCAGGACCAGGGCGATCTGAAATCTGCTGAGGAGATGTTCCAGCGGGCGCTGGAGGGACACGAAATGGCTTCAAATGAAGATGACGGCAGTCCTCCCATGGAGACCCTTGATACACTACAGAGCCTCGCAAATCTCTATCGAATTCAGAACCAATTAGAGAAAGTGGAGCACATGTGCCAACGAGCACTGAGTGGTTATAAGAAAGCTCTGACCGCAGATCATCCCTCGACGCTGAATGCCATCCACAATCTTGGAAATATCTACTGGGCTCAACACCAGCTAGATGCTGCATAGGCAATGTATCAACAAGCCTTGAAAGGTAAAGAACGGGCCCTTGGTCAAGATCATCCCTCGACGCTCGACACGATCCATAATATCGGAGGCATCTATTCCGAACAGGGACGACTCCAGGACGCCGAAGAGATGTATCAGCGCGCGCTGATAGGCAAGAGGGAATGCGCTTGGCCCCGAACATGCTTCTGTTTTCGATACCATGTTCAACATCAGCCGGTTATATTGGATTCAGGGCAACGCGGCAGCAGCCGAGGCAATGTACCAGCAAGTGCTGACTGGTCAAGAAAAAGCTTCCAGTGCCGACCATGCCTCTACTATACATACCGCTCACCACCTCCGTAACTTCTACTCTGCACAAGGCAAGTTTTCAGAGGCTGGAGTGATGTACCGACGAGCCCTCGATGGCTATGAGAGGACCCTAGGATCTGACGACAGGATGACCCTGGAATCTGCGCATACCCTTGCCGTCAACAGGACAATCTAGCAGAGGCAGAAGCTTTATTCAAGCGCGTACTGTCTGGGAGGAAGAAGACCCTAGGTGCCGGTATCGCGCCCGTGCTCGCCGTGTTGAACAATCCCGCCAATATCTACAGACACCAAGGCAAGCAGAAGGAAGCAGAAGACATCTATTACTCGGTCTCGAGTGGCTTTACAGCCATAAGCCCCGGCCATCCCTCGGCGCTCGGGGCCATGAACAATCTCGGCGTCATTTATCAAGACCCAGGCAAATATAAGATGGCCGAGCGAGTCCTCCAGCAGGTGCTGATCGACTACGAGAAACGGTTCAATCGAAACCATATTTCCACTCTGGATACGGCGTGTAACCTTGGAGACCTCTACCGGGTCCAGCGGAAGGAACAAAAGGCAAGAGAGATATACCAGCAGGCACATGCAGGCTTCGAAAAGACACTGAGTCCTGATCATCCTAAGACTCGAGAGACGGTGGATAAATTAGAGCCTTTATCAAAGTCTCCGAGGTCTCGCGCGCGCGAAGGAATATTTGAGTTTCTCCATGGAAGTTGATGACACTCACTTCTGAGACATCACGAGCAAATCGAATTTTAAATAACGTTGGTTGTCTTGACTCGGGTCAACCCAGTTCGCCTCATGGGCTTGACACTCCTGTTCTCTAGAAGCTTGATCAAGCTACATCCGGAGACATACATACATCAATGGGCTTGGATTTGGCTGGGTAGCCGAGGAATGACACTAAACCTGAGGTCTCAGGATTCTTGTCTGCAGATGCAGTCAACAATAATTCTTCAATTTAACTAACAAGAGGCATGACAGATTCTGCTAATCAATCAACTATCGCACTACGCTGACGCTTCGATTCTAAGACGAAGGTTGCAATGGGAAATAAGGCCCCGCCATGATCTTAAAATTTTGAGCGCTGCTCTTCCGGGAAGTATACATTGACCGATCTTCCACAGAATGTCTCAAGTCAACAAGCACTGCCATGTAAGTGCCTGGGCAGGCCACTTTATAGTTCCCTGGATAGCATCCTCCCCTCCCATAGAGAGTCCAGTCGTTCGACTCTCAGTTCAGCATTCAAGAGAGTTTGCTTAATTTCCTGTTGTTGGGGATAGAGGATAATATTCCAGTTATATAAGTAGATGGTATAATGTTTGATTAGAAAACAGTTCTTTGATTCAGTACACAGCTCGTGACAGGTTCAAACATACACTATTGAATACCTGAGGCATTATCTTCAACAAATAAGCACCTAATTTAACACCTACGTTCCAACACTTCAAAACAGGCTTTCAGATTTGTCGGGGTAGTATCAACAATCAAACTGGGATTTTAACAACTATATACAATGAGGTGGCGTCCTGATCCACGGATGAAGAACCTAGTTAGCTCCCATGTGGCACGGAAGCTTATTTTTGATTGTAGGGTCATAACGACATAAACCAGGCGCAACCTTCAACAAATGTCTTCATGGTGTAGTGGTTATCACGTGGGTCTCATATCATCCGAATATGACTTGGAAGCTTCAACTTCCGGGATATCCCAAGGCCGGGAGTTCGATCCTCCCTGAGGACATGTGTTTTTGTTTTTGGTGGAGATTCTTCGGTGGTGGTTGGTGGGGTAGGTTAGTCTGGTTTATAGTGGATGCTAAGACTGAGTTAGGCTGGGAAGCTGAAGGGAAGGGGGATCCGGGGGTTCTCCCCCGGGACGTTTATATTCGTGGTACTGTATATGTGGAGTGAGGGTATGCTGGATGTTTGTGGTTGAGTCTGATCTTGGAATTGGAGGGTTGGGGGGGGGGGGGGCGCTTTGTTTAACGATTGAGGCGCGAGCGAGCCGTTAAGTGTTCATTTCAGTCAGTCAGATCTAGCCGTTCTACATACATACAAGCACAGCAATCATCTCCCATACCCCCAAATTCATGGATATCAGGGATAAGCATCAGGCAGCCCGTCTCATCCGATGTCCGCCCTCCCCAGCCGCCGAAGCAGATGCTGTAGCCGAAGCAGCAACAACCTCCCCCTCCAATCGCCTCCGTAACTCCTCATACCGCTCCCCGCTGCCCCTCCCAGCACCCTCCTCTCCCATCCGATTCCTGGCTGAACCACCGCCCCTACCGGAATCCTGCTCCCCGACCACCCACCCCGGCACCCGCCACCTATATCCCCCGGGCACGAAAAACAGAGGCAGCACCTCCGTCCGCCACGCCAGGCCCACGGCCCACCCCACCACCGCTGGCAAGAGCATGTTCGGGAACTGCGAGAGGGCTAGCTGCGCGGCGATCAGGTAGGTCGTTGATTTGTCTGTTAGGGTGATGGCGAGGTTATTCTTGTTGGTCGGTTGTTGCGGGATGGTTTCGTTTGTTGTGGTTGGAGCTGGGGATGCGGCGGGGGCGCTGGTGCTCGTGGTGATGCAGTACCGGACTGTGCTAGGAATCGAGGCGTGATACTGCGCCAGTAAGGCGAAGAGCGTGGCTGTTGGGCCTGAGGGGAGGTAATTGAGTTTCGTGAGCGTGAGGGGCCGGAGGACTAGTGTCAGGAGGAGGGGCGGGAGGAGCGTTGTCGCTGGGAGGGTCGTGAGGATGAAGGTCTATTTTACATTAGTGGTTAGGTTAGTTTTGTTGTTTCTTGTGTTTGATGGGCTGGATGGATTGTGTTCGAGCGGTGAAGAACGTACGGCCATCTTGCGCTTCCCCCATGCGCGCTCAACCACCCGCACATGGTACGCCAGCATCGCCGCGAACAGCGCCTCCGTCGAGTTGGCGAACCCCGCCACTTGCCATACGGCCATCCGCCAGAATTGTCCGTACGGCCAGATGTGCGGCGTCACCTGCAGGTTGACCAGGTGCTTGATATCGAAGATCGCTAGTGCCACGGATGCTGCGATCGTGTAGATCAGCAGGACCTTCGACACTGGTGCGTTGGTTAGCCCGGAGGTTAGCATCCTGGCTCGACTCGACTCTGTGGTCGTCGGTGGTTGGTGGTCGTTCTCCGCTGCGCTTTTTGTTTGGTAGGAAGGTCTATAGCATGAGGGGTGGATGGTCTCTGGTGATTGTCGCGGAGCGAGTGGTGCGGAGATGTGGAAGGAGAGGAAGTCGGTTGAGTTGACGATGGCCACGTCGCGCCAAAACGGCGCCGCGCGCGGGCCGAGGCTATGAGGGGCTCGGCATGCCGATTAGCTCTTGCTTTCACTTTCAGTAGGTAGCTAGTAGCTAGTGACTAGTTATATTTAACATCGTTTTTGGGCTTATATGTCTAGTTTTATCATACATGGGTGTCCG